TGCGTACAACAAGCTGAACGATGCGACGATACCGGCGCAGACACCGATACCGCGAAAAGATGTCATCATCGATTCGATGACCAGGAGCACTATTTACAGTGCTCTTGATCTGCGCGATGGGTTCTATCAGATCCTAATGCGTGAGAGCGATATCCCTCTCACGGCTGTGAGCACGCCGAGCGGCATGCTCTGGGAGTGGCTAGTGATGCCGCAGGGTCTGAAGAACGCCCCTGCGACCTTCAACAGGTGCGTGACGCACTTGTTGCGCTTGGTGCGCGACTTCGCACCGAGCTACTTCGACGATGTGTTCGTCCACAGCCGGGCTGCGGACGGAATGAGCGATGTTGAGATGCACAAGGTGCATCTCCGAAAGCTGCTTGCGCTCATGCGCAAGCACAAGCTCTACGCAAACCTGAAGAAGTGTATCTTCGCGGCGAGCGAGATACCCGTGCTCGGGTGTCTCGTCGGGAAGAACGGTGTCCGCCCTGACCCTGAGAAGGTCAGAGTGATCAATGAGTGGCCGACACCGTCGAATGTCAAGGAACTGCGGCAGTTCCTTGGCTTGGCCACGTATTTGTGCAAGTACGTGAAGGTCTATGCGGGCATGATACGCCCGCTGTCCCAGCTCCTGAAGAAGGACATCGAGTGGGTTTGGACTGCTGAATGTCAGCAGGCCTTCGATGCAGTCAAGCGGGGCTTGACTGAGGCGCCGATCTTGGCGGTGGCCGACCAAGATCGCCCATTCCACGTTGTGTGTGACGCATCCGACTTCGCAATCGGATGTGCGTTGATGCAGCACGATCACGAGGGCCGTGATCGTGTCGTCTACTACCAATCGCGTCAGCTGAAGCCAGCTGAGCGCAACTAACCGGTACATGACAAGGAACTCCTTGCCATGAAGTACGCACTCGGGAAGTTCCGAGTGTATCTACTCGGAAGCAAACCGTTCGTGGTCTATACGGACCACGCGTCGCTGCGGACGGCTGTGAAGTCGCCGCACATCTCGCAACGGATGGCGAGATGGCTCTCATTCTTCGCAGAGTATGACTTCCGGGTTGAGTACAAACCCGGAAAACTCAATGTGGTGGCCGACGCGCTCTCGCGTCGACCTGACTACGCCACGACTGATGCCGACGTCAATGCCATTGACGCCATGCGATCGAGCACCCCAACATCGTCACTGTTGGACGACGTGAAGGTCGCATACGCGCACGACGCGGACGCGAAGCTCTTGCTGGCCTATGGCTCAGCGCCTTCTGACAAAGCTCGTCAGAAGCTGCCGAAGCATCTTCGTGCTCGTGCACATCGTTATCGGGTGCACGACGGCTTATTACTCTACAGTGCAGTCGACGACAACGCGGACCGCGTTGTCGTGCCCAATGACCATGACCTGCGACTCAGGATCATGTATGAGTATCACGATGCACCGACTGCGGGGCATCCGGGCCGTGAGAAGACATACCTTCTTCTCACGCGAGACTTCTACTGGGCCCACCAGTATAAATGGGTGCGCAAGTACGTCCGTGCTTGCGAGGTTTGTCAACGTGTGAAGCCTGCGCCTTTCGCGCAGGCTCCCTTGCAGTCACTGCCGACTCCGTCGGAGTGTTGGCAGTCTATGTCTTTGGACTTCGTGTTCGGTCTTCCCCCGGACAGCCAGGGGAACACGGGCATTGTGGTCTTTGTTGACCGCTTCAGCAAGATGGTACATCTTGCTGCGGTACCCGCTGAAGTGACTGCGAAACAGACGGCGCGTCTGTTCGTTGACATGGTGTTCAAACACCATGGCATGCCGATCGACATTGTGTCGGATCGAGACCCGCGCTTCACTGCACACCTTTGGCAAGAAGTGTTTACACTTCTTGGGAGTCAACTTTCGATGTCAACTTCGGATCATCAGCAGACGGACGGGCAGACCGAGCGCGTGAACCGCGTGCTCGTAGACGTGCTTAAGAGCTACGCTCACTCGTTCCAACACAGGAGCGAGTGTCTGCCGATGGCGGAGTTCGCCATCAACAACTCGGTGCATGCCTCGACCGGGCATACACCGTTCTACGTGAATGCCATCAGGCACCCACGTCTCCCGAGTCTACTCGGGATGGTGGCTCCTTCCTTAAGTGGGGAAGGATCTACGACTGCAACGCAGCAGCCGCAGAATGCCGCTGACACTTGCACAGTGTCAGCCGCGACTACGCGCAAGAAGAAGAAGAAGCACGCGTCTGTGCAGGGCACAGACGCTGACAAGAGCAAGAAGAAGAAGAAGAACGGGTCTGTGCAGGGCACAGACACCGCGAAGACGAACGCAGAGGCCGGGCCTACTGCTAGAAACGAGCTGAACGAGTTCAGCTCGACGCAATCACTTCGTGCAGCGCAGACAAGCCGTCATTCGGTTTGTCCAAGACGCTATCGCAGCTTCTGTCGACCGACAGAAGCTGAACGCAGACAATGTTGGTAGGGGCAACACTAGTGAATTCAAGAAGGGTTCATTGGTTTTGTTAGCAACTCAAAACCTGCCTAAAGATGCAGTTTCTGACTTCGGGGCGAGCAAGCTCGCTCCGCGCTTCATCGGGCCGTTCACGGTGTTGGCACGGCATGGCAACGCCTACACGCTAGATATTCCATCTAGCATGCGCCTCCATCCGACCTTTTACGTCGGGCGGCTGAAGCCATACCGGCAGCACGAGCCACCTAGCTCGGCTGGCCCGAAGCGGAAGCCCCAGTGGGAGCGAACCTCCGCTCCAGCGCGTGAACGCGCTGGGCCAAGCGTGCGACGCGACCTCCCACGTCGACAGAGATGTCCGACGCGGTCTGCGAGGCCTGAGCGACTTGAGTCCTCAGGATCGCCACCTCCTGCTTCAGAGCGTCGAACTCCCGGCTCTGATGCTGTTCCACAGCGGCGACTCGCTCCTCGAGCGTCGGGCCAAGGTCAACCCCAGGTTGACCATACCCGGGGCGTGTTACCACCACCGCCGCCTCCGATCCGTGACGCCCGTGGCTCAACACGCTGGATTGTTGAGCGTATTGTGAACCACAGTATCCCGAAAACGAACCGGCAGCCGGTTCGTTATCGTATTCGTTGGAGAGGGTTTCCGCCCCACCAAGATACATGGGAGCCACGGGACGTCCTGCTGCAGGACGTTCCGGAAATGGTGAGGGCGTACGAAGCTCACCACGCTCTGCCGACGCGAAGGTAGTGCGAGCGCTGTGGTCACCTACAGCGCCCGAGGTCCCACGATCGTCGCGTTCCTCATGTGCCAAGAACTTGGCACGGAGATCCTTGAGACTCGCAGGTACACGAATCGTCGTGTACCCGTTTAGGTCGCGGTCGCTCAAGCGCGCCGCACCCGGAAGACACAACGTGCACTGTTGGCCTTCGGGCACAGCACATGGAATACCAGCGTCCACAGAGGATCTGTGGAGCTGCTCCAGCCGCCCGCGCGTCGAGAATGTCTCGAAGCGTTCACGGGCTTGCTTAACCCGCTCGCGGTAAGCAGCCGGCTTCTTGTTGAAGTTCCCAACAAAAGCGTTCCAACTTTGACAAAGTGCCTGCCATTCAGGCACTCTGCTGCGAGAAGAAATCTTCTTGCTGGAGAAGTATCGGAGCTCGTGGAAGAGCCCGATGTAATAATCGCGCCTTTGATTCGTTAACGGATCAAAGTGCTGCTCCTCCGCAACAGCATCGTCGTGGATACCGCTGCATACGTACAGCGGGATTTCGTTTGGAGGCACAGTGTTGCACACACGGTCTGCGATCTCTGACGCAGACGGCATCCACGGATCGCGCGCTGCTAAGGTAGCGCGCGGAGAGCTTGAAGGCGCCACCTCACGCGGGGAGCTTAAAGCCCCAGCAGCAGAGAGCGGAGTGTCGCTCTCGCCGCGCGAACGCTTCGAGCTCGAAGCATCCGAGTCGTCTCCTTCACGAGGGCGTCTCGACCCGGCATGCGGGTCGAGACTATCGCTGTCGATAGACTCCTTGCGCTTGCTAGAAGAGGCCTGGCCCTCTTCCATCTCCACGTCGTCGTCTTCGAAGTCAACGGCGTCGTTGACTACAGAAGAACCTTCGAGGACAATCTCTGGTTGAGTTGTCCCCGCCGCAGCCTTGGTAGCAAGAGCGTCTCGCTTTGCTTTGAGACGCTCGCGGTACTCGGGGATAGAGAGAGTCTCTATCCCGGCGGAGGACTTCCCCTCTGCTGCAGCGTCGGTCTTCTTCTGAGGCGAGCTCATTGCGGAATGAGCTCGAGTTTTCTTTCTCCCAACGTGAAGAATTGACGAATGGTCAATTTCCTGATTGACGTGCCATGACTCGGCGCGTCTAACCTTGAGGGGGGGGATGGTGTAACAGGGTTACACGCACAAGTGGCTACAGTCACTTGTAACTCTTTAACAGACACGACGTCTGTTAGAGGTTCGAAAGACTTTCTCGACCTTGGTGTAGACACACCAAAGGCTACATACATTTACGACCACCACGACGGGTGGTCCATAGAGACTTAGGATTCCTATTGGCTGAGAGCAGCATCTCTTAGCCAATGAGCGACATGCACAGCATTGGAATTCTGCCAACCAGCTGTTGGCAGATTCCTATCTTAGAATATTACATTTAGAGGAAGTCAGGAACATAAAACAAAAATAGCAGTTCTCATTTTAACCCAAAAATATTATTTGGATCGTTTATTTAGATTAATCTATACTCGAGTATAATTAACTCTAATTTAAACTAGGCTACGCTTCCTCACATACACGCGCACACGTGTAAGCTAAAGTAGTGGGCCAAAGTAGGCCCATTACATATAGTCGTGAATGCAGAGGTGGCTACCGGGCTCAAGTCTATTCACGATGCTGCTCTCCTAAACATGATGTGACACGCTTTCGGCCGAGCGATCAACACCTGCTTTGCTCGTAAGCAGCAGCTCTCACTATCTGCCTCTGGGGAACTCTTTCTTCACATAGCGCGCATCAAGACGTCCGTTGTGCAAGGCGTGTCAATCTTCAAGTCCCCTGAGCGCTGGCAGCAATGCATGCTCCACGCATTTGGCTTGCTCTTCGTTTGCTGTGATGAACCCTCGGAGTACCTGTTCCCGTTGGTGCCGCGGTATGCTGAGTCCGATCTCCCTGGAGGACAGACCTACACGCAAGAAGAAGCGGTCTTGTATTGGGAAAGCCTGGAGCATACGACAGAAACTACAACCCAACCACCGCTAAAACGTGAACGAAAGAGACCCAACGTCGCAAGCTATATCACAGAGGTTATTCGAGATGCTTTAAAGGAAATGCAGCCTACCACCTTGCAAGTAATCACGCCCAACATGACAAGCCACTCTTTGCGGCGTGGCGCTGCGGCGTATGCCAATGCATCGCCGAAGCTTGCAATACAGTGGATCTCCACGCGTGGTGCGTGGCTCTTGGAATCGCTGACCAAAGCATTTGCCTGTATAGGCACGACAACAAAAGAAGATCAGAGTGTGGGCAAGGTGTTAGCAGGTTACGAGGCGCCCGACGTACCAGTAGTGACCCCGTCAATTCGCGATCTGCAGGATAGACTGCCCAGAGCTGAGTATGGGCAGCTTGTCACGCTGCGAGACGAGCTGTTCCGACATGTCATCGGCCTCCCTGACCCGCGCTTCAACGTAGCCGGAGCCGTCGTTGACGCCACGTTTGCTGCGCTGCTAATGCACCTGAGCGAAGTCCTGGAAGCTACACAGAACAGTGTTAAGTCACAGGCACACGTTGCAAGATACCTGTACGAGTTGGAGCGTGGTCTCACATCGACAAACGCTCGTCTGGGATCCGCTGTGTCCGTCGTGAAGTGCTGCGAGTGGGGCGAGCCTTGAAGTCTCGCTGGCGTACAGTGAACCAAGCACATGTTAGCAGAGCAGCATCAAGCAACGATACGCAGCTTGCATCCGTCCTCGGGTGCATGCTGGGTCAGCTTACTGCGATCAGCGATAGACTTGGTCGGCTAGAAGACGCACACGCAGCGCTGCTTGCGCGCACGCCATCCTTGGAACCGGCAAACCCAGTGCAAGTCGAGGCCCTAGCTGGCGGGTCAGTCGAAGCGCCGCTGTTCGCCGCTGCGCCAGCCCAAGCAACCGCGACAACGCTGGCGGGCTGGGCTGCCTCTTGACTTGGTATGTCGACCATATCTGGCAAACAGTCAAAGGAGAACGAGAGCAGAATAAGCGAGCTGAGGCAAAGGCAGCTGTAAACGTCATGATGGTTCTCTACCAGGCATCGTTTGAAGTACCTGCTGAGCCGTCACGAAACGACTCCACCGCGTACCAAGCCTGGAAGCACCTAGTGTTGGAGCTCGCTCTGCTGGCGGCAGCTGCGAACGTCACATCCCGACGCGTACCGCACGCTCGGCGCTCAGTTCCTTCCTTGAAAAACAGTGGTGCAGTGACCGATGCTTGTACGCCAGCGTCACACCAGTGGGGGGAATCAGACTTGGCTTAGCATACACCTAGTACAACACATACACACAGCAGCACAGCAGCACAGCACACAGCACAGCAGGCCATTGCACACAACATACAGCAGCACAGCACAGCGACACACAGCACAAAGCACACAGCACACAACAACACATAGCACCCATCACACATCACACAGCAAGATTGCCCCCGGCTGGGGTCGAACCAGCGGCCTGGAGACGTAGTCTCCCGCTCTTCCACTGAGCTACGGGGGCGTGGATACGGGGGGAGACCTACCTCGGGGAGTCGAGTGTCGTCTGCAGCGCCAGTTCTCGTCGGGCTTGCGCACGCGCGCGCTCTGTCCATCGCCGAGCTGCCTGCCGTCCACTGTCTGCCGCGCTCGCTGAGTCCGCAGAACACCGAATGAGAGAGAACAAGTGGAGGGGATTTACACATTTCATATATGTACGAAATTTAGCTCTTTACACTCCCGTCCGGAATGAATAAGTCGAAGTTGACTGGCACGAGGTTTTTTATGTGTCATCAGTGTGGCTCTATTGCAGATTTGACAGGTTTCCGGATTCCGGTCCGGAATCTACCAATTACTGTACAGCTGTGCAGTGCTGTACCGGTACGTCCAAAGCTGACCATCGAACGAGATTTGCGCATATAGTAGCACGGCCAGGCGAAATGAAAATCCAGTACTACATGTAGTGGTCGTGTACAGTCATTTTAAAACCAAGATACATGTACCTACATGGCTTCATAAACACTTTTGCACCCCGCCAGAAGAGTGTGGCTTCATCCTGTGCCCCGCGGTACGGACCAAACGAGCGTTGACCTTTGGAGAAGTACCACAACTTGCATCGACTGCAACGAACAAGATGTTGAGCGCCTTGAACTGCGCCCATTCTCTTGAAATCCCGGACACCGACGTTGAGTTTCCGGTGGTTAACTGCGACCTTGACACATCGGATCTACTCGAGACCTGCGTGTCCGACGAGCTGTGGGGTGAGCTCCCCAAACTAACGAATGAGTTGGCTGCCATGCACACCGACGTACCAGAGACCGAAGCCCATTACAGCTCAGATCCCGATGATTCGCTCGAATCCGTCAACACACACGTGGCGAAAGGCCCCTCCACACCCAAGCTCGAGAAACCAAAAAGCTCCAAGAGAATTTCCTCCAAAGCGAAGATTGAAGCACTGCGAGGCGAGCTCAAGACATTAACGGTTCAACTGCAGCAGCTGGATGCGGCGCGTCGTCAAGAAGCTCTCGATGCTCGGACATTATTCACCGACCGACATCGCGTAAAGCTGTGGAAGCAGATCGCTAAGCGACAACTAGAGCAACGTCATAAATCGGAAAAAGAGAACGCGACGTTGCGCGTTATGATGAACCTACAGATCCAAGAAGCTTGGAGGCTGAAACGACTGTTGAAGAGCCGAAAGAAACTTGAGGTAAGACCAACTCACTACCTAACACTCGCTTGATTTGGTACTAAATTAGCGTTCGGATTACTTTTGCTTTTCCAGGCGATGGCGAGGATGCTAGGAGTGATGGAAGAAACCAGGTGCCGTCGGTAGACGTTTAGTTTGTTTTAGTTTCTACAAAAAGCGTATTATGTTGCCCATGCTTTTAGGTAACTTTAATGTCAATACTTATTATATATGTTAATGCGTCATTGGGTACTTGTTGCTGTTCCAGACCTCTGCAAATTAGCTCCAGATTTCCCTGACTGGCTCAGCAGCCTGGATGGATGCAATACGGGATTTGGCTATCTGAATCAAGATGATCTGGAGCAGGGGGTGGGTGAGGGGAGGGGGCATGAGAAAAGAGATTAAAAAGAATAGTTACAAAAAAGAATGATTACAAATAAATAATGTAATTGTAAGACTGTAGTCGTAATATATTCCTCTGATTGCAAATGATCACAGGAAACTCACACTTCCCTCCACAACAAGACTAGTTGAGGGAGATTTGATGGTTCAATAATAGCAAAGTGCGTTCATCAGAGATGCTAGCTAGTAAGCTTTTTTTATGAGCTGTAGGGGTACATGCTCTCCAAAAATGTAATGTCAATTTGAAAGGGTTATAATTGTAGGGGAACAATAAGGTATTGTATGAACCTTATCAATATTTTCTAATTAGGGTGGTATTGATAATAACTGAATTAGACGCTTTCAGCTCGAGGGGTTTCTAAAATTTCTCGTACATTCTCAGTATAGGATTAAGAAAGCAGACGATTGACGCGTAAAACGCTATTGTGGGTAACAAGCTTGCATTTCCCTCATATGAACAGCTATTTTATCGATACGCGGGATGTCTAGCACTAATCTCAATAATAATTATCAGGTATTGCAATGCATCGACCTTTTATTGTGAAACAGCAAGAAGGTCTTCAGTATTGCCACGGCCTCGACGTAGACAATCCCTAAGCAAAAATTATTGGGAGAGCCTGCACGTTTTTATTTTTTTACGCCCAATATTTGAAAATGGTGACCGTGTATTTAGGGTTTAACGACCCTGGTTTGCCTAAATGATGGATTTGGCGGAGCTCGGTAGTAGAGGGAATGTTGGACTATCAGTGACACTAATATTATCAGTCGGGTGGTGGCGATATCAATATCTCTAAAAATTATCGCTGATAATTGTCACTTTCCGCCCTGATTTATCCGATCCGTCGCACGTGCGCGTGAAAAGCATATTTGTGGCCACTATTGCAAGTACTACTCCGTCTCAAAATTGTTGACACGTCGAGGTTATTGAAATTTTGTCATTTTTCTTTGGATTAGTTGCGGTCCGCTGGTGTGGTTCGAACTATGTCTCCATTTCAACACAGCGGTTCATTTTGAGGTCGCAGTGGCTAATTGACTGGTCACTAGCTCACGCTAAATTACCAGCATACATGTTTTGCTCATATCGCATTTGGATCGACCATGCCGACTACGACCCCGACCAAGAGACGCGAACTGAGCGACAGCGATCGCGAGCAAGTGCTGCAGCGCTCGGTAGACGGCGTACCTCGCAAGGGCGCGATGAAAGAGGTGGCGGGCAAGTTTCGCGTGTCAAGCCAGACGATCGCGCGAGTCTGGAAGCGAGCCAAGGCGGAGGCGGGTGTTTGAGGGCGGACTCGAGGCGCCATGACCGCGGCCGCCCAATGGTCGACCTGTCCGCCAAGTTGGAGAAACTGCGCATCACGCCGTTCGCGCAGCGCAGCACGCTGAGGTCAGCGTCCGCAGTGTGCGGTGTGGCCCGAGCGACTCTCCAACGCCGTGTCAAAGGAGGACAACTGGTGGCTCATGTCAGTAACGTGAAGCCGTTACTGACGGACGTCAACAAGGCCACCAGGATGGCCTGGTGCATCTCGCACCTCGATCCTACTTTGCTGTGTTTTCACGACAGTATGACTGATGAAAAACTGTTTTATTTGACAGAAGTGAGGCGCCGCTACTACCTGCTTCCAGGAGAAGAACCACCGCATCGTTAGGTGCGCTCTAAGCGCTACATCACCGAGGTGATGGTGCTGGCGGCTGTGGCGCGACCGCGGTGGCACGCTGCTTCTGGCACCTACTTCGACGGTAAGTTGGGCATCTGGCCCTTCGTGGTCCGAGCCCCTGCTGTGAGGACGAGTGCGCGGCGTGCTGCTGGTACCATCGAGACGAAGGAAGGGCGCGTCAACCAAGAGACGTACCGTGTCATGCTGATGCAACAACTACTCCCAGCTATCCAGTCGCGGTGGCCGTGGACGAGCGCAGGAGAGCGTGTCTGGGTGCAGCAGGACAACGCACCCGCGCACATTAGTCCCGATGACCCGCAGTTCATGACTTCCGCCTGGCAGCAGGGCCTGAACGTGCAGCTCCGCTGCCAACCCCCGAACTCGCCGGACCTCAACTGTCTCGACCTCTCCATCTTCTCGGCCATTCAAGCGCGCCAACGACTCCGCTCGTCCCGGAACATCGACGAGCTCATCAGCGCCGTCACCGATGCGTACTGGGAGCTCCCCTCGTCGACGATCAACAAGGCCTTTTTGAGTCTTCAGGGCTCGATGGACTCGTGCATCAAGGACGCCGGGGGCAACGCGTTCAAGCCACTGCACATGGCGAAGGACAAGCTCGAGCAGGGACGACTCCCAGTGAGCTTGCATCGCTCGCCGGAAGCCGCAGCAATTGTGTCTCAGCAGTACAGAGCGTGAACAGTGCAACATAATGAAACCTAATATAATTAGGTGCATCAATTTTGAGACGAATCAAAGAGTGGTATGTATTAACAATTTTAAGACATAGTAGTATTGTGGAAACCGATTAGATTGTCCGAGCGGATTAGCTGATAAAGCAGCGTTTATGAGAGATTTCACTAGTAGTAAATCGAGGATTCCTATGATTTCATATGGCATCGGTAAGGGTATAAATCGGTGTAAGGTTAATATAATATGGGTTGCCTCATTACCGCCTGCAATGCGAGGAACGACCACTTACCGCCACGAGCTAATGTTTCGCGCACCTACTAACGAGGAATAGCATCGCGTGCATTAAATACGCTTCTGTGAGCAGTCGATATGTACTGCTATCTATTTATCAAGTTGTGAAGTCATGTATTTGCGCTGTCATTTCTCGTCAGCATTAGCGTTTGTCGGTTTTACTTTAAATGGGCCGCCGAATGCCGAGTGGGTGTCGGACATTTGGGCTGATTAGCATGCAAATCAGCCGCCCAAGGCTTTGTAAGTCGTGGAGTAGCTAAATCAGCTTGCCACATGGCGATGTAGGCACAACAGACTGCTCTGTCAAATCAGAGTACAAATCTTAGGCTGTCGATCTAATTAGGAGGTCAGATTTAGTAAATCCGACCCGATTAAGCTTAATCATCTGCTTAACCAACGGATGTATATTCCAATTAGACAATCTAATCGGTTCCCACAATACATTTTCATGCTTTAATCCTGGTAGTGCTAATCTGTGGTACGAGAAGCCCAATAGGGATTAATTCGAGACTTGAAATATGTGGTCCACAGAAAAATTAGGTACTGAACCAATACAAATGTCAAGTGTAAGGGTCTTAAAATTCTAATATTTTCAACAAAAACACAAATCGACTGATTTACACTAGTTTTATTACAAAGTATGACAGGATGGTGGCTTGAATGACATCTTTCCTTATTGGGGCAACCCCCCCTATAAACATTCGTTTTATGTCCTTTTGAACCCTCTTTACAGGAAGCAAATCAGAGATCAAGTAGAGGTTAGGGCTCACGTTTATCATACCGTTTTGCGGGGCCAAAAACACACACATTTTACCTGGCTTTAAGCACCAACAGTGTGATTGTAAGCTTAACTTAGTGTAGAGATTATCCAGGGCCACCTTCTACTAACGATGTTAATGTTACTATCTCGAGGGTTACTTTTATCTTCACAGTGAACAGGCGTTTGTTAAGCTGAGCGACGAATTAGGTTGCAGGCTTTCGAATTATAGGATAAATAGACATTTCAATGGTCTTTTATCACGACGATACACTGTTTTAATGAGCAGTAAAGCCTGTTTTACGGGGAGTGAGCAAGAGCGTCACAGGTGTGGTTACCACAGCCAAGGAAGCAGTACATCTATGTAGATTGCATACTCGACTAGCGTTTGCCGTGGTGAGATACCCGCATAGTGAAGGAAACTTAGCGACTCACTTTAGTCCTTAATGAGGCAAAGCAGCTTATAACGTGAAAGCATTTGAAGAACAATGAGGTGCCAATGCAAGACGTAGCGTGCGTGTTGAGCAAGCTGTCTAGGGAACTACAATAGTCGATGTCATAGTCATACAAAGCGGCATGGGCCAGAACGCCCGAACATTTGTTGATCCACCTGTAATGGGCCTACTTTGGCCCACTGCTTTAGCTTACACGTGTGCGCGTGTATGTGAGGAAGCGTAGCCTAGTTTAAATTAGAGTTAATTATACTCGAGTATAGATTAATCTAAATAAACGATCCAAATAATGTTTTTGGGTTAAAATGAGAACTGCTATTTTTGTTTTATGTTTCTGACTTCCTCTAAATGTAATATTGTAAGATAGGAATCTGCCAACGGCTGGTTGGCAGAATTCCAATGCTATGCATGTCGCTCATTGGCTAAGAGATACCGCTCTCAGCCAATAGGAATCCTAAGTCTCTATGGACCACCCGTCGTGGTGGTCGTAAATGTATGTAGCCTTTGGTGTGTCTACACCAAGGTCGAGAAAGTCTTTCGAACCTCTAACAGACGTCGTGTCTGTTAGAGTTACAAGTGACTGTAGCCACTTGTGCGTGTAACCCTGTTACACCATCACTATGGGCTGCAAGCGCGGTGTGGCTGTGGAATGCAACCCACTCGCTTTAGGGAGACCAAAATGCTGAGCACGGGTAAGGGCGACCGAATGCGAGCGCAAGGCTCACTCAGTGCATTCACCGCTAGCCAACACCCGCCGATCAGGCGGGGGCGTGTCTGCGCGAGCGAGCGAACGCGAGCTCTGCAACCCGAATTTTTTTTTCCTAGACACCGCGCCTGGCCGAACCGAGGACTTAGCGTAAGGCACGAGGGGGTGGGGCAGGTCGCGAAGCGGCGTCCCAGGTCGCGAAGCGGCGTCCCCCCCCCCCCCCCCCCCCCCGAGCAAAGCGAGAGAGGGGCGGGCCCCCCGAAGTGCCGTCGCTAAGTCCGCAGGCAAGAGCGAACGCGAGCGTATCCTGCCCACCTCAACAGTTTCAAAAGGTTGCAGTCCGCCCGCCGCATAGTTGAAACGGTCGATGCAACTTCTGTCTATTTTCCCCGCGGACAGCGTCGCGGTCCCTACGTCCCTTCGGCGCCGTCTTCCCTCCGAGAACCGAAGCCCTCTCCACTGCACTTGTCCAACCAGATTCGCGTTCCTTGCTGCCGTATATGGTGCAGGCCATCTTGAAGCGCTCCTGCAGCGCTGTCGTCAAGGCGCTCCGAATAGCTGCCTCTCTACTGCGATTTCTCCACCCCTCCGCGCCTCGAACGGGCCTCTCCACGGATATCCATCTTGTTGCGGTCAGCTTCATGTGGCGCAGGCCACTCCGACTTACAGCAGAAGTCCGCTCGTCAATGCGGTGCTGAGGATGGGCTGCACAAAGCACACTTAACGACCTGGTGATCTGCCAAAGTCGCACGCATGCCATGAAGGCACCGACGTCCAGTTGGGACCACGGCGGCACCCGTGGACTGGTTTCTAATGAGAAACGGCGCGATGGACATGTAGCCCCGCAGGTCCCGCCTTCCGGCTGACGGTAATAAACTGCCGCGATACGCCGCCGCACACAGCAACGCAGACAGCCAGCCAGCTTGAATGCCCACCTCAATATCACGTTAGTGGCAGAACAGCAAGTACAGTATAGTAAAGTACACTATATATATATCTATTATAATAGAACGTATGTACCCAGGGGAGTGTCCTAACTGTCCTAACTGTCCTAACCGTCGTAAAGTTTGTCCTAATCAGGACTGTTAGGACAGCTATCTTAAATTACCGTTATCGTCATTTATGGGAGTATCATTTCGGTTTTCTGAAGACAGTTAAGGACATTTAATAATCCGACACCCTTGCGAGAAAACGTGCTTTATTAGCAGCAACAGATTAAGTAGCCGCCTTAGCGCCAGCCCCACAGAGCGGCGATCCGTAATAGCACGAGGATGATCCTTTCGCCGGTTTGTTAAAGATACTGGGGAGTTTCCCGGGCCACTTTGACCAATTTGGCCACTTCCCGCTTTCCCGATGCTTCTCCCCAGTATTATTACAACCAATCAGAGATACTGTATAGGTCGGCTTCCAGCTTCCATCATGCAACATGCAAGTTGCATGTTGGCATCCACGATGAAAACATTTGCGCTGTAGTGTTGACTGCATGCCTGTGAGATGGAGGGCGACGCACCGTCGACACAGCAGCACCAGCCGCCCAATTCGATGCCGTAGGTGACGGCGCACAGTGGCGATAGCTGAGCCGAGACGTACTGTGAAGCCAAGTAATTGTTGCCCACGTCTCCACGTTCCAGCTACACGACTCGGGAAGAACGTGACCAAGCTGCAACATGTGCGCGAACTGGTCCCCCGGCTCGTCGTGCTCACTAGTGCCGATACTCGTGGATATCTGCAGCAGGTCGCCAGTATTTCCTGCGCTCGCAATGATTGGTGACATACAAGTACAACTAAGCATCCACGAAGGTCTTCTTGCCAAAGATCAATGAATGTACCAGAGGACCGCTCTTCACCGTGGACTATTGCCCGCCCATTTCGCGAAGTGCGCATTGTCCTAGCCAGCTTGCTCTTCTCTCCGACATCCTTCGTCGTCAAACACCATACCAAAGACACCGACCCCGCCCTGCCCCCAATCTGTGCTAGGCTAGCACTGCTAGCACTGCTACTGGCGACGTGGATGCACCATCCAACCGACGCCACAGCTGAGTATACACAGCTTCGTGGCGGTCGTCAGGTCCTTGGCGCTAGACTACTGTTGCTGCTGCTGCTCTCGATCTCCAACGCCAGAATGGCTGTCGCCTTCTTGTCGTTCTTTCATCGGCTGCTGCCCCACCAGCTCCAACAGCCGACTGCAGCGTAGACCATGAGGGCAGCGTCAGCTTCTGTTACGATAGCGCACAATAACACATGTCAAGAAACAATTTACAGTAAAAGCTGAGACTGGTGAAGAATAGCGCACGCACCTGCACATGCCGAAGTACTAGTCGTCAGACAGACTGCCTCACTCGTCAATCTGCGCCGTGGAGCTCAAGACACCAGGGGGACCAATCAGCGGGCAGCGCGGCGATAGAGCCAGCTGACCCAGCGGTCTGGCCAATCAGAGAGCGACGGTGAGCACCGAGAGCGCTCTGATTGGCCACGATTGGACGACGTTTCCTCCCTTTGGAGCCTCTCGTTCCTGGTGGCCTGAGCTCCGATGGACGGCGTGCACCTGACCGACGTGCGTGCATGTTTGGCCGGGCAGCTCGTGGGTGACACCGCGGACCAAGCTGGATGTCTGAGTTGCTGCACGCGGCGAGGTATTGCGGCGGTTTCTTACCGCCAGCCGGAAGGCGGGGCCTGTGGGGGATCCACGGTGGCGCTACTTGTGGCTCACCGCGCCGTTTCCCATTAGAAACCAGGCCACGGGTGACACCGTGGACCCACCTGGATGTCGTCCACGTCTTGACTGGTCATCATGGCGTGGCAGCTCACGGGTGACACCGTGGACCAAGCTGGCTGTCTGCGTCGCTGCATGCGGCGGCGTATTGCGGCGGTTTATTACCGTCAGCCGGAAGGCGGAGCCTGTGGGGGGTCCACGGTGGACTACATGTCCACCGCGCCGTTTCCCATTAGAAACCAGTCCACGGGTGACGCCGTGGTCCCAACCGGACGTCGGTGCCTTCATGGCATGCGTGCGACTCTGGCAGGTCACCAAGACGTTGGGTGTGCTTCTCGCAGCCCATCCTCAGCACCGTAGTGACGAGCGGGATTCGGCTGAGAGTCAATATGGCCTGCGCCACACGTAGCAGGCCTGCGACGTGGATGAGAATATCGGTAAAGTTCATGGCGCGCCGGGGGAAAACGCAGTGGAGAGGCAGCTATACGGAGCGCCTTGGGGGAACAACAACGCTGCTGGAGCGCTTCAAGATGGCCTGCACCATATACGGCAGCAAGGAACGCAGATCTGCTTGGACAAGTGCAGTGGAGAGGGCTTCGGTTCTCGGAGGGAAGGCGATGCCGTTCGGGGGCACAGGGACCGTGACGCTGTCCACGGGGAAATTAGACAGAAGTTGCCTGGGCCGTTTCAACCATGCAGCGGGCTGATGAGATGTGTAGGCTCAGAAGCGACGGTGGTATCTAGCTCGTTACTTTAGCAGGTAGACGTTGCTCATACAATCCTCAAATACAAACTGAAACTGTCAGACAGACTGCATGATGAGCCCTTGGCAGCGGCTTCATCTCCATCGCGCATGCTTCACCTGACGGCAGGCCTCCCGATTATGGCATTTTTAGATAGTAGTGCAACAAGCACTATGATAAATAATGCAGGGACTGTTTTATCTAAGAACAATACATAATTGCTACGTCTCAATATCACCGAATCAATAATGCATTCAATAATTTCTACGCAAATAGTAACTAAACCCTCCCTATTTACATGTTTATATTATGTAAAAATGCTAATATGAAGTATTGATTGAATATAATGGTTTCAAGTCGAGTTCGGGATCGACTGAACCTGTGATCATACTGAAAAGACGAATATATGAGTATATTGATTTTATGTTGCTTGTATTGCTACATCAATAAAGCGCTATTACGAGTCATACACCGAAATAATTGCAGTTCACGTCAGTACCGTTGAAATAAATAATTCCATGAGAAAAATGTCAATTAATTTTTCTACTAATTGATTTTTCGGGAGGCCTGCCTGACGGCTGCCGGTATCTCCAATGAACTTTCGTGCCATCAAAAACATGAACTGAGGACCGAACCAGAAACGCCCTTTGGAACTTTCTTCCAGGTTCGAAGTTCCAAGGCTAAGCTGAAGAGGGCCATTGGGTATAATTATTCTGCTGCCAAGCGCAGCGAAGGCAGCCCCGAAAACCTCATCGTGCTTTGCGGCCCCCAATAGAACCCGCCCTACCCTACATACGGTGAGTAGTGCAGCAAGTCCGCAGGCGAGCGGAACAGGGGCCAGTACATGTAGAATTAAAGCCCAAGCTTACCACCGCGAAACGGCGGTGCAGCACTCAATACAAATCCTGACTGAGATCAGAAACTATCAACCCATCATGGTGACTTCCTGTGATCATTTCCAAACGGAGGAAGTACCGGTACTGTATTTGTTTCAGGTTACCAATACTCAGTACAATACAAAGCTGCACTAATTGTAGTAGAAAGGTAAGCACTTTACCAGTTATTGCACCTTGCTTAACTGCATTTTAGTATTGCTCTAAGTCGTATTTTGCCATCAAAGCAAGTTCCAGAGGGATCTGCAATTATCATTTGTCGGGTCGAGAGGTGTCTTCTCCCCTATACTACAATGGATTTTGCTCAGCCGACGGTGACTGCTTGGGCATATATGTGATGTGCATCCTGAATCATACCACGCAGTGATGACTCCGAGACATTTGCCTTGCAGCAGATGTTTCGGCTTTCAGTCGCTTTCAGCCATTGCTGTGTCAAACACGTTGGCGATTACTCTGAAAGCGCATCTTCAAATCTACTCGCGGATTGATTATGCCAAAAACTCGGCTTGTTGGCTTTCACTTTGATTAAACATCGGCCATTCCTCGATTCGACATCAAGTGCACACTTCAACGGCAGCAAACACCGAGGCTTCCGATCACGAAGCAATCGGGTCGAGTCTGTGCCAATGACTCTCCAGGAGAAGCTTATGAAGAGCTCGAATGAGAACCTGGCCCAGCGACGCACGTCCTGGACGTTCATGCGGGCGCTGCTGTGGAAGAACTGGCTTATTAAGACCCGCCAACTTGTCGCGACTGCGTGCGAGATCCTCGTGCCAGCCTTCTTCATCCTCGTCCTTGGGTTGCTGAAGCAACTAACAACGACTGTCGACGTTCCTGCAGGCTGGAGTGATGACGCCGACAACACTGCGGGCACCAGCTACAACCTGTTCCAGCCCACGGGTCAAACCATCGAGTGGGTCGACGCCGATCTGCCCAAGTTCGCGCTGCACGAGTCCACCATGACCGGCCTGATGCTCAAGCTCGGGCGTCAGTCCGTTGACGACGGCCTGCGCCTGGAAGAGCTCACAGCGTCCGACTTGGCTGCGTGCAGGACGGGGGTGTTGGCCGAGGGACTGGTCGACACGAACTCGTCGCCCTACAGCGTCCCGACGGAGTGCGCCGGCAAGGTCGTGCCCTACAAGGTCGGCATCGCCCCCGACAACGCCTTCACTCGCAACTACTTCGCCGAGGCGATGGACTTGTGGTACCCGCGTGTCGATCTCCTGAACTCGACGAGCCAGTCTCTTACGGTTCCGTCATTCAAGGAAAGCATCCACTTCTTCGACTCGAACGACGCGCTGACGGAGTACGTCAAGAGCGACAACTACGGCGACAACCTCGAGAACCCCAAGATCTTCGCCGCAATTGTGTTCGATTCAGCTCCGTCGGGCGACGACATCGGAACGTTTGCGTCCATCGAGTATTCTTTGCGTCTGAACTCGACCCAGGGGGATGACATCGATTCTGTGGGTCGCGTACCAACCACAGACAGTTCTCTATCCGACGTGGAATCATTCCAGAAGGACATCGAAACAGACTACTACTCGGTGTACACTGTGACGGGGTTCATGACGTTGCAGACCCTTGTCACCCGCTTTGTGACCTGCATGCCCGAGTGGAACTCGGCCAACCAGTCCACTACAGGCATTTGCCAGCGTCCTCAGACTACCGCCTTAGCCTCGTCCGAGCTCGACAACACGCTCCTTGACGTTTTGAGCGAAGATGCCTTGATTCAGGAAGCTCTCAGTGCTTTCGACCTGTCTGGTAATACGACATTGTCCGGTATTCTGGCCGAGCTGTCGAACAACACCAAGGAAGTTTTGCTGACGCCTCTGCGCCAAGCCCCACAGTCTGTACTGGGCGCTACCGTTGCGCCATTCCCCGCCGACGACTACACCAGCTCGCCCTTCTACGATAGTGTATCAAGCGTATTCGCCATCGTCTTCATCTTGGCATATCTATTCACGATCTCGCGCATCCTCGTGGTGCTCATCCAAGAGAAAGAACTGCGTCTGCGGGAATTCATGAAGATCCTTGGCGTGACCGAGAAGACTATTTTCTTGACGTGGTACATCACGTACGCGGCTATCCTCTTTGTCGGCGCGGTCGTCCAGGCGCTTGCTGGTCTGGCTGGACTCTTCCCGAACAGCTCGCTGATCGTCACCTTCCTGTTCTTCTTCCTGTTTGGACTGAGCGTCTTGGCGCTGGCGTTCCTCATCAGCACACTATTCAGCAAGGCTCGTGTGGGCGCGTTCGTGGGCATGGTGGCTTTCTTTGCTATGTACGTCATCTCACAAGGATATTCCGACGGCACGGCTGAGAGTTCAAAGCGCATAGGCTCGGTGTTTTCCCCAGTGGCGCTGTCACTTGGCGTCAATGTACTGGCGAACGCTGAGAAGACCGGGGAAGGCGTGCAGCTCTCGACGATGGACACGCTCAGCGATAACTACCGCCTGAGCACAGCAATCCTGATGTTTGCCTTCGATACGGTGCTCTACACTGTGCTTGGTCTGTACTTCTCGAAGGTGATGCCCAAGGAGTACGGCACGTCCCTCAAATGGTACTTCCCGGTGTCACCTTCGTACTGGCGGAGCCGCAAGCAGCGCCAAGTGACGATCGATGAACCGGCCGACACCCTGACGGATAACCTCCTGTTGGATTTGGATCCAAATTTCGAACCTGTGAGCTCAGACCTCCGTGATCAAAAGCATCGCGGCGAGGCGCTCACTGTGCAGCGACTTCGCAAGGTGTTCCAGGTCCCTGGAGGCGAGAAGGTGGCGGTCAAGGGACTCGATGTCACCATGTACAAGGACCAGATCACCTGTTTGCTGGGTCACAACGGTGCCGGCAAGACCACGCTGATCTCCATGCTCACTGGTATGACTGCCCCCTCCAGCGGAAACGCTACCTACCGCGGCATGTCGATCAACGAAGACATGGACGAGATGCGCCAGTCGCTCGGCATTTGCTTCCAGCACGACGTCTTGTTCCCTGAGCTGTCGGTCCAGGAGCACCTGCAGTTCTTCGGACAGATCAAGGGCTACGCGGACGAAGAGCTGCAGGCTGTGGTCGACCGTCAGATCCGCGAGGTCGGCTTGACGGAGAAGCGCAACTCGAAACCCAACGACCTGTCTGGCGGTATGAAGCGCAAGCTGTCGGTGGCTGTGTCGCTGCTCGGTGACAGCTCGCTGGTGTTCCTGGACGAGCCCACGTCTGGCATGGACCCGTACAGCCGTCGCAGCACGTGGGAGATTCTGCTGAACAACCGCAACGACCGCGTGATGGTGTTGACGACGCACTTCATGGACGAAGCTGACATCCTGGGCGACCGCATCGCCATCATGGCGGAAGGCGAGATACGCTGCTGTGGCTCGTCGCTCTTCCTGAAGAACCGCTTCGGTGCGGGCTACAACTTGACCCTCGTGAAGGACGACGCCATGTGTGACGATGATGCCGTGGCTGCTTTTGTGAATTCGTATGTCCCCTCTGCGCAGCTTCTGAGCAACGTCGGCAGCGAGATCGCGTTCCAGCTCCCGCTTCAGAGCTCCTCGAGCTTTGCCGCCATGTTTGCCGAGATGGACCGTCAGTTGCAGTTGCTGGGTCTCCTGTCTTATGGCGTGTCCGTGACTACGTTGGAGGAGGTGTTCATCAAGGTGGCGGAGCTGGCCGACGAGAACAACCAGCACACTCTGGGCAACAATGCGCGACGGGATGCATCGGACTCGGGAGAATATTATCAACCATGCGACGAGATCATCACAACGGAGTCGATGTTCCAGAGGCACCTGCGTGCTCTTGTCCTGAAGCGCTTCCGCTATGCCAAGCGTGACAAGAAGGCCATCATCTATGTCGCTGCATTGCCCGTTTTACTCATTGCTGCTGGATTGGGGATCCTCAAGGGAAGTTTGGAGATCAGTGATGACCCTCTCAAGGCTCTGATAACGGACGCATTCTCCGGAAGCGCGACGCCGACGCCCTACTTCTGCCAGGCCGGAGGTGGCGCCGGAGAATGGTGTAGCGAGGTGATGGCGTCTTCTTATTACTCCGGGGCTAGCGCGCAGTCACTGTCGATTTCGGAACCGGCATTTGACTCGGATTCCCCCACAGTATTCGGCGTCACTTACACGGATCCAACCATCAATGCGAGCGGCGCGACCGGGTACAGCGTTGCATTGGGGCAGCAGGTCTACGAGCGTGGATATGGCAAGGGCGCTGATCTCGTGGAGGGCCAGTATGGAGCTTACTTGGTGTACGGCGACAGCACGCAGAACTTGTTTGGTTACAACGTGTTCACGAACACGACGGCTTCGCACTCATCGGCGATTTTCAAGGCGTTAATGGACCAGGCTGTGTATCGCTTCTTCGCGGCAAACAGCTCGAGCGAAACAGGAACCTCGACCGTGGACCTGAAGGTGAACAACTACCCGTTACCGTACACAGCCGCAGCAAAAGCCGTCTTCAGTTCTTCCACATCATTTGTTGCCGCGCTCTTCATCTGCATCGCATTCACGTTCCTGCCGGCGTCGATTGTTGTGTTCCTGGTGAAGGAGAAACAGGCGGAGCACAACTCGAAGCATCAGCAGCTCGTCTCTGGAGTATCGTTGCCTGCATTCTGGATGTCCAACTACATCTGGGACTTCGTGATGTACATTTTCCCGTGTGCTTGCGCGCTGATCTTGATCAACGTGTTCGAGATCTCGTCGCTCACGGGCCAAGACTGCGACAGCTGCACGTCTGAAACGTTCCCGTCGGTCATTTTGCTGTTCGTCCTCTTTGGATTTGCGATCTGCCCGTTCACGTACTGCCTGTCGTTCCTGTTCAAGGAGCACGCGTCCGCGCAGACGTACACGATCGTGCTCAACTTCATGATCGGCGTGGTGTTGATGATTGTATCCTTTATTCTGGACACGATTGACTCGACTTCAGACGTCAACTCGGTCTTGAAATTCATTTGGCGCTTCTCTCCGCTGTTCGACCTTGGAAATGGACTCCTCAGCATGGTCACGAATAACATCGACACCATCCAGTACAGCGAAGGCAAGACAAGTCCGTTCAGCGGAGATGTCATCGGATACGAACTGCTCTACCTCGCGCTTATTGCCGTCTTGTACATGAGCCTGGCAGTGTATCTTGACTACTCCAAGACATTTGCGAGGGCGCAAGAGGGTGAGAGTGAAAACCAAATTGTTAACGAAGAGATGGAGGTAGACGAGGATGTCGAGAAGGAAGCACAACGAGTTGCCAATGGTGAAGCCGACGGAGACGCGGTGAAGCTCATGGGACTCCGCAAGGTCTACCCTGGCGGCAAGGTGGCTGTGCGCAACCTCTCCTTTGGCTTGAAGCGTGGTGAGTGCTTCGGCTTCCTCGGTATCAACGGAGCCGGCAAAACCACGACGATGAAGATGCTCACGGGTGACGTCCAGCCGACACATGGCACAGCCACGCTCAACGGCTTCGACATCCTCTCGCAGCAGATTGAAGTGCGTCGCCAGATCGGATACTGCCCCCAGTTCGACGCCTTGTTCGACTTGCTCAGCGTCCGCGAGCACCTGGAGCTCTTCGGTGCGATCAAGGGCATTCCACGAGACTCACTGGAGCGCGTCGTGATGGAGAAGATCCAGCAGCTCAACCTCGGTGACTTCGAGCACAAGCTCGCTGGCAGTCTCAGTGGCGGCAACAAGCGCAAGCTGTCCGTGGCCATCGCCATGATCGGCAACCCGGCCATCATCTTTCTGGACGAGCCTTCCACCGGCATGGACCCGGTTAGTCGACGATTTATGTGGGACGTCATCGCGGATATTTCGACTCGCGGCAAGGAGTCGACGATCGTGCTCACCACTCACAGCATGGAGGAGTGCGAGGCGCTGTGCTCTCGCGTCGGTATCATGGTCGGTGGTCGGCTCCGCTGCTTGGGCAGTGTGCAGCACCTCAAGTCTCGGTTCGGCGATGGCCTCGTGTTCGACGTGAAGCTCGACATGCCGACGGCGGACGAGTTGGAGTATCTGGTCCAGCGCATCTTCGGCACCGACAGCGAATTTGTCACTCCCATGGAACTGGAAGACAAGTGCCGCGCGTTCGGTAACGCCCAGTTCGCCGAGCGAGTCGATGCTTCTCACCCGACTGGCTACAGTCTGGCCGCCGCCATGGAGCGCGACGGGTTCGTCCGCGCCGAGGCCTTCTGCTCTTGGTGCGTCGAGGAAACGCGCTTCGACGAGCTGAACGACTACCTTGTACGGGCCTTCGGATCGGGACAAGTGCAGGTGATGGAGCGCCAGAACGACTTCGCGCGCTTCAAGGTGCGCAGCCACAACAACGAGGTAAAGCTGTCCAAGATGTTCGCGCTCGTCGAAGATGTCAAGACCAAGATGCACATCCGCGAGTACAGCGTCTCGCAGACGACACTGGAGCAGATCTTCAACTCGTTCGCGAGCCAGCAGGAGGAGGAGCAGGGCGTCGCTCGCGGTGTTTTCCAGGGCCAATGAGTGGCTCATCTCGTGTGCCCACAGTACATACACAACTGATAACTTTGAATAAAAAGTCATTTGGATCTTGATACGCCTCCCGCTTGGCTTTTAATGTGGTGCTTTTGTTTGCGTTCGCTGGCACTAGAAACACCACCATTCGAGAGAAGATAAACAAGTCAGATACACATTCACGGGTAGCTTTGTCCATGAACATATCCGAATTGTGTTGGGCTCACTGACTTACAAATGGCTTTGATGCACTGTGTACCTTCGAAATACTCGAAACCGTAAAACACTTCAACGCATGATACACATTTCACTCGATCCACGCCCCATTGTCCAGTCGGATTATCACTGTAGTTCAAGCAGCCTGGCATTGAGGATATCCCAGTTAAAGCGCCTGCTGCTTGGTACGTCGCGGAGCGGCTTTAGCGTGATGCTCGGACTCATGACAACCACGTGGATTGAAAACACGTCAGCAAAAAGGCCCTCAATTTGTGCCATCGACAATACCTCTCTTGAAAAAATCGCGTCCATGCTGGAGTGTCGCTCCGCCACCATCAATGTCTTGGCAATAGGCAGGGCCTCCGAATATGGCATTTTTATTTAGTAGGTTGGGCGTTGCTGAATAAATTATCCCCTGACGCTCCTACCAATACAATAGTACATTATGGCATTGCCCCCAACGTACCACAATAAATAATGCCATTATGAAAAGCATGAAGTCTATTAACAAGACACCAGTTAGCTTATCATCTAGCTCAAATTGTCCACAGTCGTTGCATCCCAGTACGACCGATTCTGGCGGAGAAACAAAATCGTCTCAAGCGTGCGTGGCAGCAGGCCGTCTCGTTGATGACCAAACGTTACCCGAGCAATGCTGAAGAAGCGTTCCACCACGTTCGACGTGGGTGGGATGCTCTTCAGCTGCTCATACTTGACACGGTCCTGTGCAAGCCGCCGGGGCTTCCGAAGACGCTCCACGAACGACGCGGCTGGATCCTCCTCCTCTTCACTCGCGGCCGCGTCGTCCGGTCTGGCAGCTTCGAAGGGCTACAAAGCGGCCTTTTCAGCACGCGTCAGCCGCTGCGCCGTCCCGCGGAGAACGCGTACACACCCAGCCTCAAAATCTGGGTTGTGCACAATGTTGGCCCGAGGCCCTGCAAAATAAAAACCATTATACAATTGTTAGTGAAAATATTAAACACAAATTCAACAGTTATAAACTTACCAATGTAGCGCCCATATTGTTGCTTGACAGCGATCAGCTCGTCGAACCACTCGCGAACGTCCAGCAGGTCGACGTCGTGGCCTTGAAGGGCCTTCGAGACCGACTCGATGTCGCACAGCTCCTCGTACAATGCCCGCAGTCGCTTGTTCATCGCCGGCGGCGGCAGCAGGTCCATGAGGTCGTCGTCTTCGGCGTCAAGCAACTCGAGGAGCTGGAGGTAGCGCCGTACCATCTCGAACGTAGAGCTCCAGCGCGTGTCCTGGCGAATGACAGGCCGAAGTGGCGTTTTCAACCAATTTTGTAAAAAAAATTACAAAATTACACAAATTGTGTTAGAGACATATTGACACACCACACATACACATTGGCGCTTACCGTAGTTTGGCAGATTGGGTGAGAGTACGCAATTTTATCATGAGCGTCTGCACAGCAGCTAGGTCTTCCTCATGCGACGCCATGCCCGCCTGAACAGCAAGGTTCAGGCGGTGGCTTGCGCAACCAACAAGCGGCACACTCATAAGAGTTGCCAGCCGCCGGTTTACGGCGCAGTTGTCAGCTACGAGGAAGCGACACTGCGCCAGCTGTACGCCGTAATCGCGCGGCAGCATGGTTAGAAACTCGAGATGGCCCTGCGCGGAGAGATCGTCGTCCAGCGCGTCCAGCAGCGGGGCCATGCTGAGTAGCGTTGTCTTGGGACAGCCGTTCACCTCATAGCACGCGAACACGGCGATGTAGTGCTCAGATGCGTGTGTCCAGCCGTCGAGCATGATGCCGAAGCGTGCTGGGAGCTCCGACGCAATCGAACGCTCGACGGCGACGACGACCCCGTCCATGCCAGCCCGCAGCGTTTCCTCCGAGATGGGGTCCAGGCTGGAGTAGCCGAATAACATCCATAAAGTAAAGTTGTTAGTTTCCGTAGTAATGTAAACACAATGACCTTATGCATACACGTACCGCCGAGCTTCTCGGCTCTCACAAAAAGAGAGTGGCAGGTTGCACATGACAATCCAAACCATCCAGCCGTGGAGGTTGAGCGCCGAGTGGCGGACGAAGTTCACGAGGGAGCCTGTCTCCGCCGTCGTAGCGTCGAGCATGACGGTCTCGTAGTCAGGGTGCTCCCGCCTGATATGTTGCATCAGGTTGGAGTACCCGTTCCTATGGGTTTGCTTCCGAACCGTGCCGCAACGGCAACGGAAATACTCGAGAATCACCTCGTCGTTCTCGTCGCGACACGGGCGGAAGTAAAACCCCGAGACTTGGGAGTTCGTGTAGGTAGGGCGAGGGGGGCGGATAGCGCGAACCATGCTGGATGAGGTCTTGGAGGCTTGAGATGTGAAAATTGAAAAGTGAGCGCTGCCAAATGAGCTGCAACTAGCAACGCAGACAACCAGTGATTCCAGTTCTTCTGAACGACTGGAAGCGAGAAGATGGCTGGTAAAACGCTAACATTATTATATAAAGGTAACTGTCATAAATTATGTAATATCACAAAGCACATCAATAAATTATCACGGTAGATGGCTGAACCCGCCGAAATGCGTAATTTATTGTTATTTTCTGAAATAATGTTATTGACAATGCTATTTTCGGAGGCCCTGGCAATAGGCGATGAAAACGTCAACCATACTCCGTTTTCATGTGCAAGATACAGCCGAATTTTCCCAGCATCTACACCAGCGAACTCTTCAGCCGCCTCCTCCTTGATTGCTTTCTTCAGATCGTTGATGTGCATGATCGCGTCTAGATTGATGCCAAAAGGACGACACCCGGGGATACTGCAGCGTAACATTGGTTTCACCACGATTACGTGGATTGAGTTTGCAAGCGGCTGCGGTGTACCTTGGAGTACATCCTTTACTTGCCTGTTCGACGTTATTGGCCTCACCAGTAAATCACGCACGCTGGAGCAATCCCCACGCTCGATACGGTCAATATCCTCCGAGTTCCTGGAAAGCCACTCCTTTTCCCTCTTTGCGAGATATAGCAAGATTGAGGTGGAAGGCGCGTCGTCAACAAAATACTCAGGCCTCTCCTCTCGAACCACTTGCTTCAGCTCGTCGATTGTAGTGGGCCTACCTTGGCTCACTACTACGGCTTACACGTATGCGCACGTGTATGAGGAAGCGTAGGTTTCTTTTAGTTGAGTTATGTATACTCGAGATCCACGAGTATACTTTAATCGAGATAAAGACTCCAAGTAGCGGATTTTGGTAAAAGATGAGAACTGCTATTTTTGTTTTATGTTTCTGACTTCCTCTAAATGTAATATTCTAAGATAGGAATCTGCCAACGGCTGGTTGGCAGAATTCCAAAGCTATGCATGTCGCTCATTGGCTAAAAGATGCTGCTCTCAGCCAATAGGAATCCTACGTATCTATGGATTGTGGTGGTCGTAAATGTATGTAGCCTAGGCCTTTCAACGTTTGCTGTTATCTGGACAACGAAAAAGTAAACGGTATCCGTTTTTTATGTTAGATAACGAGCGATAACGAACAGCTCAGATGATTGGATCAAAATCAAAATCTACTGGTCCCTGTCCTCTATTGGTCCATTTTCACACCAACAGCAAGTCTAGTGAGGCGAGAAGCTTGGAAGCTGCTGCTGCGGGCGGGATGAAGATGCTAATATGGTACGTAGTATTCTCGTGCGACTACACGCTAGACGTCTAATCAACCGTCTACACTGCGTTACGAGTGCCGTAGACCACGTGTCATTTTATTCCCCCGCTGAAGGGCCCAGCTGCGGGCATCGTCGCTAGCGGTGAGCATCGCTGGACTGATGGATTCGTCCCGAGTGCGTGACTGTGCACGACGGCATGTTCTATTCGTCGTGGTAAATCTATCGGTAGTCTAAGAAGCAGCGGAGGATGAACTACGTTGTGCGCGGGCTCCACGCGGTGTGCTCAGTAGGGCATGTTGCAAGGACGATATAGACTGTTGCGATGACTGACAAGGTGCTTTGAATTCTGCTTACGTAGGGCGACGCGCCTGAGAGAGTTCAGTGAAGCGAAGAAGCCGTAGCTGCCAGGTACACCGATGCTGCTGTATGCGTCGGTGGCTGCTTACCAAGGTGACCATGTTCAAGAAGGACATCAACGACAAATCCAGCGTAGTGCGCATCGTACTCCGGACATTTCGCAGTATGACCGCGCTTGCTGGATAAAGCAAGATTTAACCGGGTAAGGAATTTAGCTGTTGAAGGTGCAACCATCATACAATAAACGGGATCACTATATATTTTATGTTGACAGTTTAACTCACGTGCTACGGGCTTACTTACGTATTTAATCCTTATCACTGCCGCCACTCTCATCACTCGGTAAATTATCATCGTCTTCCGCGTAGTTTTCTCCGACAAACATGATGTCACGTATGATTTCAGGATCCAGAGAGCAACGTTTTGACGTAACCACATTTCCGCTTTGGGAAAATGCTCGTTCAGACGGCACTGAAGTTGCGATGCACCCAAGCCACTTCCGCGCTAAAGCTGCTATGATAGGGTACTTTCCTCGGCGCTCCTTGGTCCACCACTTCAATGGATTCACCGTAGCAGCAGTTCCTTGTGCATCACTCAAGTACAGCGTGATCTCAGACTCACATTTATCTTTCAGGCTCTCACTGCGCGATTTCCAACACCGCCACTGGAAACATCCGTCAACCAGGCTATATGCTCCTTTCTGGCGCTTGACTGTGGGTCCGATGCGCAAGAACGGCGACCGAGAGCACTGCCATCATCATTGTCGGCACTGATCTCTTTGGCCATCGCTATTGCCGCCGACTTCAGACGCGTTTTGTCGATGGCCGCTTCCTGCTGCGATAGGTGCATGAGCTCAGCACATCTGGGGTCTAGAACCGAGATCCATAGTAACTCTTCAGGAAGCTTACTTGTGAATCTATCCGTGAAGAGTTGAATGAACGTTTTCCTCACGGAGTCCATAAGCAACTTGACTCGGCCCGCGAAGTCTTCTTTGCCAACAGAGCGAATGGTCGCATCGAACATTTCGGTATTCTTGAGCTTCCTCTCGATTTGACGAAGTACCGGAACTGCGATAGCGAGTGTAGGGTACTTTTGGCCGCCTAGCCCATCGGTGGCCTCTGCAAACGGCTGAAGCAAAACAATCAAACATCGTATCACCAGCCAATGCTCAGCGGTTGGCTGCTCAGCGGTAGAGTCCGAAAACTCGCCTGTTGTGGCAACATGCTCGAAAAAACCATCCAATGTACCACGGATCTCAATCATTCGCAGCAACATCGCGTAAGTACTGTTCCAACGGGTCGCACAGTCGGTCTGGGGGAGAAGCTCCTTGGTTTGAAGCTTTCTCAAGCAATCCATGGCCTTAGTCGAGTGGCTAAAAAATGTAGCCAGTTTGCGAAATTTATCAACTACAGCGCGCAGCTTGTCCAGATCAGTACGCGAAATTGTCGTTGAGGCCTCGCACGATTTTTCAACGAACTCCTCGACTGCCTCACACGCTTCTTCATCAAGTGCAGCTTCAAAATCATTGTTCGTTGTTGCTGCCGCCATTAGCACGGTAGAAGATTTCTTCGATTTTTTCTTGACAATCCCAGCACCCACGATGAGATGCAGCGTATGGGCGAGACACGACATCGAATCGAGGCCCAGTAACTCACACGCTTTCCGTCCATTCGAAGCTCCATCGCGAAGAAACTTGACGCAGAATTCTTTGCGTAGACCCCAGTCAGTCAAACACTCCTGCAACGCATCAGCAATTTTGTAAGCGTCGTGCTTTCCGGGAAGCGGTTTTATCTCGAGGATCCAGCAATGCATCTTGAAATTCTCGTCCAAATAATGCAGCGTGAAACTTAGGAAGCCGCGTTTACTCCGAGCCGTCCATAGTTTCAATTTGTAAAAAAAATTTTTAATGTATGTCCGTTGAAGCTGAATAATACACACAGTCAACACCAACTTTCTCTTTGAGCACATCACGCAACTCGGCGGCCACAATCTCCACTCCTTCTCGCCCTTTCCAAAACTTGACAGTTTTCACATATCCTTGAATCGAGTTGAGCATCCTTGAGTACTTTCGAAAGTACTTATCGTTGACGATAGTAAAAGGTCGACCTGACTTCGCGATCCAAATCGAAGCCAACTTATCGCATCGATCCTGCTCTTCCGGAGTGGCCGGTTCTTGGAATGCCGAGCGCGTTGGCATCGTTCCAAAGTCCTGATGAACTAGCGTCTGCGTTTGGTCCCGTTTTTGGGCTTCGATGTCTTCAACCGCTTGCTTGAGATCTTTGGGATGCACCTTGGCCATGTGCTTCGAGACGCAAGTGGTGCAGGATTTCTCAAACTTGATTTCCTTGTTGCACCTGGTGCAATACGCACAGCGAGCGTGTTCGGACCGGAGATGTTGCTTGTTCATTCCCCGAAATTCATCTTTGCAAACGAGCTGGATAAACTGCCAATTCTGGGGTTTGCGCTTTTTGTACATTTCAAAAAGTACAGGTGCTGAGGTTAGTGGAAGTACCGAGCTAGCGTTCGGAACAACGGACCCAGTTTCAACCCCAGATGGAGCAGTCCTGCGATCGAGCTGCGCGTCATCTCGCTGCTGCTGCTGCTGCTTCTTCTTTCGAGACGTCCGCTTGCCTTTCTCATTGTTTGACCTCTGGTGTGTCTTCGATGGAGTGCTCGTTTGCTGCTCGCCTACGGGAGACGTCATGCCATTGCATTCGCGGTGGCCCCAGTGTGGCGATAGCCCGCGACGACAACTGTTGGTTTGAGTGGCTCGTTTCCGCTGAGCACTTTCACGAGTTGCAGATCGATCGCCAGATGTAGCCCCGCCATGCTCTCTATCCATGCTAGCAGCAAGTCGCTTGCGTGAAGCACTTCTCGTAACCAGTGACTCGCAACTTGATGGAGGTCCACCGGTCGGCGTAGTCCGCCGAAAACGGGTGCCGGGTGACTTTGCAGGTGTAGCATACCCGTGAGGGGGCGATGCCGCCTCCGCAAGCAAGGCTTTGTCGTCGAACACAAGCCGAGCGCGAAGGGGTGGACTCGATGCATAAACTGCCGCCGGTTGGTTCGTGTTATACTCAGCGCGTGGCATCAAGTATGCTTGGTAGGACTCTTTCTTGCTCTTGAGAAAGCTTGGCGGGGCTGAACCGAGCGCTCGGCGCTCATCGCGAGGTCGAAGACTCTGGCCATGTACGGGTGGAGCGTCGTGAGCTAGATCCGGCGGCGGCCTTGGCGCAGGAGGTGCGATTGGAGGGGAGCTCATGGCAATCGCCGATGTGAGTATCGCGAAGTGTGGAGCGGATGACTGAATACTCTGACCATGGACGGATGGAGCGCCGTGAGCTGGATCCGGCGGCCACCTCTCCACAGGAGGGGAGCACATGGCAATCGCCGACGTGAGTATCGCTAAGTGTGTTGCAGGCAGCCACTGGCGGCCCAACGCATCCTGAGCCGCACACGGAAGGGTCGCCAATAACGGTATCTTTACGTGAAGATCTTAACGACTACGGTAAAATTTTAACGTTATATTTCGTTAACTTGCGTAACGTTGAAAGCTCTAATGTAGCCATTGGTGCACCTTACACCAAGGTCGAGGAAGTGTTCAAACCTCTAACAGACAGCGCATCTGTTAGAGTAACAAGTGACTGTAGCCACTTGTGCGTGTAACCCCGTTACATCGATAGTCGCCATCAAATATGTGTCGATTTCAAATGAACGAGTGCCAGGAGCAATGCAACGAACCCTCCCATCTTTAAGCTTCGGTTGAGTCTCCAGCAGCGCGGGTTCTCGATAAGCGACAGTTGAGTGAGTGCGCGCCTTCTCCACGTCGAGCACAGAGCACTTCGTGGCAAGACCATCCACGACCGCCTACTCTCCTACCGCGGCAGCTTGCATCAACGCCTCCGTGACAGCTTCGGAGCTGCACTCCTGGTACTCTACGTCGACCATGCTCGCGGCGGTGACAAACGGCCGCGCTAAACTACGCGACGCGAAAGAGTTGGCTATCGCACTGATGGCGTCGGGCAATGCGGAATGACAGACGAAATCCTTGCAAACAGAAATCAGGTCATTGTATCTAGGTTCTGATTGGAGGTCAGGTTGAAGTAAACAACCAATCAGATGGGTTTTCATCTCGGCTTCCTCCTGCATCATAACAACACGCAAAGCCCATCAAGCAGTAGTGTTGGGGGCAAACCGTGGAGATTGATATTGGCCTTAGCAATGAGGAGACCGCCGATGCACGCCATGGGTGTGTGCCCCTCAGTACTATCGGCGGGTCCTCGGCCCGTATCGTCTTCAGGTTGATGTCCCCGCCATTCGCATCGCTAGGTCCGCTGACGTTTGTCGATTGTAGCGTGTGTACCGCTGGAACGCATCCGAGCGCCACCGCCCGTGCAGCATGACCAGTGTGCTGTCGACGCCCGCCGACAGTAGCGCCGTCGCACCACCGCATCGCAGCGAGTGGCACGAAATTCTTGTCGGGTCTGTCCCCGTAGCCGCTGAAGCCCGCCGTAGCACCTTGGCCAACGTATCGGCCGAAAGCATTTCGACGCGCGACACACGGCAGAGCGGGCTGTGGTCGGTCGCCCCGATCGATGCAGCGTGGTGCCTGAGCACCAACGCCGCGCGAACAGGGCATAACGTGTCGTGACCGGAGCGCCCTAGCCGCCTTGTCGTACCGCTGCCCGTCTGATCGTTCTTGCTTCCTCGAAAGTGGTGGACGTCAACTTCCACCGTTGCTGCGAGGTCATGGCTGCTGGTTTCGCGCCCTCTCACGTCGCGAATCTTGACGTCTCCCACTAGCAGAGTGTAGTTTCGCCTTGTTCCTTTGACAGCCAGATACTCAGTGCTCCTTCGTAGAAAGAAGAAGCCCAACAACGCAGCCCCACCAATGACGCGGTGGAGGGCGTTGCTGGGGTCGAGGCGGTCCTTTATCTATTGGAGCATTGCGAGGGTGACCGGGGCGCGCGAGGCGGGGGGGGGCGGAGACGCGCTGCATGCCGGCCAGCACGAGGCCGTGGCTGGGAGTAAGCTGGGGGTCACAGTCGGCGTAGAGGCGATGATACCAGCGGACGTGGCTGAGCTTGGACCGAACGGAGGCGGCCGAGACCCTACCGCTGGGCAAGCGTCCGAGCCAGCAATAAACGGTGAAGAGAGCCAGCCGTATGGAATGGGTGTGCAGTTGCGTTGCTGGCAACCAAACCGAGACACCGAGCTGGGAGCAGAAATTGCACCACTGCCCCCACGTGATCCGGTATTGTCGCCGGGAGGACTCGGCGAGGGACCGCTGCTGTAAGGCGACCAGGTGCTTGAGTAGATCTTGCAGATGTGCTGCGGAATTGCTACCTGCGACCACGACGTGGTTAGATCTTGCCATTGCTGCAGACTAGCGCCCGCGCCTCCCACGCGCGCGACCCCAAGTCAGCCATAGTGTTAACCGCGCCCGGTAGATGCGCCGCTGACACCCGTAGTTTCCAACGCGCTTCGACTGCGCCCAGCACGCGGTTTAATTCTTGCGACTGTTGGTCTCGGCTTTGCAAAGCGTTGCACCACGAGACGGCCGATGTGTTGTCAATCCAGAAGCGAATGTGCGTCAGCGTGTGCGGCTCCGATGCAACCCAAGCGTCTCCCCAGCACAGAACCGCGAGGACCGCAGAAAGCTGCTCCCTGACGTTGCTAGAGAACTCGTTCCTCGCGATCATGTTTCGCTCCGTCTCGTCAAAGTGAACGCGTAGGTACGCTTTTGCGGCCGGGTGGAGGGCACAGAGGCCAGCGTCACTGGCATCCATGTAGATGTGGACGTCAGGATCAGGAAGCGCTGCGAAGTATCGGAGCGGGATGCCTTGCAAATGGCCATGGACGAGAATGTGCTCAAACCATAGCACGTCAAGTTTGGCTCCAGGTGATAGTGGCACGCGCCCCCAGCGTGGAGTGCGGCGATAAAGAGCTGCAAGGCGCTGGAAGAATGGCCGTGCCGACCGAATGCACGAACAGACGTGACGGAGCGAGCCCAGCACCCGGCTTAGGCTCGATCGTGACACCACTTGCGCCTTGAGAAGCTCACGGATCCGAAGCAGGGCCTTGGCGATCTTGTCGGACGGCATGGACACCGTTCGAGCGGACGTATCCCAGTCGAGTCCCAGGGCCCTCGCGGTAGTAGACCATGGGGTAAACTTCTTCTCGTTGATTGAACGCGGCCCCAGAACCGCCAGCATGGCCAGCCGTAGCGCAACTTCGCACAGCTCGAGACGATCGTGGCGTGCTTCCTCCACAAGCACGTGATCGTCGACCCAGGTGTAGCAGTAGAACCGCTCCGAATCGCGGTTTTCCCGCACCAGGCGCCGCACCAAAAAGGTGACTGCACCGCCAAAGACGTTGTAGTGGGCAGGAGACCCTGTCCACCCGAACGGCAATGCCAGATCGACAACAACTGCGTTCTGGCGCGGGAGCAGCCCCGCAAAATTGGCGCATACCCCGACGTGGCCAAAGAGGTTCCGGAAAGCCGACTTCACGTCGCCACGCATGATTTTAACGATTGCTCGGGGGCTTCGCATCTTGATCGACTCGATGCGGCGTGCAATCGCGCCCACAGGTTCGAAGGAAAGCGACGGTAGGTCGGCTGGGTCCGAGGCGTCGTTCACCGATGCTCCACGGGGGAAAGACAAGTCATGAGTGACGCGAGCTTCGAGGCGAGGGTCCGCATCCGCCTTTGGTACGCACCCGAACGGGCTGATGCGAATTGCCGGCCACGCTTCCGCGACGTCCCTGTCCACCACCATGTATGTGCCCAGGTCTTGCCCTTCCCGAATGCTGCGGAGCAGCGCATGCTCCATCGCCTGCGCCGACTTGTGGTTGCTGTGGGTGGTGGCCGATCCTCTCGTCGGCGCAGCTTGGTGCGGTCGAAAACAATGCTGAACACCTGCTCGAATCGAAGCGAGGACCAGCGCTTGGTGCTCGTAGCCTACTAGTAGCCACTCCAACTGCTCAGGGCACAGAGCCTTGTTGGGCCGCGTGTCCGTGGCTGTTTGGCCCCGCCAAATCCGAATCGTGTCCGCCAGCGACATCTTGGCCCTCCGCACCAGCTCCGAGAGAGCGCGTTGAGCGTCAGCATCGACGCGGTAGTTGAGGTCCGTGCCGAATGGGAGGGACCGTACCGGTGGCCGTACGCCCGCCGCGAGGAACGCCGCGCGGCGACCCGACCGGATCGTGGCCTCGGCAGCTTCTAGGCGCAGTAAGAGTGTCTCTTGGATGAAGCGGACTCGTGCAAGCGAGAGCAGCGGGCGAGGACCGGGGCCGGCCGCATCTCAGAGATGCTGTAGATCAGACCGTAGCCCCCCCCCCCCCAGCTTGTCTTGGACATGAGTCGTCACCACGGGATCCAGCTTGGTGGTCGGGACGAAGTGACCCAGAGATGAATGCGTGCACCGATCTGCAGACGCCGACGGGCAGCCCCTAGCCGAGATGAACCGCAGGCAGAGCTGCTTGCCGTCCTGTCTCGGCGCCGCTAGTCCTACCTCGGTCGGCACTTGGCGCTTCGAAGACTCCGACGTGTTCGCCCGAACGGTGCGAGCGGGTGGGCCGTGAACTTGCGCATGGTTTCGACCGGCGGGCGGGTTCGTACTGGAAGAGTGATGAGATCGCCAGCGCTGCCTGGACATCTTAAGCATGAGACCACTGAGTTCGGGGTCCTGCATCGAGAAGCGCGACCGCACGTCCAAACGAGAGGTGGACCCGAAGTCGAGGTCGTGCTCACAGGCCCGTCGGTAGGCCGCGAAGACGTTGCTGAACCAGAAGGCCAGTGTCTTCACCTCGCTCGACGACCAGGGCTCGTAGTCGCTGAGCTCCTCTGCAAAGTCATTCGCGGCGGACACCAGCCGACGCGTGTAGGGGTCGAAGAACTCCTCGCTATTTGTCCCCAGCACACCGAGGGCAGCTTTTAGGTCTCCGTGCGAAGGCTCACGGGGGAGAGCCGGTAGTTCGACGCCCACAGAGAAATTGCGAGCGTTGAGTTGACTGGTATTAGCGTAGTCAAGCTGCGCACTGAGGTCGAAGCGGCGAAAATGGAGCACAGAGAGACCACAGACGCCGAACAGGAAATCGTACAGTCGGCTGAGGATGGCTGGGTGCGGGATGAACTTGGTGGCTAGAGAGGCGCGCGCATAGTCAACAAACGAACCAGGAGACTTGCCTCGATGATCGTCTGCACACGTAAGCTCGTGAACATCCTGCTGGCGTGCTTACGGCCGGAAGCTGTGCTGGCGGTCCTGCCGACTGGACGTGTCGTCGGCTGCCTGTAGATCAGACACGCCTACGTAGCGAGGGCGCTTGGGCTCGGGTCCTTGGGAACTTAGCTGGCGCGCGTAATGCTGAAGGAGGTCGGGCTGCTCTGCCAACGCAGCGAGAATGCGCATCGAAGGACCCGGCATGTCGAAGGACGAAGCGCCGTCTAGGTGGCCCCGACGCCCCAGTCGAGTGCTCGGATTGGGCGGCGGCGGAGCCACAGCGTCATGGCTGACCCGGTTATCGTGCGTCGACGGGATTGGCACACCGATCAGCGCATCCATCACATCCACAAACTGAGCCTGATCTAGCGCTGGTGACGGCGGCGTGGGGGCACCAGCCCGATCCGTCGAGATAGCCTCTTGCGTTCCCAGGGGCGGCGAGTCGACAGCTTGACGAGCTGCGGCGCGACGCGAACGCGTCTGCACTGTGGGAATCGAAGCTGGGGTGGACCGAGGCCCAGATGAGGATCCCGTCAGGGTTGGGTCCTCCCAGAAATGATTGCCAAGAAGGATATCGGACGGAACCTCGTAGTTACCATCCACGTAGAAGCCGAAGGTGATGACATGGCGGACAGTGCACTCCGTATCCCGTCCCGTTCGTGGGTTCATCCAGGGCAACTGAGCCGTTAGACGTGGGTGCGCCGTCACGGGCGCAATACCCGTCAGTAGGCGTCGGATGTCCTGCGTCCCTGGGGCGGCCTCGGTGCCCAGGATATCAGGGCGTGCGCCTGGGTAATGGCCGCCCGGGAGTCCAGCCGGCGCAGCAATTTTGCCTTGTAGAGCAGGAACACGATGACCGGGGCGACTTCCTCCACGGCGGTGGGGGTAACTTGGGTGAATTGGTTGCCATGCCGGATCGTGACGCGGTTACCCTTGTACGCCGTGACCTGGCCGTAGCACGGTCGGTCGCCGGTCATGGCAAAGACTGGTCGGCGCAGTAGGCGCCCAGGGGCTCCCGCCGTGAGCTCGCCGGCCCAGACGCGGCTGATGTTTGCTTGGGGACGCAGTACCCAGACAGGTGCGTTGTCAGCCACGCTGAGGACGGCCGGTCTGTAAAGCTCTTCGTTCTCTGTCAGTCTGCTCTCCGCATTGCAGCAGAAATGCAGCCAGCTCCATACAGTGTCTCAGAGCAATGGCAGGTTGAACTGCCGGTTCCTGTTCCTCCTCTTCCTCCTAAGCGCTCCGCCAGCTCATGCGCCTTCAGCAGGAGCACGTCGTCCGCCATCGCCGTTTTAGCTTCGTTCTGAAAGAAAAATTCCCTCAGTTCCCGCTCGAACTGAGGGAATTTCACTCGGCGCCAGGTCGACGTGGCTGAAGTAAGAAGAAGGCAGGTTGCGCAGTCGGGCGAGTGTGGCACGGCTGACCCGGGCCCTGAAAGTTGCGTAGATCCACTCGGCGAGCATGGGGTTGTTCATGCCAGGATTCTGCTTGAGCTTTAGGTGCACTTGGAGCTTTTGTTCTAGCGTCAGACAGGTGCGAGGAGACATGGCGAGCGAAGAAGGCTTGCGGTAGGCGTGAGTGTTGAGCAGTGGTGCTTTGAAGAGTGTGTGGCCATGAGCAGTGTGAATCAAATAAACAGGTGAGACCTAATTTGGTCCTCAAAAATGTGACTCATATACTTTGTATGCATATAAACAGAGATCATACAAAAACTAAGTGAAATATTTGGTAGCAACAAAGCCTGCATCAAATAAACGGCATGGCTCAAATAGAGAGGATCATATAAACAGGTTTGACTGTATTGTCGATTCCGCCCAAAATTGCGAAACTCGAGCGATTCGAGCGAGCTGTCACAAAAATCCAGCAGCGAATCAACAGAACTACTTTCGACCAATCACAATGTAGTTCTCATGTTGAAGTGCTGGTGTTGACAACAACATGCTTCTTCAGCTTGAACTGCATCACCTTGGCCCACTCAGCAGCTTCGGGCGTCTCCGTAGACCACACGCCGTCTGTCTTTACTGCTCGGGTTTTCACACGGGGCGCATAAGCTTCCCACAGCTTGTGGACAATTTCGTTGAACGAGCCACCACTCATAACAGCAGGGGCCAGCGCGTTGCCGGACGCGTCGCGCTGGTTGAGGGTTTCTTTGACAATCGGCTGTACCAAGAGCTGGTAGAGCTGCTGGGTTGATACCAGCGGCATAAGGACCGCATCAGCTTGAGTCGTGGTAGGAGCAGGTACCAATCGGTTCGCATCTGCGGCTGATGCCCGCCTCTGCGAAGCCTTGGCTGTCAAATTCATCGTCTGTGCAGCTCCAGCAGCTGATTGCAAACCCAGTGTAGTGCCTCTGGCTCCGACTCGCTCAGGTACTGCTTGCCCTTCGCTGTGGCCTGCTCCAGCAGCGACTCGCAGGTCTGGGCCGACACCTCCGGCTGCGACTCGCTCTTGCACTGCTCGTTCTTCGCTGTGACCAGCTCCAGCGGCTGCTTGTATGTCTGGGGTAGCACCCCCGGCCGCGACGCGCTCGAGCACTGCTTGCCCAACTTCAGGTCCTGCTCCAGCAGCGACGGGCAGGTCTGGGGTGAGGCCAGCAGCAGCGCGCTCTCGAACCACTTGATCGACTTGGTGCTCAGCTCCTACAGGGGCTCGAAGGTCTTGGGAGGAGCCAGCTGAGACGCGTTGTTGACCGACACAGTCTGCTTGACTCTCAGCTCCAGCAGCGGCGCGCAGGACTTGGGCGAAGCCAGAAGCTGCTTGCTCTGCTGCGAATACAGTATCCGGCGTCTCCTGGTCTTCTGATGGGTCGTGACGCGCTACATTCCCACGCGCAGGGTATGGCGAGACTCGCTGATGGCTTCGCGCACGAGACGATCGTCCTGACGGCTGCGAGTGCGGAAATGCGGAATGCGGAATTGCATCTGCACGTGGGTTCAGAGTGATTGTCTTACCCTGTGTATTTCATAAAATATGATTTTACGAGGGTTTGTCGGTTTTGCGGCGATTCGGCTGGGTCGATTCAATCAATCGACCTCGGAAATTTCGAATAGAACGCGCAATATTACTCCGTAATAGGCGCTGCGAGTTATCCCAGTTAGACCTATTTAGTGCAGTGCACGAAAGTCCCTACAAATGCACTAAAGTACTTTAGTGCACTTTTGGCGCACCTGCACACAACTGATGCTGGACATTAGCGCGTGCACTAAAGTACTTTAGTGCATTTGTGGGGACTTTCGTTCACTGCACTAAACAGGTCTAATTCCAGTGAATTACATATTGTTGCCGAACCGTTTGAGTCGCGATGCGGCGGTGTGGCGGGCGGTGTTTATTCAGCACTACGGTAGCGTGCCTGCTGTTTACCCTCCTGCACGATTGCCCATGTGGCTCCTTTTAGCGTCACCGCATCGCAGGTGACATCCAGTGTCTCTGTGCGATCTCGCCGACGGACTGCTTCACGCTCGAGGCAAACCCGCGTCTAAAGCACTAAATCTTACTCTTCGACATCCGAGCTCCTATACTTATTGGTTGGCCCTGGACCTGACGGCTCAGTCCGCACGCATTACATGTATTTCAAAAAGCGTCAACGCTCGAGGGCTGTTTGTTTATAATACCCTTGATGGATATTCTTGAGCGATTACCACTGTGGTGCTGACCGCTTTGATGACCCATCGTAACGGCATCAAGCGCCCGTCTCTGTTCTAATACAAAAACCAAGTGTACGTCGCCAGGGTAATCGTTTCGTGCATGCCGATTGCCACTAGGCGAATCAAAGTTCGACTCAACTGGCTGGCCATTCCTCAATTCACCTCCTCGCGCGCACTGCGGTCCGCCCAGCCCAAAGCTTCGTTCCTACCGACCGACCGACCAACGCGCCCACCATTCCGGCTGACGTGACCACCGCCAAGCCGCATCACATGGTGCCGGACAAGGGCAAGCAGCCCGTCGCGGCCGCCAACCTGGCGGAGCGCCGCACCGCCTGGACGTTCCTGCGCGCGCTGCTCTGGAAGAACTGGCTCATCAAGCGCCGCCACCCCGTGGCCACGGCCTGCGAGGTGCTGGTGCCCGTGCTGTTCATCATCCTGCTGGGGCTGCTCAAGAGCACGACGACCACCGTGGCGGTGCCCTCCGGCTGGAGTGACACGTCTGCCTCCATGGGCGACGCGGCCCTAGGCACCAGCTACAACCTGTTCCAGCCCACGGGCCAGACCATCGAGTGGGTGGCTGCCGACCTGCCCAAGTTCGCGCTGCACGAGTCGTCCATGACCGGCCTCCTCCTCAAGCTCGGGGTGCAGTCGGTCGACGACGCCATCCGGCTCGAGGAGCTGTCGGCGGCCGATCAGGCGGCCTGCACGACCGGCGTCATCACCAATGGCCTCGTGGAGACCGACACGACGTCACCCTACCGGGTGCCCAGCGAGTGCGCCGACAAGGTGTCGCCCTACAAGATCGGCATCGCGCCGGACAACGCCTTCACGCGCGGCTACTTCACGGCGGCCATGGACATGTGGTACCCGCGTCTGGATCTGCTCAACTCGTCGAGCGAGGCGCTGACAGTGCCGTCCTTCAGTGAGAGCGTCCGCTTCTTCGACTCCAACGACGACCTGACGGAGTACGTCAAGAGTGACGAATACGGCAAAGGTCTCGAGAACCCGCGCATCTACGCCGCTATTGTGTTCGACTCGGTGCCGCTCGGGAGTGACATTGGATCGTTCGCGTCCATTGAGTACTCGCTGCGATTGAACTCGACGGCTGGTGACTCGGTCGGTCGCGTGCCTGGGACGAGCAGCTCGGTGCTGGACACGGACCCGTTCCAGACCAAAATCAACACAGACTACTACTCGCGGTACACGGTCACGGGGTTCATGACGCTGCAGACGCTCGTCACGCGCTTCGTGTCGTGTATGCCTGAATGGGACGCCAAGAACCAGTCGACGACTGGCGTGTGCCAGCGACCACAGACCACGGCTCTCGCTTCGTCCAGCCTCGACAGCACGCTGATGGAATCCTTGAGCAACGACGCCTTGATCCAAGAGGTGCTCAACACGGGACTGGTGTCGGGCGAGTCGTCCTTTTCCAGCATTCTGGCCAACATGTCGGATGGCACCAAGGAGCTGCTGCTCACTCCGCTGCGCCAAGCCCCGCAGCCTTTCATCGGATCCACAGTCGCTCCATTCCCGGTCACGAGTTTCGACAGCTCGTCGTTTTACGACACGATCTCGAACGTCTTCCCCGTCATCTTCGCGCTCGCGTACCTGTTCACGATCTCCCGCATCCTGGTTGTGTTCATCCAAGAGAAGGAGCTGCGCTTGCGGGAATTCATGAAGATCCTCGGCGTCACGGAGAGCACAATTATCGTCACGTGGTACATGACGTACACAGCCATCCTCTTCGTCGGTGCAGTCGTCCAGGCCGTGGCTGGCCTCGCGGGCTTGTTCCCCAAGACATCCGTGATCCTGACGTTCTTGTTCTTCTGGCTGTTCGGGATGAGCGTGCTCGCGCTGGCCTACTTGATCAGCACGATCTTCAACAAGGCTCGAGTCGGCTCCTTCGTGGGCATGGTGGTCTTCTTCTTCATGCACGTGATGTCTCAAGCATTTACTACCGGCACGGCGGAGGGAGCCAAGACGATCGGTTGTCTTTTGTCCCCTGTGGGCCTCTCACTTGGCGTTCAGGTGCTCGCGGACGCAGAGACAACGGGTGCTGGTGTGACGTTCGCGAACGTGAGCGCGCTGACCAACAACTTCCGATTCAGCACCGCGTTGTGGATGTTCGCTTTCGACACTTTGCTGTACACGCTCATCGGTGTGTACTTCGAGAAGGTGATGCCCAAGGAGTACGGCACCTCGCTCAAATGGTACTTTCCCGTGTCGCCTTCATACTGGAGAAGCCGTCGCCAGCGTACAGCCAACGTTCAAAGTCAGGATGCGCTGTTGGACGACGTCGCGCTGGATGTGAACCCCAACATTGAACGGGTGAACGCGGAGCAGCGCGAGCAAGAGCGCAACGGTGAAGCTCTCACTGTGCAGCGACTTCGCAAGGTTTTCCCGGTTCCAGGCGGAGAGAAGGTGGCAGTTCAAGGCCTCAATGTCACCATGTACAAGGACCAGATCACCTGCTTGCTGGGTCACAACGGCGCCGGCAAAACCACGCTGATCTCGATGCTCACGGGCATGACTGCCCCCTCCAGCGGTAACGCCACCTACCGCGGCATGTCGATCAACGAAGACATGGACGAGCTGCGCCAGTCACTCGGCATTTGCTTCCAGCACGACGTCTTATTCCCTGAGCTGTCAGTCCAGGAGCACCTGCAGTTCTTCGGACAGATCAAGGGCTACGCGGACGAGGAGCTGCAGGCTGTGGTCGACCGACAGATCCGCGAGGTCGGCTTGACGGAGAAGCGCAACTCGAAACCCAACGACCTGTCTGGCGGTATGAAGCGCAAGTTGTCGGTGGCTGTGTCGCTGCTCGGTGACAGCTCGCTGGTGTTCCTGGACGAGCCCACGTCTGGCATGGACCCGTACAGCCGTCGCAGCACGTGGGAGATTCTGCTGAACAACCGCAACGACCGCGTGATGGTGCTGACGACGCACTTCATGGACGAAGCTGACATCCTGGGCGACCGCATCGCCATCATGGCGGAAGGCGAATTGCGTTGCTGTGGATCGTCGCTCTTCCTGAAGAACCGCTTCGGCGCAGGCTACAACTTGACCCTCGTGAAGGACGACGCCAAGTGCGATGACAAGGATGTTTCTGCTTTTGTGACCTCTTATGTCCCCTCTGCGCAGCTTCTGAGCAATGTCGGCAGTGAGATCGCGTTTCAGCTGCCTCTCAGCAGTTCGTCACAGTTCGCAGCGATGTTCGCTGAGCTGGATCGTCAGTTGCAGTCGCTGGGTCTTCTCTCTTATGGCGTGTCTGTGACAACGTTGGAGGAAGTCTTTATCAAGGTGGCGGAGCTGGGCGATGAGAACAACCAGCACACACTGGGCAACAACGTTCGGACGGACAACTCCGAGTCCAACGAAAGCTATCAGGAATGCGATGAGATCATCACGACGGAGTCGATGTTCCGGAGGCACCTGCGCGCACTGCTGCTGAAGCGTTTCCGGTACGCCAAGCGCGATAAGAAAACGATCATCTACAGCGCGCTGCTCCCCGTGCTGCTCATTGCTGCTGGACTGGGGATCTTGAAGAACAGCGCTATTGCCTCTGACGACTCCAGCATGGCATTGACGGCGGACCCGTACTCCGGCAGCTCAACTCCGACGCCCTACTTCTGCCAGGCTGGGGCTAGCACGGGAGAATGGTGCAACGAGGTGATGACGTCGTCCTTCTTCTCTGGCGCCGACGCTCAGACACTCTCGATTTCATCGCCAGCGTTCGACTCCAACTCGCCCACCGTGTTTGACGTGACCTACACGGATCCGGCCATCAACGCAAGCGGAAACACCGGATACAGCGTAGCAATGGGCCAGCAGCTTTACAACCGAGGTTACGGACAGAGCGTGGATCTCGTGGAAGGCCAATACGGCGCCTACCTGGTGTATGGCGACAGCGACCAGAACTTGTTCGGCTACAACGTGTTCACGAACACTACGGCCCCCCATTCGTCGGCGACCTTCAAGGCATTGATGGACCAGGCTATGTATCGCTTCTTCGCAGCCAACAGCTCGACTGGATCAGCTTCGTCGGTCAACCTGAAGGTGAGCAACTACCCTCTTCCGGTGACCGCTGCCACGAAGGCGTTTTCTGGATCAGCAGTGGCATTCGTGAGCTGCATGTTCATCTGCATCGCGTTCACATTCCTGCCGGCGTCGATTGTTGTATTCCTGGTGAAGGAGAAGCAGGCGGAGCACAACTCGAAGCACCAGCAACTCGTCTCCGGCGTGTCGCTGCCTGCATTCTGGCTGTCCAACTACATCTGGGATCTGATCATGTACATCGTCCCGTGTGTATGCGCTCTCGCGTTGATCTACGGCTTCGACGTATCTTCGATGACGGGGCAGAACTGCAACAGCTGCACCTCGGCGACGTTCCCAGCCGTGATCCTGTTGTTCATCCTCTTCGGGCTCGCCATCTGCCCGTTCACGTACTGCCTGTCGTTCCTGTTCAAGGAGCACGCTGCCGCCCAGACGTACACCATCATGATCAACTTCGTGATTGGCGTCGTGTTGATGATCGTGTCGTTCATCATGGGCGTCATTGGTTCAACGTCGGATGTTGATTCGGTGCTCGTGTTCGTGTGGCGACTTTCTCCGCTGTTCAATCTCGGCACGGGCTTGCTCCAGTTGGTTCTCAACGATATTACGTACATCCGCTTCAGCAAGGACGAGAAGACCAGCCCATTCAGCGGTGATATCATGGGGTTCGAGTTGGCTTATTTGCTGGTGACTGCCATCGGCTACATGGCACTTGCGGTGTACTTGGATTACAGGAAGACTTTCCCCAAGGTGAAGGACAACAACGACGACATCGGCGACAGCGATTTCCAGATTGATGCTGACGTGGAGAAGGAAGCCGAACGTGTTGCCAGCGGCGCTGCCGACGGAGACGCTGTGAAGCTCGTGGGGCTCCGAAAGGTCTACCCTGGCGGCAAGGTTGCGGTTCGTGATCTCTCTTTCGGCTTGAAGCGTGGCGAGTGCTTCGGCTTCCTCGGTATCAACGGAGCCGGCAAAACCACGACCATGAAGATGCTCACTGGCGACGTGCCACCAAGTCGCGGTACAGCCACGCTCGGAGGCTTCAACATTCTGACGCAACAGATCGAGGTTCGCCGCCAGATCGGATACTGCCCACAATTCGACGCCTTGTTTGACTTGCTCAGCGTCCGCGAGCACTTGGAGCTCTTCGGTGCCATTAAGGGTGTTCCTCAATCTTCGCTGAATCGTGTCGTGATGGAGAAGATCCAGCAGCTCAACCTCGGGGACTTCGAGCACAAGCTCGCAGGCAGCCTCAGTGGCGGCAACAAGCGCAAGCTGTCCGTGGCCATCGCCATGATCGGTAACCCGGCCATCATCTTCCTGGACGAGCCTTCCACCGGCATGGACCCGGTTAGTCGACGGTTTATGTGGGACGTCATCGCGGATATTTCGACTCGCGGCAAGGAGTCGACGATCGTGCTCACCACTCACAGCATGGAGGAGTGCGAGGCCTTGTGCTCACGCGTCGGTATCATGGTTGGTGGGCGTCTTCGCTGCTACGGAAGCGTACAACACCTCAAGTCTCGGTTCGGCGATGGCCTCGTGTTCGACGTGAAGCTCGACACACCCACGCCCGAGGAGCTGGAGTACCTGCTTCAGCACGTATTTGGCGACGGCAACACGTACGTGACGCCTGTGGAGCTTGAGAGCAAGTGTCGCGCGTTCGGCAATGCCGAACTCGAGGAGCGGATCACTGCTTCTCATCCGACCGGCTACAGTCTCGCCGCCGCCATGGAGCGCGACGGGTTCGTCCGTGCCGAGGCCTTCTGCTCCTGGTGTGTCGAGGAAACACGCTTCGATACCTTGAACGACTACCTTCTCAACGCATTTGGCCCTGGCGGAGTACTCGTGATGGAGCGCCAGAACGATTTCTGCCGCTTCAAGGTGCGCGGCTCGAACAACGAGATCAAGCTGTCCAAGATGTTCGCGCTGGTTGAGGACGTGAAGACCGACATGCACATTCGCGAGTACAGCGTCTCCCAGACGACGCTGGAGCAGATCTTCAACTCGTTCGCGAGCCAGCAGGAGGAGGAGCAGGGTGTCGCTCGCGGTGTCTATCAGGCATAGAATGCGAGCTGAGCCGAATACATAATGCGCAATATACGAAGTATCATTAGTTACACGAGTTTTTCTGAGCAAGTACCTGTATGGCCGCACACTTGCCTTCGTACCCCTGCTATTGCAGCGTACACGTTTCCGGCTGCGGCGTTTCCCCGCTTTCAATCACTTCACCAGGCAGCATGGTCTGGATCGCTTGCACAGCATGCTGCTGGACTTTCGGATCACTGGGGAACCGTAGGCGTGCCTTCTCACAAACTGGCAGCGCACCCGCCTCTAAGCACGCCGTCTTCATCTCCTCTTCAGTGATTTATAACACGGTTGATTAGTACATCTATAACTCAAAGTGAAGTACGTATTTCGAGTCCTCTCACCACTTTTGCCGCTGACAATCGCTATGAACCAGCATCCTGCCGCTTGAACCAGGGCTGTCGTATTAAACCTCTTCATGCTTTCGACAACAATCTCGAGGCCACCTTTCGATACAATTTCAAGCATGCTTGTATCTGCGCAAATATGCAACAGAGCATCGATATGAGTGCCCGGACTATAGTGTAAATTCTACAGCTGCATCGGAGAATTACCTTGACGCAGACTCAAGTTCGCCAACGCTAAGCAACTCAAACCCTGGACTTGTTCATTCAAAGGAAATCTCTCCATGGCTGAGAGTACGAGACGGCGGCTTTCCGGGTTCACTCGTACCACCGCCTCATCTAATGGTACACACACAGCAACGCGTAAATCGACGGCATTGAACTCGCAGCACTTGGTGCTCGTACCTGCAATTTTGGGGTGCGCAAGTACCGACAACCCCGCCATGTTGGCAGGCACGTCGTCCGGAAGAGCGACCATCGCATCAATGAGCGAGATGATGCCACCGCTAGATGTAATGACTGGAATGTGCTCGTCAGCTTGATTCGCGTACTCGGCGAGGCACAACAATCCATCGCGCTGCAGCGGCAGTGACTCTGGGAACTGCTTCATCTTGTCAATGACCATCTGGATGACGAGTCGCGCGCTTGTCTCCGCCTTCTGCGTGCCATGAACAAGTCCCTCCCCCTCCTCCTTAGAAGCAGAACCAGTGGTCAGGAACGCGTCCCGCGTCGGCTTCTCCGCCTCAGAAGCCGTAGCCGTACTCCGCACCACGCCCTTCAACGCTCGCACCCCGTGCGCCTGAATGCGAACGTCCGTCGGGAACTTCCTCATGATCTCCAGCACCGCGCTGCCGTCGCCCACATCCCTCCCCACAGCTCGACGCATGATGGCCGCCGGGTCCGCAGCCACAGCCGCCGCAGAAGCAGCGGCAGCAACGCTTCTGCTTTCGGGTCTGTTCTCACTAACTTTAACAGCACTACGTTCCTTTTTAAGGGCTGGTCTTTCATCAGCAGCAGCTGGCTTTGTCTCTTGCTTCTCGTCCACTTTCTTCTCCTTCACTTCCTCTGCTTCTTCTTCAGTCTCCACAGGCAGCGCCTCCACGACGGCCTGCACCACGGCCTGCGTGGCCTGCACCGTCGTGCGGCGGTTGCTCATGTGCTCGTGGCAGACGCCCAGCAGCCGGCGCGCGAGCTTGGCGTACCGCACCAGCGCGCACACGAAGGTGAAGGCGCGCAGCGGCTCGTCCAGCAACATGGCGGCCAGCTTCCGCTCCAGCGCCTCCTGCGGCAGGCGGTCCAGCTGGTGGAACGACAGGCCACCGGCGGGGGGCGCCAGGCCCGCGGGCAGCTGGCGCAGCAGGCAGGCCATGGCCAGCGACAGCGGCAGGAACGACGCGTCCGCCGGCCGCTCGCCCTTGATCTTGGCCTGCTGCAGCAGCAGCAGCATGTGCGCCGCCGCGTCGAGCATCGCTTCGCTTCGTCCGGACGAGAAGATGGCGATCTTCTTGCTCTTCTTGAAGTTTTTGTTTGAATTGGCCAATCAGAAACGCAAGAGTGGGACAGCCAATCAGAGCGCGGTATTATGCCGCCACAAATAATTGTTGCGCTCGTCCGAATGTGGCAGTGATTTGTGGACGAAGGAATGATAGCCGGAGGCACGCAGCGAACACGCAGCAGGCCCATAGGGCGTTGGCGCCTACAGCAGCTCGCACGCGAAGCATCCTCGGCCATCCAGTGACTTCGCGAAGCTCCTCCGCAATGCTTCAGCATCAAGGCATCAGAGACGGTCTCATGCGTCCGTGGAGAAGTTGGCGAGCCCCGTTTATTTATGGGCCGTTGCCGCCGGGCTCACTGTGGGGCTCCAAACAGTAACGAATTTGCGCCCACTTCGGATCGTCGCGCGCAAATCACTTGGCGCTCAGTATGGAGCCGGTTGCGCCGGGCGCTAGAAGTGAACTCCCACAACGACGTCGCGTGGACGTTTAATCGATCGCAGCATTTCAATATTGACTCGACGTTCACGTCCATCGGTTAGAAGGCTGGACGTATTTATATACTCGCTGCTGCCGTGCAACGTCCACGGGTTTTTCGCAGTCGCTGGTCCGAGAGGAAGGAAGGTGACGGAGTGCTGAAGGCCGTACACTGCTGCGTTGCATGGGGCGAGGATGTTCCGAAGCAGAGGGAGCAATGTCAGCAAAGGGACGACCAGCAAGGGCACCGCCAACAGCGAGCGGCACTCGTGGATGATGTCGATCAGCCGCCGATCGGTCGGCAGCGTCCACAGCTCCTTCAGTTTGCACACGCGGCTGGCCAACGTACTAGCAGAAGACCGACAGGACGCCTTCGACCCGAATGCGAGAGCCATCAAAGTGTGGGACCACGTGCTGCTGCTGAGCCTGCTCCAGGAGTCGTTCCTGCTGCCTTACTTCCTGGCGTTCCAGCCCGAGGCTGTCGGCAGCGTTTCAATGTTCTTTGTGTTAATCATCGCGTGCGAATTAGTATTCGCGGTGGACTTCTACGTCCAAGCGCTCACTGGGTACTACGCGGACGGCAACCTCATTCGCGACAAGAAGCTCACCATTCGACGCTACGTGCGCTCCTCCCAGTTCCTGCTGGACGTTGTGGCCATCCTGCCGTACCAGGTTCTCGTGGTGAAATACCCGCAAGTTGTGGCGAAGCTGCTGTTCCTAAAGCTTCTGCGGTGGTCGAGACTACCGGATTTTGTGTCGAGTCTGGACGAATTCTACACGAAACATTTTGTAGCTCTCAAGTTATTCAAGGTTCTCGCTTCCACAGTATATCTGGCTCACGTCCTGGCCTGTGTACGATATAGCTTCGGCACGGATGCGAGCCATACCAACCACTGGCTACCGGCACACACAGCGCACCATGAAGCGCCTCACGTGGAGTACCTCACGTCGCTGTTCTGGAGCGTCGGAATCATGACGGGGCTTTTTGAAGGAGAGCTGCCGCACCACAGCATGGAGTTTCTCTTCACGACGTTAGTGGCGCTCTGCGGTTTCTCGATGTTTACGACGCTAGTCGCAACAATTTTTGTGATTTCCAAGTGCGAAAGCGGTCACTCAGAAGCTATGGAGGCACGGATCAACCAACTAGTGCATGTACTCTCCTTTCATCGCGTTCCAGAGAGCCAACAGACCCAGGCTGTCGAATATCTCAAGGTAAGTTAGCTAGTCTTCTACTATATGCTCCATTTAGATGACCAAAATGCTGACGATATTGTGTTTAAAGCGCTACTATACCGACGCAGAGTCGAATGACCGTGAGGCCGCCAAGATGCTGTGCCCGTCCATCGCGAATGACATCCAAGTGGAGCTCCTGAAGTCGACGATCGCCAAAATCTCGCTCTTTGATGGCTGCAGCGACCAGTTCGTCGTGGCGATGACGAGTCTGTTGAGAATGATCGCGGTGCCAGCGCAGACAATTTTATTCTCTGCAGGAGACTACGGAGACGCTCTATACGTGGTTCAGTCCGGGGTGCTCGCGATTGTGGTCAAGTCCGTGACTGTGCGGGAGATCCGAAAGGGCTCGTGCTTCGGAGAACTGTCCGTGTTCTCTTCAATGCCACGCACCGCAACTGTCATCTCGACGACGTTCTCGATTCTGTACAAGTTGTCCAGGTTCTATTGCGAGCGCGTTCTTGAAGGGTATCCGAAATGTGCTGCCGTTATTGCTGCTCATGTCGAGGACGTTCTTAACCAGCTCAACAGCAGTGAAAAAGACGCCAGCAACTCCTCCCCCGCCACTTCTACGAGCATTTCAAGGAAGGGAGATTACCGCCGAGTGTCCGTCGCAGCAGGATGCGTAGAAGGAGTGTCCACTCTAACAAAAGTGCTTTCGAGAAGAGGGACGATGGGCGAGAGCACGAGGCGCGAAGATCGCGCCGTTGCAGCCGAGTCAGTCAATGAAGTCGAAACGAGAGAGCAGTCAGATATCGATTCCCAGGTCGAAACGAGAGGGAAGCGGGCGAATATCAATCCCTTCATCTGTGCCCGATACCTGCACCGACACGGGAGTCGAATGCATGACCACGAACGATGATGGATCTTTCTCGAACAGCACACTTGGCAGTGGCCACCAGCCGACGAGAAAGAGGACATTGAACCCGTACGATCGGCGAGAGGACCTGACTAAAACCACCGTATACAAGCACAACGGTTTGTGGAGGTTGATATTGCTTCCGAGATGCATCGATCACCACTCCCGTGCTCGCTTGTGGTGGCTCGTATTGCTCTTCATTAACCAGTGGTATTGCTGGATCCTGATCCCGGTTCAAGTGGTGTTTCCGCTCTGGCAGCGGCCGTCGTGGATGACTCTAACCGTCGACACCATCTCGAATGTCTGTCTGCTGCTCGATATCGTTCTTACCCTCAAGCTATCATTCATGACCGACTCGGAGAAGATCATGGACCCCAAGCGCAGTGCACAGTGGTATCTGGAAGGCAGCTTCCTCTTCGACTTGTTGTGCTCCCTCCCTTTTGAGTACTTCTACATGGTGAAGTATGGCCTCATGCGGCTCCCACGCCTCCTGCGTGTTACCCACCTAAAGAAGCAACTCAGCGAGATCGAACACTTTGTCCATTTCAACAGCAGACGCCAACTCATGCTGTTCGGGGTGTTGCTGTTCATGCTGTTTCACATCGTGGCGTGCATCCACTTTGGCATTTCGTACATCGAAGGGTTCAATCCGAACGAAGAGGAGGCCTGGATCTCATCCATCAAACTGTGTCTGAGGAGAATAAACGCGACACACTTGGAAGACTGCAGCGGCGCGGTATTCAACGAGAAGAGTGACCGAGGGAAACTGCTTCGAATCACGTCATTAGAGTACTTTCGCTCGCTGTATTACGCGGTTGGGGTGCTTGCGTCTCCAGGGAAGAGCGTGGAGCCCACGAGCGACGTTCAACTGGTCGCAGCGCTGATTCTCATGCTCAGTGGCTTTCTCATCACGGCCATTGTGGTGGACAACGTGCAGAAGCGCTTCACGGCCTCTGCATTCGAGCAAAAGGAGTTTCTTGCAACAAGTACGCGCATCCAGCTCTTCCTACGACGGCAGAAGGCCCCGCTAGCCATATACCATCGTGTCAAGTCGTTTCTGGACTATTGGTGGTCGTCTCACCATGGCGCTGTGATTAGTGAACTGTTGGCCGATCTCCCACGACCTGTTCGCTTGGATTTATTGAGAAGTATCTGCACGCCCGTACTGCAGACGCTAGCTTTGCTTCAGGGTTCACGCTTAGTATGGAGCAAGTTGGAAGGGGTGATGGTTGAGAACGCGCAGTTTATCCTGTACGGCCAGGGTGAGATAGTTTACAGACATGGAGACTACGTGACAGGAATGTTTTTCCTACTCGAGGGCGAGGTGTGCGTGGTGAAGATGAGTGGTTCACCCCGTGAAATACCGCGCGGGAGCTTCTTCGGGACAGCGGTGCTGACCCATCAAGAGCGAGGGGAGGGATACACGGAGCATGTCAGTGCCAGCAGCGGCTGCATCCTACTCTTCGTATCTAGAGCCCAGTTGCAAGCAATGGAAGTCATCTTTCCCAAGCTGCGGGCGGAGCTTTTAGCACTGGAGCAGCGATTGCTGAGCAACAAACTGGCAAAAATGCACATGAATACACGGCGAGACCTGCACGCGCATAGAGGCTCTGCCCCTGAATTACTGCAAAGTGCCCTCGCTGGACTGAAACAATCGCTCACTGCCGTGTACGATCCGGACTCAATGTTCATTCTAACGTGGGAGACGTGGGTGTTCTTCGTCATGACGGCGCAGTGGATCCTCGTCATGTTCCAGGCGTGTTTCCCTCTTACGGAAGGGCACAAGAACGCAGACGCGCTCATGGTCTTTCTGGAGGTCTCGTTCGTTCTGGACATGTACATCCGCTCGCGCCTCGGATTCTACGAGTACGGCAACAAAATGATGGACTTACAGCGGATTAAACGCGCGTACTTCAAGTCTGGGACTTTTGCGTTGGATATCGCGGCTCTTTTGCCTCTGTACATTGTGAATTGGTGTGTTCCTGCCGAACAGCGCTGGGATATGCTGAATATCAACAAACTCCTGCGGTTATCCAAGGTCCCCAGGCAGCTCTATGCGCTCGAGACGAGATACTTGAAGCGCACAACGGAGCTGCGTTTATTCAAGCTGCTCTACTACACGTTCATGCTGTCACACGTGCTAGGCTGCATCTGGTTCAACTTCGCGTCCAAAGTGGCCGTGCCCACCTTCTTCAGCAGCAACAGCTTCCTCGTCACCAAGAAGACGGCGTTTGGTGACAACCACTGGCTGCCGTCGGAGCACTTGGAGCACGGGTCCAATATCTTGCAGTACATGGCGTCTCTGTACTGGTCCTTTGGCCTCATGTCGGCTTCAAGCGAGCCGGAATTCCCCAAGACCACGGCGCAATGCATCTTCAGCGTAGTCACCATGACAACTGGGTTCTTCCTCTTCGCCTACGTGATTGGCAACTTCACGGACATCATCGAGCTCACGACTGCTGAGAGCAGGGACTTCAACGCCAAGATGGGCGCGGTGCGGCAAATGCTGGACCATTTTCGGATGCCAGAGGCTCTGCAGGAGCGCATCAAGACGTTCTTGCTATTCAAGCGCTTCCATACAATCACGCAGGAGCATATCCTAGTGCACTGCCTACCTCCGTCGCTGTTGACGGATATCCGCCTCGTGCATCTGAAGCCCATGATAGAGAAGGTGGAGTTCTTGAGGGGTATGGAGGGCTCCATCACGCGGATGCTGGTGTCTCAGTTCACTCAGGTTCTGGTGTCGCGCGGCGAGTTTGTGTGCAAGTTGGGGGAGAACAGGAGCGATATGTTCTTCATCTTCACGGGCGTCCTAAACGTGATGTTACCCCTGCGAGTTGCTGGTCGCTCCAAGCCTACGTTCAAATCGGTTGTTGAAGGCCTTTTTGGTAAGAAGATCCGAGCAGCCAGCGCGAAAAATCGTGCTAGCGGAGGGAAGAAAGAGAAGAAAGATGCGGTCTCCCCCACCATCGCGCAAGACCAAGAACAGCTGAAGAAGGTGAACGAGATATCGGCGGGCAGCTACTTTGGAGAGAACGGGCTGTTCACCAACGCGCAGCGTAACGCGCACATCCAAGCGCAGACCTCTTGCATCCTGTACAGACTGTCACGCGAGTCTCTGGAGACAGTTTTCGACCGATATCCCGAATGGAAACACAAGGTGCTTCGCATTGCGAGCATCCATCGCGAGCAAGCTCGGCTTTTGCAGCTCTCTCGCGACGAGCAGCGACGCAGAACGACCACAACCAGTGGAGTGGTCTTGTCACAGGCGGATATCATGAACGAGCGAGCCGAGCGGTTAAAGGAGAAGATGTACTCGTCACGCTTGCAACGCGGTAAGAGCGTACACATGAACCTCATCAAAGTGTCAAGCCAACGGGGAGCTCAGCTGCTAAACCAAGGTGTAGTGAAGCCTTCTCGGAAGCTCATTGATGCTCTGCTTGATGGCGTTGCAGTGCAAAGCGACGCCCACCTCCTCTGGCTGCGGTTCATTGTGTGTTGCACCATGTACGTTGCGATCATGGTGCCCTACCAGCTTGCCATGGACCCCCTCGACCGTGAAACAGTCGCCGCTTCCATCGCGAAAGCCATCGGATTGCAGTGTGAAATTGCCTTTATCATCGACATTTGGTTCAGCTGGCACCTCCAGGAGTCCCCCGCTGCGATGGAGCTCTACGACCAGAACTTGCGCAGCATGTACAAGAAGGAGCGGATGGCCTTCGACGTCATCGCCGCGATCCCGTTCTACGGGTTTCTGTCGGCGTTCAAGTGCGGTGCGTGGGTCAACCTGCTGCGTTGCGTCAAGATCGTCAACATCACGAACTACTTGGATGAGCTCAATCGGCGCAGCGTCACGAGCGAGATCACGCGCTTCCGGCACGTCGCGATGCTGTATTTATTGGTGATCTACTGGGCTGCGTGTGCCTACCTGGTTGTGGCCATGCAGGCGGGTTTTGGCACGGAGTGGGAAGGGTGGCTCCCTTCTCAGGAGCTCGAGATATCGGACCCCGACGATCCGTCACCTACTCAACTAGCTCGACGCTTTCTGCGCGGCCTCTTCTTCGCCACCACCGCGTTCGTCAAGAAAGCGAGGAACCTGGCCCCGGAGACCGCGTCGCTGTACGCGTTCCAAATCGCCGCCTCATTTACGGGATTGATCACGATGTCGTTTGTGCTGGGCGAGCTCGCAAGCCTCTTCATCTCGTACATTGGGCTCGAGGTCAACTTCCGCAAGAACCACATCGCCGTCGAGCTTTATCTGACGCGCCTGCGTGTCAGCGATCGGCTGAAGCTGCGCACGTACGCCTTCATGACGTCGCTCTGGTCTTCCCACGCGGGAGTGAACTACGAAGAGCTTTTAACGGAGATGCCCCACTCGATCCGCACCGCTTGCGTCCTCCATACGGCTAAGGAGCCCCTCGACTGGTTCATCATGAAAGTCATCTCCCCCATTTGCTGGGATGGGGGCGAGAGTGTCAGGGCGTTCACGCTGTCGCTGGCTGAGCGTCTGCAGTTCGAGTGCTGCCCTCGAAACGAGAACGTTGTGACCGAGGGCAGCATCGTTCGAGCCATGTACTTCGTGATCAAGGGCCACCTGCAAATGCAAAGTCGATCGCTGCTGGCTCGACCTGTGGGGCTTCGCGACGGAAGTTACTTCGGCGAGCGCGGTCTTCTGGGCTGCACCATTAGCTCGTACACTGTTCGAAGCGTGAGGGCGTGCGATCTGCTCTCTCTGAGCTCGGAGGCGTTCGCGCAGGTGCTCCAGCAGCACGCTTTCTCTCGTTTGGCGCTCCAGATCTGCACCAGCGCGCACAAACACCTCAAGGCGCAGTATCACGCCCCCTGCTCCAGAGTCGACATGGAGGATCGCTGGGGGGAGGCGCTGCTGCATTGTGTCAAAGAATTTCAAAGCGTGCACGAAGCGGCTGTGGCGAACACCAGCGCGGTGGTCTCTGCTGATAGAGCTAACGTTGCTGCCACCCCAGACGCGTCCTTCTCCGATATCGAGGCACCAAGGCTCTCGAGTTTTTTCAGGAGGGGCGGCACGGAGAGCGAGCTCAATCTGGGAGAAGGAGGGTCTGTCGTGGCTTGTGAGGCTCGTGCAGACGACTCGGCTGAGTTGCCCACGCGGCTGCGAGAGATGTTCAACGCGCTGGACACCACCACGACCTGCTACGAGGCGTTCGCGGCGCTGCTCCACTGCATGCTGCCTACTGATCCGTTGGACTGGGACGCCACGTTTGCCACGGCAACGAACACCGACCTCACTGCGACGCTGGCGACGCTGTCAGCCTCGGGATCGATCAGCTACCGGTACCGCAGCGTGCTCCCAACCATCGACACCTCGTTCAACGCGAAGGAAGAGCCTGTGGACGGACGACCACACGCACACCACGAGGAGCAAGAGCGCGATCAAGTGGATGAGACGGGGGAGATCGAGGCTAGAGAAGAAGAGCAACAGGCGGACGGTGAAGCGGTTGCTGGCCCCACCATTGGAGATGCAATGGCTGCGATGGTCACAGAGGTGCCGGCCCCCGCGACTTCAGTGGATCAGCGCCAGCCAACTCGTTTTCGCCCGACGGTGGTGCACCTCCAACCCCAGCTATTGCCCCATCGACTGGCTGGCCCGCACGTCCGAGACCTGTGACTATAGCCCAACTGAAACATACGACGTCTCATTGTTCGTCATATGAACTGTACCAAAATAGTGACCCCCAACTTCAACATCGGGTCTAACATTGCCTCCGTCTAGCAATGCTGGACGAAAGCCATGGATGCCGCTCCAGTAGATCACTTCGCTAGTGTTGCTTGCAGACATGTTACAGGTACCAGCATCTTGCGCGTTGCAGTGCCTCCATCTGGTGGTCCGCCCAGACAAGACGCTTTGATAACGCCTGGATGAGCTTTCCCTGTCATACCCGATCGTACTTAAACGAGCATAAATCGCCTTCGAGGACTGTCTCCTTTTCCGCAATCACTTCCACAAGACGCGAGAACGAACGAGGGGCAACCGGCAAAACAAACGCGCGCACCTTCGCTTTAGGCTAGTGCTAACCGCCGAGTGTCTAAGCAGCAGAATGCAGGTGGCAACACCTAAGCACGCGACGAACCTGCACGCGGCCGCGGACGCCATGGCCGCGCCCCCCGCGCTCTGGAGCGCCGACGACCAGGCGCTGCTGGACATCCTGCTCATGACGGAGCCCGCGGACGACGCGACCGCTACGGTTAAGGACGTGGAGATGCAACTGCAACTGCAAATGCAACAAGAAGTGCAAATGCATACGTCATCACCCTCCTCCCTCCAGGTGCAGCAAGAGGTGCAGCCAGCGTCGCCCGTGGTCGTCCGCGGCGCCAAGCAGACGGACAAGGACTCGCCCAAGGGCAAGCTCTCGGCCATGGAGCGGCGCGCGCGACACCGCGAGGTCGTCAAGCGCGCCTACCACCGCAACAAGGTACGCTGCAGTCTTATGTCGCAATTATGACAATAACTGGTACTTACGATGATCAACTTATGTCATTTCTTGCTGCAGGCGGCGCTCAAGAGCCTGCGGGACACGGTCAAGGAGCTGGAGCAGCAGCTGGAGAAGCTCTCCATGTCCAAGCAGCAGGCGCAGCGCGCGCAGCCCAGGAGCAGCGCTGCGGACGAGATCCAGCGCCGGTACGCGCTGCTGACCAACGAGCAGGAGGAGCTGGGCAGCGAGGCCGCCAGGCTGCGGCTGCTGCTCAACTACAGGCAGCAGTTCGCCACGAGCATGGTGGCGCTGGCGCAGAGAGCCGCCTCCATCTCGTCGGACGACTCGGACAACTCCGACACCGACTCGGACACGGCCACGACGTCGTCCTCCTGCTCCGCCACGTTCCCGTCGTCGCCGTCGTCCCCGCCACTGTACTTGGGCGCGGACTCGTCCCCGCTGCCTACTCAGGACGTCGAAATGAACGCGCGCGGCGTCTCGCCGCTGAGCGCGAGCCACAAGAAAAGCTCCTCGGCGCAGTTCTTCAACGAGCCGCGCCCGACCTTCGTGGGGCCCACCATCACGGGCAAGACGCCGCTGGCTGTGGCCATGCGCAAGCAGCTCGGGTACAGGCCGCTGGGCTTCGCAGAGTCATCGGCGCTGGTCAACGAGTTCTACCGCTGCATCCTCGACTTCTCGCTGAGCGGCAGGGCGCTGACCACCGGAGCCAGCATCATGGGCTGGGAGGACAAGCGCCTGCTAGACGGGACAACTCTTAAGTTCTCGCTGCGTAAGCGCTTCGTCGGACGCAGCGCCATGGAACTCATGACCAGCACGTGGCAGTGCTTCTCCGACCCGGACTGCACTGAGACCAAGTTCCGCGGCCTTATGACGCTGCGGATCCTGCAGCGCGTGAACGACGACACCATCGTGGCTCTGCGCGAGTCCAAGAGCCCCGACGGAGCCAAGCTCTACCGGTGTGTGTATTTATTGTTCCGCGTTCGCACTCGGAAGGGCTTCATCATCTGCGTCAAGTCGGTCTCGCCTGAGCGTCTGACCGATCCGGCGTTGAGCTCCGTCAGCCGAGATGGCACAGCCGTGCAGTGGACAGAGCTGTCGGGCTGGTTCGTGTTCGAGCCTACGGTGGAAACAGGAGGTGAAGGCGGATTCTACCAGGAGGGCGCTCAGGTGGAGTACGGCGGCTGCATGGACTATGGTGACAACGAGTCAATAGCGGCGCTCGCCATGAACACGCTGTCCATCGTGCTCAAGTGGGAGAGTATGATGGTCGGCCCGCTCTTCACTTTGCCGCCATCTTCGTGGTGATCAGCGAGTGATTTCATTTAACTTTCGCAAGCCAGTCCAGATCAACGTGGTGCAGACGATTGATTGCTGCGGGTGCAGTATTGCGTACGGTCCGAGATCTGGAGCTGCGTTATGTTTGATAAATAACCATGTTTCCGGTGCCTCGTGTTGCTCTGCTGGACCAACAAGGAAGTCGGAAGGGAGCCTAGAGCCGTATTCTTGTTTACTGCGAAGCCGAAGCTCCGGTTGCAGAGCAAACAATACGAGTAGAAGTTGAGCTCAGTCGTATCGTGAGCTACCGCTGCTAGACCCCGGTCGCCGCGTGATGCCCAGCGACGTGAGGATGAGATCGGTGGCAGCGGCCTGACTGGCAAGCAGGCGCTTGACCTCCTCCAGTTCTTTAGCCGCGGACTGCTCCACCGCAACGAGCCGCTCCTCAAAAGCCTGCGTCGCGGTTGCAAAGCGCTCGGCCACTTTCACTGCCTCTTGCTGGGCCTGCTCTCGGAGCGCGAGCTCCCGGCGCTGAGCATCGATGATTGAGACCAACGTCGCTCGCTCACTGCAACGAATCAATACACGGTGGCGACTCGTTTAGGTCCATTCATAAGCAGCATCCGAGTGAGCAAGACGCACCTTTCCCACGCCTCCTCTTCCTTCGACGTGGCGGCGGCCGCTCCACACGTTGCGTGTGAGCATCGAGGCGACTTGCTTGACCCTCGTGCGGTAGGCGTATGACCCTTCTTCATCTTAGACTTGGCGCCCGTTTTGCTTGTAACTTTCGACTGCCGCTCGTCGTCCACCGCGGAGCACTCCACAGGGCAGACCCGTGTCGGCGATTCGATCGTGCTTTGTCGCGGTTTCTGCCATCGTGAGAGCACACGTTGAGCTAGTAGCAAGAACTGAATTATTGCACAACCGTCTGAAGACTCACCCAGTTGGTCGTGCTCAGTGCAAACGGCTCGACCGTAGTCACTTTGCCAAAGTCCTTCGCCAGCATTACGCCAGCCAACCTGCACGCATCCAGACAGTACAGTCACGTTTAGCTTCGCAGAAACGACATCTTCTTCTCTATCTCTTCACCAACTTTTGCTGCGCCTCGTGGGCTTGCTCTCGTGCGCGTCCCTGGCGAGCCAAGTGCATCTGGATGGACGTCTCCTGCGACTCGGTCGGGTGGAGCAGCGCTGCCTCCGTTTCCACGCTCGTGGCAACCGTCGAGTGCTCGCCTCCATCGTCCTCGTCCTCCGCTGCAGCAGCGAAGTCCGCAGCCCGCAGCGACCGCGAGTTGGTCTGCCCCACATACAAGACACACCCTCGACTCTGTCACCCACCTCCCTCCTCACTACACTAGATCCAAACTGCAGCTACCGACTTTGGGCGAGAACGTGCACTCTTGCTCCTGTTGCGCGCGCAGCTCCTGCGACCTACTCGCCAGCTGCAGACACACGCACACCATCGACCATTGACCATTGACCATTGGCCGTAAGGTCTTGTCAGCACTAACTCGCATGCTCAACCCCCCTATAAATTAACCGGTCGCCACCTTGCGCTGTCCGTGCTGCTTCCACGCCAGTTGCTTGTCGTAGATGGTGCTGTCGATTGCAGGCGGCCCCGAAGGAGGCGGCGGTGGTGGAGGCATGGGCCCACTTACTATTGCGAGCGTCTAGCAGCTGCGTCGCTTCAAGTCGCAACGCTACACCACGTTTACACAAGTCGCATCTCTTGAGATTTGAGACTCGGCATTACTGTTGCCAGGCCAGGGCGCCCTCATGCCTCTCCGCCTGCCGCCGCTGTTGCCGCCTCGGGGCCCCGCGCCGGCCGCGCGCGTGCAAGCCTCGGCGTCTCCGGCGTCTTCCTCGCCCGCGTCCCCCGCCGCGCAGACGACGCTGCAGCTGGCGCAGAAGCCCAAGCCCAAGCCCAAGAAGCAGCAGCAGCAGAAGAAGAAGACGCAGCCGCCGACAGTCAAGCAGCCCGTGACGCTGGACGACGTGGAGCGCCAGCTCGTGGCGCAGCTGAGCGCGGACGTGCCGCCCGACACCAAGCGCCGCATGGCCAAGGCAGAGCTCAAGCGGCTCAAGCACTGCGAGATCGTGCGCCAGTCGCGCGTGCGCAAGAAGAACGAGCGCAAGGGCCTGCGCCAGGTGAACGACGAGCTCGAGGGGGAGCTGGACCAGCTGCTCGACGTCTACCGCCGCGAGCACGACTGGATGCACTTCGACGAGCGCCGCCTGCGCGACGTCCTGTTCAAGAAGTTCGTACACTCCATCTACGAGGTGCGCGGCCTGCGCCGGGAGAACGCGGAGCTCAGGGACCAGTTCCTCGTCTTCGACGCGCTGGGCGAGCAGCTGCAGCGCCTGCAGGGCGACTTCCAGATCCCGCGGCAGCTGCTCGGCGCGCGCACGTCCATCGGCACCATCCACTTCCAGGAGCTGAGCGAGGCCGAGGCCCGGGACATCATGATCGACTCGCACAGGCACGCCACGTCCTTCTTCGACACCATGCGGCGCGTCGAGGCGGACGAGCAGGAGAAGACCATGGGCTGGACGCAGCACCAGCGCATCACGCCCGACGGCCGCGTGCAGTTCAACTTCACCAAGCGGATCGAGACCATCGGCGCCGAGGAGCTCGTGGACAAGAGCTGGGAGATGTACTGCGACTTCGGTCTGTACCACGGCATCTATTCGTCCGTGCAGAAGCTCGAGATCCTGCAGAAGATCAACGACAACACGCTCCTGATCCGCCGAGACCTGCAGGAGGGGAGCTCGGCGCCGATCTTCCGCACCATTTTCCTGCTGTTCCGGATACGGCTGGCCAACGGCTACCTCATCTGCTTCCGGTCGCACAACCCGGCCGTGTGCGTCGAGGACGACGACGACCCGAACGTGCAGTGGATGGAGATGTTCTACTGGCTCATGATCACGGACCCTCCTGCCGAGAGGACGGTTCAGGGCATTATTGGCCCCCCGAGGCCCCCCATCCGAGGCTGCGACGTCACATTCGGCGGCAATTTACTCAACGGTCGGAGTACCAAGCACGCTACAATCTGGAAATACCAGATCGCCATGGCGCTGCTGCGATGGGAGAGTAACGCTGCTGCGCCACTGTTCGCGCTTTATGGATGAAAGTCTGCCTTATCTGCTGGCGAGATACTAACGCTAATTGTACTTATTATTTAACCCAAAATTGTTGTCATGACTTAAAGGTGTGACATCGAACGTCACCATTGAAGGAGGGATCGTAGAGAAGAGCATATTACTCCAGCGACTCGATCTCTGCGTCTTGCAGCGGTGCGTACTTGCTCGCCGAACCTCCAGCTTCTGAAAGAAAAAAAACGAGAAAAAAATATCTATCAGCCGTCTCGAAAGCATTGCAGGGCAAGAACAACGTGAGAGTTCTTACCAGTGGCGCGCTTGCGAAGTACGTGAATCGGAGGCGCGCACTTGTTATCATCCGCCGCAAATCTCAGCGTATTCTGAGATTTCCCGTTGGCATTTTGCATACTGAATGCCACAGCTTCTTCCGTGTCGGCACTTGGTGCCAATCTCTCCACTGGTCGACCCGTGGCAGCATCCACGCTTCGGATGCGTGAGGCGAAGTTACTCTGATGGATCAATGATCGAAGAGGGACCGTATCTGTCGAGGTACTGCTCGGTCCTTCGTCCTGTTCTTGCTGGAGCTTGGACGCGATAGCGCCAATGCTGTTCACTTCTTCCTCGTACACGCTGTCCGCGTCCTTACTCGACTCCCCAGTAGCCCTGAGCCGCCGTTTACTACGCCACGAACCCCTTTGAGTCAGCGTAGATGCAGCCTTGTCACCAAAATCATCGTCGACATGGTGCAGGTGGTGTGTCGGGTGGCGGAAGCTCGCATTCCAGTCAAGGGGGTCACTCGGCATGAGGATCTGCAGTAGCGGCGAGAACGCCGTGTAGCAGTCCTTGCCTTCTTTCAGCGCGTCGAACATCTTGTCCACGTGTCGAGGTAGCTCTTCCACCGTGATATTCAAGTAGCTGTTGGCATCTTCCCTCTCCGTCTCACTGCCATTGAAATCCTTGACCTGGCTGGTCGCAGTGTCAACCTTCGGGTCCTCCGAAGGCTTGAATTCAGCCCCAACACTAAAAGCGCCCATTCCTACGGACACCGCTGCGGCGGAGCTCGGGGAGTGGACGGGTGCCGCTCGCATGTGGAGTTTTCGTAGCTCGTCGACTATCTCGAGCAACGCCTTGCCCCAGTTCTCCTCCATGTCTGCCTTTGAACATACGCCAAGCTTCTTCGCCTTGAGGTGCTCGTACGCGCACTCGCAGATGCGAAGTGCCAAGTGCGAGAACGCGTGCTTGTGCGCCACCTTGACGAGATCCTCCGAGCTCAGAGACAACAGGTCGCACGCGCGCACACTGCGCACGGTAAACGCACTGATGGCACTCCCCAGCAGACCTCGTTCTCCGAAGAAGTCACCTCGGCGCAGTCCGATCGGACGGGTGAGCGCCAGCAGTGAGCGACTGTGCAGTCGCAAATGCCCTCGCAGTACAAAATACATTGCGCGTGCGATGCTGCCTTCCACGACAATGTTCTCGTCGGACGGATAGCCCTCAAAGTGCAGATGCTCCACCAAAGTGTGTCGGAAAAGCTCGAGCTCGTCGGCCCCCTCCCAGCAGATCGGGGTGATGATCTTCTTGAGAAACCAGTCCACCGGTTCCCTTGACACGTGCAGGACGCACGCCGTACGGATCGGCCGAGGCATCTCGCCTAGAATCTCCTCATAGTTCACGCCTGCGTGCGACGACCAAAGCGACGTCATGAAGGCGTGCGCGCGGGCTTTGAGTTGGTCGCTCACTCGAAGCCGCGCCAGGTAAATCTCGATTGCGATGTGGTTCTTGCGGAAGTCCACCTCGAGTCCAATGTACGAGATGAAGAGACTCGCGAGCTCGCCCAGCACGAACGACATGGTGATCAATCCGACGAACGAGACCGCGATGTGGAACGCATACAGCGATGCCGTCTGCGGTGGCAGGTTGCGAGCCTTCTTGATGAACGTCGTGGTCGCGAAGAAGAGACCTCGCACGAAGCGGAGCGCGAGCTGCGAGGGTGACGGGTCATCAGGATCGGAGATCACCAGCTCCTGAGACGGAAGCCAGGCGTCCCATTCCGTGCCAAAGCCCACCTGCGTTGCCACTGCGAGATACGCGCACGCCGCCCAGTATACCATGAGCAGATAGAGTATGGTGATGTACCAGAAGCGCGTGATCTCGTACGTGACGCTGCGTCGGTTGAGCTCGTCCAAGTAGCTCACGACGTTGAAAATCTTCAGACAGCGCAGCAATCTCAACGACGGACCGCAGTGGAAGTCGGACAGGAACCGGTGGAATGGGATGGCGGCAATGGTGTCCCACAGCATGCGCTCCTTCTTGTACATGGCGCGCAGATCCTGCTCGTACAGCTCCATGGACGCTGGCGATCCGCGTACGTGCCAACTGAACCAAACGTCCAGGATGAACACGAGCTCGCACAATAACCCAAAGGCCTTGATGATGACAGCCATCGGCGTCGTGCGCTCCAGATCATCCATGGCGAGTTGGTACGGGGTCAGAATCGAGATGTAGAGGATGCAGACGACCATGAACCGCAGCCACGCCAAGTGGAAGTCGCTCTGCACTTCGGTGCCCTCAATGAGGCAGTGAAGCGGGGTGATAACGTACCGCTCTATCCACTTGAGAGCTGTTCGCCCTGCACTCGCCACCATCGCAGCATGCCTGCTCTCCCCGTCCTGTAAACGCACATGCTGAATCTCCTCCTTGATCCGCTCCGCGCGCTGGTTCATGATGTCCGCGCGCGACAGCATTAAGCCCGTGGCAGCATCCGTTCCTCGGTGCTGCTCCTCGCGCGAGAGCTGCAGCAGGCGCGTTTGCTCGCGGTGGATGTTCACGATGCGCATGACCTTGTGTTTCCACTCGGGATACCGGTCGAATACGAGTTCGAGCGACTCGCGAGATAATTTGTACAGAATGCACGACGTCTGCGCCTGGATGTGCGAGTTGCGTCTGCCGTTGGTGAAGAGCCCGTTCTCTCCGAAGTAGCTGCCCGCCGAGATCTCGTTCACCTTCCGGAGCTGCTCGACAAGACTGTTCCTCTGGACATTCGGTCCGCTGGAAGAGCCTCTACGAATGCCCAGCCGCCACAGCTTAGTAGGCGGTGCACCATTTTTCGGGTTAATGGGCCCTGCTTTCGGCTCAAGTTTCTCTCGGATGCCTGTACCGTTCACGCCAGTCGAAGTGTTGACGACTCCGAGGGGTAGAAGCACGTCCAGCACCCCCGTGAAGACAAAGTACATATCGCTGCTCTTCTCGCCGACTCGGCAGATGAACTCGCCTCGAGAGACCAGCACCTGCGTGAACTGGGACACGAGCATGCGCGTGACGGAGCCCTCCATGCCGCTGAGGAACTCCACCTTCTCGATCATCTGCTTGAGGTGAACGAGTCTGATGTCCGTGAGTAGTGAAGGGGGTAGACAATGCACCAGAATATGCTCCTGCGTGATCGTGTGGAAGCGCTTGAAGAGGAAGAACGTCTTGAGTCGCTCTTGCAGCGCATCTGGCAGTTGGAAATGGTTGAGCATTTGCCGCACCGCGCCCATCTTGGCGTTGAACTCCCTCGTCTCGGAGCTCGTGAGCTCGATGATGTCCGTGAAGTTGCCGATCACGTACGCGAACAGGAAGAAGCCCGAGGTCATCGTGATAACGCTGAAGATGCACTGCGCCGTGGTCTTGGGGAACTCGGGCTCGCTCGAGGCCGACATGAGCCCGAAGGACCAGTACAGAGACGCCATATACTGCAGAATGTGCGGCGCGTGCTCCAGGTGCGCGTGCGGCAGCCAGTGGTTCTCTCCGAACGCCGTCTTCTTGGTGACAGGCAGCAAGGTGCTGGTGAAGTTGGGCACCGCCACCTTGGACGCGAAGTTGAACCAGATACACGCCAGCACGTGCGACAGCATGAACGTGTAGTACAGCAGCTTGAATAGACGCAGCTCCGTTGTGCGCTTCAGGTAGCGCGTCTCCAGCGCGTGGAGCTGCCTTGGAACCTTGAACAATCGCAGCAACTTGTTGATGTTGAGTAGATCCCAGCGCTCGTGGGCGGGCACACTCCAGTTCACAATGTACAGAGGCAAGAGTGCCGCGATATCCAGCGCGAACGTCCCGGAGCGAAAGTACGCGCGTTTAATCCGCTTGACGTTCATCATTTTGTTGCCGTACTCGTAGAATCCGAGGCGCGAGCGGATGTAGATGTCTAGAATGAAGCACACCTCCATGAAAACCATGATGATATCCGCAGTCTTGTGTCCGTCTTCCAGTGGGAAGCAGGCCTGGAACATGACGAGGATCCACTGCGCCGTCATGACGAAGAACACCCACGTCTCCCACGTTAGAATGAACATTGAGTCCGGGTCGTACACCGTGTGGTGCTTCAAGGACCCGAAGATGGCATTGCGGATGATAATGACCGTCGACTGGCGTCGGATGCGCCGCTGCGTCTCCTTGTTCACTGCCGACTTGGCCAGCTTGTTGTTGAGCAGCCTCTTCTCGAGCGTCAGCAGCTCCACTTTCAACGCTGGGAAGATGGCCTCCATCACGTGAAGTTGGTCTCGCGAAACAAAGAGTAAAATGCAGCCGCTGTTGGCGCTCACATGATCTGTGTAGCCCTCTCCGCGCTCCTGTTGCGTGAGCGCCGCTGTGCCGAAGAACCCGCCGCGAGGAACCTCCCGAGGCGGGCCACCCGCCGTCACGACACACACCTCCCCCTCCAGCAGGAAGAACATTCCTGTCACGTAGTCTCCATGTCTGTAAACTATCTCCCCCTGGCCGTAGAGGATGAATTTCGCGTTCTCCACCATAACCTCTTCCAGCTTGTCGTGCACGGGTCGGATGCCCTGGAGCAGCGCCAGCGTCTGCAGTACAGGCAAGCAGATACTACGCAGCACATCAAGTCGCACCGGCCTCGGTAGATCCGCCAGCAGCTCACCGATGTTGGCGCCTCTGTGCGAAGACCACCAGTAGTCGAGGAACGACTTGACGCGGTGGTGGATGGACAGCGGTGCGTTCTGCCGACGCAGAAACAGTTGAATGCGCGTGCTGGTCGCGAAGAACTCCTTCTGCTCGAAGGCAGAGGCGGTGAAGCGCTTCTGCACGTTGTCGACCACGATGGCCGTGATCAAAAACCCACTCAGCATCAGCAGAAGCGCTGCGATCAACTGAACGTCTGTCGCAGGCTCGACGCTTTTCCCCGGTGATGCCAGCACTCCGACTGCGTAGTACAGTGAGCGTGAGTATTCTAACGCGCTGATCTCCCGGAGGTCGCTGATACTCTCGCGCTCGTTGAAGACCGTGCTATTGCAGTTCTCTAGGTGTGTGGAGTTGAGCCGCCGCAGACAGAGGTTCGTCGACGAGATCCACGCTTCTTGCGCGTTCGGGTTGAATCCTTCGATGTACGAGATGGTGAAGTGAATACACGCTACGATGTGGAAGAGCATGATGAGCAGCACCCCCAGCAGCGTGAGTTGACGCCGGTTGTTCGTTGGGTAGAAGTACTCGATTTCACTCAGGTGGGTTTTCAAGTACAGCACCCGCAACAGCCGCGGAAGCCTCAGGAGGCCGTACCTCGCCATGTGCAAGTATTCGAAGGGCAGCGCGCACACGAGATCGAAGAAGAAAGGGCCTTCAAAGTACCGTTTGGCACTGCGCATCGGGTCCATGATCTTCTCCGAGTCGGCCGAGTACGACAGACTAAAGTTGAACAAAATGTCGACAAACAGACCGACGATGAAGATGGTGTCGACCGCTTGAGTGAGCCACGGCGGGCTTTGCCACAAGGGGAACACCATTTGAACCGGCACCATGAGCCACGAGTGGCACAGACTCACTTGCAGCAGGACGAGCCACCACAGACGAGCGCGCGAGTGGTGGTCGATGCACTTCTTGCGTAGAATGTATCGCCAGATGCCACGTCTCGGCTCGACGAGCGACTCGACCGATGGCTGCCGCGCGTGCATGGAGTGGTGGTGGGGATGTCTCGAGTTGCTGTGGTTCCCCATGGAGTGTTGCTGTCTCGAGTAGCTGTGGTTCCGCGCAGACAAGTGCGATGCGGGCTGCGAGTCGGTTGAGTCGATTTGCGTCGGGATGACGAGAGTGCGCTTCTTCGTGGGCATCAACGCGTCAGATAAACTGCGTCTCGAGTTAAACTCGCCGTTCATGGTCAGCACTCGCGTTAGTGTGCTGGTGATCGCCGACGTGCCCGCCGCGAGCCCAGCGGAGATGGAGTTGCTGCGTCCGTTAGTCTTCACGTTGATGGAGGCATTAGGGGACACGATACTGTTGACAATGTAGTTACTGTCCCCCTGCATCTCCCTCAGCGTTGCTTCGACGTGCGCGTCGATCATCATGGCGCATCGCGGGTATCCGTCCAGCACTCGCTCGCAGTGGAATCGCGAGAGTTTGTAGAGAATCGCGTACGTGGTTGACATGACGGTGGCAGTGCGCTTCATGGACGAGAAGACGGACAGTTCACCGAAGCAAGCGCCTTTGCGGATCTCGCGCACTGTGACGGACTTGATCACAACCGCAAGGACTCCCGAGTGGACGATGAACATGGCGTCTCCGTCGTCTCCAGCGGAGAAAAGAGTAGTCTGAGCTGGAATCGCGATCATCTCGAGTAAACTCGTCATGGCCACGATGAATGGGTCGCTGCAGCCTTCAAAGATCGGGATCTGGGCGATGATCGGCTTCAACAGCCCCACTTGAATGTCGTTGGCCACCGACCGACACAACCGCTTTGATGCCTCGCGGTCATTCGACTCGGCATCCGTGTAGTAGCGCTGCAATTCAAGTAATAAATCATCATAAGAAGTTAGCCTACTATAGTTATGGTGTAAAGTTCCGCAAGTACATACCCGCAGATACTCGACTGCCTGGACTTGTTGGCTTTCCGGGACGCGGTGGAAGGAGAGAAGATGTACAAGCTGGTTGATCCGCGCCTCGACGGCCTCTGAGTGGCCGCTCTCGCACTTGGAGATGACGAAAATGGTCGCAACCAGCGTCGTGAACATGGAAAACCCGCACAACGCGACCAGCGTCGTGAATAAAAACTCGCTGATGTGACGCGGTAGCTCCCCCTCAAAGAGCCCCGTCATGATACCGATACTCCAGAACAGTGAGCTCAGGTACTTGGTGTGCAGTGGGTGGTGGCTCTCCTCCTCCGGTGGCAGCCAGTGGTTCGTGTGGCTCTCGTTGTAGCCGAAGCTGTAGCGTATACACGCCAATACGTGGGCCATATACCCCATAGACACCACCACTTTGAGCAGCTTGAGCGCGACGAAGTTCTTCGCGTAGAGCTCGTCGAGACTCGAGATGAATTGGCCCAGTCTGAAGCAGCGGACGAACTTGAAAAAGGTGAGCCGTACTACCATGTAGTTGTCGCTGGTGAAGAACGCCTGCACCGGTAGAATGGCGATCACGTCCGTCGCGAACTGGTACGAGCGGAAGTATCGTCGCCGCGTGAGCTTCTTGTCGCGTACGAGGTTCCCGTCCGCGTAGAATCCCGTATGTGCTCGCACGTAGAAGTCCAGGAGGAACGCAGATTCACACACTAGCGCCATGACAAACTCTGCATTTGCCGTCGAGATGGCGTGCGGCTGGAAGGATAAAAAGTAGGGCACCATGAACATTTGGTAGAGCAGACACAGCAGTAGAACGTGCTCCCACGCGCGCACGGCGCGAGATTTCGGGTCGAACGCGTCCGTGACGTCGTTGTCCATGAGCGACTTTGCTCGGTTCTGCAGCGAGAACGCGTCCATGACCTGCTCGAGCGACCGCCTTCCCACTGAGAGACTGGCCATGGATCTGCGTCGACCTTGTGATACACTGCCGCCCTCCACCCGCCGAACGGCGTATCCGCTGATCATGCTCATGTTGGATTAGGCGGATGGTGCTGATCGGCCATGCGCGTGCTCGTGGTCGTTGATAATTGAGGTGGCGGAGGTGGTGATGGCGTCGGCCGAGGGTTCGTATGTCGGCGTTGCTGGCATCCACCGCCAAATTAACTTCCGTGTCCCAACACGAAACCAACTTGCACGTTTGCTATCTCGGGCGCCATCTCCATCCCCGAAGCAAAAATCGGTAACGATTAAGGTCAAGGTGGGGGGTGCCTCACGCCCACGCCACCCCAGGCAATTTACACAGTATGCGCATTGTCCAGCGCTTATAAACCCTGTAGCAAGCCGACACTGACGCCTTTGAGTGGACCGGGCAACACCAAGGCGCCTACCGCGTCACTCCATCCAGCGGCTCCAAACTTGGCCGTCTCCCAGTTTTGTTTAGCGACGCATCACGATGCCAGCGGCGCGACTCCGATCTCTGAGCAGCGTGACGGGGTTGCTCGATGAGATCATCATTCGACCATCCAGACGCGCTCGAGATCCGCAGGCAACGAGCCTGAAAATCTGGTACCAGGTGCTGCTCGTGAGTCTGCTCTACGAGTTCGCAGCTATTCCATTCATCATCACGTTCCAGCCGGAGATCCCGCTGACTGACAGCATCGCTGCGATCCTGTTCTACGAGTTCGAGTCGCTGTTTCTCGTCGATTTCTACGTCAAGCTCACCACGGGCTTCTACAAGGACGGCAACCTGGTGAACGACATCAAGGTCACGCACGTCAAGTACCTCAAATCCAGAGAGTTCGCGGTGGATTTACTCGCGATGATCCCCTTCTCCGCGCTTCCGGTGCGTTTGTCCACGTCTCCGATGGTCCTGGAAGCGCACAAGGTGCTTCGAGTGTACCGGATCCCGAGATACCTCTCAACTGTGGACGACGCCTACGTCCGGCATTTTGAGCTGCTCAAACTGTCCAAGCTGCTCGCTGGCGTCGTGTTACTATCGCACTACATCGCCTGCATCCGCTTCTCCTTCGGCTACGATGAGCACCACAACAACCACTGGCTGCCAGCGCCGCCTGAGCACGCAGCTACAACGCGTACGCAGTATTTGATGTCCATGTTCTGGGCGTTCGGCCTGCTCACGGGCCTGTTCGAGGGCGAACTGCCTCACAACATCAACGAGTTCTTCTTCACGATCGCGGTCGCCGTCTGCGGGTTCTCCGTCTTCACGTACCTCTGCGCCACGTTCTTCCTCATCTCCAAGTGCGAAGCCACCAACTCTGAGGTGTCCGAGGCGCGCATTACTCAGCTCAAGCACATTTTGACCTTCCACAGGGTGCCCGATCACGTGAAAGAGCCGATTATCGAGTACTTGAGAGTACGTGAGCTATACACTCTCGTCGTATTCAGTGGTTCCAGGCTAACACTTTATTTCACTGCATGCAGCACTACTACACCGGCACCGACACGATCGACCGCGAAGTTACCAAGCTTCTGTGCCCATCAATCGGCAAAGACGTCCAGATCGAGCTCCTCAGGGACGTCATCGCTAATATCCCCGTGTTTTCCGGCTGCAGACCCGAGTTCATCGAAGTGCTGACGTCGTTGCTGGAGCGGGTGTCTCTGCCCGCTCAGTGCACGCTCTTCAGCATTGGAGACCCGGGAGACGCCATGTACATTATCCAGGCCGGAGTTTTGGACGTTCTCGGACGGAAGGCCAAGATCCGAGAGCTCCGCAAGAACGACTTTGTGGGCGAGCTGTCGCTCTTCTCGAGCTTCCCTCGATCGGCCACAGTGGTGACCAACACGTACTGCGTGCTGTACAAACTCTCGCGGTTCCACACCGAGCTGGTTCTCGAAACGTATCCGACTGCCGCGTACGGGATTAAGAAGGTGGTGGACGCCATTATCGAGAAGACGCAGCTCAAGAGCAAGCTCGCGCCGGTGGATGCTCGTCCGTTGATCAAACCACGAAGAGCGAGCAGCAAAGAAAATCTGCAGAGTCCTTCTACCCAGACAGAAGCCTGGTCCGGGATGACCCCCGCTCCAAAGAAGAAGATGAGTCTGGTGATCCCCACGCTGTTCCACCCCAACGCGACGGTCTCTCCAGTGGAAGAAGTACCAACGCCTCCAGCAGCTCGCCAGCCAATGCACTCCACTGCAAAGCGTCCGCCGCGTCTCCAACTTCGACGAGTTTTAAGTATGAAGAAGAAGCGCTTGTCCGACGCGATGAAGGACGTGTACGACGAGTACACGGCTCCCCGAATCGATGCCGTTGTGCCGAAGCCCTGGTGGGCGGTTCTACTGCTGAAGCAGTGTCTGGACTGCACTGGCGCGTTTCGGATCGCTTGGATTGTTGCATTGGAGGTTGTTTTGGTCTTTAACTGGTGCTTGATCCCGCTGCAGCTCAGCTTTCCGGCCTTCGACGACATGGACTGGTTCATTTACGTGATTAATGGGGTCGCTGACGCGATTCTCTGGGTCGATATCTACGGGAATTTCAATCTGGGCTTCGAGCAGGCCTCCGAGACGATTCGAGACGCGACCAAGAGCGCTCCTAGATACTTGAAGGGCGCTTTCGTGTTTGATTTCTTATGTGTTCTACCGTACGAGATATTCACGCGCCCCACGCTACACTGCTTAGCGCGGGTGCCGCGCTTGTTAAGGTGGGCAAATAACAATAGTGGGCTTGGTGGGGTAGAACAGGTGTATTGATATTGTTTTTTTTTCTTTGTGATCGCAGAGTGTGGCGCGTCCCGGGGCATTTCCACGAGGTGGACGCGATCTACCCTCTCCGAAGCAAGTACCGCCTCATACTGTTCGCAGTTCTACTGTTTCTACTGATCCACATCGGGACGTGTCTGTACTTCAGCTTCACATCTTTCGTGGGGTTCTGTGACGAAGAGGAAGGGTGGCTATTGTACCATGACGTGGAGCTTCAACGCATCAATGAGACCCATTTCCTAGGCCACGGGGACGTCGTGTACAGTCTCCACGACGCAGAGCTCAAACGCATCGCCACGATGCAGTACTTGCGGTCGTTTTACTTCGCCACTCACAAGCTCACTGGTCTGGGCAAAGGTCTCGAGCCCGAGAACGATTTGGAGTATGTCGTCGCGCTGTTGTTCATGTTTAGCGGCTTCGTCATCACCGCTATCGTGGTCGATAACGTCCAGAAGCGCTTCACTGCGTCCGCGCACGAGGAAAAGGAGTTTTTCGCCATCCGATCACGAATCCAGGGGTTTCTGCGTCACCAGGACGTGCCGTTCGTCATCCACCACCGCGTCAACTTGTTCCTGGACTTCTGGTGGGCTTCGCACCGCGGCACATCGGTTGATGAGCTGCTAACAGAACTGCCCGTCTCCTTCAAGGTGGAGGTGTTGAGGAGTATCTACCTCCCGGCGCTGCAGACGTTGGCGCTGTTGACTGGCGTTCGCCCCTTTTTGAGCGGTCTAGAGGACACTTTGGTCGAGAACGCGGTGATGATGCTCTTCGGCCAGGGAGAATTCATCTATCGAGCAGGGGACAACGCGCGCGGACTCTACTTCTCCCTCGAAGGACGTGTAGTCCTCGACAAGAGCGGGAGACGTACCAAGGTGTCACGTGGAGGGTACTTTGGCACGGAAGTGCTCAGTATTGACACGATGCAAGCCGGGTATACCGAGGACGCGGTAGCCGAAAGCGGCTGTGTTGTCATTTTCCTATCGAGAGGTGCGCTCCACAAGCTGTACTCGGCGTTCCCGCCTCTTCCGTCCGAGCTGCTGCAGCTTGAGGCTCGACTGCTTCATACAAAGCTGGCCAAGTCGGCTTTCAATAGCCAAGACCTCCGCAAGTACTCCAAGTCTGTGCGTCGAGTGTGTATACTGTCGCGACCAGAGCGAGCGATCGACCCCGACTCGAAGTACGTTATCCTGTGGGAGACGTGGCTGTCTGTTGCCATGACGGTGCAGTGGATCCACGTATTGATCAACATTTGCTTCGGCGCACTGGCGGAGGCCTCCACTACGACTGACGCAGTCACAATAGCACTCGAAATTTCCTTCGTGGTCGACATTTACGTTCGGTTATGCCTCGGATATCGCGAGTACGGCAACAAGATCATGGACTTGGAGCTGATCCGTCGACGATACCTCCGCTCGTGGTATTTCGCCATCGATCTCACCGCTCTACTCCCGTTGTTCATGATCAACTGGCTGCCCTCTGTTCGACGGCGAGAGCTGTTTAATCTCAACAAAGTGGTGCGTTTACTGAAAGTTCCGAACCAGTTCCGAGCCTTGGAGCAGCGGTACATCAAGTTTACGAGCGAGCTGCGCATGATGAAGCTGGTGTACTACACGTTCCTGGCCACGCACATCCTCGGGTGCATCTACTTCGACTTCGCCTCTCACGCTTCAGGACTGTACGGCTCGGAGCTTGGTACTACCACGAGCTTCGGGGAGAACTCGTGGTCTCTGCCAAAGTCACTGGAGCACGGCGACTTACTGCATCAGTACTTCGCCTCCAACTTCTGGGCGTTCGGCATCATGTCCGCGTCCAACACGGGGGAGCCGCCGCAGACCACGCCGCAGTGCGTGCTCACCATTATCACGCTCAACATCGGCTTCTTCCTGTTCGCGTACGTGATCGGGAACTTCACGGACATCATCGAGCTCGCGAACGCCGAGCACCGCGAGTTCAACACGAAGCTGGGCTCGATTCGGCGGCTTCTGGTGCACTTCAAGCTGCCGATCGTGCTGCAGAACAAGATCAAGACGCTGCTGTTCTTCAAGCGCTTCCACTCCATCACGCAGGAGGAGGTGCTGGAGCGGTGGCTGCCTCCGCCGCTCATGACGGACATCCGGCTGCTCAACTTGAACCCGATGATCGACAAGGTGCCGTTCCTCAAGGGCATGAACGCGTCGATCACTCGGATGCTGGTGGCTCAGTTCAAGCAGGTGCTGATCCTCAAGGACGAGTTCGTCTACCGATTCGGGGACGACGGCACCGACATGTTCTTCGTCTTCACTGGGGTCCTCACCATGTTCGCTCCGAAGAGGAAGGACGCGTTGGGCTCTACTTCTGAAGGGATACTCGATTATGATCGCATGCGGACCATGCAGAAGGTGAGCGACGTCAGCGCGGGGGACTTCTTCGGGGAGAACGCACTGTTCGCCGACGCGCCTCGAACGTCTTCGGTCCGCAGCAAGTCGTCGTGCATTCTGTACTCGCTCTCGAGACACTCGCTGGAGATGGTGTTCGACCTGTTCCCGGACTGGAAGACGCGCGTCCTGCAGACGGCCAAGCTCCAGCAGAAGGAGATGAAGCAGCGCGGCAACTCGGTGGTGGCTCTCGTGCGCAGCTTCAACAGTTTGCCTGCGTTGAAGCCCATTGAGACTGCGACGCTGCCCACGGAGTACATCGTGCAGGGCGCCTTCGCCTCTCCTGGAAGCTGGTGCTGCTCTCTCGACTGGCTTGGCATGTTTGCAGCCGTCTTGGAGACGCAGAGTCCGTCGCATATTGTTTGGCTGCGTGTAGTGACTGCCAGCACGTTCTACGTGGCCTTCATGCTGCCGAGTTGCGTCGCGTTCGAGGCGTGTCGAACGTGGAGCGGACTCTCGCTAGGCGCCAATACCCTCGAAGTGTTCTGCTTCATAGTGTTCGTGGTGGACATTTGGGTCAATTTGCGGCTAAAGAAGACGGAGCTGGCGATGGAGCTTTACGAGGTGGACATCCAGGAGTCGTATCGCCACAGTAGACTGGCGGTGGACATCGTCGCCGCTCTACCGATCGAGTATCTGTTCTACATGTTCTCCCCGCCGACGGAAGTGGCCTGGCTGAGCGTGAACCACTGCGTCAAGGTGCTGAACGTCGCGCACTACATGAACGAGATCCACCGCCAGAGTGTTTCGTACGAGTGGGGGCGCCTTCAGACCATCTCGCTGCTCTACATGCTGGTCATGTACTGGGGTGCGTGCGCCTACCTCCTGTTCGCAGACCTCGAAGGCTACAGCACCGAGTGGAACTCGTGGTTCCCCTCGGTAGAACTCGACGTGGACGACGATTCTCCCATGTACATGTTGAACCTCCGTCTGCTGCGTGGGCTGTTCTTCGCCGTCACGGCCTTCATCAAGAAGGGGCGGACGTTCATGCCCGAGGGCAACGGCTTCATCTTCGCCGTCATCGTGTGCTTCCTAGGGCTGATGGTCATGGCCTTCATGATCGGAGAGATCGCCAGCCTCTTCATCTCGTCCATCGACGACGAAGTCAACTACCGCAAGAACCACATTGCCGTGGAGCACACGATCGCGCGCTGGAAGGTCAGTCCAGCGCTCAACACGCGCGTGCACGTCTTCCTGTCCAACCTGTGGTCTTCGCATCGAGGCGTGGTCTACCAAGAAGTGTTTAGCACTCTACCCCCGCAGATCCGCCAGGAAACCGTGCTGCACATTGTGGATTTACCGCTGCAGGCGTTCCTCTTCAAAGTGTTCCGTCCGCTAGCGCAGGGCGATGGCCCCAGCCTCACGCGACTCACCCAGGCCATCGCAGACCAGCTACGCTTCGACAGTTATCCGAGCGGGGAGTACGTCCTGCAGGAGGAGCGGATGCCAGAGGGGGTCTTCTTCGTCGTGTCGGGCCATCTATTGGCGACCACGAAAGCTCGAGGCCCCGATCAGCCCGTCGCTCAGTACATGCGAGGCGACAACTTTGGAGAGCGCGCGATCCTCACATACTCCATGAGCAACGTCTCGGTGCAGACGCAGATGCCGTGCGACCTGTTCCTGCTGAGCACGCACAGCCTAGTGAGCATCCTGAGCGGCGACGAGTTCTTCTCCATCGTGCAGATCGCGGTTGAGAGCCTCTTCCACGCGCTGCACCGACAGCAGCGGAAGCAGGGAGGGCGTTCTCCCTTCCCCATGACCCCGTCCGTCTGGGAGCAGTGTCTTCGGAAGGTGCTCCACCGCCAGCGACTGAGGTGGGCGCTCAACAGCATGGACGGTGATTCTACCCCGTCATCCAAAGGTGAAGTGCTTTGGAGCAAGCTGCTCACGAGCGTCCTGGACAACAGCGACGCGGCGCTGTCATGCTTCCAAGTGTTCCGTCCCTTCCTGGAGATGGCAGGGCCCAAGGGCGAACTGTTCGACCGGATCGCGCCTCAGAGACGCGTTGCGAACGGTCTGGCGAGCTCAAGGAAGAAAGCGGGGGAGCAGTTCCGCTCGCTCGCCCGCCAAATCGGCATCGCGGCTATCAGCACGAAAAACCGCGTGGTTCCGATCCTGAACGGCAGCACAGTCTCCAAGATCAGCTCCATTTCGAGAGGGAGCTCCGTGTCACGAGGCCGAGGCCGAGACCGCTCCACGCGGTTCTTCACTGAGAGATCGCAGAGAGTTCGGGAACCGACGAACGACGCGTAGATGCCTACGGGTGGGTGGCCTACAGTTCACATCATGGGCAAATGCAGCGATCGAACGCCGTGCTTGCAGTTTAGAGCTGCTCATCCGCCTGACAAGACAAAGTCGGAGGGGAGGGTAAGTGGCGTCGATTGCACTCGTACCAATTGTACATACAACCGTTTAACATCTACAACAACACGGCGAATCGTGAATCCAGGAGAGGAGTACGCTGAAGATCAAGGAAAACTTATCGTTATAGTGACGATCATGAATTCAATTCAGGATATCTTTTACAGATGCAGTTGAAGCTGGAGAACCGAATCGCGAACTTGTCTGGTAAGCGATCATGTTACGAGGACAAATACACTTGCTTGGAACGGCTCCTAGTCATCTTGGCACCGTGTGGATATCATCACATCAGTCGCAACTGGAGGCCGGCCACCCGGCAGCTTGCGCCTCGATGAACCAAGTTTTGACTTGTAGACTCATAACTCGTTGAAGTTGGTTCTCAGATATATACGGAGTCGTCCTGATACAGGTGCCTGCGCTGCCGGGCATCCTAGATTATGATTCAAAGAAAAACTTAGTTAGCTTTCCCTTCCTCAAACGATTGATCCTTCGCTTCGCTAGTCAGCATATTCCAAAGGGAGACAACTCGATATTAAGATGCGCACGAGTGACCGCATACTTGGTCAATTGTTTGGCGGCATGCTCGAAGGCATCGGTAGTCGAAGTCGCAGATGTACAACCGCGCCTTGATGGGTAGCCAGGTTTCTACGTGAACACGCATTATCTCGTATGATATGGCAGCCAGATGGCGTGTTAGCGTAATGGAGAGGCTTTGCAGGCGCTTCCTTCTTCACGAATATTTGCGTTGCTGTTGTTTTGTAGGCATCCCTCCGTCCGCAGAGTATCCTGTGCTCACCTGGGAGCATCCTCCCTTCGCCTGCACTTCTAAACAATTAACACGCCGTGGATTAGACGAGCGGCAGCACTACCGGTTCTGATTCAAATGCAAGCTCAAATTTCGGTCTCAGTATCGCCTGCCGCAACCTAAATCCCTATGCTCAGTCGATTCGGCTCAGTGAGCCGAGGCGGCAGGCAGTCACGCTTCCCGGTGGTGCATCTTCACGATGTGCTCGTTGCCCTAGCGGATCCGCTTGATGTGCTTTTTCGTGGATTAATGGCGGCACCGTGGAGATTAACGCCCAAACATTTGACGTACAGACGCTACCGGTATCGTCCTAGTGTGCAATGCCCCCCCCCCAAGGCTCAATCGAGGCAAGCAACACAAGGAGAAATCCAGGCGTGAGCCGGACTAGCAGCGGGCAACCGCCAGACGCTCAAGCCATGTGATAGATCAAAAGCCTGCAGATATTACAGCGGAGATCGTGGAATCGTGACTAGCGACTTGAGGCTGTGCACCCGGCAGCAGGCCCCGCTCTTATCCCGTATGGGGCTATTCGATTCATCTGCTTTGACAAAGGTCAGCGACGTCTTTGTGCAGTCCATGCCGTCCTTCCTCAACGTAGCGCGTTCTGTCGGTTGTTCCGCCAGCGGATTAATCTCCACAACTCGCGCACTCACTCGTTCATTCCCAATTCCACCGCGTCCGACGCAGGTCTTGCACTCGACTCGACTCCTCTTCGCCTCTCAAGACCCCCCTCACCTGCTTCGGACCCGGTCCACCATGTCGAAAGGACCGTTCCTCACCGCGGAGGACTGCAAGTCCGCCTTCAACCTCTTCTGCTGCATCTACGGTATCGGCACGCTCGGCATGCCCGGCAACTTCGCGCGCGCCGGACCGACCATCGCCGTCATTGCCATGGCGTTCATGGCATTTGCCAACATCTACTCGTCTATCACCATGTCCAAGGTCATGCTGCTGGCGCCACGGTCCGTCAAGACGTTCGGAGACCTCGGTCAATGGAGCATGGGCGCCACCGGCCGCTGGCTGTGCGTCGTCACGCAAATGGGCTCGTGCCTACTGATCCCGTGCGTGTTCCTGGTGCTCGGCGGCCAGTTGCTTGACGGCCTCTTTCCCGAGGCCTTCAGCCAGTCCACGTGGACCATCTTGATGGCGCTCATGGTGCTGCCCGTGTGCTTGGTGCCGACGCTCAAGGAAGGATCGGGCGCCGCGTTCGCCGGCTGCATGGGCACCATCATCGCCGACGTCATCGGTGTCGCAGTGGTCATCCACGGCATGCGCGGCCACCCGGACGTGCCGTTCCCGGAGCTCAAGTTCTCGCAGGTGGCGGGCGTGTTCGGCAACCTGTCGCTCGCGTATGGCGCCGGCATCGTGATCCCGGACCTGCAGCGCCAGCACAGCGACCCGACCCGCATGCCCCGCGTGGTCGGCGTCACGGTCGCGTTCGTGTCGTGCCTGTTCCTGGTGCTCGCTAGTACGGCGTACTCGGCTGTGGGCTGCCAGATCTCGGGCAACCTGCTCTTCACGATCTACCCGGACCACGCGACGGGCATGACGTCGCTCGGCTTCAAGCCCAACTGGGGCATCGTGGTGCTGGCCTACCTGTTCATGCAGCTGCACATTACCATCGCCTTCTCGGTGATCCTGAACCCGGCCTTCTACATCTCGGAGCGTCTGCTGCTGGGCATGCACAAGGTGCAGACCCAGGAGCTCGAGAACGGCTTTGTCTACGAGCCGTCTTCGTCGCCGACGCAGGCGCTAGCCAAGCAGTCGGACGCTGGCTTCGCGAACACCAACAACTCGGTCGTGAACGAGAACCGGCGGTCCAAGATGTCGTACGTGTCGGTGGCTGACTCGGAGCGTGTGCACAAGGACAACGAAGAGGAGGAGGCGGCGGAGTACAAGGGCGCGAACGTGCTCAAGTACGTGGCGCTGCGTATCGCCATCGTGGTGGTGCTGGTGATTCTGGCCATCGTGTTCAAGGACCACTTCTCGGAGTTTGCGGACTTCGTGGGCGCGTCGTGCATCACCATGAACTGTATCCTGCTGCCGATTGTGTTCTACCTCATCAAGGCGTGGGAGCGCGTGCCGGTGTACGAGAAGGCTGCTGCGATCGTGGTGGTGATCGTGTGCTTCATTCTCGGCTGCTACGTGACGTACACGACCGGCAAGGCTCTGTTCTCTCCGACCGAGAGCGACAAGGAGTTCCCGTTCTGCGACTCGGAGTTTGAGAACATCATCTACTACAACTACACGGCCGCCCACGAGGCTTAGGCACCTCTTTGTTAGACATGGTTGCAGGCCTGTTTCGCCTTCTTTGAATGTACTTTCCTTGATTGTCAATTTTGTCTGATGAAAGCTTGTTGAGCTCACATCGCGTAAAGTTGTAGGTGGGTATCCAATGTCAATGAAACTTTTTAAAGTTTTGATTTCAATTTTAAAAAATTAACAGTAAACATGAAATCATGAAGGCTATGATCGCGCCGTACAGTTACCGGTAGGTAAATCGAGAAAAGTTCATATGTATTGCTTTTTGGTGTTTATGCATGAAAATCAGACAATCTCAGCAGCGTTCGAATAGGCGACGCCCCCAAAGACGCGGTGGTTTAGGTCTCGTGCGCAGCAGTGTAGTTGTAGTACACCTTGTTCTCGTACTCGGAGTCGCAGTAGGGGAATTCCGCGTCGTTGTCGGTGGGGAAGAACAGGTCCTTGCCGGTCGTGTACGATACGTAGCATCCGAGCACGAAGCAGACGAGCAGCACGATGCTGCCAGCGACCTTCTCGTACATGGGCACGCGCTCCCACGCCTTGATGAGGTAGAACACAATCGGCAGCAGGATACAGTTCATGGTGATGCACGACGCGCCCACGAAGTCCGCGAACTCCGAGAAGTGGTCCTTGAACACGATGGCCAGAATCACCAGCGCCACCACGATGGCGATACGCAGCGCCACGTACTTGAGCGCGTTCGAGCCCGTGTACTCCGCAGCTTCCTCCTCTTCGTTGTCCTTGTGCACTCGCTCCGAGTCCGCCACCGACACAAAGGACATCTTGGAGCTGCGACGAACCGGGTGGCTGACACTGGCGTAACCGGGGTCCGAGTGCTTCGACAGCAAGTCGGCAGGCGTAGCAGACTCCTCAAAGCCGAAGCCGTTCTCGAGCTCCTCGTTCTTCTTCTTGTGCATGCCCAGCAGCAGACGCTCCGAGATGTAGAAGGCCGGGTTCAGGATCACCGAGAAGGCGATGGTAATGTGCAGCTGCATGAACAAATATGCCATCACAACGACTCCCCACCGCGGCTTGAAGCCGAGCGACGTCATACCCGTGTCACTGTCCGGGTAGATAGTGAAGAGCAGGTTGCCCGAGATCTGGCAGCCCACAGCCGAGTACGCAGTGCTCGAGAGGATCAAGAAGAGGCACGACACGAAGATGACAGTGACGCCGACAACGCGGGGCATGCGGGTCGGGTCACTATGCTGACGCTGCAGGTCCGGGATGATAATGCCAGCGCCATAGGCGAGGGACAAGTTGCCAAACATGTTGGCCACCTGCTCAAACTTGAGGTCGGGGAACGGCACACTCGGGTGGCCGCGCATGCCGTACATAACGACCGATACGCCAATGATATCAGCGATGATGGTGCCCATGCACCCGGCGAATGCAGCGCCGGAGCCCTCCTTGAGCGTGGGAATGAGGCACACCGGCAAGACCATCAGCGCCATGAAAATGGTCCACGTGTTTTGGCTCCATGCGTCCGGGAAGAGGCCGTCGAGCAGTTGACCGCCGAGGATCAAGAAGACGCACGGGATCAAGAGCGAAGAGCCCATTTGCGAGATGACGCACAGCCAGCGGCCAGTCTTACCCATGCTCCATTCCCCGAGGTCTCCGAACGTGTTGACCGACCTGGGGGCGAGCAGCATGACCTTGGACATGGTGATGGACGAGTACGTGTTGGCGAAGGCCATGAAGGCCAAGGCGAAACATGCCAGGGTGGGGCCGGCGCGAGCGAAGTTGCCGGGCATACCAAGTGTACCAATGCCGTAGATGCAGCAGAAGAGGTTGAAACACGACTTGAAGTCCTCAGCCGTGAGGAACGGTCCCTTCGCCATGTTGAGCGAGGAGTTGTCGAGGTGGAGTGGAGGGAGACTTGGTTGTGTCGGACGCGGCGAAATTGGAAATGAGCAAGTACCAACTCGACTGCGCGAAGACTGCCACTTAGACTTCGGAGGTGGGTTCTCTTGTTGGGCGTTCTGTAAGCTTACCGGTATCAGCATATGCACGCCTGTGTGTGAGCCAGGGCCTTCATTCTTCAACATCGTTTCAAGTGCCCGTGCTCCGGCTCAATGAGGCGGGCTCTGTACTTTCGAGTCAAAGCGCGGCGTAAGCCGTGATGCTCCACGCACAATCTTACTTCCGAATCCCATAACTTCAGGGCTGGAGGAGGCCAACTCAATGGCATTGCTGCCGGTGAATTATTATATTAAGAGCATGCTGGTAGCTGAGCAGTAAATGTAAATGCCAGTGGCTGGCGACTTTGCGTAGATAACTACATTTACCCCCTCGGATCCTGCGGTTGAAGTGGAGGTTAAGCAAAAGTTTCGCTACTCATGATACTCATGAATGCTATCCTTGACAGAAACAACAGGTGGAATGAGAATGGCTCCGTACACAGTCTATCCGGGAGGGGGTGAAAGAGGGCCAACGGAGGTGAGCGGTTGCGAGGAGCGTAGCCGCAGCAAACCCGCGCGGGGTGCCCGCGAAGCAGGGCCGCGCGGTATTTGCGAAGGCGGGCCCAGCGACGAGCATTCCAGCGAGCCGAGCACTGTTCTCGCCAGGTGAGAGAATCTTTTTATCGCAGGAGCGCAGCGACTGCCTTTGCGGAGCGGAGCGGAGCAAAGTACCCCCTGCTGGGTGTCATCCGTCCTGCGTAGGGTGATGGGCTCCCAATACAAATTCTAAGCTTTGTAATAATATTAGCCAAATCAGACTGTGTACGTAGCCTCTGTCCAGGTGGAATTGCCCAACTTTTTGGCTTCAAGCTCAGCATCTGACTTCGGAAAATCCCGTGTTCGACAAATGTTGTAGAGGAGCGAGCTCGCGACGTCTCAACGCTGTCAGCGCCGAATGATGAGCATTTGGTTCGAGTTCAGCGAGGAATCGCAGCCTGGTGTTGATCGCTTACTGTGTGTAGTGTGTACATCTAGTGCAGACCTACAGAAGGGATCCGTTCGAAGCTAAGTCGCTTTGCCGTGGAAGCCAACTTGCAGCCGCAGTGCAAAGCTATCGAGCATTGGCCTCCGTATCTCTGCTGACCAAGCTGAACAATTCGTAATCTTCCCGATTTCACCGCACTCTTCGCGTGGGTCGGTCGGTTTACATAGGTAGTGGTGTAGCGCTGGTGCAGCCATATCCGCGTAGCGATGACAAAGCACACTGTAGAGAAAACAAAGACCAGCATAGTTAGGTAGGGTCGAGCTTTTCTACGTGAACACGAAAGTGAACGGATCTAAGTCGTCAATTCTGAGCACTATCTCGTAGGTGTGGTGTACACCTTCCGAGGAAGAGACAAACCCACAAGTACTATATATCCGGAGCCTTTGCGCAAGTTGAGGATGCTCTCCTGCGGCTTGCCCACTTTAAAAACCAGGATGGGCAGCCGGAGCATCCGCGGAGTCGGCAAATTTCGAGATATATTGACGAAATTGTCGACAAAATTGTCGACAAAATCAATCGAATGACGGCACCAGGCGCATGAGCTTGTTGTCATTGAGTGTGTGGTGTAAAATTCGCAAATTTAATACAGGGGTGCAGGTAAATTAAAAGTTTGTACGCCCGACGATTGCAAAGTAAAACGAAGTTGGATAGATTACAATCGATGCGTGAAAACCGCGACTTTTGGAATACTAGGGCTCCGCGAAGGCTGGGATAGGATTTTAGGGGGTAGGTGGGAGTTGGAATCGGTCGGTACCAACATCAATACTACGTACTGTGATCTTCACCAATTCTGTCAGTCGATTGGGCTCGCTAATTCAACGTCAAATCTTAAATTGAACATTGAGTAAGCGACTTGCCCCACGATGCACGATCGAAAAGCTCGATTTAAGGTTGATTTACACGGGAAATTGTGGATTGTCTGCAGCAAATGCGATAATCAAAGCCTAAGCGACAGCCTCCTACAGAATGACATCCAATACCATCGAAGCGAGGGTCGTGGGGTTATGGTAAAGTGAAAATACAAAACTATGATTTACGCCTTCGTTTAGACAGAATGAGAGCAAAGTACTTTTAAGTATCATAATATCGGCTTGTTAAAACTAGCCTGGTGTTTGCTATATAATAGCAACAACACTAGGAGCGAAAATGTTTTTAGCCACGGACCGGAATGCTCATAATCAGGTTAGCTGCGTCCACAAGGGCCAGAATGTATTCTTCACGCTGGATTCGAGGTTCCCCCATCCCGACCAGGAGCGGCCCTATATAAAACTCGTAATGGTGCACAGGATCGTCGTACCGATACGTCTCTAGGCCCCTTTCCGCACTGACTGTAAGTCCACGCCAAACTTGTAGAAATGCCGCTGCATGACTGCGTCCACCCCGTAAGACTCTCGATCGAAGTGCCACCGCATTTCGGGTAGCATCGATGATTCTCCTCCAAGCCAAACTATCTAACAGGAGCCCCTCAAGGAAATGGAGGTGGAGACTTAGTTTGTCTTCCCGCGTAGGAGGCCCGCCCTGCACAGCCTCTACTTGCATCAATCGAGTTTCATACCACGGTCCAACCGGCGAAACACCGTCAGGGCCACCAGATTCTTCAACGACGTCGAGTGTAACTGAGATCGGGTCAACCAGAATTTGTGCTCTCCCCTCGAAAACTTGTTCAATCAAATGATATTGGTGTACCAACGATATCGGCGATATCATAAACCGGTCCATTTGCAATAGCGGTGCAATTATATGGAGAAGGCCGTAGGCAACGCACGTGATGAAGTCGGGAACAAATGCTTCACGGTAAAACCACGCGAACGGCTCAACTCCTCTTACGATCATTGCCAACCTTACTTCAAGGGAAATTGGGAAATGAGCTTTGGTAGAGCGGCTTCAGCTTTCGCAATGGACAGACAAAGTGGTAATCTATCAATCTCCTCAAACGGAGGATAAGAAATCAATCTGCTAAACGTAGGTTTACCCGTCTTAAACCCATGACTGAACCGTTCTTTATAAGAGAATCGATCCGCGGTCAGCAAACCGCAAACAGGGAAGATATTCTTAAAGATTGGTGTTGATATTTTGTTCACCAAGTTACTTTTACGAAGAAAACTCAGCAAAATTACCTACTTCGAAGTAGTACTTTAAATGGTTTGGGCTACCCTGCGTTCCCAGAAAAAACGAAATTTAACAGTAAAGAAGAATGGTGTACTTGTTTTAATTGTAGAAGTGGCGTTAAATGCTAGAAACCAGGCTATAAAATGAATGCAGAGAGGAAAGTCGAGTGTATCCGCGCAGATTACTTCTTTGCCGTGGCGAGAGAGCTCCGGGGATCCATGGTAATTGAGGTTCGTGCAGAACTCGCAAGCTTTTTGCCTTGAAACTCCGTAACTCGGCACCCTTGCAGTGCAACCGTTCTTGTTTTGTGCTCGTTCGTCAGTCTCGTTGCGAAAGCACCCCATAAGGTACAGCAAACTTCCGCCTTCGTGTTGTCGATCAGTCGAAGCTCCCGATATTTGGATGCACCTCCATTGCTGGTCTTTACCTTACCAAGGCTTTCAATGGTAGCAATCACGTTCACGTAGACCCCAACGTCACTCGTTAAAACTTGATCGATGGTGCACCAGGGGAACTGCTCTTGTAAGTTGGGAATCTCATTGAGGTTTTGATGATACCAGTCGATTAGTCCGGTAGCCTCGGGGATATCAGGCTGAACAGCATACGATGTCGTCATCACAGTCGCGAGCTCGACACCATCGCGGCGCGATATACGCGCACTTTTAACTGCGTACACCTTACCGACCCAACTGCCAGAGGCGTCACGCGCTGCGTCCCTCCAGAAAACACACCTCACCTCAGTGTTTGTCGAGTCCAGTATTGTGATAGTGCGGGGGCAGGTCTCGGGAAAAGTGCGCAAATCTTCGACATGCGTAACGATTCCAACAACGTCGACGAATGTATCCGCGTCTAGGTTTCGCAGACGATTGATGGGCCGAAAGTTCTAGCTAGTACGAGGAATCGAGCCGTCGTCGGTCTGCATTCGAACAATCGTGTCCTCATTCAAAATCAACTGGAATGGCTGATTTTCCATCGCAAACATCCTCTTGGTACGCCGAATTTTTGCGTGGGACACCAAAACAACCGATCCACACAAGAGAAGCGGCTCCAGTAGGCTGGTGGCTGCTCCGAAGACTGTCGCTCGAATTTCACCCCCGTCTCGATCCACCAATTGCGCACTGAAGACGTTGCCACTCGACTCGCCGCTGTCGAAACTACGAACGGGGTTTTTAGCCACCACACGAGCTTTAAGACTCCATCTACCTACGGTGGCGTCATTTAGTTGGCTGACCAGTTTGAAATTGCGTGATCCGTCACTCTGAGTTTGCTCTTTTTGCAACGGAGCCGAGCTCTTTGCTTCTGCATGACACGCGGATTGCGTGTCTCTATCGCCTCCTTTATTAGTCCCAGCTAGATGCGAATCGCTTCCTGGAGTTAGGCCATTCTCACTGGTTCCAGGCTCCTCTTTTTCTTCACATTCGATCTCTGAAGGCAATGCAGTGCCCCTGTCGTCGCACTTCGTCTCGGAAACACGTTCCGCTACTGGCTTGGGTGTAGCTACAGAAGAAGGCGCGACGGTACTACAGCATCGCGGCGAGGTTTTGTTTGCAGCTGCGGGCTCGGTGCTGGAAATAAATGCGGCTCTACAGTCCATGGCGAAAAATGACGAATGAGTGCAGCATTAGGAGAAATCAGCACTGAAGTCAGACCTATCAACCCCTGTCAGACGATTGACGGACTGGATGCTACATGATTCAGCGCAGCGTGTAATTTTCCGTCTCTCACAAGAGTCCTCCTACTCAGACTTAGATGGGTGGGAGCTTATGCTCGTCAAAGTTTTTTTTTTTTTGCACAAAATATACCTAGGTTTAGATTTTGAGTAATCCGATTTTTCCCCAGTTATCTTTATTTTGTTGCGCACCAAGGTAATCTATGCCGACAAAGTACATCTTTGGAAAAGGAAGCGCCTTAAACAGGAGACGTTGGACACGTTTTTGAACCCAGTTGAGCCTGAAGGAGTCAGCCGCGGATACCGCTTTAAAAAACATTGTGCGGGGTTCGAATTCATTGAGCGGAACATCGGGGCTCTGCAGACGAGCAAATGGAAGAAGAGAAAATGCCAATGTACGACCGAGTGTAGCAGTCGCTGCTCTAACCGCCTTCGCCGTATCGAATGTGATGAAAGTACATGCGCGTTCGCCCAGTGTCAAAATCGACCGTGGTCGTCGTACGCAGTGAGAAGCCCGCATTTGGAAGTACGTCGTACTCTTCGTATGGGCCGCGGGGTTTTTGCCTTGGTCAAGATTTTAAAGGGCGACCTCATCCGGGAATTCGTCGGCGAAGTTATTAGCCGACATGAAAAGATCTTCGCGAGAAGTATTCGCCGTGTTTGTACACTATGAAGTACCGTGTGAAGCACTACATCGATGCTCAAGAATTCGGCAACAAATCACGTCTGTTCAACCATAGCTGTGAACCGAATTCTAGGGCGGAGGAGTGGACTGTTGCCGGGAACTACCGTGTTGGAATCGTAGCTGGACGCGACATACAAGCAGGTGTAACAGGTCTAACTGGTACATCTGGCCTAGAATGTATGAAGATCGGGGCTTGAAGTTGAGCACGTCAGTGTGGACCACGCGAGGGAGCTGAGGGATCTGCAGCAGTGCAAGAGGTCCACATGGAAGTCAGTCCAGAATTAGGCGAGTAGCGAACAGGACAAGCGAGAGACGGTAGCGAACAGGACAAGCAGAGAGCAGTACATGACGACGGCAACGGTGGACGGATGACGGCGAGCGTCGAGGAACGGTAGACGGATGTGGCTGGTGGCGGGCGATGGACGAAGTTGCTGGTAGGGTCCGCGCGGTAGAGCTGTGGCTCGAGTTTGCTGATGGCTGCACGAGGTACGGGTAGGCGCGGGTGGGCGTATTCCCGGTGGCTAAGTGAGCGTCGCAGCAGTTTAGTTCGTAGTTTGCTAGTGATGGTCGAGTAGTTGCGTTTGCGTTCTAGTGACGAGCGGTGGACGAGCAAGTGTGAGCGATGGTGAGCGGTGACGGACGAACGAGTGTCGATGGACGAACGGTGATCGGGTGACGAACGAGACGAAGACGAGCAATATAATTGGAGCCCCGCGAGGGTGCCTCCGCCGCGGAGACGTCAGTTGAGTCTCCGTCGGTCATCTGGTGTTGTTCATATGTGTAGGACATGCACAAACACTGATCGAGCTAAGTGTCTCCGAGGTGTCCATGAAATCGAGATGCCTGAGCTTGTACGACCCGCCGGCAAGCAGGCGACATGAGACTTGTTACACAGGTGAAGAGATCACTTTTGACTACGGTAGCGAGTACTACTTCAACGAATGCATGTGTTCTGTCTGCTGCAAAGTTAGCAATTGAGTAAGGTAATTACGTTTAATCGAGATCATTAATAGTTTCAAACGTCAACAACCAGAGTTACCAATAGCGTGCACCCACCAGCTTAAATTATCTTTTGGCGGCGCATACACTCTTCACGTTCTCGGAGTTTGCGTGGTTGCGTGAGTTATTGACGGACCGGAAAAGTCGCATCGACCATACCGTATAAAGTAAACGCATTCGTAATTCTAACTTTCACACAGGGCCTAGTTCTCTTTTTATTCGCAAACATACTAGTATATTGTAGTCACTTAGCTCTGGTAATGACCTCTAATCACCACTTAGGCTACTGCCGTCCCCTTACGTCGCCGGCATGTAATGCGTGACCAAATCGAACTACGAGCTACCAACACTAAAAAAGGCTCATACCTACTCGTCCCCTGCTTCGCACAACATATCCACCACCTCGTGATCCCACCCGTGCATCCGAGCGAGGCTCTTAATATGGATTGCATTCGTTTCGACGTGATGCGGGTAAAGAGACTGAGTGATCCTTAAAAGGAACGCGCCTATCTTTCAAAATCAGTCAGCGAGTCAAAGTCGAAGATTTACTTGCAAGTAATCGTTGACCACCGCCACACGCTGCGACCATTTGGCTCCTCATTCCAGTCTTCTCGATATTTTCAAGCACGGGCAGTTTGCGCTGACACATCCAGAAAAAATGCAGACCCGACGATAAATATCACGACAAAATATTTATCTGCAATGTATAGGCTAAGTGTTTATTTTCTCATTAACAAACGATAGCTCAATAGCACGGCGAGTATACTTTAGCACGCCACAGCCACTGTTCTCTTTAACCAGTTGCCTCCCTCTTTCCGACAATGCATCTTCTACTGCTACACCATGAGCAAATAGGCTCCTTCTTCGTGGACGCTGTCGAAGCCGTGCGGGGCCATCCTCATAATGGCCTCGCTGACCTCCAGGTTGACATGGTTCTCTGTCCACGAATACCGTTGGTTCCTGCTCAACTACCATAAGATTCTCATGTCATACACGAACAAGGAGACCACGCAGTCCTACATCGCGACGTATCCAAGATCCGTCGTCAACGACCTCGCCGCCTTGTACACGGAGTCACTCGCAACGGGCATGATTATGTTGTGCGTCTACGCCATCACGGACCAGCACGGGTTGTTTGTTTATTGACTTTTGCGAATGGGTTTAAGGATCGCCGCGACTTGGTATATCCATTCAATTCCTACAACACCTGCACGATGATGATTTCTCATTATTCTCCAGGGTTCAAGCGCTGCACTTTGTAGAGTCCACTTACGCTTTCAAAATGGCATCCATACTAGAGAAGGCCAGCTCTCGTAGGTGATGGGTATCGTACCGGTTCAATCTGCCCACGCATATAAACCTTTGGCACCGCGGCCATACCGGTGTGATAGGTATCGTACCGGTTCAATCTGCCCCCGGGTGGCACCGCGGCCATACCGGTGTGATAGGTATCGTACCGGTTCAATCTGCCCACGCATATAAACCTTTTGGAGGGCCCAGTGCGGCACCGGAGTAGTACCGGTTTCACGAAGATATACCAGTTAGATGTCAAGAGGGGTCATCCTTTGACTTGACGTACCACGGATATAATCCTATTTGGTCTGCGATAGCAGCACTAACGTTGCTTCCTATCCCAGTATAAAGTCGTAACAATTACCTTAGGTCGGACGATTTCCCTATGCATATATTCTATTAGAACAGGATTTTGAAATACGGGTATTAATCTACTCATGGATCTTATCCGTTTGATCCGATATTAGAGAACTGAAGTTTACTTTTGTTACGGCGACCCTCAGAGCTGTCACCGGGTGACAGTTTCAGGGCGCCCCTTCGAGTAAGAAACATCCGCATCTTAGTTTGAGTATGCGCGGGTGGTGTTTTGTACTCTGCCAATGAAAACAAAGCAGCAGCGCGCCGCATTTGCAGCAGCACACACAAGCATGGCGGGCGTTGGGATATATCCAAGGGAGCGCTGCGCTCTACGCTTCGCACACATGAGAAGACACGAGAAGAATGGCATGCAGCTCTGTGCAGCTCGCTGTATGGGCAGGTGGTGCTTTTTATTCGGTCAATCGAAGCATGGCTGCTAGCTGCATGATCGCTGAACCCAGCAGGAGCGCAAGACGTAGAAGCAAGACAGAAGCGTAGACACACGCAGTAGTAGAGCGACCAGTTGTAGGGGCTCGAGTTCGAGCGAAAGCAAAAGCACGTCTGCCAGTGCGAACAAGAGCAGCTCTCTGCCACCAGGGCGAACGCCTCGATGAGCTCATGGCGGTGCAAGACGAGAACAGGGCGACGAACAGTATATCGGCGGGTGATGTGGTGAGGAGCTAGTTCTCTGTCTACGAGCTCAGAAGGTGAAGCAAGCGAGATAACGAAAAGTAGATCAGGAAGAGCTCAGAGAACGAACTCAGGAGCTGAAGCTAAGGAGGTAGCCAAGAGTAGACCGCGAGCTCATGTGGAGCGAGCGTAGCGGGCTAGCAATAGCAGCAATATCAGCCATTGCGAATAGCAATAGTAGTAAATGTTGTAGCAAGAGCAATAATTGTACGAATACTAGTAGCAACAGTACCAACAATAGCACTAATTGTACTAGTATTAGTAATATCAGCAGTAATATGAGTATTAGTACAAAAGTATAATATATTGTGCTTTGCATACTTTTTGGCACTTCGGAATGTAACTTGTACGACTTATGGACCATGACTTATCTATAAATCGTACTCGAGTACGAATTGCTATAAGTCGTGGATGGTCAATGAGCACTAAGCAGTGCACAAACGCCATCTCCTGCATGATTTAGCACATCCAGCATGGATTAGCATCCGTTGGGCACTTTTAGAAAGTGCCATTTCCGAGACAAATCGGGCTCGAAGCACGACTTGAGCAACTTGCATTCAAAGCCTCCATGATTTACCACTAAGTACGAGCACTAACTAGTGCACTAATTAGGAGGGCAAACTGGATGCAAAGCACAATTATACATGTCGTACTAATACCAAGTAGCAGCTCACCGAGCTTGCAAAAAACAGAAGCTTTTGTATGCTTGTAGCTACTGCTTTTGAATGCTTGTAGCGATTTGCTTTTAGTGAGCTGAGAGATATCGTGCGCGTAGAGCCTCGAAGAGACTCGAGCAGCGCTACTGTTATAAAACTGACGTTATCCCAGGAACTTAAGTCCTCTCTAGAAAAACTTTAGTTGGTAGGCTCTCTGGGCTCGGAGCGTAGGAAATCTGGATAAGATTCGGATAGGTTACGGATAAATTACCAAACCCGGAGATTTTAGAGAACTTTAGCTGCTGGAACATCTCTGGACTTGGATCAAGGAAGATCAGGATAAAATCAGGATAAAATCAGGATAAAATACGGATAAATTACCAGCGGATGTTCCTATACTCATTCCCTAAAATTTGGCAGACGTTGTAGCCATAATTCGGTAAAGAGTCAGACACATCGTCCGACATTTTCTGAAAAACGAGTTTTTTGCCCCCTGTGTAAACGTGTGGCGACGATCGCCATTCTCGATTAGCCCAGAAGACGTCGGAAACAAGTACAACCGCAAATGGAGGGCTACGATTAGAGCCATTTAAAAGACCAGGTCTGCCAGATCCGCGAGAACACTGTCACAGCTCGCTCACGAACCACCTATCAGAACTCCTACTGTCGCTTTCTCGTGTGGCTTGCCAATAATAAAGTCGATCTCATCGCACCGGAGTTTGCAGCGCGTCTTGGCGACATTACCGCGTACTCCCTCCAACAGCTACGGGCGCATATCAAAGAGGTGATCAACCAGGAGCCGCCCATCGCCCCTCTCGTCTTCGAGCTCCTGGACGCGGAGGTCTTCGTCACCTGGCTGGTCACACTCCAGCGTAAGACGGCGGTGCACTCAGCTACTCCGCTCTCAACACGCACAGAGCAAGAGTTCAACCTGTTTCGGGACTTCGGTCATACCATGAGCAAGACACTCGAGTCGGAGCAGACCACCTACGTCAAGGGGCTAAAGCACAAGCTAGATAAGGACGCGTCCACCGGAGCCAGCGAGATCAAGACAGGCAAACACCCGCTGATGTTTGATTTTACTCTTCCTGGCAAGGGTTTTCTCATGCATACATGGTCATTGCCTGGAATCTCATGTGCCGCTCGTCCAATGCCTTTGGGATCCGACACTCGCATATGGAATGGAGAGGCGATGCACTTCAGATCTACTTCGCGCACATGAAGAACGACCAAGGCGGTGAACGTCCAAGGGATCCTCGGCACATTTACACAAACCCGCTCCAGCCTTCTATTTGTCCCATTGTCGCGCTGGGATTATACTGGGCGCCGACATCATTTGATTCAAGCGACCTCCTTTTCCCGGGCAACAATCAGTACGAGCGGTTTCGGAAGTGCTTTCAGCGTTTGCTAGCTGAGGAAGGTATTGCCGCGGAATTAAAGCGCCAAGGACTTAACCCTTGTGATTAATCCTAGCGACCTAGGTCCGCACTCAATGCGGAAAGGTTCCACTACATTTTGCTCTTCGGGCTCGACGGCATGCCCGTCGTCGACCGCGGTGCATTTGAGAGCTGGTGGTCGCTTGGCGGCGTCCAAAACACCTATCTACGCTACGAAGCTGCGGGTGATATGCACGTTGGTCGGACCGTGGCTGGGCTGCCTACGGAGAGCTTCAAGTTCTCGACACTTCCGCCCCACTTTAATGAGAATGACGAAGTTGTTCAGCAAGGTGTCCGCTTGATGTTCCCTGGACTACCCGAAGGGTTAAAGTTCATCGCTGAGTATTGCTTAGCCTCTCTGACTTACCATCACGCATACATGATACGTGCGATATTGCCGAAGCATCCCGTTCTCGAGACGCCACTGTTTCCAGATCCAGCCCTGCTCTCATCGCTTGCTGAGCGAGTGCAGTCAGGTGACGGGAGCTCCGAAGCTCGCATTCGTCCAACTGGTGTGCCGCCACACGTGTCGATTTTATGCGAGATGAAGTGGCTGAAGGAAAATTTGGTCGGTGCCCTTACCGCAAGTATACCTCGACTGTGCTGAGAGCGTTGCAGTGGACCTTGAAACCGCACACTCGCGAAAACTTCGGTGCGGTCCCGTGAGCGGGGCCACCGTAGCCAAACTGATGCGGAATAAGTACAAAACAACTGTGTTCCGCTTTTTCAAATAGATATCAAGCCAACTTACGATACACGTCTTGCCAATGTGTGCTCCCCACGCTCTCTCTGTGCTGTTCAAGTACACACCACAACCACATTACCGTAATATTCTCTAAACTTATCACTATTTGCTCTGTCTGCCAATTATCCGACAATTTCCGTCTAAGAATCATTCTCGTATTTACATAAGCTACATATGGGATTTTCCGCCAAAACGACCGGGACTTACGTTTTCTCAACTCAATTCAAGTCGTGGAAGAACGCGACCCTCCGTTGTTCCACTGGAATATTTTTTCGAACAAGTCATTTTTGTTCCAAAACCTTGACTTAGTCCAGGAGCTAAAGTTTTCCTATAACTATTTTTTCTATCAGAGAGCTGAAGATTCTGGACTAAGGAGAGGCTTTGGAATAAAAAATGCTTTAGTCCAAAAATATATTCGAGTGGAACAACGAAGGGCCCCGTTGTTCGAGTATCCGCTAGTAATTTGTCCGTATTTTATCCGCATTTTATCTAGATATTTCTTGCTCCAAACCCAGAGATATTCCAGCAAATTTTTAAGTTAGAGAACTATTATTGTGAAAACTGATTAGTTTGTCCTGCTGAATTAGCCGGTTAAACATCGCTCATAGCGGATTTGAAGACTAATAAATCGGGGATGTCTCAATTATAATCGGAGTATAAATCGCTCATCGGTCTCGTAATTATGTGCAGCCTAGCAATTTCGATCAACATGCATGTACCCTCGGCCCGAGACTCGCCAAGTGCAGCGACAACACCGCGCTTAAACGGGTCGCCTGCATATCTCAGTTACGTGTATTATAGCGTGCGGCTTTTCCTGCTTAGTTCTGATGGTAGTGTTGTAGCCTTGACTACCTAGCCAAGAGCGACTGCAACGATTGTTGTCTGGCGGCTGATTTAGTCTACAATGAGCGAATACCGGTTGCACATGGCACTGATTAAAGCAACATTGAATGTTGGCGTTGCGAACATTGAGCGCAACAATGGTGCCTCTGCCTAACATTGCACAATGTTACGGTATCTCTCGTAGCAGAATATTTGGTTTACCAATGTGACAATAGTGGACACGCTTCGCCACGACAGCTCGACAGCTCGACAGCTCGACAGCACGACAGCGAAGCACGCTGTATCACTCGGGGCGTGCGCCAACAGCTTCCGCCGCTAACGCGGCAAGCGCGTCATGGTGTACGCGCCGAGTCGGCGCCGCCGACACATGCAGCAGGAGAATGGGCTCTACGGGATCTACGCGCAGCTCTACCTGGGCGCCACGTGTTGTCTATTCCTAGTTGGCAGGACACTCTCGCGTTGGCTTTCGCCTGCGGACTTAGCGACGGCACTTCGGGGGGGGGGGGGGCGCCCCTCTCTCGCTTCGCTCGGGGGGCGCCGCTGTGCGGCCTGCCCCACCCCCTCGTGCCTTGCGCTAAGTCCTCGGCTCGGCCAGGCGCGCTGTCTAGGAAAAAAATATCGGGTTGCAGCGCTCGCCTTCGCTCGCTCGCGCAGACCCGCCCCCGCCTGATCGGCGGGTGTTGACGATCGGTGAACGCGCTCAGCGAGGCTCGCGCTCGCGTTCGCTCGCCCTCCCCCTTTAACCTAACTGCGCTGTTGGCTAGAGGCGCATTAAAAGCGCTTACGCCTGCTTAGAAGGTAGCGCATTCGATTGCATGCAACACGCATCGCACCTGACGCAACGCAACGCACTGGGAAGGTGTTTGCTCCCGCATACGTAGTACACACATGCATATAAGCACCGCACTAGGACATGCACACATTAGAATAAGGTTGAGCGGGTGACCGCTGCAGACGGTCGCACGACGCGGAGGCGGAGCGAGCGCGCGGGCGCTTGCTTCCTACCCGGTAGATTCTGAAATGAGAGCTGTTGTGAGCCAGTCGCTCCAAACATGAAATTTCACGTCTGGAAAATTTACATTGCGTCAATGTTAGCGATCATGCAGCATTGGACCCCATCAATGTTATTGATCCCACACATTGAGGCTGATTTTCAATGTTGCTTTAATGACTCTCGTTGCACTCGGACATTCCGTCTGGATAGCAAGCAAATCAGCCGGCTCTGGCTTAATCGGTCGATTATCAAACGTAAATCCGACTCATATGCTCTGACTCTGCAAGTCGTCCTAGGTAGTAATCTTGAGTATAAATCGAGGTACCCCAGTCTAATTAGGAGGTCAGATTTATCAAATTGGGTCGTCGGTCTTATTAAGCCACTAAATCGGCGGATTAACAATTCAATAAGACATTCTAGTCGGTGTTCACAATAACAAAAAAGTTCTCTACTCTTGCCATCATACGCCCTATAAGACTCGCCGCTGGAGATAAATCCGGGTTAAATATAGGTAGCTCAGAGGAATCGAGTATTTCAATTTTACTTATTTCCATTATTAACTATTATAGACATGACCTACAAGATTCAAGTCAAAACATTTATTGTGAGAGCCGGCTAAAACGCCCATCTGTTGCAACCCCTTATTAGATCCCATCTGCCTAATTAATCAGAGTACAAATCAGGACTGAAATCGATCGTGATCTACCTTTTACTGGGCAATCGAGCAGCATCTGGGCATTCTGCTCCAAGCACGGCTATATCGACTTGGCTCCCATAAAACGATCGCCTAATCTGCACATCCACTCGCCAGGGCGTGATCGATTTACAAATCGATCGAGCTAAATCATAGTGCTTTACGAGCAAAATAGGAAAATAAAGCGGTTTTCACAATAGTAGTAACTGATAAAAGAAACATTGAAAAAGACAAAGCTTCTTTAAAACTTCAACAAGGTATTAATACATATATTGAAAATGTAACCAACCTGCAACATGTCTAACAAAGAGTTGTCTAATCCTCGTGGGCGGCCGTGTAGTTGTAGTAGATGGTGTTCTCAAACTCCGAGTCGCAGAACGGGAACTCTGTGTCGCTCTCGGTCGGAGAGAACAGAGCCTTGCCAGTCGTGTACGTCACGTAGCAACCGAGAATGAAGCACACGATCACCACCACGATCGCAGCAGCCTTCTCGTACACCGGCACGCGCTCCCACGCCTTGATGAGGTAGAACACAATCGGCAGCAGGATACAGTTCATGGTGATGCACGACGCGCCCACGAAGTCCGCGAACTCCGAGAAGTGGTCCTTGAACACGATGGCCAGAATCACCAGCACCACCACGATGGCGATACGCAGCGCCACGTACTTGAGCACGTTCGCGCCCTTGTACTCCGCCGCCTCCTCCTCTTCGTTGTCCTTGTGCACACGCTCCGAGTCAGCCACCGACACGTACGACATCTTGGACCGCCGGTTCTCGTTCACGACCGAGTTGTTGGTGTTCGCGAAGCCAGCGTCCGACTGCTTGGCTAGCGCCTGCGTCGGCGACGAAGACGGCTCGTAGACAAAGCCGTTCTCGAGCTCCTGGGTCTGCACCTTGTGCATGCCCAGCAGCAGACGCTCCGAGATGTAGAAGGCCGGGTTCAGGATCACCGAGAAGGCGATGGTAATGTGCAGCTGCATGAACAGGTAGGCCAGCACCACGATGCCCCAGTTGGGCTTGAAGCCGAGCGACGTCATGCCCGTCGCGTGGTCCGGGTAGATCGTGAAGAGCAGGTTGCCCGAGATCTGGCAGCCCACAGCCGAGTACGCCGTACTAGCGAGCACCAGGAACAGGCACGACACGAACGCGACCGTGACGCCGACCACGCGGGGCATGCGGGTCGGGTCGCTGTGCTGGCGCTGCAGGTCCGGGATCACGATGCCGGCGCCATACGCGAGCGACAGGTTGCCGAACACGCCCGCCACCTGCGAGAACTTGAGCTCCGGGAACGGCACGTCCGGGTGGCCGCGCATGCCGTGGATGACCACTGCGACACCGATGACGTCGGCGATGATGGTGCCCATGCAGCCGGCGAACGCGGCGCCCGATCCTTCCTTGAGCGTCGGCACCAAGCACACGGGCAGCACCATGAGCGCCATCAAGATGGTCCACGTGGACTGGCTGAAGGCCTCGGGAAAGAGGCCGTCAAGCAACTGGCCGCCGAGCACCAGGAACACGCACGGGATCAGTAGGCACGAGCCCATTTGCGTGACGACGCACAGCCAGCGGCCGGTGGCGCCCATGCTCCATTGACCGAGGTCTCCGAACGTCTTGACGGACCGTGGCGCCAGCAGCATGACCTTGGACATGGTGATAGACGAGTAGATGTTGGCAAATGCCATGAACGCCATGGCAATGACGGCGATGGTCGGTCCGGCGCGCGCGAAGTTGCCGGGCATGCCGAGCGTGCCGATACCGTAGATGCAGCAGAAGAGGTTGAAGGCGGACTTGCAGTCCTCCGCGGTGAGGAACGGTCCTTTCGACATGGTGGACCGGGTCCGAAGCAGGTGAGGGGGGTCTTGAGAGGCGAAGAGGAGTCGAGTCGAGTGCAAGACCTGCGTCGGACGCGGTGGAATTGGGAATGAACGAGTGAGTGCGCGAGTTGTGGAGATTAATCCGCTGGCGGAACAACAGACAGAACGCGCTACGTTGAGGAAGGACGGCATGGACTGCACAAAGACGTCGCTGACCTTTGTCAAAGCAGATGAATCGAATCGCCCGGGTGCACAGGCTCAAGTCGCTAGTCACGATTCCACGATCTCCGCTGTAATATCTGCAGGCTTTTGATCTATCAAGCGGAGTGCACATGGCTTGAGCGTCTGGCGGTTGCCCGCTGCTAGTCCGGCTCACGCCTGGATTTCTCCTTGTGTTGCTTGCCTCGATTGAGCCTTGGGGGGGGGCATTGCACACGAGGACGAAATCATCTGTAAAACACCACGTGGCGTCGCTAATCAGCAGTGTACCTCAACTCAAATGATGAAATGAGAAGAACCTATGCCTGTCCTGTCATTTGAGTCTATGGTGTTGTAATTTCCGCCAGCACGGGAACTTCAACTATGTACGTACGGATCTAAACCGTGGAATGCAGAGCTATCTATCTCTATTGAAGCCTGAATTAGTGCGTTCAAGACTCGTGCGCAGCGGTGTAGTTGTAGAACACGGTGTTCTCGAACTCAGGCTCGCAGTACGGGAACAGGGTGTCCGAGTCCGACGGCGCGAACAGGTTCTTGCCGGCCGTGTACGTCGAGTAGCAGCCCAGCACAAGGCACACCACGAACACAACGATGGCGGCAACCTTCTCGACGTGTGGCATGGTGTCCCAGGCCTTGATCACGTAGAAAGCCACCGGCAGCAGGATGCAGCTCATGGTCAAGGACGAGGAGCCCACGAAGTCGGCAAAGTCGGAGAAGTGGTCCTTGAACAGAATGGACATCACAACGAGGATCACCGTCATGCAGACACGAAGCACGATGTACTTGAGCGCGTTGGCGCCGCGGTACTCGGCGGCCTGGGCGTCGGTCTCTTCGTGGCAGTTGCAGTGGCACTTGCCCTCCACCGGCGCAGCGTCGGCCTGCTTGACGATGTCATCCGCCGGACTGGCAGCCTCGACGTACTGCACGCCGCTCTCAACGTCCGCGGGCTTGGTCTGCTTGTGCATGCCCAAAACCACGCGCTCGGCGAAGTAGAAGGCGGGATTCACCAGCACTGAGAACGCGGTGGTGATGTGGAGCTGCATGGCCAGGTACGCGAGCACCACGGCACCCCAGTTGGGCTTGAAGCCCAGAGAGGTGAGGCCCGTGCTCGAGTCCGGGTAGATGGTGTAGAGAATGTTGCCCGAGATCTGGCAGCCCGCGGACGTGAAGGGCACGACCGACAGCACGACGAACAGGATGGAGATAATGCTCATCGTGAAGGTGATGACGCGCGGCATGCGGTGCGGCTCCGAGTGCTCGCGCTGCAAGTCCGGGATGATGATTCCGGCGCCGTAGCTGAGCGCAAGGTTGCCGAACGTACCCGCGACCTGCGAGAAGCTCACGTCCGTCTGCGGGACGCTCGGGTGGCCACGCATGCCGTGCATCACGACAGCCACGCCGATCACGTCCGCCACGAGGGTACCCACGCAACCGGCGAATGCAACACCGGAACCCTCCTTCAGCGTCGGCACGAGGCACAGCGGCAGCACCATCGCAGCCATCAGGATGATCCAGACCGTCGGGCTGAAGGCTCCCGGGAAGAGGCCGTCGAGGAGACCGCCGCCAAGGACGAGGAAGACGCACGGCACCAGTACACACGAAACCAACTGGGAGGCCGTGCACAGCCAGCGCCCGGTCTTGCCCATAGCCCATTCACCGAGATCGCCGAAGGTCACGACCGAAGTGGGCGCGAGCAGCATAACCTTGGACATGGCGATGGACGCGTAGACGTTGGCGAAGATCATGAAGGTCATGGCAATGCTGGCGTACACGGGTCCAGCGCGCGCAAAGTTACCGGGCAGACCAAGCGTACCAATGCCGCAGACGCAGCAGAAGAGGTTGAACGAGATCTTGATGTCCTCAACCGTGAAGAACGCCTCCCTCGCCATGGTAGTTGGATCCGACTGGACAAAGTGTCGACTTTGGAGTGGAAATCGCGAAGTGAGTGAAGTGGACTGGTGCTTGGCACTGCAACAAGTGCGTTGCTCGCGTTGTATTGTTGTAGAACTGTAGTCGAGGATGTTTAGATGCAGCGTTCCTCGTCCAGTCATGCGCGCCGCGTGAGACAGACAAAGGAATTGAAGCGAGCAGCGCCGCGGCTCCGGTGTTAGAGTTCCGGACACCGGCGCTCGCCGTGTTATAGCTCAGGGCGATTTCGGCGTCGGTGGCTCTGACGACAGTCACCACTGATAGAGCACTGCTCTAAGAGCAGATCTCCTCCATGTTCCCCGAGTCACACGGAGAAACCTGCCTTACAGAACAACTCAGCGGCGTTCAGGAAGGTTATGGGTCCTGGGCCCGCAGGCTTTCGGGGTCGCGTCGCAGTTCGTTTACCGTCTTCGTCTACTGCACATGAACGTTTTCTGTCGTGAGCCCGGCCAGTACACGTTGGATTGAACGCCACCATGGCCTTGGTGTGTCTTGCAGTATGAGAGTGTGGCGCAGCTTGATGGAGGGGCGATTAAACCTCTGCGAAGAGCTACGTAGGAAGCGTAGATGACGACCGATGGCTGCGCTTGGCGCGAAGTTAGGATTCGTGCGTTGTTGAAGTTTTGTCCGCGTGGTAAGACAAAAACGAGTTACTGTAGTTTTCATAAAAATGACCAGTGCACTGTACAATTCAGCGATTTGTTGCCGTGTTGGGAGGTCTCCAGGGCTCCTGAGGAGACAGCCACTTCGTCATTTTGACACGCTAAATTGTGGGTGGCGCTCCTCCGCCGAATTTTATTTACGAACCCTCGTGGTTCACTGGTAAGCGCACATTTACTTTTCTGCATTACGCGTTCTTCTAGTCGTCTCTGTAGCTTACGCTGTTTGGTTGTAGTAAATCCTGTGCTGGTATTCAGGCTCGCAGTACGGGAACGTTGCGTCTGAGTCTGAGGGTGCAAACAGGTTCTTGCCTGCCATGTACGTCGAGTAGCAGCCCAGGACGAAGCACACAGCCAGCACCGCGACGGCGGGGATCTTTTCATACACTGGAACTTGGCTGATTGATTACTCGGCGACGCAGGCGACGGGAATCTGTTTTTCCGGATCTTCGAGGCAAGATTTACCCGTACAAGAGGAGCGCCAGTTCGTGTCGACAACGACTAGGCGACAGGTAGAGGAGGGGGCCTTCAGGCCTGCTCATTCTTAGATTTAGTCCCAAGCTAATAACCTTGACCCTCCCTCGGATCTACGGATGTCAACTACGCGCTACTTCTATCTCAAGCCAGAGGTTCTCTCCACCTCTGGGTTCTGCTACGGAGCTAGCGATAGCTCGCCTGACGGAGACGCAACAGTGCACGTGCGGCGCCTAGCGAGTGGACGTTGGATCGACCTCGCCGAGTTTGCAGCAGAGCTGCCTGTTTCGGCGGTTCGTCACCGTGAAGTGTCCGAGCAAGAGGCGTTAAGCGGCGTTGGGAGCTACGTTGGGAGCTGTGTCTGCGTGGCGCATCGATGGGACGGAAGCGCAGAGCGGTGGACGTACGGGTAGTAACGGGGTTCCGATGGAGTGCGGACCCGGACCGATGTGTTCTCCACATCACTGCCTCCGCCGGTAGCTTCGAATTCACCTACGACCAAGGACTCCTGCAAGAACTGGCTGCGGAGACCTATGCGATGAGGTTGTGCGAAGGGAAGCCAACTCTCTCCGTGATGCCAGCCGAGATGCGCTCTATTCACGAGGCAGCTTACAAGTTGTTCCACGGGCGAGGACGTTCGGCTGTGCGCGCGGTCACCACAATCTGCAACAAGCTCGAGATTGAGAATGTGGACGAGTCAGGGGTCGTTTCATTGTTGGACATTTCCAGCATGCAAGTGTCTCAAGTATCGGCTAAATATGTGTTGGACTTCACATTCTACCATGGCGGACGGCGTAGGGTCCCTTCCTCAATCGAGCTTGGCCAATCAATTTTCGTTGAGCCCATTACACCGGACGCAACGACTTCGCCGGCTGACGCGACCACGGAGGTGCCGGCAGCGGCCACCCGCGGGCAGCGGGCAGCGGGCAGCAGCAACCCGCTTGAGTGGTCACGAGCAGCGGCCAGCGGCAACCAGCGTGGGCAACCGCAGGCAGCGGGCAGCAGGGAACACTGGTGAACCTAGCCTACTCGAAGAATCTGATGATGACAGCGACTCCAGCGCCAGCGATGTACCACGGGCGGATGTTACTTCTGCAGCACGAGAAACTACCAAGCGAGCACGTGAAAACGATCTCATGGATTTCGGTGTCCGTGCGCGGGCACGTCCTCGGCTGACAATTGGGTCGGAGAGGCTTCCAATGTCAACGCACCAGCCGCTACTGGACAATGGAGCATCAGACAGCGTCGGCAAGGGTCAATTTCGGGCGTCACGGCTACAGAATACGGTACACTACGCTATTGTGAACGGTACGTACGCCTATATGAACGCTCAACTGTTTGTAGAGCAACTTCAGGCCCAAATCGAGCTGCTGGCGTTCCTCCCTCATCCGGCTGTGCTGAAGGGATTCTACGCTTGGGAATTTGGAACACGAGGATTATCGATTCTGCATTTCGGGCGGCTGGATGTGAGTTCTCGACGTCAACGGTTAAGACATTACGACATGTGCGACTTCTCCAGCAGCAACAGTCTTCCTTCTCCACCTGAAGCTGAGCACATGGATGATATACTGGCCGCGTTGGATGTTCTGGCTCTTCTTGTCGAAGAGGTTTATCAGTCGTTTGTCGGGGCGGTGGTCACAGCGGCACGAAAGTTTCTCCTCCGCCAGAAGACGCTCCGCGCTATCGTCGACAAAGAAGCGCTAGCTGACCTAGTGTTCTGGATCGATGAACCACGGCGCACAGCTTCGCACATATAGTGCCGTACGAATTGCCTTGTTGCCGGCGGTTCATCGCGAATTTCCAAAGGTACACGGCGAATCCACCAAGTTGGGCGGTGGACGCAGACGTTGCATCGCGAGGGAGCCACGGAGAGTAGTTCATAAATTCACACCATGACAGCCATTGCTTCCAAGCGCGGGAGTAGGCAACACGCGACGACTCGGCTAAAGCTCCCGCGCGGAGCAGCGCTCCCAGACCTGCGAGAGTTTCCGCAAGCTCGGCGGGACATGAACCTGCGTCCAACCAGAGCACATATTAGTAAATTGCCGAAGCTTGGTCGTCGATTCCCAAACACGGCTGCCGGCGTCCGCCATCACGTTCTCCACACCAGGAATGTGAGCAGCAGAAACGTAGAAGTAGTGGCGAGCTTCATGTAGAGCGAGAACCCGAAGCAGAAGCTGGGCGAACGTGTTTCGGGATGCCCTCTTGTTGTTCCAGGCCACAGCCAAGGCATTGTCGATCCGCAGCAGGACATGCACGTCGTGGTCGTCGGTAGCCTGCGCCCAAAGAGGTCCCCAAATGAGTGCAGCGTAAACTGCCCTCATCAGCTCGCGCGTGTTGATGCCAAAGGCGCTGGGGCGTCCTGCCTTGAGATCCCGAATAGATGAAAGCTCGTCTTCATCAAAGCGGACTTGTAGAAATTCTCGCCGAGCAGGATAGATAGCACACAGCCCGACATCACTGGCGTCCATGAAGATCTCGACCGCTGCGTGCTAAGAACTAGTAAGCCGCGCGAGCGGGACGGAATTCAGGGCTGTTGCGGACAAAATTGCCAGAAACCACCGAAGATCATCACAGGCACCTTCGGAAAACGGGATGGCGCCGTAACGCGGCGATCGACGTTGAGTGGTAGCCAGCCGCTGGAAAAATGGGGCCGCCGAACGGACACATGTAGCAACATGGCGCAACGAGCCCATAAGCTTGTTGAGTTGGCTCCGCGTGGCACGGGGTCGATCCAGGAGTGCTCGCACGCGTCGACGGGCTTTGTCGATCTTTGCAGCTGGAATAGAGAGCGTGCGGCGACTGAGGTCCCATTCTAGTCCCAGCGCTTTGCCTTGACGAAACCAGCCAGTGAATTTGTCTTCGTTGCACGGTGAAGGACCAAGTACTTGAACCATAGATGTCCGAAGCGCTGATTCTGCCTCCGCTAGGCGGGTGCCGACATCGGGCTCCACACAATTGTGGTCATCGCACCAAACCTTTCCGTCGAAGGCGGCAGTTGCATGTGCAGGCTGGCCTGGCCAAGAGGGTCGGGACGAAGAATACAAATGATTGATCGCTCCTCCCGCGATCGCGTATGAAGCGGGCGAGTTGCGCCAACCAAAAGGACAGCACAGATCCACAACGAGAACGCCCAACTCAGGAATTGTGCCCGCAAATTTGCAGCAGTGGTCCGCGAGGAGAGGGATATGACGAAACTCACCACTGACATCGCCAAACATCATGCGAGCCAGGCCAGGAAAGTCGCGCTCCACCTCTTCAATGCGAGATGCGATAGCCCGAGCACCGTCGTAGCGAATGTCGATGTCGTCTTGCAGGACAGTGAAGTCGTTTATCGATCGCCCAGGGGGAACGAAAGATCATGAATCACGCGCGCGTCCTCCGTCAGGGGCTTGTCGTCCTTTGGCACAGCACCAAAGGGGCTGCAGAAGACGCCATCCAGGCGTTCGAGTAGATCGACGTCCAGGACGAGGTAGCGATCCTCGTCTTGACCCTTCCGGATGTTCTTCACCAAGGCATTAAGCGCCCTGCGAGCCGAGCCGTGGTTTGGTGGAGGCGTCTGTTGCGAGGGAGGGATCTCTTCCCACTCTGGCATGACGCCATGCCGGACAATAGCTGCCCATTGGGCGGCAAATCGATAGGACTTCCACGCAGGAACGTTGGTTGGCACCTGTAACGCCTTGTTGGGTCCGGGGTAGGAGGGTCGCTCTCCACGCAAGAGGCGAACAAAATCAGCAAGACTCGTGCCTGACCGTCGCAAATACTCACTGTAGGCTGCTTGTTTGTTCTGGTCGAGCTGATAGCGCGGTGGCCCCGCGGCAGCAGACGAACAAGTAGTGGGACAAGGAGCTGGGGCCGAGATACCGTAGTCGGCTAAAGCAGCGCGGAGTGCGCGTGCTCCAGCTGCCTTACGTAGGCGAATTTGGCTGAGTCTAGCGTCAATCCCGTAGCGCTGAGCGAGTGAGCTCGTGTGCAAGAAATCCGTAGCGTCGTCCGTTGACTGTTCCAGCCGCGACGGCCTCAACATCGCCGACGGTGACGCCCAACACTGCGCCGACCGTGGCGACTTTGACTGCGCCGACGGAGGCATCTTTGATTGCATAGACAGGAGACGTGACTGCACCGAAGGCGGAGGCGTACGCGAGTCCGTGGAGTGCAGCGCCTCCATCTGCACCGGAATAGGCGCCGGTACTACCGTTGACGATGGCGAACGAGAGTGCAGCAGCTGCGATGTGCGAGTGACTACACCGGCACCAGAATTCTTGGTAGAGCACTTTGCACCGGCTCGATGAATCACAGTATCGTGGGGGGGTAAGTACCCAGCCCGCACACCTCGCCCCCGAGAACTCCCCGCCCGAGCACCTTCACAGGTCTTTGAACTCCGGTTTAAGGCCGCCGTAGTTGGCCTCAATGAACTCTTTCACAATTGCAGGGAGTTGCTGCGGACGGAAGTGGCCCCGGTAATTGAATGTGCACTGTGAACCACGCCCACGACAGCTCTCGACGGCCAAGAACCTCATGCACAGCCTTTTCCAATTCTGACTGGGTAGAGCGGCCAATACGTTCTCTGGAACGTGCTTGCCCTTGGCCCCTTCTCGCCCCCGAGGACGGTGGCTCGCTTTGTTCTTGGAGATGCCGTGAGAGCCCCCGTGTGACTGCTCGAGCCGCGCAAGCTGTCGTTCGTAGATGATGTTCTGCACTTGCACGTAAGACTCGTGGGCCACATTGAACTCGCTCTGGATGGCTTCGCAACTCTCTGTGGACCCCAAGACCACGCGCGTTCGGATTTTCTCCAGGGCGTTGGCGGTATCGTTTCGAACATGGATATGACCCTGGAGTTACTGCTCAGCATGCCTTACTCCTGCGCGGCATTCGTCGTTTCACGAATCCGGTTGTCAAGCAGCAACCGCTGTCGCCGAGCTTACTTCGGCAAATCTACACTCTGTTGGATATCAACCGACCTAAGCATCAGCTCCTGTGGGGTGGTTTACAGCTCGCGTACTTCTTTTTGCTGCGTCGGTCAGAGTACCTCTACATCGGCAAGAAGTTTCACCCCTTCGTACTTCGACTCGGCGACATTCAGTTTTGCGATAATGAAGGGCAGGCCATTAAGCCGCGGAAGGCTTCGATCGTGGGTATCCTACTGCGGGGAGCGAAGAATAATCAGTTTGGAAGAGAAGAGTTTCGATTTCAACACGCCTCGGGGGACTCTATGCTGTGCCCCGTGCGAGCTGCACGCTGGATCAAGACGGCGGCGAAACGACTAGGAACAAGGCCTGATGAACCAGCCCTCGATGGGCGATTCCGGCGGTGTGTCATCCGGCCAAGTCGCTAAGATAATCAAGGCAGCAGCTACCAAGGCCGGTCTCGATGCTTCTCGATTCTCAACTCACTCTGTGCGGATCGGCGGTGCAACCAAGCTGCTGAATGCTGGTGCAGACCGATTAGTGATTAAAATGCTCGGGCGTTGGCTCTCTTCCTGCTTCGAAGACTATCCCGTTCTAACCTCGGAAGGCACCGCTGGATTGTCCAAGTTGATGTGCCCGTAATCGACATGGAGAGATGCGGTAAGGTACTGCTGGGTCGTTCAAGTTGATGAACGCGAAGTTGCAGTGGTCGTGAACGCTGCCAGTGATCGACGTGGAGAGATTCAATGATGGGGCGCCTCCACGCCACTCCCAGGCAACGAGGCAATACACTATTGCTTAGCCCCACTGAGATGATCCTTGGAAATGATTGATTACTCGGCGACGCAGGCGACGGGAATCTGTTTTTCCGGATCTTCGAGGCAAGGTTTACCCGTACAAGAGGAGCGCCAGTTCGTGTCGACAACGACTAGGCGACAGGTAGAGGAGGGGGCCTTCAGGCCTGCTCACTCTTAGATTTAGTCCCAAGCTAACCCTCCACGCCACTCCCAGGCAACGAGGCAATACACTATTGCTTAGCCCCACTGAGACGATCCTTGGAAATCCACGTCTTGATAAGATAGAAAATCGTGGGCAGCAGGATTCAGTTGGCCGTGATGGCGGACGCTCCGACGAAATCGGCAAAGTCGGAGAAGTGATCCCGGAAGATGATAGACAGCACCACCAAGATGACGACGATGGTGACGCGCAGCACAACGTACTTGATCGCGTTAGCACCACGGTACTCAGCAACCTCCGCCTCGTGGGAATTGGTAGGCTGGTGACCAGCAGCAACAGGCACAAAGGACGTCTTCGATCGACGCTCAGACGTGATGCTCGCGCGCGCAACGGGCGTTCCAGCTTCTTGGTACTGCAAACCGTTCTCGACATCCTCCGGGGCCTGCTGGTGCATGCCCAGCACCAACCGCTCGGCGATGTAGAAGGCTGGGTTCAGCAGCACAGCGAACGCGATCGTAATGTGCATTTGTATTGCCAGATAGGCGATCACTGAGCCCACTTCGGCGCAAAGCCAACCGAAGTGAGACCAGTGGTCGAGTCGGGGTAGATCGTGTACAGGATGTTTCCCCCGCCTTGGCAGCCCATGGAGAAGTACGGCACCATCCCGATAACCATGAGCATGCACATGATGAATATCATGGTGGCGCCTACAACGCGCGCCATGCGACTTGGCTCGCTGTGTTGGCGCTGCACGTCCGGGAGCACGATACCGGCTCCGTAACCGAGCGAAAGACTACCGAACGCGCCGATGACTTGGTCGAGGTCAAGTCCAGGTGTTGGAATGCTAGGGTGGCCCTCCATCCCGTGCGCGATGATCGCTATGGCGAGACCGTCTGCAACCAGCGTGCCCATGCAACCCGCGAACGTAGCGCCTGCTCCCTCCTTGAGCGTCGGCACAAGACAAAGCGGTAGCACCGTCACCGTCATGAGAACGATCCAAACTGTGGGGCTGAATGCGCCTGGGAAGAGACCATCAAGCAGCCCGCCGCCAAGAACGAGGAAGACGCACGGGATGAGCAGACACGAGCCCATTTGAGATAACAGCCAGCCAGCGGCCGGTCTTGCCCAAACACCATCCACCCAGGTCGCTGAACGTCTTGACAGTCGGCGGCGCCAACAGCAAAACCTTGGACATGGAGACTGACGCGTAGATATTAGCGAAAGCAATGAAGGCCGTGGCGAAGAAGCCAAGCACGGGTCCAGTGCGCGCGAAGTTGCCGGGCATGCCGAGCGTGCCAATGCCGCATATACAGCAGAACAGGCTGAAAGCCATCTTGAAGTCCTCGAGTGTGAAGAACGGTTGATTGCCCATGGCTCAGAAGCAGCGATGTGACTTGTAATGAAGTTCGAGCGGAAGACGGTCAAATCAAAAGTGCAATGAGGTGAACGGAGCTCGGAGGCGTTAAGACGTCAGGGCTGATGAAGACGCACATGCTGACAGTAGCATCGCTCGAAACGTCCAAGAGGGACGTTGTGTCTCCCACGGCGCGACCAACGGGGCAGCTTCATTTTGCCCGTGTCACGAACGCAAACCCAATAGACAAGACGAGCGAGAGCGTGTCGGCAAAGCGCCACGCTGGACGAGGATCGTTTCGATGGACGCGAGCACCCAAGGCGTACAGAAACTATTCCGGTGCAGGGTGAGACCGCACTCAGCAGCAATAGCTGCGCAACCATTTCCCCATCTTGCTTGCAAGGAACTCTGGCCACGACCACCCTTGACGACACGCAAGCCTCTCATGCCCTCCGTCACCCATGGCCCATGGCATGGGGTGCATGCTTTACATGCATAGTATCGGCGGTCATGAGTCAGAGGCGCCACATGGACTGCGTTTCTCTCGATTGCCTCCGAGCAGAGCTGCGCTGGAGTACGCTCGCACAAGTCTGCTACAGGCTCGGCGCCTGTGATCGGGGAGATTGAGCCTGATTCTGCTTTTGAGTCGGGCGACGCCATTGCTGACATTCGACCACAGCGCTGCAGCCTAGGTACCGGTAGGCTTGAGGATACAGAATCTGCCAACTTCAATTCTGAAGTAGCGAAGATGGTGAGCACTTGCTTCGCATTGGCATTTATCAAGTGGTGCTGCTGCTTCTATAGTCAAGGCTGATTCAGCTATAATACTGCTTGTTATACATGTTGCTGGCCGAGAACGATGCCAATCGCCAAGCAGGGTTATACGATCTTACGCCTGTCTACGCTCGTCTACAAGCTGTGCGTCACAAAAGCTTCAACTATGATACCATCACTCTTCAAAACAACGTGCCAGTACATGTACATGTACACCTCACTCTGCTCCTCAACAGGCATTTGAAGATTAGGTCGTCGAACCCACGGATCTCGCGGGTCAAAAGAAAGTGTCCATGGATATTATGCTTAGACCGAAATAACTGTAAAACCGAGAAGCGTGAATTCATCCCAACAGTGGAGGCCTATGCTTCTACAGATCGTGATGCGCCGCCTGCAGCTAATAACACCAGTATACAGCCATGTTGACGCGAGCTCTCGACAGCGACGTCAACCCCACTGCAGTCTCAGGAATCTTCTGGCCTGGCTGCTGGGGGGTGCGATGCCGGCCGTGACGGGCGAGACTGACTGGGGCATGGAGGCGCTCGTCGGGGTCTTCGGGGGCTCCACCGACCTCGTCGAGGACATTCTCCAGGTGACGGACGCCAACCACATGGGCAAGTACGGGGACGTCGGCTTCCGCTGGTACCTGCCGGTGCCCCCGGGGCTGATGCCGGAGGTCGAGGCCTGGATCCGCTCCGAGATGCAGCGTGTGGCGCTGTACTTCCCCTTCATCGACGAGGACGGGCGGGAGGTCCACAACCTGCTGAGCCTCGCCCCCGTGCACGAGGGGCTCGTCAAGAACGTCTTCGAGATGGCGGCCGAGGCCTTCGCACTCGACCCCTCGAGTCTGCAGCGCGGATTGAGCGGTAGCTGACCAAAAGAAGGCGATAAGGTTCAATAAATGAATGAATGCTTTTGTTGAGTATTTGCTGGGGGCTTTAGAACCGCAGGGCTCGACGCACGGGCGGACTTGGTCGCAGCAGCTCGCGGATCCTGTGCATGGCTCCGTAGGCTTCGAGGATCGTCTCGCGCAGCACCCCACGCGACTCGATCTGCTCCATGTGGTTCACCGCCGCCGTGATGATGTCGAGGCACTCGTCGTACGCGATGGCCACGGCCAGGCTTCGGGGCTCGCGCGCGAGCGCCACCATGCGCTCGGCAGCGGCTATGATGGCACGCGAGCACGTCTCGAACGTCGGGCGCAGCTCTCGGTCAGAAGTCCAGGCGGCGGGGGAACTGTCGTAGCTGTGACGCACCGTCGACGCTGTTGTCATCCCGTCAGCAGCTCGACGCGCTGCGAGCTCGTAGTTGCAGGCTGGAGTGGCGATGTCGTAGGCCGCGCCGATGGTGTCCGGAGTGTTCATACTCATGCTCGCGTGGTTTGCTGTCTGTCGTCTTTCTTGGTGGTTTTTGTTGTGGCGGCGACTGGGAGACTGTGAGACTCGAAGCCCGACGAGAAAGTACTTGCGCCTCGAGGCCCGCACTACTTTTGCCTGGTGTTGAGTCGAGAGGCCTGGAACTTATGCGGCGAAAGTGCGCCCTGTGCCACGGAGAGGTTCACGTCTGGGAGGCTGTTGTGTCGATGGGCAGTGCGCCGCGTTGGGATGATCGGATCTCGTGGGTCCGTGTTGCCTTTTGCTGGGATATTGATGAGTGTAGGGGGCCTTGTGTCGTCCTCGAAGCCCAAAGGCACGCTCATGACTGACTGCTGAACAGTCAACAAGTTGGTCATGCCGTCCTTCGTCTTCGAGTCCGTTACACTTGATGAAGCTGAGCTGATCCCACCAGAGGCTACTAGCCCTCGACTGCTACCTGTCGACGGCGCAGTAGACTTCTTCATTAATGAACTCGTATCGGCGATAGACTTGCGGTGGGGCAGCGCCGCTTTCGCGTAGATGAAGCAGTCGCTCGTCCCCACTGCATCCGCTCCCGTGGCCATCACCGTCTGCGTGCTATTGCCACCATCGTCTGAGTTGTTGATAGCTCCACCTTGTGAAAGTTGGATCGACGCTGTATTACCGCCCGACCGGGGCGTTCTTGGGGTCGCTACAGAGGGTCTTCGTGGTGGCACAGCAGCACCAGGGCCTAGTACCGGCTTTCCGGACATGCTCGACGCTACTGAGTTCACGGATTTAAGCATCTGCTGCAGTCGCTTCTGGGTGCTTTCGCTCAACTCCTGCAGCTCGAGTCGCAGCACCTGCATCTTTGCAGAAAGCTGCGAGTGCGAGGACCGCAAGGCAGTCAGCGAGTCTTCAGCAGAGCGGCGTGTGTTTTCAAGCTGCAGCTGATGGGAAGTTTCGCAGCTTTCGACTCGCCGTTGGAGTGCTTGCAACTCCTGATCGTGGGAAAATTGCGCGGTCGTCACGGTAGCTAGAGACTTCTCAAGCTCGGAGATTCTGGTGGGATGTGCTGAGGTTTGCTGCTGCACCTGACGCAGCGTCGATGCTACAGATCGAATTTGGGTGTCGCTCTCAGCTCGAGCCTTTTCCAGCACTTGAACAGCTTGCGCTTGTTGGTCCCAGGCGCGCTGTGCGGTGTCCACGCGATGCTGAAGCTCATTAACGAGAGCATCCTGCTTGCTTATTGCTGCGGTTGCCTCACTTTGTACGTACGCCATCTGTGTAGTGCACCGTTGAAAGAGTTCGTGCTGAGCTTTTGCCACGTCGCGCCGCATCAACTCGATGTCGGTAACAACCGCGAGCTGCGCCATAGCTGTAAACGAGCTATCGTCGATTCGTCTACCTCCTTTGGTTGAGACGAGCTCGGCGTCACTTCGCTGCTGCTGTCGATGGTAGATACTTGAGCTCCACGCGCTGATGAGGTGTAGCTCCTCCACAATGCGAGAGAGATAGCGCTGGACATTGAGCGCCAGGTCAGCGCAGTTCCCGCTTTCTTGACCTCCCAGATCGATAGTAGAAGACATCGAGCACACGTAAGATCGCCCTAGTCCTTCGTCGTCGTCTACCGGATGCAAACCCACTCCATGACTCTCGTGCGAGCCATCACAACGGCCAAGTTGTTCGTGGAGATCTCCCACCTCTATCAAAGCGGCCATGTTCGCGGCTCGACTGGCGAGTATTTTGCTGGTGCCACAGATATACAGAAATAGCGGTCAAGCAACTTTTTCGATGCTCAGATGCTCAGATGCCCAGAGAGAACAGCAAACTGCGTCCAAACCTTGGCGAGATCAATCAGGAGCGAAACGCCTGCATTCAAACCAAGAAGCGTTTGTGAAGGACCAAGTTTAGATTTTGAATACTAGTAGTGGGGAATGCTAAAACACTCCCGATTAGGCGTGCACAAAGAATACTTACGTACAAAATGGAGTTTTGCTGTCTTGCTTGCCCCCCCCCCTGACAGTCCCAGTGATTCACTTTGCCGAGCTTATATTGCGAGATGCAACGATTCAGTGACAAAGTTGTCTCTGCGCTGCTGCGTGAGCTTGAGTTTTCCCAGCTGATCTCTCAGCGCCGCATTTTCTTGGCTCACACGAAGCAGTTCATTTCGGTACAAAACATTCTTTCGCTCGGCTAGGAAGCGGCACTTTTGCTCTCGAGCGAGCGTTTCCTCCATCTCGCGCAGCTTCCCCTCCAGCTCCTGCATCGCCGCCGTATCACTCGACGCCGACGTCGAGTTTGCAGCTGCCGCACTAGCGCCCAGTCGCTGGAACATCGTCCAGCCCTTGGGCTTCCCCTTCTCCTCTGGCTCTGCAGCCTGCTCGTGCTGTGTCTTGAGCTCGCCCTGCTGGTTCTCCTCTGGAGCCTCCACTTGTGTCTCCGGCGACGCCTCGAGCTGCTTGCTTGGCGGGCGCTGGAAAACCAACGTCACGGGGCCTCTGGGCACCTGGCGAAGCTGCTCCACGATCTGTGGGAAGCGCAGAGTCGACACGTCGCTGTCGTTCACAGACAGCAGCAAGTCCCCGGGGGCAATTGCCCCGCTGGCCTCTCCAGGCGCGAGAGCCCCCGACGGGAGGCGGTAGAACGGCACGCGCGTGTCCACGATCGCATGGGTGGCGTCTGCTGCGGCTGCGAAGTAGATGCCGAGACCATACGTGCCCTTGACGAGCTCCACGGAGTAGCACGAGGCTTCGACTTCGGGTGATTCCATGTCAATCAAAAGATGCGATCTTTCGGTGTGCGTCTCTTCGAGGGATGGCTACATTAAATTAAATCTCAATTTTTGAGAGGAGATGGCTACATTCAAAACTGATTGAGATTCTCAAGTTGAGGTACAGTGCTCAACATGCAATTGCGTTGACGACGCTCTTCCATCGTGGAGGTTCGACGCTCGCCTTGCCGCCACTGCTTGAGTAGGTGCCGAGATCCTTAACCCAGAGCGCGAACTCCTCTAAATTGCCGCGCAGCCTTGCTTCCTGAGTCGGGTCATGGCTTGTAATGTAGTCGATGTAGAAAATGTAGTCCCTGTTTGCAGCAAAGGCATTGATCGATCGAGAGAGAGAGAGATAATGACGATGAGATGAAAGCAAGCACAAGCGAAGAAGTGGTGCCAACGTACCAGTGCGTGGTCTGGGCGGTGAAGAGGCTGCCAGCAGTAGCTGCTGGTCGACTCTCGATCTTGACGATCATGACATTGCGCAACGCAAAAGCCGAGACGATCTTGAACAACGCTTGAGGTTCGTTGGGTACTGCTATGACAATACTGGACTTGGTGGTGGTGGGCGGGCGGGTACTCATGATACTGGTTGCTGGAGCAGTGCCCAGTGGCAGTGGAGACGCATCAAGGCGTCCGAGGATCATGTAGCGTGTTTCGCTGTTGAGCTCATCACCAACCCCACGCTCCAGTACAACGAGTCCGTGAGCGTGCGCTGCCTGCTCACTTGCAATAGCCGCCACGTGGCGCTTATCTTCCTGCTTGACAGTCTGACACGCCCCCGCACTGTCCCACGCCGCGTTGCGCTCGATAATGGTGCCGGTCTTGCGCTCCATAGCGCAGATATAGCTCTCGCAGTGGTCCAGCACCGCCGGGTGTGACGACAACTGCTTGATCTCGCTGATCGCCACTCCGGGCAGCACGCAGAGACACAACTCCTGCACACACGCCACCTCGCCCACGATCTTGAGGTGCGAAGCCACCAGTCGGTCCAAATTCCCGTGGAATGTGCCCGAGATGGAGTTCTCCACCGGCAGCACGCCGAACTGCAGCTCTCCGCGCTCCACCGCCTCCACCACGTCCGTCATGTGCGACAGTCCGACGGTCATGAACTCGTTCGGACTCAGAACTTTGGCGGCGCGCAGCTCCTCGAACGCGGCCTTGGCCGCCACCTCCGAGAACGCGCCCTCCTTGCCCTGGAAGCCCACCAGCACGAAGTTGTCGGCCAGCGAGGCTGGGGCGGCGTCGTGGACCTCCTCGTTCTCCTCCGTCTTCTGCTCCGCCTCCGTCTTGATCCTCTTCTGTCCGCTGGCCGCTCCTTCCTCGGCTGCATCTCTCTTGCTGCCTGTCGCAGCTAAGACTGGCGCCGTGGTGGGGCGGCGTCCGGCGCCTGGCAGTCGCTTGGCGCCCGGGTGCATGGCTAGCAGCTCCGCCTCCTTGTCGCGCCACGCGCGCACGCAGTTGCGGTCCACGCCGAACTGCCGCGCCACCGCGCGCAGAGACATGCTCTTGGAGGCCGCCACCACCTTCAGCTTCTCCTCCACCGTGAAGCTGCGCTTCTTGTCGCCCTTGGCGGCCGCCGTCGCCGTCGAGTCCTCCGCGTCCGACATGTTCAGGCGTGTCAAAATGTTTTGGTGTATGGAACACGAATGTAGCCATCCTGGAAATAGGCAAGTTGAAGTCCGCCTATAAATACGAGGAGAAAAGCTTCCGATCTGATCATAAGTTGCGAGTTGCTGTAGCTGAGGGTTGCCATGGCGATGGAGCCGCTGCCACCGACGTCGGCGCGGGGGATTGGCCAGCAGCAACAGCAACGGCGGCTGCAGCAGTTCCTGGACCGAGGGCGGGTACCGCCGCGAGAGCGTCATCCGGAGCGAGCCACGAACGATGTGACCGACATCCTCGGCGCTCGGCCGCTGCTCAAGAACCACGTCTACGTCAACAAGCTGCACTTCTACGATGCGCACGATATCAAGGGCTCGACGAGCATGGAGCTGCACCCCAAGAACTGGCGGGCGGGAAGCGACAACCGCTTCAAGCAGCTCCCGATCGAGGGGACAACGTCGCAGCCCGCGGGGTTCCGCACGGATCGCGTTGTGAATCCGCTGGAGCCAAACTACAAGCTCCCATCCTTTGTCAAAGCGCCTCCGGTGCGTGTTATCTCCCCGCACTGTGCTGTCGCTGAGTTTTCTAAGTAATTTTTGACGCCTGTGCAGCTCGAGCCCAAGTTCCTGCGAGACAGCTACAACGTGTCCGACATCGAAGGCACTTCGATCAAGATTCGAGACATTCAACACCCTCGAGACGGCTTGAAAGTGGTAAGGCTGTAACTGAATGGACTAAATAGCGCGAACATGGAGCTGAGCTTAACTCTGCTTGTAGGATGACATTGCAGGCACGCAGTGCGGCTGGCTACCTCGGCACAAGCGCGGCCTACGTGAGAACCCTCCGCGGGATATCCTGAACGTCCAGGATATTACCAACGTGGACTTCAGGTCCAGCCGTGTCACGTGAGTTTTGCTTAGTTTACTGGTATCTTCCTGTTGATCGGAGCTAACAGCGGTGGCTTGGGCTGCAGGAACGTGCTGAATCCCGTGTACACAGTCAACGGCATGACATTCGCGGACGATCCGTTGTCTCGTCCATTAGTGCAGCACCCCAAGCGAGACAAGCCCAACTACGCTCTCAAGACGGACGATATCGAAGGCGCGAGCTGTGCAGACCCAGCTACAGCGATTGTCGCGGGCATCGTCATGGCACATCGACGCAACTTTCGTGATACCAACGTCACGAAAGACATCACCGGCGCCAAGGCGGATACGCTGCTGCACAGCATCCGCTCCACGCGACGTGTTGACCCCAACGCCCCACTATATTCAGCTCTGGATGGCTCACGCGTGGATGCGAGCGCGATATCTGTAGGCAAATCGATTGTCTTCGCCGATCTGGTGCATCAGCACGAGCTACTTGAGGCTGCCCACAAGCGAGACGATGGCGTGATGAAGCCGTACACTGTAAGCGGTGTGAGCAACGTTGGTCTGTTGGACTCCGCTAACCGAGACCGAGAAAAGAAACCTCCAGGAGCTAAGCGAGTCTCGATATACGGTGACAACGATCCACCACCAAGAACTGCACCAGTGAACGCAGGTAAAATGAAGACTGATCTCATGCCAGCAATTACTGGAGGCAGGAGGTCGAAGCCGTCCAAACCGTCGAAGCCAACATTGGTATCGGGCGGAGCGAAAGACGGAAGGAGTCACGGCGAGCGCAAGCAAGCAGCAGCACGGCGAGAGGAGATTAAGCTGGTGCGCGAGCTAAGCTAGGATACAGCAAATGCATTTATCACCATCATGGTTGTTGTTATTCATACCCTTCAAGCAGGGTGTAGCTGCACAGGGGGGGGAGAAAGAAGGCATCGTTACCCACCAGAATTATGTGCATAGGTACCATTTTGAGCGAGCAACCTAGGTGAGATCGAACTCGTCGTACACAGGTGCCGCCGCCTTGGGCGCGGGCTTGGACTCTGGCACGGGAGCTTTAACCTTCGGGGCGGGCGCCGCCGCTTCAGGAATCGAGAATTCGAGCGAGTCTGAGTCCGGCATGGCAAACTCGAGGTCGTCAAACTCGTAATCCATACGCACGCTAGCCCGCACTGCTGCAGGAGGCGGAGACGGCGCCAAATTCGGGGACAAACTGGAAGAATCGCCACTGATTTCTGGCGATGAAGGCTGCTGAGGCTTCACAGCATGCTCCTCCTGTGCACGTGGGGCTCGTGCTGAAGCTGAAGGCTTCTTCTCTTCCTTGGAAACGTTGACTTCGCCGAGTGCTTCCACCAACGCCGCTTCGTAATCGCTGTCACGAACGTCGGAGCTGGACGCCGTCGGTGCTTCAGACGAACCGACGTCGTATTCGGACTCCAACGACGGTGCGTGCACTGGAGCTGGCGGTGCAGCTGCAGCTGGGGCCCGCGAGGTAGGAGCGAAGGGATTGCGCTGCGCTGGGGCAGCGCGAGCGGATGGTGCGAACGGGTTCCTCTGCTTCGGCTGCTGCTGGCTCACGCCTCCCGCACTGGAAGGCGCGGGTCTCTGGTGCTGCTGAGGCCGCGCCGGTGCGGCATGTCCGGATCCATACACCGACAACTTGCGGCAGACCCGTCCGATCTGGTTGTCGAGCGCCATGAAACCGGGCTTGCGCACCGTGGCCTGCAGGAGCTCCTCGTTGCCCATCTTGAAGGCGCGCACCAGGTCCTCCGCGAGCGCGCAGTCGTCCGAGGTCAAGAAGGAGTCGTCCTGCAGGCAGCGCGAGTACAGCGCATCGGCGGCAGGCACGTCGCCCGAGGCCAACTGCAGGATCACCTGGCTCAGGTGGGCCTTGTGCACGTTGTGGCGCTGGTCCATCGCCTCATAAAGCGCCGCCATGCGGTCCAGCAGCTTGATAGCGTCGCTATTCTTGCCGCTCTTCACCAGGAAGCTCAGCGTCTTGCGGAACGTCTCCACAGCGAAGTGCGGCTTGCCCTGCGCCTCCAGCAGGTCGCACGCCCTCCAGTAGAGCGGCAGCACGTCGTCTGCGCCACAGCCGTGAGTCTCACAGGCCTGCGCGCCCTTCACGAGTGCGTCAGCGGCCTTGCCCAGCTCGCCCATGTCCACGTAGCAGCCGCTGGCCGTCTCGTAGGCCTTGCGGGCCTCGGCCGTGCGCTGCTGGGCACTGTGCGCGCCTGCGCGCTCGGCCTTGAGCTGCTGCAGCGCCGTCTTGGCCACATTCTCCCAGGCCTGCGCGGCGCGAAACGGCGACTGGTTGTGCAGCTGCGCGTCGGCGCAGCGCGCGAAGGCCTGCTTGCTGGCCTCGAAGTCGCCCCCGAGGCGGTAGAGCTCGCCGGCCTTTTCCAGCAGCGGCGCCGCGCTCAGGTAGTCGGGCGCGCCGCGGAAGAAGGAGCGTTTAGCCAGCGCTTTCTCCGCCTGCTTGAGCTGCTCCGCCGCCTCCGCGCACTTGTGCTGCTGCAGCGACGACATATCTATCGGGGAGGAGGAGGAGGACACGTCAGATCGATAGTGCAGTCGGTCGTAACGCAAGATACCTCCTTACATGAGACGAGTACAGCGAAATTTTTTTCCGGATTGTATAAAGAGGGCGCGTGTACCAGATGGATGGTACAATCTTGTGATTGTGTACGCGGCACATTATTATCGTGTACGCCACATTCAGTGGTGTGCGATCACACGATGATGCATTGTACCCTATTCCTGGTACGATTGACGCGCTGCTCGTCGACGCTGTTTGTTATTGGTCAGAAGTTTCACCAATCGTTGATAGCGAGTTGAACACGTCGATCTTTTGGGCGCATAATCAGATTGCATTGGCTGAAAGTCGAGGGAGACGGTCCATTTTTGTAAAGGGTGGGTACTGGCTGAAAAGCCGGGCGAACTGGCCGTTCATTGGTGTAAATTAACCCGGCTGACCGAGCTGCTCAACGTTCGTTGTTACCGGTGTTGCATGAACGCGCTGCAATTGTCATGAATCGCAGAGGTATCACTAGCGTGGATAATGGTGGCTTCGATTGCAACGCCACCAAGACAAGAGGCGCGACGAGAGAGCAGCGAAATCGCGCACTGGTGTTCCGGGTGGTCGACAGCTGTCACTTTCCTTTCGAGGGTGCTTGGTACATACAGTACCTACACCAAGTTGGTGTAGCTTGTCGACGAATCTCCACGGAAACGACACCAGCGCTCGCATCGCCCCTTGCATTTCGGCCGCTCTGCGTTAATTAATGCACGCACCGCTCGAGCACCCCTTCATTGACAAATTCAAACGACAATGAAGTGACAGCAATTTTTAACGGCGAAGGACGCCTTGCACGGATGCCCCGGGGTGTCTTTGCAATCCGCTCCGGGGCGTCGAAAATTGTTCAACGCTGTGCACAAGATGGCGGGACAAACCGACTCTGGATGGCGAAACCGGGGCGCCATGGGGGTGAATCCACGCGTTTCGAGTGCCGCTGTCGTCTGCCTCGTGAGCGGAGCCACTCAGATGGACCCAAGCGGAGCTCGCTGTGATTGTGGCGAAGTTCAAAATGCAGTCCGCGCATCCCGATTGAAGGAAAAGTCTCAACATGCCGCGCCCCAAATGTTTAGACGAACACTTCAACCGCAGATGGCATGCAGTAGCACGCTCGTCGCATTCGATTCCATCGCCGAGCTCCAAGATCTCCTAGATCGCCGAAACACTGCCTTCCCATAGGGCGGACTCCATCCGGAGCGAGACAGTCGCAGCTCATCACCTTTTCCGGTCCTCAGGGCTGAAGCAGTAACGGACGTCCTAACTTGTCGATTATCGTTACGCATCCCCATTGTCGCCGAGCCTGCACCAGTCGTCCGAGGAAGATAGACGCATACACACATGAGTAGCCGCAAGGCAAGGTGTCCATATTGGCGCCGGACCGTCGGAAGCTTGGCCATCTCGATTAAATAGAGACAGCACCTCCTTGCAGCGGACTGCAAGTTGCAGTTTTCACGGCGCTCGCTCCGTTTAGCGGATCGCCGGCGCCGAAAAAGAGGCTCCTTTCAGCCCTCGTATCGCAATCCGGAGAAACGCAGAGCAAGCGGGCGCTCAAAGGCGGTGCAACGTCCGTGACGAGGGACCGGGGGCCGTCCACCTGAAAGTGCTTGTTGCGATGCAGATTTACAGGCGCCCCGCGTCCTAACAGTCCCCTTCTCATGTCCGGGCACCGGAAGGTCTCTGCACAACTCGAAATCCGTATACTTGGGCCAGATCCAGAGCAAGCAACAAGAGGCTCCTCGCTGGCCGCGCTGCCCCCGAGGACAAGGGAGCAGCCACGGCAAGCGTCTCGGTTCCGCCATTGGCATGCAGCGCGCCTCTTGCAGCTCTCGCTCACTTTGAATTTGGCTGCCAACACCGCAGTCCACAAGAGTCCCGCCACCCTCGCAACCGCTTCCCCGACCGCGACACCATGGCCAAACAGCCCTTCTTCACGTTCGAGGACGCCAAGTTCTCCTTCAGCCTCTTTTGCTGCATGTGCGGAGTCGGCACGCTGAGTATGCCAGCCAACTTCGCCCGCGCAGGCCCGGTCCTGGGTTTCCTGGCCACCATCTTCATGGCCCTCGCCAACATGTACGCGTCGGTCGTCATGTCCAAGGTGCTGCTGCTCGCCCCCAACTCCGTCAACACGTTCAGCGACCTCGGTGAATGGTGCATGGGCAAGTCCGGCCGCTACCTGTGCATGATCTCGCAGATGGGCTCCTGTCTGCTCATGCCGTGCGTCTTCCTCGTGCTCGGCGGTGGTCTGCTCGACGGACTCTTCCCCGGTGCTTGGAGCGCCACGACGTGGATCATCCTCATGACCATCACCGTGCTGCCGTTGGCCTTGGTGCCGACGCTCAAGGAAGGTGCCGGTGCCGCCTTCGCCGGTTGCATGGGCACGCTCATCGCCGACGCCCTCGGCATTGCTATCGTGGCGCACGGCATGCGCGACCACCCGTCCGTTCCGTCGCCCGAGCTCAGCCTGTCCCAGGTTGTCGGCACCTTCGGCAGTCTGGCCATGGGTTTCGGTGCCGGCATTGTCCTCACGGACGTGCAGCGCCAGCACAGCGACCCGGGCCGCATGCCCCGCGTTGTGTCGGTCACCATCGGCTTCATCATGTGCATGCTGCTGGTCCTCGGCTTCGTGCCGTACCTGTCGGTTGGCTGCCAGATTTCCGGCAACCTGCTCTACGTGATCTACCCGGACGCCTCCACTGGTCTCACAACGCTGGGTTTCGCGCCCAACTGGGGCACCGTCGTGCTAGCCTACTTGGCCATGCAGATGCACGTGACCATCGCCTTCTCCGTGCTAATCAACCCGGCGTTCTACATCGCCGAGCGCCTGGTGCTGGGCATGCACAAGAAGCAGTCGGAGGAGGTCGAGAACGGCATGGCCTACCTCGAGTCTGGCACCCCCACGGCCGACGCCAAGGGCGATGTCGCACGCGTCAGCGCGACTTCCAGTCGCCGTTCGAGGACGTCCGTGTTCCCCCTAACGGGCGAGGTCAGCAATGCTCACGAGCTGGAGGCCGCTGAGTACCGTGGCGCCAACGCGATCAAGTACATCGTGCTTCGTCTGTCCATCATCGTGGTGCTCGTCATCGTGTCAGTCGTTTTCAAGGACCACATCTCGGACTTCGTCGACTTCGTGGGCGGCTCCGTCATCACTGCCAACTGCATTGTCCTGCCGACGATCTTCTACCTGCTCAAGACTTGGGAGCACGTCCCGATGTACGAGAAGTTCGGCGCTGGTGTCATCATCGTGGTGTGCACCGTGCTGGGCTGCTACTCGACGTACACGTCCGGCAAGAACCTGTTCGTGCCCTCGGACTCGGACATCCTGTTCCCGTACTGCGATGCTGAGTTCCAGGACACTGTGTATTTCAACCAGACCTCGTCCTAAATGTGAAACATTACGTATACTATGGATATAACGCTAGGCTCGCGTAAAAGGCAATGGAAGCTTCGTTATCGCCAAGAAGTGCATGTGTGCAAAGTTGGTTGTCATAGCTGGCTGTGGATTTGATCAGGCCCATCACCCTAATCGTCCATGACTCATGCCTTCACTAAGTGAATCACTTGTGCTTCAAAGGTATGACTACAGGATTCACTTGTTGATCTGCATGAGAATCCCAGCCCCGATTTCCGATACACAGGCTTCGTCAAACTAGGATATCCATCCTAGTGCCTATATTACCTTAATGAAGGAAGGAAGGCTGGGGACCCTTAATATAGGATGTATCTCTACTCGATACTTAATTCAGCTGATGAAGCCTAATGAACGACTGCGCTGTGCGGTACTTTCACTAGCTCCAAGTACTGCGAAGCATGTAGCTCGTCTTCTGGCGAGAAATCGGTGAGTTGACCCCAATGCTCGCTCTTCATGCGTTTCAGGATCGAGATCTCCCCATGTCTCGGTTGTTTTGAGCTTAGATAGGCGGTCGACATTGTTTCCAAACCTTCGATCGACTTGATACTCTTCCTTCAAGCTACGATGCTGGGCCCAAATTTTCCCTACCACCGAATCGCCGTACTGCCTGGTAAATCGGTCTTCATGCCTGTTAAATGACTCGGCAAACGCGCCATGAGTGATAAGAGCAGATTCTTTACGAGTCGCCATGGCGTATACTGTGTCCTGGGCGGACAACGTAATGCCCAGGACCCCGTCAATAGATCCTTGTTCAGCATCACGAACTACGAGAACCAAGCCAAACTGTCTCGCATCTCTTAAAGTTCACTCGAAAACAATGACGCCTTACACTCAGTCTTCACCTCACTTAAGCATCAGGGCGTAGCTTATTGCGGGCCGAGTACAGTACTGCTCGGATACAGTGACATGTTTGTACCGCAGTTACTCAAATCAATACTTGGCTGGCCGCGCGAGATCCGTGACCACAGACAAACTATCCACCTCAAACTGATCGAAAGCGAGCAACCCTGTTCTTTTTGCAGCGCAACCGATTTTAATAGTTGCGATTGAGTGTCAAAAACTCGCAGGAGTCATAGATAGAGTCCTACCGGGTTTCAGCATAGTGAAGACAGCTCCCTACACTACGTTTGGTAGACACGTGCGTATGCGTGAAAGACATCTCCGAACCTAGGATCGTGCGAAAGTCACAACAAAGCTGTCTAAAACCAAGAGCAATTGGTTCATGGCCAGGTATAGTTCATAACGGAAGCCTTAATACAGTCTACTGTAGATCACTACAATTACTATGTAGCCATCCTGTTGATACAGGACGCTGGCAGAGCCTTAATTTAGGAAGTGCGCCCAATTTATGTTCATCCTTCCTAGTTTGACGATGCCTGCCGATACAAACTAGAGCGTGAGAACGAGACGCCTGATATATCCGGATTTAAAAGGGAATCATATGTGGCAGATACCACGTTATGTATTTTACATTGACTCTAATACCTGATCCAATCGGTAAAAACGGGTATTAGTTGTTACCTGTCTCGTTCTCACGCTCTAGTCTGTACATACATTCCTTGAGCTCTGCGCGAGCGATAAAGAACAGCTATCGAAGCGAGTTCCTCGGAGCGAATGGCGGACGCCTGGTTGGCTGGGCTTCTGTTAGGATTCCTCCTTACGAGGCACAAAGTATTCCTTCCGACGATTCGGCGGCCGCATCGGAGGACGCGCGCGCAGCACCGTGTTGCCAGCACGATGGCAGGCTCGTTGCACTGCTCCATCGATCGACGATGGTTGAAATGTTGAAGTTGGTTCTGCGACGTGTGAGCGCAAAACGGGCCGGGTCTAGTTTGTGTACGACTCTCAACCCACCCGGGTTGTGTGACGTACACCAACTAGACCCGCTTGTCCTGACGCGAATATCCCGCCGTCACCAGGGCCGAGCCATTAGTTCCTCGCTCCAGCAGCGTCAATCACACCCAGCATGAGCTACAACAACCGGCGAGGAGGCTTCGGCGGGCGCAGTCGCGGGCGCGGCAATCGCGGAGGACGCGGTGGCTACGGCGGCGGCCGCGGGGGCTTCGGAGGCGGCTCGTCCCTGGGCTACGAGGTGTGCCGGCGCTTCATGGACGGCGGCAAGTGCGAGTTCGAGCAGACGTCGGGCGGCCGGCCGTGCCGCTACCCGCACTTCGTCAAGACCATCGGGGAGACGCGCGGCCACAACGGAGCCATCAAGGACGTGGTTATGTGGGCCGAGCGGCAGCAGCTCTTCACGTGCTCGGCGGACGCCAGCATCAAGCTCTGGGACTGCGCCACCTGGCAGGAGATCACCACCATCAGCGTGCAGGACGCGCTGCCTCCGTCCGCCAATGGCGGCGGCAACGGAGGAGGGGGCAGAGGCGGCAACAGAGACAAGACGCCGCACACGGAGGGCGTCGTGGCGCTGGTGCTCTGCGGCCCCTTCCTGTTCGCGGGCTTCGAAGGCCGCTTCCCGCCCAACCCCAAGGTGTCGGTGGGCATGATCCGGGGCTGGAACCTCGAGAACGCACAGGCCCCGCCCTTCGAGTTCCCGGTCTCGGAGCTCATGCCCTTTGCGCACACGATGAACGTGCAAGCGCTGGCGGTGGCCACCGACACGACGGGCAACGCCACGCTCTTCAGTGGCAGCGCGGACGGATCGATCCGCTATTGGCAGATGGACACGGCGACCAACCAGTTCAAGTGCCGCGGAGTGATGGAGGGACACGTGCGCGGAGTTACAAGACTGAAGACGTTCGCCGTGGGCGGCGCGCCCATCTTGGCGTCGGCCAGTGTGGACTCGACGATTCGACTATGGGACTTGGCGACGTACCAGTGCGTCAAGGTGCTCTCGGCCGAGGAGAATGGACACACGGATGCTGTCATGGATCTCGAGTTCTGGGTGAACAATAACGAGACGTTCCTCATTAGTGGCGGCCTGGACTGTGAGATCATTGTGTGGGGTCTTACCCCGCCCTTCCAGCAGCTCTTCAAGGAAACACAGGACTCGCAGGTTACTGCTCTCTGCGGGACGCAAGACGCCGCGCAAGCCCCGATTCTTCTCATTGGCATGGCGGTAAGTTTCTTTGACTTTGGTGTGTGGTTGATCTGCATCATACTCATCTGCACTGTTTTATTGGTCTTTTGCTCAGGATGGCACGATTTCGGTGAAGGAGCTGCCGTCGTTCGCGTATAAGACGACACTAGGCGCCAACATGAACCAAGGTCACCAGGATGCTGTGCGGCGCATCACGATTGGTCCCAGCAATACGTTCTTCTCCACTGGTAACGACCGCAAGATGATTGCCTGGCAGATCACGGGCGACGTCGCCTCCATTCAGTCCAAGTAAATGGTCAAGTTTTTGACCTCGTACACCCACGCCGCTGTTGTACATACAGCTCGAAATACTACAAGAGAATAGGACGACGCTGGGTGCGCGCGAAGCGCTAGACGACAGAAGGAGAGTGGCCACAAGTGAGAGTCGATCTCCGGCACGCGTGGAAGTGGTGTTTTCCCTCAACAAGCCGAAGTAGGACAGCGCTAAACACGGTGAACAGCTTGCGTTGAGGGCAAAAGTCCACACTCTGCAATCTACAGTCTTATAGTAGGGTAGAACTTTTGCTGAGTTGGCGCTACGATTGCGCCGCATTACTGCGTTGCGCAGAGGCCTAGCACTATTCAGTGCAATAGACGGTTGTAACCTCATAGCTATCTGACGACATACGCAACGAGTAGCAAGCGCCTTGCAAGTATGTAGCTGCTCTACTGTAGACATTACCGGTGCTGTCTTGCATTTGCGGCTTTCAATGAAGATCGACAGCAGAACTGTGTGCTGATGTCTTGTCGTTGTCTTGACCTGGCACGCTCAAAGAAATTTGTTGCGGCCCAAGATTTCCAGACTGGTAATTACCGTCGAACCCAGTAATTGTTGTCTGGGCAGGCGCAGTGATCCCATCTACTTGGACAATACCCAGCTCCTTCCGAACGCGTTGAAGCCACGTCGCTGCCTTTTGATATGATCGGTTTAGCGCGTAAGCTTCCTCGAAGCAAGTTGCAGCTAACTCCAGCTGCTTCTTGCTGTAATGGCAAAGGCCCATGTTGTGACTTGTGATGTGGTGCTTGCCCATTTCTTGAGCGGACAAGGTGTAGTACGCAAGCGCGCTGTCGTACTCATGCAGACCGTAATAGAGGCGGCCGATCTCAAAGGCCACATCCTTCTCCTTGTCTAATGCATAGTAGTTTTTCCAGACCAGCGGGATTCCATACATCACGTCCTGCTTGAGCTTGGCGGCAGCAGTCGGGGACTGGTCTAGCAGCACGTCGCGGAATTTGTAGAATACATCCGGATCCCACCCACTCAACTTCATCAGCGCAAGCACAGCCTTCAGCGACGGAGCTTTGGCATCTTCCTTCGTCGACTTCTGCATCACGAAAAAGTCGTTGGGACCAAAGCATACAATATCGTCTTCAAACGCTGTCGTGAGGTGCGGGAACTGGAGGCTGCGCTTCGCGCACGTTCTATCGAGTCCGTCACCGTAAAGTTCAGTCATTGCCGAGCTGACAGTCTCGTGCTCACCCACAGCGTTAGCTGGCAGCACGAACGCAGACACCTTCAGGCTTGCCTCTTCCTGCGGACTGTGCAACGCAAAACCACCGCGACTGGCGAAGTAGACGCCAATTGCATGGTAGTTCACCATAACGGAGAAACTTCCGTGCACGGCGATGTGCGGGTCACTGACACCTCGGAAGTGGTCGGGGTTGTTGTTCCCTTTGTCACCTGACAGCGCGACGAGACCGTTTTTCGAAAGCGCAGCAAGGCGCTCGATAGCCGAAAGCGCTCCGATGGGCACCAGAATCGTGGCACCCGAGGACGCTGGGTCGAAATACTCGTGATACCACTTCAGGATGTTGTTGCAGTGAGGTCGCGTCTCTCCATAGTACGTCTCGTCGATCTGTTCGTACTTGAAAATGTTGTTCAGGCGCTTGATGATCTCGGGGTCGAGTGGGTCGGGCTCTTCAGCACGTTTAGACCCGACACTCACGAGGCCTTCCTTCAACACACCACCATCCACCTGGAACAGGTCGTGGTACAGCGTGTCAAACAAGTAATTTGCAATCAGACACAGCGGGTTCGCCAGCTCGCCGGGGCGGATGACCTGACCGGACGAGTACAGACGCAGCTCCTTGTCGGTGGTGGCTTCAAAGATCGCAAAGTCCACGATCCCGCGCTTGACGAAAGGGGCCAGCGCCGGGTGTGTCTTCCAGAAGTTGAAGTTCTGCTCCGTGAAGTCCGTCATGATGTAGCGGATGTTGCTCAGCGGGAAGTCCAGAACGCTCTGCAGTTAATAGCAAACAACAAGAAGCCTCTCATCAGCAACGCCGCGCAACCTCACAAACTTTATCAACAGGTCACAGCTCACCTCCACTTGCGCGAGCGCCTTCAGGAAGTAGAAGCTGAACTTGCCCGATCCGGCGCCGAGCTCCACGATGTAGAAGGGCTGCGAAGGGTCCACGGGCGAGGCCGAGCCCGGCCGCATCGCGTCTCGGAAGTACGCGCGCAGCACATTGCTGTAGCGCTTGGCGATGAACGTGTTGGACGTGATGAAGTGCGGCACGATGCCCTGCGCCCAGGACTCGACGCCCTGGCGGTCGTAGAAGGACATCATGAGCTTCCAGAGGTGGCAGCGCGCGAAGGGCGTGAAGTCCTCGAGCTGGCAGCGCGGCGGCGCCTGCATCTCCAGCTCGCGCACCTCGTCGGCCTTGCCGGAGGCTGAGGCGGCTGCGCTCGCGACGCCCACGGGGGCAGACGGCGCAGGCGGCGGCGTCGGAGTCGCGGCGGTGGTCTCGCCGTCGCTGCTGTCGCTGGTTACGGGCGTGGGCGACTTGGTTACGTGTACCCCCACGGCGTCTTCCGGGACGGTGAGCGTGCCCGGTCGCACGGACTCCGGGCTCAGCGGGTGCGCGTCCACGGGCAGCGGCATCGGGGACGAGGGAGCGAGCGAGATGCGTGCGCGGTCGAAGGCAGAATGCGGAATGCGCCGCCAGCGCCCCTTGAACTAGACAGGGCGGGGGTTTCCGAAACAGTTGAGCCTCCGAGAGCAAATAGATCATCTGTGAAAGACGATATCCGACCCTTTCACTCATTTCAGTATGTAGAATGAATGAACCGGTCAGTTTGAGATCGAACCTGATATCTGCGTTTCTGCGAAAGATGGATTATGACCGATTATGAAAGGCAGTAACGGATGTAACCTCCCAGGGGTACACTCTAGCCGGAACGAACTTCAGCTTCGCTGCTGCGGCGCTGGGCCGGTGTTAACCACCACTGCTGGTGGATCAATGCTCGTCCAGCAGAGCTCGAGGACGTCGTGCGGCTGTCGAGGAGCGAGATTAGAGCACGCGTGTCGCACTGCTCGACGTGGAGATTGTGCCACGGTGCTTCGGCTACAGTAGCCGTGCCAATACTACCAGCAGCACCCGTACCTGAAACTTGCATTACAATTGCAGCAGCAGCAACAACATAAGCAACACTTCAATACTACCTTCGTCCTTGCCAAATTGCCACGTACCTAGGCCACGCCGAGCACTTTGGGGTGACGATTGTGAGCACTAACAGTCTGCTGCTTGCAGCCAACGCAACACAGCGCAATACCCATATCGACTGAGCTACATGTCATTGTGAGCCAGACGCTTGCGCCAAGTACTCGAGCCGCGCAATGCAGGACCGGAGAGGTAGGTTCTTGAGTCGCAGGGGGGGGGGGTACTCCCTGCTCCCACTTCAACTTGGGTTGATACCGTCCTCCCATTAGTCAAAATTGGATTACGCACAAAGCCATGCGAAGGTTACCCACGACGACGGACGTGTGTCCGCAATGACAATCAGTCTGCATCTCGCCGCCCTCGTCTCGCCCGCCATGTTCAGCCAGCCGGCGCTCGCCGGCAGCGCGTTCGCGGGCTTCTCGGACGAGCTGGTGGCGTACTTCACGCTCTTCTGCGAGCCGGCGGAGCTGCTGCGCCTCTCGGAGGTGAACTCCGTGTTCTACGTGTTCTGCCAGGAGGACCCGCTCTGGATGGGCCAGTGTCTGCGGCTGCACAACGGCGACTTCTCCTTCCACCGCAACTGGAAGCTCACGACCTTCTACCCGAGGGACCCGCGGCCGCTGCAGCAGCTGGAGCAGGCCTTCCGCCCCGTGGCCGTGCGAGGCTTCGGCTCGGACTTTCTGTACCGACGCTGGTGCCGCTGCCACATGGAGCTTGGCGACGCCTACTTACTGCCCAGTGAGGAGCAGGACCCCACGATCCGCCGACTGCAGAAGTTCGACGTCAAAGACTTGACCTTCCGGGACTTCTACGAGTGAGTACAGCGTCTGCATGCAGTGTGGAGAGTGTAACCGAGAAACTGATTGTATTGCTCCTGTCAGGCAATACTCGGGGGTGCCGTTCATCATCCGCAACGCTATTGGCAAGTGGAAGGCGTCTACGGATGTAAGAGGGGTGTTCCCGATTTGTTAGCGTTGCGTGCTGCTTGACTGATCGCATGATTTGGTGTCTTGTGTAGTGGACAGTGGAGAAGCTGGTGGAGAAATATCCGAGTGATGTAAAGCACCGTATCACGCACAACCTGGACGTCATGTCAACCAGCCCGACCATGGAAATGAGCTTCGCCGACTACTTCCAGTACGCGGCCAACCAGCACGACGAAACGCCGTTGTACATCTTTGATGCGCGATTTGGGGAGAAGATGCCTGCGATGCTGGAAGACTACGATGTTGAAGACCTGAAGGTGTTCAAGGAAGACTTTCTCAGTGTGATTGAAACTCCGGAGGAGGAGGAGGGTAACAAGGTGCCGACCAAGAGTGTGAAGCTGGCCGCTGGCGGCAAGAAGATACGGAAGGACAAGAAGAAGAAGCGTGCTCCGGGGTCTATTCGACCCGACTTCCGCTGGATCGTCATCGGGCCTCAGCGCACAGGTGCTCCGTGGCACCAGGACCCGGCGAGGACATCTGCTTGGAACTCACTTGTCAAGGGACGCAAGCGATGGGCCATTTACCCTCCGGACTCGCCTCCGCCGGGTGTGAACGTCGGTAAAAATGGCGAGTATCGCGATAGTGGTTTGGATATGCCATCGCTTATGTGGTACTTGCACGTGTATCCTACGCTCACTCCGGACCAAAAGCCCCTCGAGATCATCCAAGAAGAGGGAGAAACGATCTACGTTCCCAATGGATGGTGGCACCTTGTTCTGAATTTGGACCTCACCATCGCGGTCACTCAGAATTTTGTGGACTCACACAACGCACTCATGTTTATGAAGGACTTGCTCAACGACGGGCAAGATGAAGCGCTGTCGATATTCCAGCATGAAATGCGAGCTACGCGACCAGAAACGTTTGACATCTTCCGACTTGTCCAGATCCCACGTGCGCTCGGGTATTTGAGCGAGGATATGTACCAGCAATCGTTCCGCATCCTCGAGTACTGGAAACCGCAACTGAAGAAGGTTCTTAAACGCCACAAGGTGTTCGCTTCGCCAAATAGTACGGAAAGCACGAAGATTGCGGGGGAGAAGATCAAGTATCCGAAGATGAAGAGCTTGACGTCGCGTGTCAACCCGACATTTGCAGTTGGCAAACGGTTACTGGTCAAGTTCTTCAGCCAGTATAACGAAAATTGGGGCGAGTTCGACTTTGAGGCGTACATGGCTCCAAACTACGATTCGACCGACACCGAGCAAGCATCGCCATCAAAGCGTCGTAAGAAGAGCGTTTTACAGCCGTACGAGCTGAAAAATGCCATGTCATTGCGATCTGCAATGGAGGATTGTTTCAGCATCGAGAGGACTGTATACTGCATGATTGAGAAGGCGGCAAGTTCTAGTCCCGTGCATCAGCCAATTCAAGCGATGGTCCCTCGGTTGTATCACTCTGGACACCTTCTCTATGTGGACGAAGTGGACGATGAAGAAGGCGAAGGTCCAATGTGGCGATGGCCATACGTTGTTATTGAGTACAAGAGCGGCGGCATTGGTCTTGATTCCATCACGAAGAAGGGTGGCGCTACTGCTACGAGCTGGAAGAAAGTGGCTGCGTGGATCAGTCAGGAATTTTTGCCGAAGCTGCATTCCATTCCGATCGATCCCGAATTTCGGGGGGTGTATGGCCACAGCAAAGCTGAGTGGGACTGGTACATTCACTACATGCTTCGCCAGAGGAAGCGTGCCATCTCATGTAAGACTGTTGCTGCATTTGTATGCGTGCTGTTGCTGTACTAATAGTTGTTGTTGATGTTATCGTTCAGTCCACCTAATCGAAAGTGACCTGCCGGCACATTTAATGAAGCTTCTCGAGAACTTTCTCCCGGGTGCGAATAGCGACACTATCGCTGCTGAGCTGCTGCCAGTGAAGTTGTCGGAGACAAATCCTGTGCTGCTCCACGGAGACTTGACGGACGAGAATATTCTTGGGACTGAAGTCGACGTGGAGACGAATGGTGTTGCCATGTCGTCTGAGGCAACGAACTTGACGCTGTATCTGAAGTCAATTGGGTGCGAAAAGTACATCCCGCTTCTTGTGGAGCAGGAGGAGCTAACACTCGAGTTGTTGGGCCACCTGGACGAATCGAACTTGAAAGACTTGGGTATCCCACTCGGGCCTCGTCTCGCAATCTTAAAGGGAAGGCAGTCCTCGACTCACGCTCGCATCGTCGACAGCGAAGATGGAGGGAGCGATGGTCGCTTTGATTCCGAGGAAGACTGGGAGACCAGTAGCAGTAGTAGCAGCAGCTCTGAAGAAGAAGAAGGGGACTTCACCACACCTGCGGGCTTGGCATCAATCGAAGCGAAGCGCAAGGAGAGGTTCATCGGTCCGCATGAGTGGACTCCGACGTCTGTGATCGACTTTGCGGACGCCAAAACTGGCGATCCATTGTACGATCTTGTCGCTGTTTTCTTTGCGGCCTTGGTAAGCCATATCTTTTGCTGCATTTCACTTGTAAGCGTCAATGATCTGACCTGTGGTATTATTGTTTTTGTGACAGCACTGTGACCGCGAGCTCTGGAAGGAGACATTAGCGTCAGACTACTGGCAAGAGTACATTCATCGTGAGAAGGCGCACAGCGCGCCTGAGCGACGTTGCCTTCGGGAGCGGTTTCTGCAGTTGGTGCTGTTGCACCCGAGCCGCTCCGTCAAAGGGATGTTCCACTACTTCCCCCAGGCAACGAATTTCAGGACTTGGGAAGAACTCGCTCGTGGCATCTTCAACGACGTGTTTTAGGCGGAAACACCACGACACTGGGTTGTGATCGACGCGAAGTTTTGGCTGTGCATTGCCGACTAACCAAATACAATTTTGTTGTTGTCGTAGTTCATCACCGCTTGTTCTCCCTGCTTCGTGACTTCGGTGACACATTGCTTACCACGAATCCCAAGTCGCACTGGCGAAAATATCCAAGGGTCGGCGCGTAGCTACGGGGATAAGCTAGTGCTTCCTGTCCCCTCGGCAGTATGATTCCACACACACACGGCAGTTTGTCCTCCTTCAGCAGTCGAGGGCTCAATGCGGAAGCACAACGGCACCAAGAAGACAACCCGGCTAATGATAAAGTGCTACATGTATGCAAGTTGACGGGTGATAGGCGACGCGGCACAACAGCCGGCCGCCCTCTAACGATCTAATACGTCGGCTGCACCTGCTTCACGTCCGCCAGCAGCTCATCGTACGCCTCCTGCGCGTTGAAGCCCGCCTTGTTGGGGGTGATCAATATGCAGCTCGTAGGCCGCTTGGACAGCGCCGAGGCACCCAGGTCAACCTGTAGGCGAATAAAATAATTGCAATGACAAATTAGTATCCACTGTATCAATGCACACATGGCTGCATGGCGTACCTTGGACGGCGTGAAGATGTACGGGATGTCGTTTTCCTCGCAGAGCACGGGGATGTGCGAGATGACGTCGACAGGCGAGATGTCTCCAGCGATGATGCACACGCCCTTCTCGCCCTTGCGGATGCCCTTGACGACCTCCTTGACGCCGCGCTTGATGCCCTTGACCTTGGTGGCCTTCTTGACCACCTTGTAGGCGCGCTTGGTCTGCTTCTTGGTGGCCAGCGGCTTGGCGATCACCGACACATGCTTCACGCGCTCCTCGTAGCTGCTGCTGCTCTTCTTGCTGCTCTCCGTGTCGCTCATCGCTGCCGAGGGGTCTACGTTGGGGACGAGGTGCTGCCGCTCAAGGTCAAGTAATTTGCTGGCGAATCGGAGCTGCTCGCCGGTCAGGCTGGACCAACCGTCGTGGATGTCGCGCCAAGCTGGTGCGACCTTCGTTCCACATTTCAAAAGATGTGTACGTCACATGAACTTACGATTTTCAGCCAATGGGAAGCGCAGCGATTTATGACCGCTGGTCTTGCGGGGGCAGAACCCACGGAAAACTGAGCGAGCACTAGCAGCAGCAGCAGCAATGGGCTTCACGGGTATCGCCATCGGCACCCTCATGGGCCTCACCACCAAGATCGGCAGCAACATTCTGCAGAAGGTCCCGTACATGCGCCGTAAGTGCCCCCTTTGCCACATGATTATCTTGTTTTGCATGCCGAATCCTCTATCGGTGTCGGTGCGTAAATGAGCAAACCGACTAACTAACCAACTGACTATTTCGCCTTTTGATGTTGTTTAGACCCGTGGGAGCACGTGCTGTTCATGGGCGTGGGCGCCGGCCTGGGCGGCTACCTGCAGAACAAGTACCACCGGGACCTGGAGGAGGTGGAGGAGCTGCGACTGTACCTGGAGCGCCGTCCGGACGTGAACAAGAAGGCGTAAGCGTGTGCCAATGGACCAGCAGCAGTGAATCATCCAACAGATCAGAGTGCAGATAAGAGATCGTCCGGTGCAGGCCGCTCCATCTCGTCGAGGATGGAGTGCGTAAGCCAGCCAGAATCCAAATCTGAAAAACACGAAGAAAAATGCCGACCTTGTCTCCCGTGTTGCTGCTGCATCGTGCTAGTAGAGATGATTGATAGTTGGTGGAACGATGCTGCGATGCTGGTAGGGTATGCAGGTGGTCAGGTGTACATTGGGCTGCGAGGCGACCGCTGGTCTCGAAAGGACGCGATCTGGCGGCACTTCCAAATCGGCGCAAATCCAAGCCCAAGACAACAGGAATGGAGCTCGCGTACCTGTACACGAAGCAGAGAGAAAGCTTTGGGCGCTACTGCGACTTCCGCAACGTGGACGCCAAGGTGCTGGAGAGCATTCCGTGCACGGACGCGCTGGAGAATGACTACGTACGGCGGAGACCGATGGTCACCCGGCTTGACACAACGCCGCACATGTCCGAGCACGAAGTTAATACGGAGAGGCTAGTGACTAAGCACAGCAGCATGCGTCACGTGGAAGGCGGCTGGCCCAAGGATGTTGATCCGGCCGAGCAAAGCGACGTGCAGCGATTCCGAAAGAAAGCCGAGAAAGATGATGACTACAAACAGGCAGTCAAGTGCCTTGGACCCGTGGTAGACCGCGCACTCAAGCAGAACAACACAATCAACATCTACCAGGACTACTTTGCGCACATGGGCGAGGCCGCCACGACAGAACAGCCCAGTGCAAAGGGCCTTGCAGTCTTTCGTGATCCAGAGCCCGTCAAGCGCACGGTCTCACAGATCGACTGGCACCCTGAGAGCCCCCAGAAGATGGCAGCATGCTACTGCATCCTCAACTTCCAGGATCCCAAGTTTGCGTCGGCGCGGTTGCCGGCAAACTCGTACATTTGGGATGTGGTGAACCCGAACACCCCCGAGACGACACTCAAGCCAGCGTCTCCACTCGTGTGCATGCGCTACAACCCAAAGTCCGTTGACCAACTCGTCGCTGGATCGTACAATGGCCTCATCTCGTTCTTTGATCTGCGCAAGTCCGGCGCCGCACCGGCGGAGACGTCAATCATTGAGCACTCACACCATGACCCAGTGTACGACGTCTTCTGGATCTCAAGCAAGACGGGCAACCAGTGCTGCTCCGTCTCGACGGACGGCTGGATGCTCTGGTGGGATATTCGTCACCTTGCGCAGCCTACACACAAGCTGCTTCTAACCGACAAGGACGGTCTAGCCTTCGGTGGGTCGTCCATGGAATACAACACGGAGGCTGGCCCCACCAAGTACCTTGTGGGCACGGAGCAGGGCGCTGTCTTGAGCGTGAATCTGCGTAACGCGAAGCAGAACAACGGAATCACCCTTTACGACACTGGAGCCGGCAAGCACCACGGGCCCGTGTGCGCCATCCAGCGCAATCCGACGCACAACAAGTTCTTCCTCACGATCGGCGACTGGACAGCTCGCCTGTGGTGCGAGGATCTCAAGACCCCCATCATGAGCACGATCTACCACGACTCGTACGTGACAGCAGGCTGCTGGTCGCCCACGCGCGCCGGTGTCTTCTTCGTCACTCGCATGGATGGAGTCGTGGACATCTGGGACTTCTTCTACCGCCAGAACGAGGTGGCGTACTCGCACAAGGTCGGGGATGTGGCTCTCTCGTCCGTGAGCGTGCAGGGCAACGCTGGCTCCGGCGGGAAGCTGGTCGCTGTTGGCGACTGTAATGGCATGATCTCTCTCATGGAGCTCTCGGACGGCCTCGCAGCCTCGCAGCCCAATGAGAAGGCGGCCATCAACGGCATGTTCGAGCGCGAGACAAAGCGGGAGAAGAACCTGGAGGCCAAGGAGAAGGAGCTGCGTCGCAAGAAGGCCACGATGGAGGAAGGGGCCGCGGACGACCGCGGTGGCAGCCTCAAGGACGACAAGATGGAGGAGCTGCTGCGCACGGTGGACGCCAACTTCCTGGGCATGATCAAGGAAGCCGAGGACTCGGAGAACAAGAACATGGAGCACAAGGGCGGCGACGCGCTGGGCGGCAAGGGCGATGAGGATAATCAGTAGGTACCGTAGCACGAGCAATCTTCAAGTTGAAGCAAGAGTGATGGTCATCTGGTTTCCTTTTTTTTCATTCCGCACTCGAGCGGTTCACTTTGCATTTGGATTGAGTATCGACAAGTGCAACTCGAGAGGGATTCGCGATGGCCAAGGGGAAGCAGCTCGAGATGCCGTCGATCCGCGTGCGTCCGTGGCAGTCCTGTGCGAGAGGCTGTGTGTGAAGGTGCTGATGATGTGGAGATCTCCCTCTGTGTGTGCATGTGTCGGTCTGTGTTCTTGCTGCAGGAAAGCGAGGACGGTATACTGTCGAGCGGCGACGGTGTCGCGACGGAGGGAGAAGAGGAGGAGGAAGACGTTTCCCCGATGCGCCACTCGATGACCAAGGGCGACGAGGAGCAGGAAATGCCGCACTCGATCGTGGAGGACGCAGCGGAAGGCAACGAGCAGCTGACTCCGTACGTGGCCAAGTGCTACGGGCACCTGGAGACACTGAGGAAACGCAAGCGTGAACAGGAAGAGCAGGTGGAGACGCTGGTGGAAGGTGCGGGCTGCCTGCCGAGCGTAAGGGGGCTTGGAGCTTACTTGCAGTCTTAACTCCTGCTGCCGGACAGAAACGTTCGGACAGATTGAAGCCATCATGCAGGAGATCATGCGCGGCCTGCAAGAGCGCCACGCAACATCGCACGCGCAGTTCGAGGCCACAGATACCAAGCTCACTCGCAGTCTGCGCGCGCACAACCGGGTTCGTGCTGGATTGCGCACGTCTGGCATTGCTTTTCGTGGGTGTAGGTATTGACTGCACTTGTGCTATCATGTGCAGATGGAGAAGAAACTCAAGATGATAGCGGCGATTCTGCTGCGCGAAGACGATGGCGAGCAGGGGCTGTAGTAACTAGGGTCGACAGTCAGGGCAACGTCAACGTCGACTTCATGCGTAAAAGTTCTTTTTTTGCACGCCGTATTGTGAATTTTGCCTTTTACCATTGGGAACGGACGCCATTCGAATGGCGGAGGAGAGGATGCCGCGGGACGAAAGCTCGGACGAGGACATGGAGGAGCAGGTGGCTGCCGCGAGCGCGTCTTCAGATCACGACGAGCAATCGTCGGTAGATTCAGATGCACAAATTGCTGAGGAGGAGGAGGAGGAAGTAGACGATAGCGACGACGACGCCGGTGATGGCGATGACACTCGGATGGAAGAGGACACCGGCACCGCAGATGCAGCCAGCTCAGAAGAGAGCTCGGAGGAACACACGAAGGACGTCGAGATGGTCACAGCGGGGCCCAGGGCTACTGCTGAACCGGACGGCAAGAACCCGCTACTCGACGGCGCTGTGCGAGCAACCGAGTCTTTTGATGTTCAAGCCAAGAGATGGGGTAAGGCGTCTGATTTCGGATACCTATACTTCGACCACTGGAAGCACAGGCTGACCCATAAGAGTAACTACACGCGCTTGCGCTTCACACTCGAGGAATTGCTGCCAAGGGTAAGTGTTGATCATTAGCTACAGTGCATTGCTCGTGGATTGCTCGCCGCGTGAAGAGTCGTGTACTCACATCGTTTACCGAAGCTTATGGGGGCTCGAGACTATGCAGGTGCTGCAAAAGTGTTGGCGGTGATGTACCACCGGTTTGCGGTAACGCCAGCTCTGTGCATCGAGGTGCGTGCCGATACGTTGACTTTTCTTACATGAAGCTAATAAGCTCACTAAACTAATTGCATACTCTTCTCTGCGTGGTTCCGGGATGTTAGGCCAGCCTCGAGATTCTTCGCCGACAGCCAGATTATCGTAATGATCTGCTGAAATTTTACGAGTCAGCATTGAAATCACGGCGTATTGATGTACGTACCCTTCTTGGTGCTATGTGGATCGGGCGGTGCCTTTAACCGCTGGTGTGGATGCATTGGTATTTCAGAAAATGTCGATTCTGAGGGAGATGTGGTTTTTCCATATCATTCATGGAGAATTTTACGAGGCATATCACATGTACCAAGATAAGATCCAGCATGTAAGTTGTCATTCGTATCTCACCGTTTTGACTGTGTTTGATGGAAGAATGACTTACGGTTGCATTTCATATCTGTCACGTGCCCTTCTTTAGATGGAAGAGGCAGAGGATGACGCGAGGTTACTTGCAAACTTCGGTATTCTGTGTTACTGGCTCATGTTTATCGAGTCGAAAGAGCTTCGTGAAAGACTCCAAAGTGAAGACATGGATGAGGAAGAAGAGGACGATGCTGACGCGGACACAAACGATGGCAATGGCTTCGACACGAGCGAAAACATCGAGTCAGTGATCGAGTCCAGTTACTTGTTTAAGACCCCGATTGGAGTGCACATTCTGTACCAGCACTCCAACAGTGCACTGAGGCGTGCAGTGGCGCTGAGTCCGAATTCCGCTATGTTTCTGGAGCACCTCGTACAGCTACTGGTACTGGTGGGAGATATTCAGCCGGCGTGCGATTATCTCGAGGCCTTTTTCCATCTGAACCCTGAAGATCCTCATGGACCCAGAATGGTACGATACGATGATTGGTTCGGCAATGTTTTAGAAAGTCAACTTAGCAACTCATACGCGATGTCTACAGCTTGCAGGATTTTTGGAAAGTTATTACCCGGATTCCGTGGATGCTCAGGTTGCTGCATTTTCAAGGTAAGCGCGGATGGTGTTTCGTACATCTCTGCTTTCCGAAAAACTTTTTAACGCGTGCCACGTTTATTTCGAGCAGATGGATGAAGAATGATCCTTCTTGTAGTTACCCGCTGGAAAAGATGCTTGAGCTGTCCAGTGCCGGTGCCGTCTCATCATTTTCGCTGACAGCAGCTCTAGTTGAGGCACTTGATACATGCGGTAGTGACTTGTACCTCGTTGAAAACCCTGAAGGAGCACTGGCGCTGTGGAGAAATCTGGCGGAGCTGCTTGCAGCAATGGACGAGGATGAGTTTATGCAGGCTCAGATCGACAGAGACCCGCTGCAGCGGAAAACAATTGCAGATGTGGGAGAAGAGCGTCAATGGTGGAAACGAGTCTATTTTGCCAGGCCAAGCTCAGTGGACGAGGTCGCAGCTCTCGCACAACGAGATACTACTTTCATGGAGGTGTCAATTTATCGAGCGGCTGTAGCAGATCGGCTTTTTCCTGGTCTTCTTCCGATGATGGAAGCTCTGCGCTCTGCAATGTCTGCATCGAATGTGGCGTTTAGTCAAGAACATCGTCGCCTGTTTAAAAGGTATCAAACGGATCTAGCTAACCTCTTGTGTGATGTGATATGTACTAACATTTCGGTTACTACTTCCGTAGTTTTTTCCCTTCGTATTTCAACAAGGCAGCACAAGTGACGGCGCGTATATCGTTTTCTACGATGCCATTCATGCATGTGACGGTCACCGCCGACAATGAGCGACAAAAGAATCGTTCTTTGCCCGTTTTCAAGGGCAGCTCGGACACCCTTCACGTGATCGACCGAAAATCTATTGTGGAAAAAGAGGTCAGTGGAGATAAAGCGGAAGTCGTGGTAACGGGAGCTGGGGAAACAAACGAGATTGATCCCAAACTCGTGGAGGAACTATATGAAGTATTGGAATCTGAAGTTGGCTATTCAACTGCCAGCACTTTACGGTCCCGGCGAAAGCGTAAAGCTGATGACATTACGCCAGCTGCATCGACATTGATTCCAGCGTACGTCGGCATGATCGAGGAAGAAATCTTAAGCAATCCGGATGCCTCTTGGGTGCACGTCAACACGATACTACACGAAAAGCTGCGTCGCTCGGACATGCTGGTACCGACATCAACCGTGGTGAAGCAATGCATGGAATTTTTCCAGAATCGTTTGAGGACGAATTTAACAGCGTACGGCCACGGCGGTCTGATGATACGATACGAGGAATTTATTGCCACCTATGTGCGCCGTCAAAGAGCAAAAGGCCAGTACGAGGTGACAAAAGACGGAGCCAAGGAAGTCGTCGAGTTAATGAAGCGAGCTTTGCCCAGCCCGCACCCGTACTTCCCCAGCGTGGAGATCGTGGAGGAGACCATGCGCATTAAAGCTGGGGTATTTTCTCGACAGCGCCGCCTTCGCTTGATAGAGATCAAGAAACTAATGAAAGCCGTCCTCCGGAAACTAGTGTACGTTGATGAAAAGATCTTTGTGGATGCCTGGGATTCAGTTTGCCAGCGAAACGGGCTTTTCGGCGTGGTTACCCGTACCGATATTGCGTGCGCGCTACAAATCATTCTACCCCGACACTACTACACGGTGCTGGAGGAGATTCCCTATAGCGTGATGCGAAGACTTACTTCACCAACATTTCGGAGGGACTGCAACACAGCCGAAGAGATCCACGAGAAACTCGGGAAAGGTCGACGAACTCTTAACGAGGTCAAGGCGCTTTTGTGGGTGGAGCGGTACGAGGCCTTGTACGGCCCCTATTACGATGAGGAAGACAAGGGCGAGAGTGATAGCGACATCAGCGACAGCGACTCAAACGTCAGCAGTGTCAGTGTCAGCAGTGTCAGTGTTAGCAGTGTCAGCAGTGACTCCAGTAGCAGCGATAGTGATAGTGATAGTGACAGCGACAGTGAGCTCAGCACCGATGACAATGATACCGGCTCAAGTATCCTTGAGCTACGTGACGCTACGAAGAAGGAGCAGGACACCAAAGCCGTCACCGAGGTCATAACAGTTCAGGACTCACCGAGCGAAGGCGAAAGCGGACACGCAAGCAGTAGCAGTGATGATGCCGATTATGATGATGATGATGACGAAGACGAAGATGGTGATAACTAGGCTCCGAAAACAAAGGTAAACACAATTTGTCGATAACAGAACGCCTACTTTTGTGCTTTAGCTTACTTTGGATTGAATATTTCCCCACGCCGGCGTTTGTTTTGGTGGGCTTTGCACCATTGCACGTTGGGGTCAGAAGCCTGCGCATCTGTTGTCGCTACTTTGGCAGCGTCTAGTGCGAATTCGACTTGCAGTGCGTTCACAGCCGATTGTCGGGCCTCAGCATTGGCGTGGAGCAAGGAGCGCGTGAGAAGCCTCTGGATTCGGTAACAACAGTTGCGGCACCGTCGAAAGGCACACCGACTATCGCGTTGGATAGTTGCAGAACATTGTGCAGACTCGCAAGCGAGCTGGAGCCGAAGTGCTGTGTTGCCATCAGGTTTTTCTTGGTTGTGAGTACCTCGTTTTCCATGTGTATGCGGTCGGTTAGCGGACCAAATCTCGCGCGGAACTTCCTCGTGAAGGTGATCGACAAGTGCCAGCTTCGTTTGGTGACGCGCTTTCCTACGAAACTTGTCGTCATCATGCGAGCCATCCGAGACTACCAAGTTGTAAGTGCTGGATAGATCGCGAAGAGCAGGAGCAAGGAACTGCTCCAGACTGCCGGGATCGCTGAGAAGTACACGAAGCGATCCGGCCGATACAACTCCGCCGATCCGCCGAGCGAAGAATGGTTTGAGGAATCGCGTTATCCACGGCGGCAGTGTGATTGAGGATACAGTCCACCGGAAGGCTGAAAGCGCCGCATGCTGGAGCCAATTACCAAGGGGACTGCGAAGGATCCATCCCAGCAAACCCCCTCCACTGATGCTGCTGCAACCCGAGCTCTGTTCTGATTTCAGGAAGGATACTTGACTTGCTTTGCCTACCGCGATAGTCCATGCCCCAGCATGCTGCCTTGCATTTCCGACGGTGTTGGGCGCAGGTTCTCCATTGACCACAAATTCGGCATCGGACAATGCCGAAAAGAACGCATGCGCTGGTTGGTTGCGTTCTGTTGGCTCCCACGCAAACTCCATCGTTGCTGCCTCTGCCTTGGCTGCGATTTCACCGAGTCTTCGCAGCATCGCATGCTCCACTCCTCGGTTAAGTGCACGGCAGCTGAGCAAAAAACTGTCCACACGCAGAATTTCACTGTCACGCAGACGCTGACAGAGAGCAGCACTTACGAGCCCGTAGTGGCCAAAACGATCCGTCACATGTGCACAAATCACTGTGCGGCCAGGAGTGGCGACATATTCCAATAGTGCTTGCTCCTCCAACCGCTTGGCAAAAGTTGTCGCTGTGTTGAATTGATTCGTCCGATGGTGAAGCTGGAGCACCCTGGTGAAGGACGAGCTTCTAGCTTGAAGCTCCTGCTCGCGGTCGAGCTCCTCGAAGACAATCTTCACACCAAGCGCACTCAGAAAAGCTTGGTGTGTTGACGACGATTCGCGAAGTTGTTCGCGCTGAAGATTCTGCTGATAAAGCTGCGTCCGTTGACTGTCTTCTTTAGTGCTGGAGCTACCCGCCGAGTCGAGTGGCAGCCGAAACAATCCCTCGTCAAAAACCCACTCGTGATCGAGAACCGACTCGGAGAAATTTGCCCCAAGCATTATGACTGTCACGGGCGGCAATGCAGTCGCGACTTCATTGCACTCGAGGGGATTGTCATCGATGAAAATGAAAGAGTCCAGCCCTAACAAGGAATAATGTTAACAATGCACCTTCACGTGACAGGAACAAATAATTGCCACGCACCGAGGGAGAGTTCCTTAGCGAGTTGCGCGATGTTCTCCGATTTGGGTTGCCAGTTGACCTTGGCGGCTACGACATGCTTGTTCATGTCGAGCACCATGTCATCGCGACGTTGTTCAAACGCCTGCACAACGTCTTCATGAATATTCTTGCTGCAGAGAGCAAGAAGCATACCGCGCTCCTGCTGCTTGACTACGAAACGCTGCAGCGCGAGAAAGCGTGGGCTGAGATCAATGCCGCTTGCGCCGACTTCGGCTACCGCACCACCCCACAGCGTGTTGTCGCAGTCAAGAACGATGACTTTCTCTTGACTACTCGGGCTGCGGAAAATGCGGCATATCTGTCGGCACATCGATAAACTCATCACGTTCTGCATGGCTTGGGTGTACGGCGAATGCTGGCGCTTGTCGGAGACAGCGTCGTAGAATGGTGTCGTGTACTGCTGATGAAATAGTTCCAGGAGCCGAGTTGCTGGCTGCACAGACACCATTTGGATTCCCTCAATAGCTGCCAGCATCCCCCTCTCCATCGCGTCGAACTTTGCTGCTGAAGAAGATGGAGGGGAAGGGCACAACAATACCACCAGCGGGGCAGCAGAAGACTCAGCAGCCATGGCGTCGTACCGCTTGAGGTCGTCGACGATGTTTTTGATGGGACCAGTATCCAATTCAGGATGCGCTGCTTCGAGGTCGCTGATGCGGACAAGTAGCAGCACCAAGTCCACTGGCCGTGGTGCACGCAGCACATCGGCAGACCACTCGTCTAAGTCTGTCAGACTGCCGTACCACAGCCATTGCAAGTCCACGTCAACGTTCCACACGGCCTACAGCAGCATAGAACACCGAAAACTCAGTAACGCCACAGTTCGAGCGTGAACCACTGCGTGTAGCCCCAAGCGAGTCCTAAGAGCAGCAAGCTAGTACCGACATTCTTCAGAAGATACTGCAGAGGCACAGCCAGCGCTTCGTCGCACGCGAAGGTGCCGCCGATCGCCACACGCCTGCGGGACATGGTCTCCAGTCCCTAACGCCGTAATACCAACAAAGACTCGTACATTATTGCGATTCAATTAAGTGCGACCAGGATCGACCTCAACCTGCTGAGGTTGAGGATTCAATTAAGTGCGACCAGGATCGACCTCAACCTGCTGAGGTTGACTGAGAGTCATCTCTCTCTCTCTCTCTCTCTCTCTCTCTCTCCACACTGTGGATGGACTCTCAGTCCTCCGGCTCACGGTCATACTTGGACGGATTAATGCGATACCTGGAGTGTTGCAGCACGACAAGAGCCCACCACATAGACTCATGAGTGACCATGGCATTAAACTACGCCATACCAGTTGCAGCCACGTACATGTTGCCATATTGGATCGTCGGCGTGTGCTCGCTGTCCACGTCCACAATGCACACGGCCATCGCTGCCACGAACACAGATAGACACAGCAGAGTGAGTCAAGAAACCAGCGCAAGGACCGAAAACAGCAACAGCAGTCCACTCACTGTTGGCGTCGAGGACGCGGTACGTGATGGTGACCATGGACTCTTGCAGACAGAAGTTGAGGATGGCCACGCTGGCCTCGGGCTTGAACACGCCGTGGCACGTCACGCCTTCGAAGCTCCACTCCATGAACGTGCCCTGCTCGTCCGGGATGAACTGCAATAACGGTAGCAAGAGCGCGTCAGCTGCCCGCCCCCATACCCAAGAGAATCTTCAATCGGCCGGGCTGACCTGCACCGTGTAGGCGCTGGCGAGGTCCTGCTTCTTGTGCGTGCGGCCGAAGGACCACCGGAGGAACCTGAAGGAAGAGAAAAATTGATTGCACAGAGCAATTACTCGGTCAGGTGCTTGCTACAGCGCAATAGTCTTCAACTGCACAGGCAGAGAGAGAGAGAGAGAGAGAGAGCCGCACTGGGTGTTGGGCTGGCGCGCCGCGTCCAGGTCTTCCTCGATGAACACGACGTTGTTGGTGGAGCGCAGGTGCTTGAAGCTGGCGCCGAAGTGACGCCACTCCAGGTTGCGCTTCCAGAAGCCCTTCAGGTACGCGCAAAAGTCCCCGTTCGGCACGTCATAGCGCACCACGTTGGTCGGCGCCGCGCTCATGCTCTGGTTTTGATTAAGATCAGGTCGAAATTAGTTATTTGGATTTCTGATTTTATTTTTAGACAATTATGTGTGGACCACGTTGTGATGAAGTACCGCAGACGTCAGCCCGTGTCACTCGCGACTGGTGAATCGGCCGATGGCCATCAAATTAAAAAGGCAACAAGTGGTGGTGACGCTGATGAAGTGAGCTTGTCCTTGATACTGTGCGCACTGTAATTTACAGTCTGTAAAGCAGGGTCGCTGCAAGTCGCCGCCGCTGCTGCTGCTTCCGCTGTTGAATGCAGTCGCTGTTGAAGACAAAGCTCGCGGGAGTCTGCTCGCGGGCGAGGATACACCGGATCAGACCGAGTGACGTGAAGCCGTTTCTCACGCTCATCAGCGCACCAGACACCGACCGCGCTGCACCGGCCCTGGCAGTCTGCTGTCGTGTGAGAGTGGCTCGGTGGATCCATTCCCAGCGCAGTGCCCGGCGCACGGACGGAGGCTGGTTGCCGTCTGCGAGCTGCCCATGCCAGCTGGTGGCAGCCATAGTGGGAGCCGCATACCACTGAATGTGGTATCATGCCACAAATAAGCGATTTGTGCCAGAAAAACCTGCGCGTGCTGCCATCCTGGTTAGCAGGATGCCAACGCAAAGGTCCACCAGCGTAACGGAGTCCGTGATGTCTTGGAGAGCAATCCGCTTGAACTTAGTCAGCGATAATCACGACCTGCTTTTGCTGTTAGCCACCGACACTGCCACATGACGGCGTCAGCAAACCTGGAAGGGGTTGCCTTTGCAACGGCATCCACCGACTCGCGCTCTATATTCCCCCTGCTTCCATTCATCTCGCGTCGGTGTCCGAAGATCACTTCTCCATTTGCTTTCTCGAGCACACTAGCAGTTATCACTCTCTTGGAATTTCAAGATGGCCAAGTTCTTCGCTTTTGCCGCTGCCATCGCCACCGCCGCCCTCGGGACGACGAGCGCCGCCACCGTGGAGGATACCTGCGTGCTCGCCGACTTCCAGACTGCGACGGCCGACTTTATTGGGCTCAACAACGTGCTGAGCCTCGTGCCGTCGCTGCTGCCGATGTACATCACCGACCCACTAGTGCTCAAGGACCAGACTCTGGACGCTATCGACTTCAAGGTGCTTGGCCTCGACTTCACCGCCACGCCGTCCTTCGAGCTGCTCAACGTCAGCGGCATCACCACGATCGGCTTCAAGACCGCCAACGTCACGGGATCCAACACGCTGGACCTGGCGGCAACTTTCTCGGGCGAAGTGTCGGTGAGCGGCACCTTCTCGGTCGAGTTCGCGCAGATCGACAAGAAATGGTACGAGATCTGCTGGACAAGTCTCCTGCACCAAAAGACCTGCCCTCCGACGACGGTCACCGTTGACGTCGCTCTGGCGCTGAAAAAGCCCACCATCGCGGCCGGAATCGAGGCGGACTTGTACCAGTGCGCTTCGGGCGTGCCGGCGTCCGTGTGCTCCAACATGACCATCACCTCGATCCTTGTGGCTGCTCTCGGTGGGGACGTCACGAGCGTGCTCAACACGGTGCTCCACCACTTCAAGGACGCGTCGCTGACGTCGCTGGCGCTCGACTGGGACTCGATCACCAACATCGACCTCACCTTCGACGACACCAGTGCCTTCATCTCGAACATTATCAACGGTCTCCTGGACTTCTCCGCCGAAAAGCTCAACAAGAAGAAGACGGCATACAAGACGTTCATCAAGGTCCTAAACAAGCTCGTCCGCTCGCTGCTGAACAAGCTCATCGAACAGCTACTGGTGCCGCTTTTCGGCGCGACGTGCTTGTAGGCATCAGGCTACGCACACGCTCTAGCCGTGGCTTGAACTAAAAAGTATCAACTCGTTTCAATGTCATGAATCTCCAATTCAACGTGTTCCTCGTGTGAGTTTAACGGAGACAGCAGGATGTAGAGCGTTGTACAAGCTGCTCGAAATTGCGCCTGTACGTTGCAATAATTACAGGTATGTAGGCCCATTCCTTGGCGTCGAGCTCTCGCAGGACCAGGTCAAGTCAAACATCTTTGTCAGCTGAGACTTCAAGGTCGGAACTCAAAGCGGTCCGGCTATCAAAACAATGGCATTGAAGCGAGCCGACCCCCCCCCCTAAAGCTACTCGCATGTGCGCACTGCCTAGTAAGGCACTCGAAGTGAGTTATCGCTACCAAGCTCTCCTTCGCGATGTCAAAGTGCGACTTATTATTTATGGCACTTCGCGTTTTGTTGTGGCTTTCGTCCACGCCGTTTGTGGCAGCTTGAGAAGCAACAGTTTGGTCGAAGTACTCCTGACCTATCCGAAAGTGCACGTGGAATTGACTCAAGGTGATCCATGAATGACCTCCCTGCTGCGTGGATAAACCCCCTGCAGCTTTTGTCGCTGGTGTCTGCTCGTGCTGGTGTCACGGCATCTCGGACATCTCGCCGCGCCCACCATTGATCTCTAGCCCACAATTCAATTTGCTTCCTCGAGCTCATACCAAAGCTTCCAAGCAAGCAAAATGGCCAAGTTCTTCCGGTTTGCTGCTGCCGTTGCCGCCGCGCTTGGCCTCGCGTCCGCCAAGAGCAGCGCGACCGTGGCCGACACGTGCGTGATCGTGGACTTCGAGACCGCGACGTCGGACTTCACAGCGCTCAACAACATCGTGACCATCATCAAGGCGTCGCCGTCGCTGCTGAGCTCGTACATCAGCGACCCGCTGAGCATCGAGGACCAGACGCTCACTGTAACGGGGTACAATCAAGTGTACCCATTACAGGAAGAGTGACGGGTGTCACTCTCCCGAGTACATGGTACATGGTACCAGTAGCTACCATTTGAGTTTGTGTGGGCTTTTGTATAGTTAACTTGTAGTTTGTATTACGACCAAGTTAACCTCTACCAAAATACAGTCAGTCTTATAACCTACTCGTTTGTAGCAAACCGTTCCCATTGAGGCCGGGAACTGGTGAACTGCTGTTCACCTGGATAGTAATATCCGCACGCACTTCCTCTGTGCATTGTGCTGTGTGACTCCGTCACACTTGGTAGCACTTGTAGTCAATCCTACACCTACGCGGGTAGATTGGTCTAGCTGAATCCTCGGTGGCTCAGGTCTGTGAGCCACGATGGACCGAAGTGAGTTTCCTCACTTGACTGACTCGCAGTTCGAGTCGGTGCGGAAGATGGCGGACATCTTCGGAAGAGATGCCCTCCGGAGCTTGGCGGCGGCGACGCCAGCCGAGCAGGTCGAGCGGGTGAGCGCGTTTGACGAGTACGAACGCGGGCTCATCGCTCATGTGCAGGGAAACCTGCTGGCTCAGATGAGTGAGCCCAAAAGGGTGCAGCCTAAGCCTCTGCGGCTAGCTGTGCCTCCGTTCGAAGGGAAGGAAGGTGAGAACCTTCACTTCTGGATCCGGGAGACCGAGATCGCAATGAGCGCAGGTCTCATCTCGGCCGAAAACCTTCGAGTCACCTTCGCGCTCTCCAATCTTGGCGGACGTGCCAGGACTTGGGCGTATACGCGCGAAGCGATGTCGCCTGGATGTTTCACATCCTGGGCTCAGCTGTGTGAGCAGCTTCGAGCCGCTTTTCTCCCGGCGAACAACGAGTTCCGCCAGCGCTAGCGCTTCCTTGCCTGCAAACAAGGGGAGCGCGAGCTGTACGCGTACGTACAGGAGATGCGCACGTTGGCAACCTCGCTGGTGGGGAGCCCACTGTCGGAAGACGTCAAGATGACAGTCTTCGTGGACGGCCTGAAGGTCGGTCCTGCGCTCACGCAGTTGTTCCGCGTGCGCACCGCCACTATGGAGGAGGCGATCCAAGTCGCCCTCCAGGAAGAGTACAGCCACAAGCAGGCTGGTGCTCTGGCTGTTGTACAGCCTGTGGTCGCTGACAGCGAACCAGAACACGTGGATCTGAGTTCGGCTGAGCAGTACTCAGCCCGCTGCTACGGCTGCGGCGGACTAGGACACTATCAACGTGTCTGCCCATCGCCTGGGTCTGGGAAGAAGACCTACCCGAAGACCAGAGGGTCAAGGGGGCGCCGACGCCATGCACCGTCAGGTGCTCAAGGGGGACACAACCACCAGTAAGGACGAGGGCCTTGCTGGGGTTGGCCCGAGTCTTTGTGATGGGTGTACGGAAGGCGTACACCACAGAGACCCGGGATCCCTTGCGAGCACTGGCGCTCGCATTGGTGAAGGACAACGGTGGGTTGTCGGTAGTACACGTGAGTGTGCGGGGGGTAATGGGGTAATGGTATCCCTAGACATGATTGAGTCTGGGACGTCGCGTGGATGTTCGCACGCCGCCTGATGTGTCGGTCGGAATAACGACACAAGTGCCGAGACTCTGCGAGAGAGTCTAAGCACAAGGTCAGGTCTCATTGACTGAGGCTGGGCCGAAGAAGAACCTTGGGGTCCGCTGTGACCCTGGCTGCCGCGCTCGAGGGCGCTGACAGCAATGGAACCGTACATCGTCCCGGACATCGTGCCGAAGCCGGCCCTGGGCATGGAACCGTATATGCCCTCGGCTTGAGCAAGTATGACTTGGTCCTGAGTGCGCCGTGCAAGCTGCACAGGCTCTCGGTCGAGTAGCGCGGCAACGCCTTGAGGCTAAGTCGGCCCTCTGTGTCTGACAGAGCATTGGTGAGTCCTCTGGACAGACACAAGGGCGTCCGATGGGACCGCCAGGGCGCTGGATGCGTCCGACAAGACGAAGAAGAAGAAGGGAGGCATCATTGACATGCTGATCTCCATGAAGAAGGTGCAGTGTATCTGCAACCGAGGGATGTTATGCCTGGCATGTGGAGCTGCCTCAACAAGCAACTCCAGTGCTGAGAGTCATTGCTCGGCATGAGCATTGACAAGGGTGGTGTTCGATGACACAACCAGGTAGGTAACCAAGGACCACTGACTAGCGGGTAACTTAGTTCCGCACAGAGCATGTAATGCTGAGGAGGCCGCTCAAGGCACCTCCGGCGTGGGTCACGGACGGTCGCCCAGACCTTAACTGATGAGGAACGCGCTGCACGCGCTTCCTGTGTGGGTAACCAAGTACCACACCCGGTCGCCCAGACCATAACTGAAGAGGAAGGCGCTGCAGGCACTTCCTGTGTGGGTAACCCAGTTCCACACCAGGTCACTCAGACCTAAACTGATGAGGAAGGTGCACGATGCACTTCCTGTGTGGGTAACATAGTTCCACACGCGTCACTCAGACGGTAACGGATTGTGAAGCCGCTTGATGCGCTTCCTGTGTGGGTAACGTAGTTCCACACGATGCCGTGAGGCTCCGCATGAGCCGGAAGGAGTCGCTCGAAGCGACTTCAGCGTGGGTAACTTAGTTCCACGCACGGTCAGTATGACCAAGACTAGTGATCAGGTCACTTGGGTCTCTTCGCGTGTGGTGGATGACCACACGGAGTTTAAGAGGCTCGTGACACCGTCACGATGTCATAGCCGCACGGCCCTCTTGAAGGCGCCGCGCGGCTTTGATTTTAAGCGGGGGAGGGGTGCGGAAGCACTTCCTTCCTCCAAGGGCTTGGCACCCGGTCATCATGGATGACGTTCGACTGGGTGTCGACCAGCGCAGCTGTGGCCATGCGCACAGAAGACGTGGCTTGGGTACACGACGTACCTGCGGCGATGCATGTTGCGTCGCCGCCGACTCGGCGAGCATGGTCGATCACGGCTGGAACGTGTCTGCCGGAGGGCGACACCTCAATGACCACATGCAGGAGCATGCTCGGTCTGAAGGCAAAGGCCGCTGCGCGGCAGGGATCGTTGGTACAGTCTGTCGCGCCTAGCACTGTGCGGCGTTGGAACAACAAGTGTCCATGACTCGGTGCCGAGATGGCTGAGTCTGAGTATGCGTGCATGCCATGCAGCTACTCTGAATGCAGGACAAGCCATACGCTGTCATGGGTGTCATTGCCCGAAGACGTGGGTAACAGAGTAACACGTCAAGTCACGCAGACTCAAACTGCATCCAGGCTGGTAGATGTCAAGCCCTGGTCGACGATGTTGACCCAGAACCAAAGAAGGGTAGCTGCCCGTGCCACCGGAGTCTGCTGGCACGGTGACTCGGTGCTGCAGGGCGGCGCGAGGTTAGGCGGCCGGCTGGCGCCTGACCCGCCGGGGCTCAAATCGTAAGGGGGGGGAGGGGATCGGAAGTGCCCATCCTCCCGAGGTATCTGGCATGAGACTTGCTTCGTCGTAGAAGCCAGTGTAGTGGCTGCATGGTGTAGCCACTAACGAAGTATTGCACGAAGGTGCTGGACCTGATGCATCGCTGCTCAGGTCCCATGGTCATGGTGACCGATGGCCAGCAACCTTGGCAGCGGCTACTGTCGCTGCTGGGCCGAAGATGGCGCGCGCATTCGCTGCTAGAAGGCTGCCTCTGTCAGGCAAAGACATGGCAGCCAGTCTGCGGCTTGGTCCGCGGACGATGGCATGTACACATACGCAACACCATGCCGCAGCGTGATGCTGTTGCAACACTGGACGCGGTACGTCTACCGGCCAGGTAGCCATCAGTACCACGCCAAAGCTCCAGGCTGTTGCTACGCTGGGCGCGGCACGTCTGCCGGCCAGGTAGCTATCAGTCCCAAGCATGGGTGTTGCCCACGAGGGGAGAACCCGAACGTGTTGCCTTTGCAGACATTCACAGTTGGCGCGGCACATGCCGCACCTGTAAGGCGCGAAGCCATACGCGTGCACGTGGCACATACTACCTGTGAGATAGTCGCGGTGCGTGACGCTCACTGTGCGCGTGGCACTTGGTGTACGCGAGGTACCCCTAGTGCACGCGACACTACTTGTGCACGTGGCACTTGAGGTGCACGAGGCACTTATGGCAGTCGTGGTACGTGCCATACACGACGTGCCTTTGGCGTATGAGGTGGTGCCCTCGTACACCTTGAGGTCCTGTATGGACTGTGTGCCATGCGGTCTTGCACGCACACCGACCTGGTGTTGGTCGCCGCGACGCAGGATGCGATCGCCGGTGACGGAGGGCAATACACCCCACACCACGATGAAGTACCCTTGCGGTACCCTGGTGTCGACGGAAGACACCTTAGCGTCGGCGACGTGATGGCCGTGACGCGCTGCAGGGCTTTAGACAAGTCCGCCGCGTTGCTCTGTATGATGAGCGGGTTGCTGGAAGCAGCCATGGTCGCTCAAGCAAACACGACGTTGAAGCATGACGCTTCATGGCTGTTGTCAGCGCTTGACCATAGCCCATGGGTCGAGCCGACGTATTCGTCCGACCGGCACACCGTGCTGTGACGAGCGGGGCCCTGTCGGGCCGCTGTCATGGCCGGAGATGAGCAGCACAGCTCTCTCCATGGTTACGCTACGCGCTGACCGGAAAGGTGCTGTCCCTCGCGGGAGGCACTGCAGCACGAACGTGCCAGCGGGGCCCGAGGGCCATGCGACGACAACCGCTGGTTGTCTACGAGGGACACCGCAAGTTTGGAGGCAGATGCATCCCGTGCCGAGGCACTCTGCGCCTGCTAGCGCTGTGAATACGGCCACTAAACGCGTCGGCTTCGCGGCCAACATCGCCGAGGGCAGGGGGGTTCTGCGCGGGGTGCCCGCTGCGGGCACAAGTCACTGTGGGCGTGACGATGAGGCGCGCCAGCCTTGCGGCGGCAGCGCCCGAGAATCCGACCTTTGGGTGTTCGGATTCTCTCGAAGCTGATTGGAGAATCAGATGTGATTCTCAGATAAGTGGGGGAGGATGTAACGGGGTACAATCAAGTGTACCCATTACATGAAGAGTGACGGGTGTCACTCTCCCGAGTACATGGTACATGGTACCAGTAGCTACCATTTGAGTTTGTGTGGGCTTTTGTATAGTTAACTTGTAGTTTGTATTACGACCAAGTTAACCTCTACCAAAATACAGTCAGTCTTATAACCTACTCGTTTGTAGCAAACCGTTCCCATTGAGGCCGGGAACTGGTGAACTGCTGTTCACCTGGATAGTAATATCCGCACGCACTTCCTCTGTGCATTGTGCTGTGTGACTCCGTCACACTTGGTAGCACTTGTAGTCAATCCTACACGTTCACTGTGACGCCCACGATCAACTCGCTGAACGTGTCGGGCCTCACCACGCTGTCGCCCAAGCAGATCAACCTCACGGGCTCGGACACGCTCGACGTCGGCACGAACTTCACCGGCACCGTGTCGGTGGCCGCCACCTTCTCAGTGCAGATCGCGCAGCCCAACCACAAATGGTACCAGATCTGCTGGGTCGACCTGCTGCGCCCGCTCGTGTGTGACCCCGCGACGTACACGGTGGACGTCGCGCAAGCGCTCAAGGAGCCCGAGGTCGCCACCAGCGCGCAGGTGGACATGTTCCAGTGCGCGGAGGGCATTTCGACGTCCGTGTGCTCGAACCTGACCGTGACCAGCATCCTCGTGTCCGTGCTCAGCGGCAGCGACCTGACCACGATCGAGGAGGAGGTGCTGCTCCGCCTCAAGAGCGCGTCGCTGACGGCGCTGACGCTGGGTTGGGACTCGATCACCAACATCGACTTTGTGTTCCACCAGACGGGCTCGTTCATCACGCAGATCATTAACAACCGACTTCTCCGCCGAGGAGCTCAACAAGAAGGGCGACTACTAACAAAGCCGGCATACTTAATGCCATCCTCCTATATAAAAACAACGATAAATTCCCTCCCGTCAAATCTGTAAAACTGTCATAAAACACACGGCGTGTTGCATAAAGTACACAAGAAAGCATATAAAGAACACAAAACCAGATGGTATACAAAGATGAAGTCATTTGATTGAATCTGATTGGCTGGTTTGCTTATGTTAAGCTTTGCTTGACTTCGTCTGCCGGCTTTTTGTGTCTACCGGCTTTGTAAGTCGTTGTCTGTACAACGTCTTCATCGAGGTGCTGGACAAGCTGCTGCTCTCGCTGCTCAACAACCTCATCACCAACGACCTGGCGCCCCAGTTCGGCGCCACGTGCCCCGAGTCGTAGACGTTCGGGCCGTCTACAATAGCATTGATGTGCGTCCAATTACTCAGCACCGTGCCGAGACCCCCCTATGAACGTCATGCATGACACTTGCCATTTTTTTTCAAATCCATTCCCCATTTCTGGGATCCTATTTGTGGCAGGCTTCAGCAGTACATGTATCCATTGCCCCTGCTTTCTGCATCCCACCGCCACAGCACCTTCTGGTCCAATTTGGTAGCCGCGCTGTGTATCCTGCCAGAGCCCGGACTCCCCTTCTGCGTCTGCCTGCTTACGTTGCAGTCGGGGTGTGTTGCAAGCAGCTCCTTGTGTGGCGGAGACCGCGGGGCGCGTTCTGATTCCACGTGACTATCAGAAGCTGTAACACGTCGCTTTCGAGCAGCAAGTCAAGTCAAGCCAAGGCTCTGCAGGGTGCAGAGTGTCTCGCCGCCAATCCATTGAGGTCGATCCCAATGCTGACCGAGCCGATCAGCCCCGACATAACTCAATCTGCGCCGCCCCGTTCAGATCCCCAGTCTCCATTTCGCTCAAGATGGTCAAGTTCCTCGGACTTCTCGCCTCCGTCGCTGCCGCTATCGGCGCCGTCTCCGCTGGTAACGGCGGCACGTCGGCCCCCGCGGTGACTACCGCGTCCACCGTGGCCCCCGTGGTGACTGCCGTGCCCAGCGTCACCACCGTCGCGCCCAGCCCGACCGCCGCCCCCACCGTGGAGAACACGTGCGTGCTCGCCGACTTCGAGACGGCCACGGCCGACTTCATCGCCATGCAGAACCTCGTCAACATCGTCAAGACGTCGCCGGCGGTGCTCAAGCAGTACGTGAGCGACCCGCTCGTGATCCAGAACCAGACGCTCGCCACGCAGAACATCTCGTTCCTCGGCGTGACGTTCGCGGCCACCCCGACCATCAACTTCCTTAACGCGTCGGGCATCATGACCATCTCGCCGCTGCCGGTCAACGTCACGGGCACCAACTCGCTGGACCTGGGCACGGGCTTCACGGGCACCATCGCGCTGCAGGCCACGCTCACGGTCGAGGTCGCGCAGCTCGACCAGAAGTGGTACTCGATCTGCTGGGTCGACCTGCTGCACCCGATCAAGTGCCGGCCGCAGGTCGTCACGGTGGACGTCGCGCTCGCCGTGAGCAAGCCCGAGGTGCTGACCAACATCGAGGCCAACCTGTACGAGTGCGCGCCCGGCGTCGCCACGTCCGTGTGCCAGAACCTGACCATGACCAGCATCATGACGGGCGCGCTGAGCGGCGACATCGCGAGCCTGACCAAGGCCATCTACAAGAACTTCAAGGACGCCAAGGTCAACAAGCTGTCCATGGGCTGGGACCTCATCACCAACCTCGACTTCGCCGTGCACAACACGGGCGCCTTCACAACGCAGATCATCAACGGCCTCGTGGACTTCACGGCCACGGAGCTCAACAAGAAGTCGCACTACTACCAGACCTTCCTGGAGATCTCCCAGAAGCTGCTGCTCTCGCTGCTCAACAAGATCATCGACATGCAGCTCGAGCCGCAGTTCGGCGCCACGTGCCTGTAGGTAAGCGTTATTATAAAGGAGAGGACAGAAATATAGCATGTCGTGCCAGTTTTGCCCTGTACGAGTGTGGATAGTGCTGAAGCATTTGAACCCCGATCTTGCAGCAGGATCGACCAAAGAGCACAAGCCTGGAGCGACACGGCAAAGCCGACCGAGCGGGCGTCCTGACGAACGCGCAAATCGCTCGGAAGCGCGGCGAAACGCTGGATGAGAAATCGCTGACGAACCTGTGGAGCCATCCTTTCCTGAGGCGAGTTCAGAGCCAACGGTCACTACGCGAGCTCCGATTGCAATTGGCAGGAGGCACGCGCAGCAGCAAGAACTACGAGGCGCGTGCCCAAAAAGCTACCGAGTTACGAACGGGGCGACTCACTTCAACGTCGGTTCCAGACAGCGGCCGCGTCTCAAGCAGCAGCTGCTGCCCCGCAGAGCTCACACTCACTCGCTCACTCACACGCCTTCAGATGGCGGATGTTGCTGCTGCTGGCATTGCTGTCATCGTGCGGTGCAATGCAGTCACGGTGGGCAAGGAGACTGTATCGTTGTGCAGTACTGTAGCCATGACGACCGAGGCTGGTAAAAGATTTCAACCCGATTGCTGATCACTCGCGCGCGCTGATTGGCCCGGCTGGGCTTCGAAAGGGCGTCGGGAAGCGACGCAATGCAGCGGTTCAGCGGCCCATACAAACACCAAGTCAAGCACATAGAATTGGGCCACGCCCGAACTGATCCCTCTATACTAAAGTACCCGTGAAACCTGCTACATCATCATTCTGTTGCCTGTTACCGAGCGCTCTGAGCTCGTTAGCGCTGCTAGATCGCTGCAAACGGCTGCTCCTGATAATATTGACGTCTGTGTAGTTTAGTACGTCGCGCTCGCCGTCGAAAGCAAAAGGAAATTCCTTCCGCTTGTATCCTTATCCTGATAAGCCCTTTATTTCTAATATGTTATTAGTTTTCACCGGATTCGGAAGCGTTTCATCCGTGGAATATTCGGCCGAAGTATAATTAGACTGCGCCTTGGAGGAAGGACACTTCGACACCATGCGCAGGGCTCAGTTAGGATAACGCTGCGTGCAGCACAAGCGGCTGTTGAGTGAGTGAGGTGACCGAAGAGCTCATGCGCTGCCAGCCGCAATCTCGCCCGCTCCAGCCGCCGATGCCCGACGAGGTCCGCATGCGGGCGTTCGAGGGCGGCCTGGGGCGACTCGTGCCCAACGCGCGCTTCAGCCTGGGCGGCCAGCCGCGGCCGCAGCTCTGGGACGCCATGATGCGCGGCCTCATGGGCGCCGACTGGTCGCCGCCCTCCAACCAGCGAGCTCCGAGACAGCAACAGGACGAGGAGGACGACGCCCGCGAGACCACAGTCGTCGTCAAGCGCTCCAAGACCAACAGCGAGCGCGGCCGCGCCTTCCGCGCGCGCCGCAAGAAGTACGAGGACGACCTGGTGACGATCGTGAGCTCGCTGCGCCAGGAGGTGGCCGACCTCGGCTTCCTGCGCAGCGTGCGCGCCGACAAGGTGCTGCGCAGCCGCAACAGCATGGGCGGCTCGCTCGTGCGTCTGGCGCGCGAGTACTTCGCGCTGTTCGAGCGGGGCATGCCCTCGGTGCGCGGCGCCGGCCACAAGCGGCCCGCGCTGCTGACCGACGGGTCGGCGGAGGAAGACGACGGCCAGGAGTCGCTCGAGGCCAAGCAGCAGAGGTTCCTCGAGTGCGCCATGGACCCGGAGCTGCAGTTCGGCGAGGCCTGCGGCCCGGCGGCGCTGCTAGACCAGTGGAAGCGCTACTCGAGCTACCACGCCAGCATGCACGTCGAGGTCGTGGGCGTCGAAGTGTCCGGGGAGGAGGACAACCCCATGGTGACGGTGCGCTCCGACCTGCACGTGGTCTTCTCGCGCGCCACGTTCGACCACGTCTTCCCGCACGTGGCCGACAACGAGGAGCTCGTCCAGAGGTTCATCGGCCGCGAGGTCGTCTACCACGGCGTGAACCGCTTCCAGTTCTCGCCCAAGGGCCAGATCCTCATCTACGACTCGGACGTGGGCTTCGTGGACGCGCTGGCGCAGGCGGGGGCCAGCGTCTCGGACATTGCGCTGCTCATGCAGCAGGCCAGGATCGCGGACGAGTGCCGACTGGGAGAAGAGGGCCGCAACAACAAGAACGACAGCAGAGTGCAGGAGCTGGAGCCTGACAACCAGGACTCCAGCTCGTCTCCAGAGAATGACAGCAACAACGGCAGTGACTGCGCTTTCGATGCGGACAGTGATGATGTCACCGGTCTGCCTGAGAACAGCCCGGAAGCAGCAAGATCGACCGAGCGTAGCCGACTAGCCATTGACTTCCTATTATCGTAGTACTTGTGCTTCGAAGTATAAATAGTTTATTGATGAGAGCTCTCCCCTTACAACGTGGTGAGTTATCTACGCTGCTGTTGTTCTAGCTGGACGATAGTGATCACGGAACCAATAAGCATATTGGGCACACAAATGGACTTTGAGAATGCACTTTATTGCCAATTTAGAGTTCTGGCAGATGTAGTTACGTGCGTGCCCGAGTATTATCACCAGGTGATTGACCTAGCGCAGCGCAATGGCAATTCCGGCAACAGCGCCGTACATCACCAAAGACAACGTAGTCGTGGGAGCATCCGATGTGGAGGTCGAGTTGGACGAGGCGGTGCTGCTGCTGCCGGATTCGGACTCGGACTCGGAGCCGGAAGCGCTCTCGCTCAAGGATTCGGAGGCGCTGTCGGACTCGGACTCGTTGCCCGTCTTGCCCGTGAGGAAGTCGCTGACGAGGTCGCCGTAGATCACCATTGTGCCGTTCACATCGATGTGGCACCGCGTGTTGATGTTGGCCTGGCTTGTGACGATGTTGATGGCGACGTTGCAGCCATCGTTGCTCTGCTGGAACTCCAATGCCGTCTCCTTCGTCGGGAACCCCTCGATGGCAAAGATATCGACACCAGTGTCCGCCTCGCACTTGTCTGCGGCAGTCGTCAATTTGTCGGCGATTGTTTCGTTGCCCATGAGAGTCGTCTTAATGGCCGCCAAGTCGCAGGTATCCATAGTGGAGGCAACATGGATGGCACCAGCGAGAGCGAGGGCGGAAAGAATGACGGCCTTCATGGTCTTGGTGAGGCGGGACGTGAGTCGGAACTTGGCTTGTTGGAAAGCTGTGAAATTGGAATGTGAGGGCCAGAGGGGGTAGCGCTTCCGTGTATTCCTGGCTGGCTAGCTGTGATGGTAAGACTCGAGGCCAACGTTCTGGAAATGCGACGGCGCTGCCATCTTCAACGGGTGGCCACAGGGTCCTTATCGCTCATGTAACTCGCTCGTCTTCAACAGCCGAAGCTAAACTTGGGCTTCGAGACTGCAGCACCGAAAGCTTGAAACACGAAGACACTAGAAAGCGCGACGAGCAAGTTGAGGTTGGAGTTGCTATTCATAGTGGGCAATATGCGCTCAAGGCGCCTTCAAGAACCTGCAAAAGACTTTCAAGTCGCTCTTGGCTGAAAATGGCGTGTCACCGCTAGTAACTCGTGGCACACGTGCAGCGATCGGCAAGTCGGCGGCACTGCCGATCAAATGCAACCAGTGACGCTGGGCGGAGAGCATTCTCCCCCGAGTTGCCAGTGGACGAGTTGGTCGCCCAAGGAGCGTACAGTTGACCGAAGCTAGCTCGGAAAAGGACGCCAACCGGTAGCGACAAACACCACCAGTCGTGCATAGCCTCGAAACTTCGCGCAAGTCTTCTGAGTCCTGCGGTTCATAATAAACCGCCGTCGCGAATGAACCGAAGCTGCCTCTGCTTCCTGCTCCTGCGCTACTCGCACCCTCGTTCGGGACATCAACTGTGCCGCTGCTGGAGTCACCTAGGAAGCCGCAGACTAGCTTTCGATAGATCACCTCGGTGCCTTCACCGTGATCGCGCACTGGGTGTGGGAAGCCGAGGACAATGTTAATCGTGCTGGCACAGTCGTTGCTCTGCTGGAACTTCAACGCACTCTTCCTCGTAGGAAACGCCGTGATATTGATCCCCATGACAACATCGCCCATGTCTGCGGCTGGTGCCAATTCATTGGCGATGGTCGAGTCGCCAAAATGTGCGCGCATGGGGTCGAGGGAGGCGACAGCAACGACGCCCGGTCGTCATGGCCTCATCATCTTGTGGGTCGACCACGTTCGTCGTGGTGGGCTTGGGATGGGGTATTGCAGCGGGTACCGCATCGAGTTTTTTTAGACAGGACGAAACAGAGAACGCTACTAGCATTTACAACTCAGCTAAACGCTACGACACTGAAATCTCAAAACTAAAAGCTTGTTGCTAAAGAAAAGAATACAAAGTGCTCGCAACCCGAGGCACTACGATAACTCTATCACACCTCATCGAGCACCCCTTAATGCAGTGCCAGGGCGATGGCGCCAGCAACGCAGTAACCGACGAACGAGAGCGCATGAGCACCAGCAGCTCCACTGCTGCCCGTTGACTTAGACGACGCGGCCGAGCCGGAGCTGGTAGCCGAGCTGTCGAGGTTGGCCGAGCCCGACTCGACCGACCCGGAGGCGCTGGCGCTCGGGATCTCGATCGAGCCGCTGCCCGAGTCGGACTCGTTGCCAGTCTTGCCGGTGAGGAAGTCGGCGATGAGCTTGCCGAAGCTGACGGGCACGCCCTCGATGGTCACGTTGCACTGGATCTCCGAGTTGGCCACCTGGTTGATCTGGTTGAGGTAGTCGGCGCAGTCGACGTTCTGCGAGAGCTGCGTGACCTGCTCCGTGGTAGGGAACGTGCCGACGGCGAAGATGTCGATGCCCGTGGCGTTCTCGCAGCTGGCCAGGCCGGCCGAGGCGTTCGGGTAGAGCATGCCCTCGATCTTGGCCATGTCACAGTCGGCGGCGCTCGAGTAGGCGATGGCGCCGGCGAGGGCAAGAGCGGACAGGCAGGCGGTCTTCATCTTGGACGTTGAGGAGGGGTGGAAGGAGTTTGGTCGAGTGCTCGGGGCTGGTGAATTGGAGAGTGAGAAGCGTGGAAGGCGACGCCTTGCCTTGCAGTCGCCGTCAGTCGTCGGTCGCAATCTCTGCCGTTGCGGCGCAAAGGCGCAGAGAGGACGGCACCCAAGCCCCGACGCCGTATGGTGCGCTCCTCGTGGAGTTTCAACGAGTAGAGGCGGTTGCACACGGCGAGCAGGGTAAGATGAAGATGTCCCGCGCTCTGACTACCGTCGACTCGGCATAGACAGGGGAAGGAGGACGCGACGAACGCCTTTCACGCTCGGAAGAAGGCGAGCTGTGAGTGTATGTGCGAAGGGCTGTCACACTCGAGCTGCATAGAGCTCGAAGACGGTGCCCATGGAAGCAGGCAGGCTAGGTGAGCTCTTCAGTTCTGCACCAGCGAAACCGCTTGTTCGATAAGTCGCTAGCCGTTTTCGGATAGCTGGAACCCGCGCTTTCTTTCGTGTAGTCGAACAGCTGAACGCATCCTGTGGGTGGACTGCCAGCTAGTTGCTGTAGCTGCGCTTGCTTCGCTTTTATATCCATGAGCGAGGTGGCGAGGAGGCCAAGCTGCGCATCTTCGCATGGCCAGAAGACTCACTGAAAGCCATGCAACTGTGTGTATGTTGACAAAGGATGTTGCTGGCGTTGCGCTGTGCGGTCTTATCCGAGCATATCCGCGTTGCCGCCGTCTGGCGAGATGCCCATCGCGTCTTCGTGGCTGCAGCAGCGTCACGAGGGCGATCTCCACAATATGTCGGCACGCAGTAAACGCGGTAGATTATCCTTGCTTTCGATGCTGATATCCATCCACACGTGTCAAGCTGGCAGGTGCAAGCAGCTGAATGGATCGTATAAGTGATGCAAACGAAGCAAGCTTCAACGCTCAAAATTCTATTTGGCAAAGGTAAGTGCACGTACGGACGTTGCGTTGGGTGGTCTAGCTTACAGCGCAAAGGCGAGCACGGCGGTCGCTGCGGTCGCGATGACCGAGAAGGTGGCGGCGGTGACGGTGCTGCTGCCGGACTTAGCTGCGCTCTTGCTGCTGCTACTGCTGCTGCTCACCTGCTTCTCGGCGCTGGCGGCGGACTCCGAGCCCGAGCTGCTCTCGTCGCTGCCGGACGCGGACTCGCTGGAGGAAGCTGACTCGCTGCTGCTGCCTGAGGTGGAGTTGCTGCTGGAGAGCGAGACGCTGCCGGACATGCTGTCCGAGCCGACCACGGCCTCCTTGGTCGTGTTGCCCGTCTTGCCCTTGAGAAACTCCGTGAGCAGCTCGCCGAGGACGACGGTCTGGTCGCCCACGGTCGTCTCGCACTGGATGGCCGAGTTGGCCTTCTGGTTGATCTGGTTGATGTAGTTGACGCAGTCGCGCGACTGTGAAAGGTCCTCGGCCTGAGCTTCAGTGGGGAGCAAGTCCAGTTTGAACACGTCGATGCCCGTGGCGGCCAAGCAGCTTTTGTGCCAGGCCGTGCCGTTCGGCAGCAGGCTGCCCTGGATGGTGCCCATGTTGCACGGCTCCGTGGCGTACACGGCAGCGGTGGCGGCACCAGCGATGGAGAGGAGCGCGAATGTGGAGGTCTGCATGCTGGCGGATGGAGCTGGAAGTGGAAAGGTACCCGGCGGATGAGGGTGGGGAGGAGGGAGGCTCGCTTGGACGGAGGAAGTTCCGGAATGAGCCCAAGTGAAGGAGGAGATCAGAGTGCTACGGCAACGGCTACGGCAACGGCAGCGGTGGAGGAGGGCGAGCGTCCAGCGGTGCCGCGTGCGTGGTCGAACGACAGGCATGTTGGTCGACAGGCGATGAGGGTCTGATAACGGATCCCCAAGTTGAAGCCGGCCAGCCAATCACAGGGCGCACCCGTTACTCGCGTCGTTCGGCGCGCAACAAAGCTGCAACGAGAGCCACAGTGGGCTCAGCTCTGAGGCTCGCACAAACACACAACCGCACGTCTGCGGTTACCTTTAGTAGCTCTCGCGCAAGAAGCTGAGCTGAGCTGCGTTCTCTCGAACAGGCCTGGCTGCGCGATAAAAAGTGAGTAATGGCGGCGACTACTGCAGCGACTTCACTAGCTACAGTACCGGAACGCTGCTGTGCTGCTCTCCTTGCGGCCGTTGCTGCACAGTACCAGATGTACGCTCGCAACGATCTGAGAACCGAGCACGTGCTTGCGTTGGGAGGAAACGTTGCTCTTGAGAAAATGACTGACGCTGACGGGTGACCATTCCACCCTTGGGCTTGTCCTCAAACGGTGTTGTGCTCGATGCATTACAAAACTATGAATTCTTTAGCGTTAAAAGACTTTGTACACTTGGCACCGATCCTGGCTGCGTTTACCACGGACCGCAGCCCCTCTAATTTCCATTCCGCCCTCGGTCGCTGTAGAGTTCCCGGAAGAATCGGTTGTGCACCGTCCGAATCGACGGCGGGTCGGATTCCCTTCGCGACGACACCCCCGCCGACGCAAAGTACGGCGTGTACGCAGCGGCCGGCTGGCTCCGCTTGGGCGTGATGATCCGCACGCGCACTTCGTCACTCTTGCCGCCCGAGCTGCAGCTGCTGCCGAAGCTGACTCGGCGCACCGAAGGCGACACACTTCCTGACCGCCGGCGCCGAGTAATGTTCACAACCGGCGAGCCATCGATGTGTCGCTGCGGTGATTGAAGAGACAGCGCCGAGGTCGAAGACGCCCAATTCCGCCTCCCAACATCGCTACGTAGCAGGATATCAGGAGCATTCATGCTCGGTCGACGACGAGATTGACTGCTGTTGAGCTGCTGCCGTCCGTCCGGTGAGGTAGGCACCGCAGCCAGCGTAGCGCTACGCCGACGGCGGATGTCAGGGGGCGAGCTGTTGACCGTGTTCATGGCTTCGCTTTCCACGGACATTTGCTTGGCAGATAAGCGAGACACCGAAGTGCGAGGGCCGTACTCGTTGCTACTGGGGAAAGTCGTCGCCACGGTCATGAGTCTGTGCTGTCGGGGTAGCTCCTCCATCGACGAACGTCTCGTGTCTGCTGTCAGCGACACCATCGAGTGTCGGCGACCCGGCAGACGCACCAGCTCCTCCTCGTCTTCCTCTTCCTCTGGAATATCGTCATGACCCCACCGCCCACTTGTCACCTCGTAGTCGTTCCCGCTTGCGTCCCGAGCCGCGTACTGCGTGGCCTCTTCGTGGAGGATTTTCGCTACACAAGCCTTGCAGAAGCAGCGCGCTGATACAGGCCCCGCGGCCCACGTGACCCTAGCTGACGGTACAGTTTCCTGCCGTACACTGCACTGAGAGCATGTCCACTGGTGGCACGCCGCGCAGTGGCGCTTGAGAGCACTGCCCAGGCGGCGCAAACACATTCCACAGCGCCTCTCTCCATCCAACGACTCCTGTACTGAAGTGGATGACAGCGAGGCAAGCGCGCGCTCCGCCTCCGTGTTCTCCACAGCGCGAGCCAGCTTTTTGGCCAGCGCGCAGGATCTAACGTCCGCCAGTGCCAACAGCGTCTCTACAATGCTCTTCTCCGCAATGGACTTGGGCAGCCCCAGTCCAATGGTGCCGTTGCCCCCGCCGACATCGTAGGTCCCTTCATGGAACACCTCCACCCTCCCATTGCGTAGCTGCCGGAAGAAGGAGCACAAGAAGATCTGGCCCCGGACCACCGAGTGATTCTGGAACGGCGGGCAGGACGGGAACGTGATGGAGTGGCGCAGCCTGTAGCCCAGCTTCACGCCCGTCCTCGGCGAGTGCACGACGCCCATGGACGCCAGGTAGCAGAAGTCCCGGTCCTTGACCACCAGGCCGCCATGAGGCGCGCGTTTCAGCGCCCACTTGACACTAAGCGACCTGAAGGGATCCGCAGTGGACGGCGCCTCCACCGAGCACAGCACGGCGCCGTCAGCCACGGCGTCGCCGGTGAAATGCGCCCTGGCAGCGCGCTCACGACCGGAGCGCCACATGGCCCCGTACAGAACGTCCTCCAGCGTGCCGTCCACGCTGCCGACGAGTCTCAGCGCTGGCAGCTCGCGCTCCTCGCCCCTTGAGCGGCGGCTTCTGGGCTCGGGCTCTGACTCAGGCTCTGGCTGGTACCGCCTGCTCTTCCTCTTCTTCTTGCCCCGCCGCTGGCTGAAGATCTTGACGCCCGCGCGCTGCCCCACGAGCTTCCAGGCGTCAGCGCCGTCTGCGTCTGCGTGCGCGTCATAGCTGGCCAGGTACGCGGCTAGCAGGCGCGCCTCCACCTGCTGCAGGTCGCGCACCTCAGATGGACACAGACGCACGGGTGCGAAGAAGTCCGTGGGCAGCGGAAGCCGCATAACGAGCGCTTGAAGTGGGTCCCTAGCGTTGCCTTCCTACCGCTCGGGGTCGAGACTTGCACACATCCTCCGGGTGACCGACGATCGGACAATACTGCCCTTTCGATTGACGACAACTGTAATAGCATTTAATGTTAAAACACACTAACTAAAATGTAATTTTTTTTAATTCGAAAGATAAAACACGTTCAAAATTTGTTTTGGGCCGTTAAATAGCCCCAGACCATTATCTGGATCGTTTTAACACTATTAAAATAGATTTTACTGGCGAAGTGCTGATAGCCCAGCCCAAACAGGATTAATTCGGGCGTCCCCCGTCCAATTGGAACCGGTGATGAGCCGGTAACATGTTTACAGTAAGTGATGTCAATTGACCGAGTGTTCTCGACTTCCCAAGAATGATGGAGGCTGATCCAGTTCATTTGCAAATTCGTCGAGTCAAGATTCGTTTTATTGATTTTGCTCTAAAATTGTCTGTTCGTCGTGCGCATAGTGGTGTTACATTGCCGGGCAGATTCTGCGGCTGCGAAGCTGCGGATTGCGTAGATATACCGGTAAGTGTGAGCGCTTACAAAACAGCATGTTTTGATATTTTGGCGCAGGTCTTACTAACATGACTAGCGAGTCCGCATCAGGGTTGGCCAGCGATCACCTACGAGTCTAGGTCCGCTCCACACTCCAATGTACCATCGGCGTTAGTGGAACGCTAGAAGATGTCGTTCACGTAGAAGTAACCTGAACTGATCAGTGAGCCCTTTGGGACTTCCTCCGCGTCCTTCTGCGCAGTGGTACGCTGTCGAAGACATCGTTCGCCACGAGGTGCAGGCTGAGGTCGAGGAGCTCCGCGAACATTCGGAACGACGCTTCGCAAACTTCGCTGTACCACCACCAAAGAACCAGAAGTCTCCACCAAACTTAGAATAAACGACACCAACAAAACCGTAGTTAAGCACACACTATACCGATAGAGAGTGTCCATTCACCAAAACAGGGAGCGCCACTCAAATGACAGTCTCGTGCCGCCCAATGTAAGTGTAGCTTCATACTGTTCTCGTAACTGCATCTTTAAACATTATCATTCTACACTTTACACTACGTCTACCATTATAAAGGCGAGTGTGGCCCCTCATCCAACCTGTACGAGGGATGAAGATGAAGATGAACCCGAAGGAGTGCAAGTAGTCGACGCCCCCCAAACAACAACAACAACTAACCTCCCTTGAAGAACAACTCCCCTCCAACCGCCGGACAGAATCGTCTGGCACGGATGTGGCGGTGGCTTCGTCCTCGTCATATTCTAGAATGAGAGTGGACGTGGTAGAAGCTGCTGGACTAGTGGGTTCATACTGCGTCTCTGGTACAGGTAGGGCAACATCTGCTGCCTCTATGGCAGTGCCACCTGGAAACCAGGCGTGATTACCATCAGCAGCAGTTGATGGGGATCGACTCGGATACGTGAAATCAACCAAAGATTCATCGGAGGATGAAGAAAAGGGGTCCTCCGCATCTCTGTGCGAAGGCCTTACAAATTGCCGAGTCCCTGCACTGACCCCGGGACAGTGCACGCCACCATAAATGCAGGCTGCCTCAACATGCACACAGAGGGCGTGTTTCCTACTGTAGGCACATGTGTCAACCACCCAGCCGCCTGGAAGCATTCCCTCAGTCTGCATCCGCCGCGCATTAACAGATTTGATAGAGTTCTTCTTTTCTGCTGGGCTAAGGCGGAGCGGGCGTTACTATACACGGTACAGGTCGGCCTGCAAATCCCCCACCTGAGGTATGCGGCGCACCGAAAGACGCCCTCGCCTGTACATAAATCGATACAGATGCATCAATCGATCAGAAGCTTCCGCCATTGTGCTGAAATGCGTATCTTGGTACAAAAACGCCAGCTGGGCACGGTTCAAGTTGTGAATCAATTCACTGGGAATAGCCAATCCATCCGGACACTGCATTTTCACCTTTTTGTGGTATTGCTCCAACGGATTGTTAGTAGCGGCATATCCACTCGGGCTGTAAAAGGACTGCCAACGTGAAAAACGTTTGGAGTTCACCCACATTTTCGTGATATGATCTGTCAGCTTACGCTCGGCAGATCCTCGAGAAAAAACCACGCCACCTCGTAAGTACGCGTGACTTTACAGCAGGAAAATCTAGCTCTGTAGCATAATGCATGTCATACATCTTGGCAAAAATGGTGCGAATATCATCAATACCAACTCCCTTTTCTTTGGCATGCTTCCAAACGTTCTGCAAAAGTGGAACCAGCATATCAGCACAGTTGATAGTTGCAATTCTGTAGTGCGAGCCTTACCAGCGTCCATCATAACGAATTGCGGGGTGAATTCCACGCCGCAAACGTCCATACAAACTGGCTTAATGCAGCGAATGCACCACCCGATATCAACAGCGCGCTTTTGCGACGTGCAGAAGTAGGCAAGTAGGTAGAAATGACCGCTGGGATCCGAATATCCAAACGCAAACACCAAATACCCGTTGATCACCATGCTGTGGGTACTGTCCAGGTGGAACATGGTCGTGCAGTCGGACTATTTTGTACGGATCCATAGTCTCGCACAAGGCGAAGACAGGTCATCCCGACGCGGAGTGGATATTCCTTGGAATCGTCTCCAAGCTGACTCACGCTTCCAGCAGCTCCTGGACGTGCGTCGCGCTGGCTATCACACAAAATAACCTTGTCGTCATCCGGTAGAGTCTCCAGGTTCACATTGTTGTACAAATGCGCATTGCAGAACTCAATCATTGGCTGCATGGAGTATTTAGGTCGGTCCCGCCTATAGTTTTTCACGAAATCGGCCACTTGTTTGTCTGTAGGAGCTGACCCGGCCATTTCGTGGTGGTACACCATTGCAACGATGCACGCGTACAACTTCGTAGCTGTAGTTTTCTCTCCACTATCCAGGCTCGCCACAATGAAGTCCTTCATTTCACCAGAAAGCTGACGCTTCTTTGGAGTAGGCGGATCTTCTCTGTCCATAACGTGCTCTCCTTGTTGGAACACTTCACAGGTACCAATAGCCGTCAGGCAGGATTTGAACTTGTAGCGACAGGAACAGGCCGGTGATCCAGCGGCTTTCTGTCTCCCGCACCTCTCGCAACGACAGAGGACAATTCGAGATTGCATTTTGTGCTCTGTCCGAGCGAGATTGTAGTCTCTGTCAACCAAGTGATCAATAGTGCAACCAACACGCGTGCATTTATCAATACTATTGGTCTTGGTCGGTAGAGTCTCACGAAAAGCTTCTAGTGCACCAGACTCCGTAGATCTGTAAATTTTGGTCCACGGACGACGTGAAGATTCCTCAGGTTCAGTGTCAGCCTCAGGCTCGGATGACCCCAGCTGCAGCCGTTCTTCTCCATCACCATGGTCGTCCCCGTCACTCATTGCAGGCTGCAATTTGCAGCGATGTCAAAACTTTAAGGTGTTGAGGCACTTTTTTGTGTGGTAGCCTATTTATGCTTGGTGGCTACTCCTCCTTTTTTGTGTGTGTGCTCCCGACCAGAATTTTGGTGGAGCTACACCTTTTTTTGACGGTCGTACTGTTTATTTTGAATGCCCACTCCTAAGTGTAAGTTTATCAATGGCGGTGAAATGTTCATCAAACTGCCATTGCATCAAATCCGTCTTAGCTAATCAATCCTATCCCAGCCTTCACGAAGCCCTAAGGCAAATCAGCAGCAGTTTAATGCCCATCCGGCAAGGCATGCAGACGAACGGCCGTAACTTCAAAACTAATTGAAGCTACTTGAACGGTTCGAGAGCTAAGATACAGGGCGATTTTTGTGATTTTTAGGCATAGCGACCTGCAGTTTAAAGCGTCCTGGACGGGTGATAAAATTGTACATCGAGTCGAGCCACTAAGCAGTTTAATGTCCATCTTAGACTGGATTTCACTATGGATTGCTGTCCATTCGACGGTACAGGTTCGAGCAAGGGCTAGGTGTAATCAAAACTGGCTCATATCATAATGAAAGGGACCAAGTCTTTCCAAAGGTTTTATCAGGTTCTACAAGCTAAACCCACGCCTCCATCACTATCCTTGACTGCTCCTGAGCCCCTTTCTGTTTCTTCGCCAATGATCGCTTTCCGCGCTTGGTGCTGCTCAACGGCTCGCTCTCCTCTTCAAGCATCTTTTGAATAGAATTCGCCCGCCCGTATTCTTCCGACGGCGCTTGGTTTGCTTCTTAGAGGGTCGAACTGGTAGGATAAGAATCTCTCGCTTCACGATATCGACGACTTGGACCCACGCTTCTTCTCGGAGCGGCTCCGGCAGGCCGTTGTGCTCGAAGTTCTCTAGTTTAGCATGCATACTGACGCGCGAGAGTGGGAAGATGCCACAGCTCTTAAGCCCAGCAACCAGATTGCTACCCAAACAGGTATAGTTCCAAGCCAGTGCAGCGACCCCCAACGAAGTTTGCTTGTCCACACTTCCATCGCCAATACTTGGCAGCAGCTTGTCCAGTAGCTGCTTGATAGATGTCTTGAAAGGCGAGAATACCGCTACGTATAGCGGCTGGAGAAGATGGGTGCCGTTTGGCGGCAAACAGACCAGAATAATTCCAAGCGCTTCAGCAGCGTCAACAATTGGCAGCGAAATGTGCGAGCTGCACCCATCCATTACAAGCAGTAGCGGGCGTCTAATCGGAGTAGGGAAGTGCGTCTTGACGTACTTGTGCCAGACGTTCTTAGATCCTTTCGCAGCAATGACCTGCTTGTGCTCCCTAGTAGTGTTGACCGCGGTCTCATCTACATTGAACACGCGCGCAGCGCCCATGCTTTCCTCGATCATGACCTTGGCCAACGACGAGAACAACACGGATAGATCCTGCTCCTCGATCTCGTTTCGGCACTTCGACACAGACTGCGAAGAACGGAGCGTGAGAGACGGGTGTTGTTGCATGAAGCGACCCAGCCATCCTTCTCCCACGGAGACACCACACACCACTTACGCAACATGCTGGGCTTTCTCGAGAAGGTCGTGGCGGCTCACCGGGTGCCCCACCCTTTGTCGCTCCAGCACCCAGTCTCGTAGACAGTCTTCAGCTGGCCGTGGCAGTAGCGGCTTTGGTCCGCGGCGCTTCGGAGTGCGCCGAATGCCATTGCACGCGTCCGCGACGTACTTTTTGAGCGTGTTATACGGAATGCCCGTCTTGTCGCGTGTGGTCGTCATGCGAGCCCCTGCGAGGACAGCTTGGACAGCTGCGTCGAGCTCTTCCTCGCTGTACTTGGCGCGAATCCACCCCAATTCTGTCGGGGCTCTGGCTTTTGTCTTGGAAGTAGACTGGTAGACTGGCTGAGATATTAGCTTTTGTGAGGTTCCCCCCAAAAATCGATTGTTTCCTTTTTGACAAATCATACGTAGAATCTGATGGCTACATCGACCGGATTGGTGGAAACTGAGGTAGACATTAAATTGATCGTGGCCATGGAACTGCTTATTTGCCTTAGTATTAAATATTTTCGTGTAAGAACACTAGTTTGCCACTAAGGTCTTCTGCCAGTTTCGTGCCGTCCTTCGAACTTGCGGACTTGCTGTGGCATAACTTTTCATTGAATTGTCCATTCTGAAATCTGATTGCACCCGCTAAATCTGCGCGATTGGGCTGAATTTATGTACTTCATGCTGGTCCGTGTAAATTTTGCAGAACTTCTTGTTATTGTTTTGAAAAGCTTGTTGATTTGGAGTGAGCTGCCAGTTTCCTGCCTCTTTTTGATAGCATGTTTGTATGCTATGCAAATCCTAGGAGGCTCATCACCGGAAATTGCATGTGACGCTGGAAAAATCTACCAATAGACTACAAGAGTTTAACAAGGAGAAGATGCTAATTGGCTAAAACAAGTAGGCACGGAACTGGTTGTAGGCACGCAACTGGCACCTTACCTTACTACCTAACTCTCCAAAAAGGGACTATTTTGTGTAAAAACATTGTTTGATGTCGCGTATAAAAACACGACAATCCACGTGCTTGGCGATCTGTGATTGGCTGCATCTGACGCAAGCGATTCCTCGGTGGCTCACTCGAACATCAACGCCGACAAGACCACGACGTCGGCCGCGTGCTCGCTCCCCGCCGCGCTCCTCGAGTCTCCCGCCTCGTAGTCAGCCGCATCTCCCTTACCCACCTGCACCTCTCGCCCGTGCTCCCTACTGTGGCGGCCGCGTCCTTCAACCCGCTCAGCTCGCTCCGCTGCACCTGCTCCGATCCGATCGCAGAAGATCCCGAGCCGAGCATGCTCCCGCAGCGACAGAACTCGGGCAAGCGCGCGACGGCCAGCCACCGCCGCACCCGCGGCTTCACGGCGCGCACCACCGCGTTCGTGGCGCTGGGTCTGGTCTTCGCGCTGTACATGTACTTCAACCTGCGCTTCTTTGCGACGTCCACGGCCTCCACCAACTCCATCGAGGCGGCCGGCAAGGGCTGGCGCTCGTTCAATGGCGCGCCCGACAAGCCCAGCGGCGCGGGCGGCGATACGCTCGTGGACGCCTCCGCCACGCGCCAGGTCAAGCACCTGGTGTTCACGTCCACGTGCCGCGACCTGGACTTCGTGCACGCCGAGGTGCTGGCCTTCACGTTGCGGCGCACCGGATACGACGGCAACGTCACGCACCTGCTGTACGGGTGCACATCGGAGCAGGCTGCGGACATGAAGCGTCGGAAAGACCCGCGCCACCGCGTGGAGACCAGGCACTACGCGGACGTGTCCGCGGTCAACACGACGTTCGGCGAGAAGCTGCTCACCACGACGCTGAACCCGGTGGTGCTGGCCAAGTGGATGCTGGGGTCGGACGACGGCGAGTTCGGCGACAACCGCGCCGTGCCGTTCGAGGAGCGCTACGCTCTGGCGGCTGACGACTTCGTCATGGCCGTGGACAGCGACGCCATCTTCACCAAGAAGCTGGACATGTGGAACCTCATGGCCGAAGCGAACGATGTGATCGACCCCCGCATCTTTGGCCAAGACGCATCGTGGTACTGGCCCAAGCGGTTCCCGCTCACGCACGAACAGCTCGTGAATATCGTGCCGACGAACTCACGCGCACTGCTGCTGGACGACTGGCGCGAATACGCTGCCATTGCGCCGTTTGTGGCTGAAGTGAGCGCGTGGCTGGAAATCCTGCCTACTGCGGTGGACCTGTGGGGGAAGCTGGCTCACGAGCAACGCTATCTCGCTGTTCCTATTGCTGCTGCACACGAGAAGACACTCATCGGCGTGTCCGGTGTGCTGAGTGTGCACCACTACCCGTCGCGCTACCAGAACTGGGACTTCGTGGACGATATCAAGCACAACCCATGCGTGGAGCGGGCGGAAGGCAAGAACCTGGCGCTGTCGTCTTACCCGATTTCAATCCGCGCGCTCAACTTCACGCTGCCGCAGTGGATCGACGGCCGCGACTGGAGTTTCTTTGCCGACCAGGTGCCGTCAGATTTCCTTTCGTGCGATGCCTGGATGATTCACCAGCCGACTGGCTACCTGTGGCACCTCGCGACACACACGAACGGATATGAGCGCGTCCCCAACATTCTTCGTCGTCGCCACACCATGAGCGTCTGCCTCGCAGTGGAGGCATACAACAGCGCGTCTGAGAGCTACCGCAGCCGTGTGTGCCCCACTGGGTTTAACCACAACCGGCGCATTCCCATGGAGTTCCACAAGAAGGCGTGGAGCACTGCTGTCGCGCTTGCAGACGGCACCACCATGGAGGAGGAGCCGCCCGTATACTTTGGTGACTACAAGAGGAAGAAAGGCCCCAATGCCGTCCCCGAAAGTGACCTGAAGCCTGGCCAAGAAGGAAGCGACGAGCTCCACTTCGTGTTCACGACTTCGTGCGAACCCTACCAGGACTGGCAGAGCGAGGCTCTTGCGCAAAGTTTCGCTCGTGTGGGTCAGCGCGGAGCTCTTACGCGCATCGTGAGCGGCTGCTCGGATGATGCCGTGAAGGAGCTGCTGCGTCGTACCCAGAAGTCCTCGCCGCACCTGCGCATTCACGTCACGCGTGACTTCCGCTCGCTCCCGATTTTCAAGGAGGTGTCCGACGACGTGGAGAAGGCTTCAACGCCCGACGACTATGCGCCTTACAACAAGCCATTCGGTCTGCGCGACTGGCTGGAGTCCGCTAACCCTCCCGTCCGCGAGGAGCTCGTCGTCGTGCTAGACCCGGACTTCCTGTTCATTCGGCCGTTCGCTGTGAACACTGGTGGCCGTGTGACTTCAGCCAAGGGGGTGGACTCGGGCAACTACGAGCAAGACGCCGAGGTTGTCGAAGGCATGCGGCAGTACAAGCGCTTTTTCGTGTACGAGGGCTCGCGCGACAAGACGGAAGTCACCGATACGGTGGCTACCGGCGTGGCTGTGGCTCAGCGCTGGTCGGAATACTTGGGCACTGCAGCCTTTGAGAACAGCAGCTCGATTTGCCCGGAGTGCGCGAAGGTGTCGAAGGCCGACGCGACCGAGTATTTCGCGGTGGGTCCTCCGTACGCCATCACCCGCAAGGACCTGGCCGAGTTGATGGACGACTACTGCAACATGACGGTGCTCAAGCGCGACCAGATGAACCGCGAGCACTGGATGAGCGAAATGCTGGGCTACTCTCTCGCCGCGGCGAAGCACGGCGTAAAGCACACGACCTTCGACAACCTGGCGCTGGGCAACAAGGCGGACGACTACACTGGCTTCGTGAACATCATGAAGGGAAACCCCTGCGAGGACCCCGTCACGCCGCTCATCCCGGGCGAGGCGCCGCCGCTGCTGCATGGCTGCCACGCGTACGAGGCCGATGACGACCGCGGCCTCAAGTGGATGTTCTACAAGCACCTGATCCCGAACAACATGTTCACGTGCGACTCGTGGCTGCTGGCGTCGCCGCCCGCGAGCGTCTGGACGCTGGCCAAGAGAAGTCGCGACAAGCAGCGCATGCTGGAGGCCTACGGCGTGTGCACGAGCGTCAAGGTATTCAACCAGGCGCTGGTGGACTTCAAGACCAAGATGTGCCCCGACGGCTTCAACCAGAACCGCCGTCTGCGACTCGTCAAGGACGTGCGCCAGGACCTGCTCAAGGTGGGCCAGGTGCACACGGCGTGGCAGGACGCCGCCCAGGAGAATGCTCGAGAAGGCGCGTAAGCAGCCGCGCGGACATCATAGTACAGCTAGATTGCAGCAGCTAGAGCTGCCCGTTTGAACATGCCACCTTCACAAGTCAGTTGCTCATGTCCACATGGTTTGGTCACATTTACAGGTACAAATGGGTACTGGCAATTTAAACAAGTGCATGTATCCATTTGTGTAGCCATAGAAGAGCCCGTCGTAGTGTCAACACGGGATACCTACTCGAAAGACTGCTTCTCACATCTTCCATACAAATATCACTACTTACTGCTGTTCCATTGCGAGTCAGTCTGTGGCCGTCCCGACGCCGCCATATTCGCGCAAGCCTTTTACCACGGCAGTCATCCCTGGTGGCCCCCCGCTGTTAAACCTCCGCGAGAGAGAATGAGCTGGGCGGCGCAACCAATCGCCCACGAGCCGCTGCGCGTGGTGCTCGACGCAGGCTCCGACGACGCCGAGCTCTTCAGCAGCGAGCTGGGCGATCTCTCCGCGAACGTGCAGTCCGCCAAGTGCAGCATAGAGTCAACGACCGCGCCCCGAGCCGCGGCGTCCGCTGCCCCGCCGGCGGTGCGGGCACCGACACCCCCGACGCTCAACGATGAGCAGCGGCGCTCGCGTCACAACGCCAACGAACGGCGCCGCACCAACGCGCTCAAGGTGAGTGAAGCCATGTCGACTGCTGAGAGTAGAGCGAGATCCAGGGCTTGTGTAGCGCCTGGGCTCTTGGGAATGACGCCATGGGCGTACTGGCTCACGAATCCGTTTTGCCGTCTTTGTGATAATGATGCATGCAGACGCGAATCTTGCAGATGCGAGAAGAGATGGAGGCGCTCGAGCGACAGCGCACGAGGCTCAAGAAGGAAGCGCTGACGCAGAACCCGGCGCTGCTGGACACCATGTCGCTCATCGACCAGCTCCGCCAGGAGCAGCAGGAGCTGCGCAAAAAGCTGCACGCCTACGACATGCAGAACAGCACGTACCAGACCATCGTGTCCGAGTACGGGTCCAACTCGTCGTCGTCCGGGGTGGCGGATGCTGCGGAGGACGCGGACGCTAACGAGGACCGACTGGCGGAAGCACCCATCTTCCAGCGCGTGCTCTTCCGCCGGCCGATGGCTCTGGAGGCCGTCATGGCCTGCGTGAAGGAGAGCTACGAGGCCATCATGGCGTTCCGCGCCGAGCGCGACTTTGAGACGCTGGACACGGAGGTGCTGGGCTGGAGCGACAAGCGCATCCTGAACGCGAGGTCGATGCGCTTCATGCTGTCGCAGCAGTTCGAGTACGTGCCGCCATCGGAGCTGGTGTACAAGACGTGGAACCTGCTGACGAACCTGAAGCTGTACCGCCACATGCAGCCGCGCACCGTGGCGCTGGAGCTGCTGCAGCGCGTGACGGAGGACTGCGTGATCGTGCGGCTGAGCGTGAGCAACGGCGACAAGGTGCACCACTCGATCCTGCTGATCGCGCGCGGCCGCATCGACGGCGGCTACCTGATCACGTACCGCTCGATCCCGCTGTCCGAGGGCCAGCGGCAGTTCGCCGCCACGGAGAGCAACTACGTGCACCTCTTCAACTGGTACATGTTCCTGGAGAAGACGACGCCCGCGGGCGTGCCGGCGTGCGAGGTCACGTTCGGCGGCGGCGTTGAGAACCAGCCGATGGAGTATCTGCGGTACCTGATGATGGAGGTGGTGGCGGGCGTGGTGCGCTGGCAGACGGCCGTGGGGCACAACAAGTTCCGGCTGACCCACAGCTGAGATGGGGGCGGCGGCTGGCGTGAGAGGAGGAGGAGGCAGGTGTGCTTGCAGCATTGTGTAGTGGTCGGTGTGGTCGCCCGGGTGAAGGGCGGACCCCCTGTCGTGGTAGTATTTAAATTGTTTTTCTCGCTCAAATGGTAAACCCTCAAGAAATGGCGACCTGGACTCGGAAGTTGTTGGTGGTGATCTTGGTGACGAGCGCTGACGTCGTCAGTGACGAGTATCAAAATGCGTTACATGTACGAGGTGCGTACTTAGCTGGTGTCATACTTAGTACGAACACTACGGTACGGTGTTCGTTGCGTTATCAGAAAATAGACGGACCATTTTCGGTGCGGCTGCTTGCAGATCCGCTGCCTGTAGGAACGCCCTCCAGTCAGCATGACCCGCTCGCTCTAACGCTGCTCATTGCAGACTGACTCCCTAAAGCCTGTAGGCTACAGGTAGAGGGTACAGGTAGACTACCCTTTGCCACCATGGCCCATGGTGCACTGCAGGCTGCAGTGCCGCCGGATTGCACGCGTCCAGCGTAAGCGCAAGATTGGACGTTCCTCCTGCGCTGCACATCATCCGCCGCGTTGTGACCTCGGTGGTCCTCAAAGGCGGGGCGGGTCATCGGTGACTGGCTGTTGCCTACGGAGCTCTTCCAGCGGCACGCTGCGGCCTCGACAATGCAGACTGTGTGTGTGTGGACGAATAAGCCAGGGTGCCACGGACACACTGCCTGTCGTACAGTAGAAATTCAGTTGACTTCATTTGCCGCTGATTACATTGCGGGCTTGTCGGGCGTGACGCAGGTGTGTGTGTCGAACTCGACGTCAAACCGCGGCGAGCGCTCGGCCCGGTTCGATGGACGGCGCGGTGCCGCTCTGCACAGCGCGATGCCGCTCAGTGACGCCTAGTACCAGGTTGGTGACATGTGGTACGCGTGCACTTTGTTGGATCGTGTTGCTCATCGTCACGTTTTGGCCAGCCAGACACTGCCTGGTCGCGAGGAATCAATGACCAGCGCTTGCGCACAAGGGGATCGATTGAACCATGCCCATGTCCCTCCTTCTCTTTTGGATGGTTTCCTCAAGGCCGCAGGCCCCGAGTTCAAGTCGCCAGCGCCGTCGCATGCTGCCTTCAAGCGCAGGTGAGCAGCACAGCTCTTCCAAGGTCGATCGCCCACGATTGGGGTGCTTATGCGGAACGGGACCCGACGAATCGCCCGGCATCGACTTTCTCTGATGTCAACGCCAATGCCATCGAGTCAGCATCCCAGTCGTCGCCGCGAAGACATCTTGCCGTTCTGCATAGAAGCGCTCGATCATTCAGTTTGCTGCCAGACCGTGTTAAACGCCGCGTGCTTGCTCAATCGATCACGCTGCACGGCGAGGACCCAGTCGTGCCCCCTCCTCAGCCGCAGCGGGCGCACTCGTCGATTGTTTCGTGTGCGCTTTGGCCCGTCTTGCCGCTAGTAACTCCGCAGAGAAGAGCCCCTTTAGCGCTGCTCAGCAGTGCTCCCGCCAGGCCGGCGCCGAGCGGCTTCCAGTGTGGAATCCAGAGTCACCCAGCACGGTCTCTCTTGCAGCGCGGGGCGGGCCTATCTGGCCGAGATATCACAGAGGACCAGATCGCGTGCGAAAGGGTAAAGAACCCGCTGCTGCGAGAGCTGCTGAGCCCGTTACCGGCGCCGGGTATTACGCCACACGCCCAGCCTAGCGAAGCGAAGCGAGCGAGCACCCCTAGATCGAAGGCGCTGCTCATTTTGCCAATTGCCGTCCATCTGGTTCGGACACATCGGTGGTTGGCGGCACCACATCTCATCGCGACCCGAGCGAGCTTTTCCACTCCCCTCCATGTCGAGTCTCGCCATGGCGCCCAACAGCAGCAGTGAAGACGACTCGCGCCTCCTGGCGGCCAGCATGGTGGGGCCGGCGCGACCGACGCCCGCAAAGAAGCAGAACACCGCTACCAAGCAGAAGAAACCTGGCAAGACGCGCGCGCTCTCCACGGAGCGCAGTCGGCAATGCCGCGAGCGCCAGAAGCTCTACTCGGAGAACCTCGAGGCCGTCGTACGCGCGCTGCGTACGGAGGTGTGCGACCTTGAGATCTTGCGGAACCTCCGCCGCGAGCAAAGTCTGCAGGTTCGCGGCTCAGTCTCTGGATCGCTCGCCAAGATCGTACGCGAGTACATGACGGTCTTCCGGCATGGTGTGCCGGCACCGACAGTGGAGGCCGCCACCACCGGCAAAAAACGCGCGCTCGCGGCGGTCTACCAGCCGACACCTGACGCCCAGCGCGAGTTCCTCAACTGCATAATGGACCCGTACGTCGAGGTGTTCGACTGGTGCGGGCGCTTCGTGCTCGGCGCCAGCACGCTGCTCAACGGCTGGACGGCCTGGGCGGCGTGGCACGACTCGCTGGACTTCGAGCTCGTGGACATCGACGTCGTCGACACGGAGGAGACGCTGGCCGTGACCACCAAGGCGAACCTGCGCGTGCGGGTCTCGCAGAAGACCATTGAGCATCTCTTCCCGCACATTGCCGGCGACCAGCAGCTGTGCAGTAGAATGCTCGGGCAGGAAATCTGCTACCCGATGCGCGACACCTTCTTCTTCGCGTCCAACAAACGGGTCATCAAGTACGTGTGTGACATCGACTTCGCCGACGCGCTGCTGCCCGTCGCGGGCGACTACGAGACCGTGCTGTACCTCATGTCACCGCCCAACCAGGCGTCTCTGAACGACCTGGCTGTCCGCACCTCGCCCACCGACCTGGCCGAGCGCTCGCGGTTCGACGTCGAGTTCCTGCTGTCGGAAAACGACAGCGAGCAGCACGGCGAGTCAGGCGCTTAATCCTTTATGCAGGAGGACAACTAGCTAAGTAGGCAGACATGCATATAGGAAGATGAGCGTTTTCACGCCCGACAAGCCCGCAATGTAATCAGCGGCAAATGAAGTCAACTGAATTTCTACTGTACGACAGGCAGTGTGTCCGTGGCACCCTGCCTTATTCGTCCACGCACACACAGTCTGCATTGTCGAGGCCGCAGCGTGCCGCTGGAAGAGCTCCGTAGGCAACAGCCAGTCACCGATGACCCGCCCCGCCTTTGAGGACCACCGAGGTCACAACGCGGCGGATGATGTGCAGCGCAGGAGGAACGTCCAATCTTGCGCTTACGCTGGACGCGTGCAATCCGGCGGCACTGCAGCCTGCAGTGCACCATGGGCCATGGTGGCAAAGGGTAGTCTACCTGTACCCTCTACCTGTAGCCTACAGGCTTTAGGGAGTCAGTCTGCAATGAGCAGCGTTAGAGCGAGCGGGTCATGCTGACTGGAGGGCGTTCCTACAGGCAGCGGATCTGCAAGCAGCCGCACCGAAAATGGTCCGTCTATTTTCTGATAACGCAACGAACACCGTACCGTAGTGTTCGTACTAAGTATGACACCAGCTAAGTACGCACCTCGTACATGTAACGCATTTTGATACTCGTCACTGACGACGTCAGCGCTCGTCACCAAGATCACCACCAACAACTTCCGAGTCCAGGTCGCCATTTCTTGAGGGTTTACCATTTGAGCGAGAAAAACAATTTAAATACTACCACGACAGGGGGTCCGCCCTTCACCCGGGCGACCACACCGACCACTACACAATGCTGCAAGCAGGGCTCCCGATTATGGTATTTTATTTATGGATGATCCATCTGGCTCATAAATAATGGCATCGACCTACAAATCAGATGCATAAATAATGTAATGTCGACAATGATCATAAACAATTATTTCTCGAATTTTAGACTGAACATGTACCAGTTGAAGAGGTGCGAGAGACTCGATCGAAGACGGCGCCGGCCAAACGCAGGACCGGCGCCCACGAACACCACTGCGCAGCAACTACTGCGACGATCGCTCGACCAACATCGAGCGGCAAATGACGGTGGAAGATACCGAAATGGGACCAGGAGGACCGTGACTCCAAATTCAAGAACAGCTGTGTACCACAAATAACATGTGCATTTGCCAAAAATAGCACGTTTTCGGGAAATGTGACCAAAATGTGGCATTCTGTGGCATGAACAGCCTGTTCAATGTCCTGTTCAGAACAGGACATTATTGTCCACCAGTCCGTCATGATGCTGCTCCGACCTGCGACTTGTGCCGTGCGCCGCGCTGTCCGCGCCGCTTCCTCCACGCTGCGCTGCAGCCAAAGCACCGCGCTGTCCGCGCTGGCCACTGCAGCGTCACAGCGTGGAACCCCGAGCTTCGTCTCAATTGCCCCGCGCCGGGAGCTGTCGACGTCTGCCACAAAGGAGGTGGACCGTCGAATGGGCAAGTTGCTGGAGTTGATTGAGCAGAGTCGGGAGGAGGTGCGCCACATCTAAGAGTTTGTTTGTGGGACAATGTACGGAAGAGCTCACTTGATGGCGGGTTGCTGCTGTGCTAGGGCGACCCGGAGCGAGAGCTGCAGCAGTCGCTAGAGCTCTACGACATCCTCAAGCAGCGAGAGCAGCAAGGTGAGGGAGGATAAGCTCGCCGTCGCAGTTGGCTTTACAGCCAAGGCTCAGTGCAGTAACTCTTCTGCTGTAGACACAGATGCGTTTGAGGTGGCCTTCGGCATTGCGCGGATTTACGACGACCAGCTGGAGGACGGAGCTACTGCGGTGACGTACTATGAAGAGGCTCTCACCATTCTCGAGGCGATCTCGACGGAAGCTACGGCCTGGGGCGCGTACATGCGCGTGACCACGCTTGGAGCCCTCGCAGTGTGCTACGAGAACCTGTACGATACGTTTGGGAATGTCTGCTGCATGGTTTGACGAAGGATCTACTGTACTCACCCTCGCACTTGTTGCCGTCGCTATTAGTGGACAGCCAGAGGAGGCTGAAAAGTATTTTGACGACGCGATCGGCGCGTACGAAGAGCACTGCGATAAAGCGCCAGACGGCCAGGAGGAGGAGGACGTATCGGAGGCAGATATCTCGATCTTGTCGGACCTCAATGCCACGGCGGCGATGATCCACTACCACTACGCAGGCAACTTGCTCGCCCAAGAGCGCTGGGAAGAGGCCAAGAACGTCACGAAGATCGCGCTGGTGCTGGCAGAAAACTCCAGCATGCCGGCCGAGGACCTGGAAGAGCTGCAGCATTGCATTCACGAGCTGTGGTTGGAAATGGATTAGATAGAGACCATCGTTCGCTCAAGATTGACTTCACACATTCATATTGGCAGAACTCGTTTCGCTTGGCTCCTTGGTGATATGTGCCGCCACCTCGCCTGGAGAACTGACATTCATTCTCTTGAGTTCTTGCTGGCGCTTGCGACTGCGCTCATCGTGCAGGGCATGACATTCTGCTGGTACAAGCGACGCATTAAGTCTAAGCTTAGCGTTCTGCTTTCAAGTAAGGAGTCATGATCCTATTGCACCTTGTAGTTCCAGGGCCCCCATTGCCACGACCTGATGAGGCAAACCGGCGTCCACGAGACTTCGCAACCATGCGCTGCATTGCGCTCGAGGCTGTAAGAGGGTGAGTGAGGCGCACAAGTTACCGCCAGTCGATCTCGGGTCATCATCGCGTGAGAGAAATAGGCAAATGCACCTTTTTCCAGGGACATCAATTGAAGCTCATCACCTCCGGATCGTCGAGAGTCTCGAGGAGGTCTCGACTCGAAACCTCCTCATTCCCCAATTCTGTCGATGCTGAGCATGCGTCGCGCACTCCTGAGTCTCCGCCCACAGGCGCGTCGCGGGCTTCTCCCCGCGGGCCGTCAACTGGCCCCAGCCGCCACTCCCTCTCGAGGCTTCGCGAGCGCTCATTCCAGTGCGCAGACGCCGTCCAAGTGGCCCAAGAGGCTGCTCATCGGCGTCGCAGCGCTGGCCGCGATCAACTACCTGGTGCGATATCCTACCCTGAACTCACCAGTGCCATGCGACAGCTTGCAGTACAGCAACGCACGGCTTAATTAATCCCTATCCATGCTGGCGTAATGTTGTCTGGTGTCTGCAGCGGCAGGAGGCGCCCGAGAGCAAGGAGCGGCGGCGGCTGCTGGCGCTGGGGAATGACGCCGTTAAGAGAGTGGGTTGCTATTATAGCGCTATTACCCGCTCTAGTGGCGCATTGCTGACACTGTTGCGAGTTCTCCAACAAAAGTGCCTCTTCCCGCTCGAGCGACCAAGTGATAGCGGCCCTTGACGGAAGCGTGAGCAACGTGTTCCTCCACTACGCGCAGCTGATGGCGTCGTTGGAGAAGGACAGCGAAGTTTCGTTCATGCGCCAGCGCCTGGTGGACCTCGTGCGTAGTTCCCCGTCCATGCGGAGTCGCGAGAGCAAGACACTGGACCAGTTCGACGACTTGATGGCTCTGCACGCCATCCGAGACGAGCGCCAACGCGAGCGCGGAGAAGGCCACCCCACGCCGTTCTATTAGGCAGGCTCCGCATTTACATGTACTCGTGCTTTGAATGAACAGGGCCCAACTGTGACTTTACCCGGTACAATCGACTTGCGACGCGAAAAAAACGTACTTGCTCCACCTCTCAAATCGCCAACAGGATGCTACGACGAGCTATGGCGGCGAAGCGGGGGCTTGCGCTTCCTCGTAGACTGTTTCAGAGAGCTCCGACGCCGGTGGCGCCCCGCGCAAGCTCAGCCGCGACGGCGACTCCGATCCGAGCGTTGTCCAATGCAGCCCGGGGCAGCAGATCCGACGGGTTCTACGTGAGCAAGAGAGCAGTGAAGACGACGCTGTTGGCCGGTGCAGCGATAACGGGCGCGTACCTGTATCTCGTACGGTAGATCGATGGCTGGGGAGCGATGGTAAGAAGACTGACGGTGATGTCTTGTGGTCTACTGAAGGACCGTGAGAATGCCGACCGGAAGGAGATCCGATTCCTGCTGGAGCGCAGCCAGCTGAGTCTGGAGAGGGGGGAGATCGAGCAGTCTATGAAGGAGCAGCAGAAGGCGTTCGAGCTCCTCAAGACGAAGTTCCCGGAAGGTGCGTTTCAAAAGCTCTCCATGTTGCAATCGATGAACTACATACTCATCGTGGTGGGCTTGGTTTGCCAGACAAGAGCAAGATTGCAATGGCCATAGCAATCGGAGCCGCGTTCGAGAAGACGGAGCACTTTGCCACCGCGGTGCCGTTCTACCGCGAGGCTCTTGAGTTTCTGTCGCTCGAGCCGCGCATCGTTTATCGGGAGGATCTGCGTATCATGGTGCTGGATCGCCTCGGACAATGCTTCAAGAATGCGTAAGTCATCCCTGTACTTACCTCTCGCTGATTAATAAGAAGTAATGGTTAACCGATTCTTGTGCTTGTGCAGTGGAGACATGGAGGCTGCTGAGAACCATTTCAAGCAAGCGATCGATGCTTACGACCAGTTGAAGGGGAAGTTGTCACTCTCTGCTGACGCGGCCAACGAACCGAGCGTCCTGTCCAAGCTCGACGAAGATGTTCTCAACGTGTTCCTCCACTACACAGTCCTTCTCACGACACTGCAGCGCCCGGACGATGCTGCGCGTGCTCGGCAGCGCCTGTCGTCGATCGCTCGCAGCTCCCCGCAGCTCCGCGGTCAGGTGGCCAAGATCCAACGCCAGGTGATCGACTACATCGCGCTGGAGGGAATTCGAGAGCAGCGGAAGCTCCAGCAATTGAAAGGAGACGAAGGAAGCGACTTCGTGTAAAGCCAAGCACGAAACCAACGCCGAAGCATTGAGATGAAACTACAAAATCAATGGAATTGAGGGGCACTTGGAACAAACAACTAACGTAGAGTATAATTCATCTGCGACTATTTCATCCCGACAAGGCCAATGCTAGCGCGATGCCAGCAAGTCGGAGCTGGACGACGAGTGGCTCGTAACAGAGCGAGCAATGCCGTTCTTACGCGTGTTCTCCTGGATCTGAGCGGCAGCGATGTCCACGGCGCTGGAGGTGGACGCGTCCGCAAGACACGCCGAGCAGAAGGTGATCTTCTTCTCCGACAGCGCCAAGTCGGCCGTCACCATGCTGATCTTCTTCTTGATCTTGCAGCTGCTGCACACGACGCGGAAGCAGCTCTTGCACGTCGACGCGCTCTTGCCGAGCTTCCAGCCCGTCGAAGTCTTGGAGCAAGTCACGCATGACGACCCCGGGTTCGGAGCGCCGTGCAGTCGCGCCTCCGCGTGGGCGTTCTCCATCTTCCACGTCAACTTACGCATCTGACCGCAGTGCACGTAGCGCAAAGGGGACAGGAACGCCTCCGTCATGACCGGCACGGCCAGCATGCGGATCACGTCACCGGCAGGGTCCATCAAGCCCGTCTTGCACACGTCCAGCACGTTCGGTCCGACCTGCCGGAAGAAGCCGCAGATGGACAGGTCGCCGCGAACGCGGTCTGACAGCTTGGGGATCTGCGGGAAGTCGATCGAGTGCAGGAAGTGGTAACCGGCACGCTCTCCGTTGGCCATGTGCACGAAGCCCGTGCACTCCAAGTAGACGTAGTCGCGGTTCTGAACGATGCCGGTCCTGCGTAGCGGGAGGTCCATCTCGAGCCATTTCACGACGACGGACGTGAACGGTTCCTCCTCCGTGGGGCTCACGATGGTTGACAGCACAGCGGCACCGTCAAAGTCGTGGACGTACGACGCCTTGATGCGCATTTCCTCGAGCGTCGGGTTCACCACGCCGTACATCATGTCGTCGAGCCTGCCCTCGACCCGACCCACCGACAGGATGGCCGGCAGCTTGGACGCGTGGGTGGAGTTGGTCATGGCGTCGTCGCCGACGTACTCGGGGCGCTCGGTGAACACTTTCATGCGTTCGCGCTCCTTGGCGAGCTTCCATCGCTGCGGGTCGACCTTGCGTCCCCCTTTGAAGAAGGGGTTGTCGCGCTCGAAGTTGGCCTCGATGATGGTGTGCCCCAACTTCAGGAGCTGGTTCTTCTCGACGTCGGTGAGGGCGAGCGCCGGGAACGGGTTGATCGTGAAGCGCTCTTTGCCCATGTTGTATTGTGGTCTACAGTGTTAGAAAGAGATCTCTGGCTCCGATTGTGTTGCGGTGTGCCTTTCGAAGGTGGAAAGCGAGAATGAGCCCGACATGACCGACTCAGCTCGAGGCACGCAACGCCGCAACTCACGCACGATTTGACCCCTCCATGCTCAGAAACATGATGTCGAGGTGACCTCAGACGCCGTGACTGGCAACCACCAGGTGGCTATCCCTCGACGTCTCGACGACCTGCCGCAAGTGATCGTATTTCTGCTGCGCGAAAGCATTTTACGTTGAGCTGAGCCAGCAGATCATCCCGCTGCCTTGCGGCTGAAGCCACTATCTATGGGTGCCCCCAGCTCAAGCGTTGAGTTTACCTTGAAAACTGAAGCAAGCACTTGTAGTACAGTGCTCCTCACCAACCACTTCGACGACAGATCTAGCTTAAAGAGCGCTTGTCAACCAGCGCTTGTGTAGTGTGAAATACGTCGGAAGCGGTGAAACGCAACATGATCAAGCTCCGACAAAACAACGACCGATACGCCAGGCTGGCCAAAACCGGAGCGCTGCAAGTCAATGCTTGGAGCTGCTGCAGTCAGCACTGCAACCACCGGCGCAGCGAGTTGCAGCTCAGAGACGGGATCGCCGTGGCCGTGGATAGACAGACACCCCTCGCTTCACAGGCATGCGTCGCACTCGATGGCGAGTCTGGCTACGGCAGTTGATGAGTGCCACCTGGAGCTCCGATCGATCGCTTTGTCGAAAAGAACCCTAAAAATGCTAGCGAAACTGTAGAGGGTTAAACCAAGTTTGGCTTGACAATGTTTCACCAATGCGCGACAAGGGGCCACAGCTTAGTTAAATGTGTGTGTGCCAATTGTGAGTCATCACTTCCAGCAGAGAAGTCACCATGTGCATCGAGTAAACTGCTCGACGAATGCAACGCAATGCAAGTAATGTGCCATGGTGTATTGAACCGTCAACACACTGATTCAGCTAGAGTGTTCGAGCTGCTCCTACTGCGAACACTTCCGCGTCGTGATGGAGTAGTGGAATCCTGCCTGCACCGTGCTGTCCACAGAGTCGATCGCCATCTGCGTATCCTCCTTCGTGCGAGCATTCTTTACCGCCGTGATCGCGCTATTAACCCGAAAGTTCGTCGAGGCTCCGCATGGCGTCCAGACCACTGCGCTCACTCCGATCTCGTGCGAAATGAACAGGTCTTTGTCCGTTCCTGGTGAGTACTTCTGGGAGGCCACGGGGCCTCGCTGTCCGGCGAAGTAGTATTCGGCATCGAACTGTCCGTACGAGCCGCTTTGGTTCGGAACGAACGCGTTGCCGCGATAGTCCACGCGGAAGATGCCGATGGAGACGCCCTGACAAACATACCACAGCAAAAAATAAACCGTAAGTCGATGGACAAGCCACGCAGCGATAGAGCCACCGACACTTACGCTCTGGACGTCGACGGGTACTGCCAGGTTGCACGATTTGCGGTCGCGCGTCACGTCGGCACCGGATGTGCGCGCTGAAAACTGCGAGAAGAGCACCGAGACAGTCTGGCCGTCGGTGGACGGCACGACAGTGACCGTGTCGGCAGGGCACCCGGACCCGAAGAAAGTTGGCGTACCAAACTTGAACGAAGGCTCGGTTGCGGTGGGTACTTCAATCAGAGACTCGGACGCTGAAGCGTTGCTCGACACCGTTGATTCGACAGATGCAACAACGAAGGACAACGTGGCGAACAGCACGAAGACGCTCATTAATACTGGATTGGGGCCTTTTGAAGTCAAGTTGGGAGCACAATGCCAATTGCAGAATAAGCTTTATACTGAGCTTCCTTGCTCTGCGTCATTCATTGCCAATGACAGCATATCTTGCCACCGGTCTGGTTGACCATCGCTGTAGGGAATCCAGTGCGGAACATCGGGTGTTCTGGTGTTATCAGATCCACTTGGATTTTGCAATTCAAACGAGCTGGTACAGGGGAGCGAGCAGCGAGTTGTTGGACGATGGAGAGATACCTTTGTCTTCAGGACTTCGACATCTGAGGCCGTTGGCCATTGCTTTCCGTCGCAATAAAGAAATCGTCGGGGGTCGCACTTTCGAAACTGAGCCGCTCGTTCGTGACCGGGTGCGTGAAGGAGAGCTTAGCGGCGTGCAAGCAAAGACGCGATGCACGGTGGTAAACTAACTCCGGAGAGTACAGCGAGTCACCCAGGATAGGATGTCCGAGGTGCTGCATGTGCAGACGAAGCTGGTGGGTCTTGCCCGTCACCGGCTTGAGCTCCACCATCGTGAAGTTTCGATCGTCTACTGATTCAGTGCTTTCAGCACTATGAGATCGCACTGAGTACTCGGTGACAGACCAAAGCGAGCTGTTCGCAATCTCACGGTCTGGAACAACGCGCTGAATCAATGGCTCAGTCGGGTGCTTTTCCATGGGAACTCGAATGCGTCTTACCGGCTCAGATTGCTCCTTCACCAACCCGTGCACACGCGCCATGTACGTCTTCTCTACCGTGCGATCTCGGAACTGTTTGTTCAAACTTTGAGCTGCCGACTTGGTCAATGCGACGACCAACAGCCCCGATGTCTCCTGATCCAGGCGATGCACCATCCGCGCGTCTGGAAACACACTCGCAACGCAGCGGTGCACGGACACGGGCGCATCGGTGTCCGTGCCGTCCACGCTCAGCATGTTGGCAGGCTTCTCCACCACCAGCACCGCGTCGTCTCGAAACAGGATCTTAAGCGGCACTTGAGCTGTCAGGGCCGTGTCCACTGCGTCGACGCTGCTGCACTCGGCGAACTCTCGAATCTGAACCAGGATCCGATCACGCAGCACCCCCGCAGCGACATCCTCTTCTTCAGGCAGCCCCACGCGTACTATATGGCGATACGGTCGCCGACTCAGCTCCGACCAAAGAGCATCGATGCACAGCTCCGCCAGCTTCTGAGCATTGTCGACGGTCGAAATCTTGGAATTCTCAGACTCCGAATCGGCGTGCACGGTAACGACCCCCGCCGCCCTACAGCTGAAGAACAGTCGGACAGCCAGGTCCGAGCTGTAAACGCTGCCAGGGGGGTGCAGTTTGGGCATCCGCTTGAGGCGGTCGAGCCCCAACGTGCGGATGCGGTCGGACAGGTGCGCCTCCGAGCTTTCGGGCACATCGGCGGGCAACTTAAGCGCCCTTAGAGTTGCTGCAACTAGGCGGTGGATCTCTGTGTGCGCTTCGGACGGCATGGTGTCGCTGGCGACGGCGTCGCGCTTCCGCTTGGTGCCCATGGTCTCGCCTGCTGTTCAAGTCGAATATTGAGCCCTTCCTGACCAATGGAATTGGATTGTGAGCCCGAGAGCAGAGACAGTTAGCGAGAAGTCTTGCTCGCCAACTGTATGATGATGCTGTGCGTTTGATTACGGCGACGCGGAAAGGGGTCAAGGCCCTATTTGCAATCTTCTTTGAAAATCGAGCGCCACACCAACTGCGAACGGGTTCTGCAAGGCGTCACAACTGTATGTCACTGTGATGTAAGGCTCGGACGAGCCGTGAGGCATGTGGGTCACTGACATAGTGTGGATGCGATGGAAAGCGTCAACGCTATCATGATACAGCCACTAACTCGTAATTTATTATTCACAACTGTCCTGCTTGCTATCTCACCGGCACTCCTACTACATCGACATCTGGGACATCATCGTCAAGTCCGAGCTCGACGACGAGTGACCCGTGACCGAGCGGATGAGGCTACTCTTGCGGCCGTTCTCCATGATCTGGTACGACGCGATCTCCGCGGCGCTGGAAATCGATGCGTCCGCTAGACACGCTGTGCAGAAGTTGATCTTGCGTTCTGAGAGCGTCAAGTCCGCAGTCACCAGACTGATTTTCTTCTTGATCTTACAGCCGCTGCACAGCACGCGAAAACAGCACTTGCAGGTGCTGGCGCTCTTGCCCAGTGTCCAGCCAGTGGACGGCTTGCTGCACGTGACACAGGCGGAGCCCGGGTTCGGAGCACCATGCAACCTTGCCTCAGCATGAGCCTTCTCCATCTTCCACGTCAATTTGCGCATCTGGCCGCAGTGCACGTAGCGCAGCGGAGATAGGAACGCCTCCGTCATGACCGGCACCGCGAGCATGCGGATCATGTCACCGGCGGGGTCCATCAAGCCCGTCTTGCACACATCGATGACATTCGGTCCGACTTGGCGGAAGAAGCCGCAGATAGACAAATCTCCACGCACGCGGTCTGACAGCTTGGGGATCTGCGGGAAGTCGATCGAGTGCAGGAAGTGGTAACCCGCGCGGTCACCGTTGGGCATGTGCACGAAGCCCGTGCATTCCAGGTAGACGTAGTCGCGGTTCTGAACGACGCCTGTCCTGCGGAGAGGGATATCCATCTCCATCCACTTGACGACGACAGAGTTGAAGGGCTCGTCAACAGTCGGTTCCACGATTGTCGAAAGCACAGCGGCGCCGTCAAAGTCGTGAACGTACGATGCCTTGATGCGCATTTCTTCCAGTGTCGGATTCACCACACCGTACATCATGTCGTCGAGCTTGCCCTCGACCCGACCCACAGACAGAATGGCCGGCAGCTTGGACGACGAGTGCATGGTGTTGCTCATGGCGTCGGCGCCCGTGTACTCGGGGCGCTCGGTGTGCACGAGCATGTGCTCGCGCTCCTTGGCGAGCTTCCAGCGGCGGTGGTCGACCTTGCGGCCGGTCTTGAAGAAGACGTCGTCGCGCTCGAAGTTGGCCTCGATGATGGTTCGCCCCAGCTCCAGGAGCTGGTTCTTCTCGGCGTCCGAGAGCTCGAGCGGCGGGAACGGGTTAATGGTGAAGCGCTCTTTGCCCATGTTGTATTGTGGTCTACAGTATAATACCAGCCTCTCGTGTTGCTTCCGAGCCAAAACGCGCGGCTTGTGTGGCTGCGCTGCGACCTGCTGGCACGGGGCGAAGAAGGAAAGTGAGCGCGCGGGTCGCCGACCGATGCCGCCGACTGCAACGCAATGCTACAGAGACCGAGGCGCCGTGCAGAGCGTCCGCAGAAGTGCAGCGTGGCCAGGACCATGCGCACGATTTGCGCCGGGGCGAGCAAGAGACGCCGCTGCATGACAAGTGCCCCGTCCGAACGGGTGGCGACCGAGCTCAGCCAGCCTGCAACGCGAGTCTTTACGGCTAGCCGAGCAAGCGTCTCCGATATGCTTGCCCGCAGGCTGCAGCTTTGTTGTCTCTACAGTGTAGAGTCTGCAGTGCATGGATCGAATGTGGACAGCAGAGACCGGGGGTGTCGACGGTTTCGAGGTCTCGACAATGCCTCGACACCTGGGATTCGAACTTTAATTCCGGGTCTATAGCATTCGGAATCCGATATCCTGTGGTATCGCTTTGGGATATTTGTCAATTCCCAAGTCATTAGGCAGCTAATAACCTGTAACAGTTGATCTATTTGATTTAAATGAAACGCAACGGGTGGCTTAATTCATGACCATAGCCGAAGCAGCTTTGGTTGAAGTGCGTTGGGATAGTCGATGGAGAGCCTCATGGCTGCACTCAGGGCAAAGACCGCGATCCTGCCCGACCCGGGCATGGCTACAACCGCTCTCAGGGAATATCCTCGATCTCCGAGCTCCGTAGTCGTGGTGAGCTAACTTTTGTGCGGTGCTGCCGAGTGCCCTGGCCGTCGAACATGTGTGCGAGTTACTGTACTTTTGATGTGAGCTTGCGCGTCGGGTGATTCCGCCACGACCGACGCTCGGTTTGACATCGCTCTGGGAAACAGGAAGTATGCGGACTCTGCTTAGCAAACGCCATCGGTCACGGCCACTGCCGCCTGAAGGTCACCGCATCACTGGAGGTCTCGCAGGCTTCCTTTTCTATCGGACGGCCGAAGCGGTTGGCCTCGACGTCGCGAGCGTGATGGTTTGCTGGCTGCGTGCGTGGTGCACTCAAGACCGGGCGCATCTATCCCCGTATCATATCGCGTACCGGTAGTCGACACTGTCGACTCGACAGGAGCTGGTCAGCGACACCGGTGCAGAAAACCCCTGGAGGACCACAACAAGAGAGAGAGCAAGCAAACAACCGGCGCGTCCTGTTCCCATAACTTCAGACTTGCCTTGTTGCGCGTTGCATTGTGTCGCCGAGCTCAACCATTCGACTGCTCCCACTACAAGGTATCCGCTGAGTTATACGAGACTTACGATTGCAAGGGCCTTGACTTAACCGGTAAGGTCTTGCAGTCGTTGCCCTCTGGAGAAGTCTCACGGCGTGCACCGACTCACAGTACACAGAGTGCAGTGTCGTCAGTTTTGCTCCTGGTCCGCCTTCGCTTTTTCTGCCGCCTTGGCTGCTTTGGCACGGCCGATCGCGCCTTCGATCAGTTCAAGATACTCGTCGGACAGCGCGGACACGCGCGCGAGCGTCCTGGCGCGCCGCAGCACAGTGCCAGCCTCGCGCCACCGCTCGTTCGCCATGAGCAGCTGCGAGTAGTTGAACAGCACGGCCGGGATCTCCCGGTCCAGCGCCGCGAGGTCTGCGGCCTCAGCCTTGTTGGACGCCTTCGACAGCTCTCGCCGGCCGCGGTTCTGGTCGTAAGCATTGATGGCCTGCTTGAAATACCTCTCCGCTGTCTGGACGTGGCCCCTGCAAGCCCCACGAACGAAGACGCTGTTATTACTTCGATGCTTGGCAATTCGGACGCTGCCCGTAATGCAGAGCGTACCTGTCCTCGTAGGACTGTGCAATGCGGTCGAGCGTGACCACGCGGTTGCGCTCCCTCCGGGCGGGCTTCAGCTCGCGCGCGTTGTGCTCCAGCGCGTCGAGGTAGTAGTTGGTGGCGGGCGTCCCCTTGCCCAGTGTCTCGTACTGCGCGGCGATGGAAAACGCGAGCTCGAACAAGTGGCGGTCTACGGGCAGCAAACCAACCACCACGCGTTAAGTACTGAGCAGGTTGACAACTCCTGGACGGATGGACGCACCGTGCGGGTTGGTGCTCTTGATGACGTCGTAGGCGTGCAGACAATGCTTGAGCGCCTGCTTCGGATCGCCCTGCATGTTGCAACGCATCAACCAAACCATGAGTGACAATTGCATCCTCGAATTACTGCGCTGACGGTAGCTGATTACCTCCTGCGCGCTCTGCTCCGCTTGCTTAACCAGCCGCTCGACTTGCTTCACCGGTGCACCCTCGCGGTTCTTCATGCCCAAATAAACACGGAATTGTGTCAGTCTGCAGTCGCTCTCCCTCCCCTCCAAGCTGTTCATCGTACCTGGTAGAAGTGGACGCCTGTGGCTCCGGCCGCCACTATGAACGCCAGCAGCACGGCCTCCTTCTTGAGCCAGCGCCTGAAGTCCGCCTTAAGCACTTCGTCCGGGTTGCTCGCTGCATTGGCAAAGCCTCGAGAGGCGAAAACGCCACTAGAAGACCCGGGAACTCGCAGGACAGCAGAGCTGGAGGTGCCGATGCGGCGCAGCAACGGTCGCGACAAACGTGAGGCCATGGTGGCGCCGATGGGAAGATGGAGGTTTTGGCCAATAGGGACTCGATGCGTGCGCAGGGGGAAGCTACTCGGGCAGGGTGCTACGGATACCTGTGTGTGCTATACAGTGCGCACTAACTGCTTTGGCGCCATGTTGGAGTTATCGACGTAGTTATTGAGCTTGTTGGTGCTGAGCGGGACCTCGGAGCTTCGTGTACCACCTGGGGGCGCTCGAGATACTCGACGACGCGCTTGAAGCTTCGGACGCCGATCGCCCAGCGTCCAAGTCGTCCTTCTGTCCTAGTGGAGTCGGTGGCTGAGTCATCTTGGACACGATCGATGGCGGTGGAGATACTTTGGCAAACGACGAGATCGTCGGAGCAGACGCAATGGGGTCAACAGAGGAGGCCTCTGCATCGTCCTTCGTTGTTCGGGCTTTCGTGAACTCGTTCGCTTGAGCCATTGGGGCCTGGTAGCTCCTTGGTGGGGGCTGCTGCTTCTGGAGGCTCGTGGCGTGGATTCGGTCTCGCAGCAGCTTCACGGTGGCTTTCAGTGCGTCGAGGTCCCCGCGTCGCGACAAAAGTTGCTGGAGTTGGCTCTGCAGCGACGAGTTGGCTTCCTGGAGTTGTCGGTACTCAGCCCTCAGCTGCTGCAGTTGGGCTTGGGAGTCCTGGTGCCTCCGCGTTGCACCCTGCAGCTCCTGTTCTCGCCGTGTGAGCTTGTCGATCTGTGGGTAACAACGCAATGGGGGCATCGTGAGAGTGAACATATCGAACGGAACACAGTGCTAAGACTCCGAGTTCAAGCTCACCAAATATGACTGTGGCTGGTGGAAGGTTGCGAGCTTGGTCTTGAGTTCGACGACGTCTTGCTGTAACTTTCCGCGCTCGTTGGACACCTCGGTGAGCGTCTGCTCGAGCGCGATCGCCTCTCGCTGCGACTTTACAACTCGCTGGGCGAGCAGCACACTCTGCTGAAACTGAATGGGCACAGGACCAGAGGTAACGTGTAAGTTATTGACAGTCGTGCTAAACCGGCCGCATCAGCTCGTGCCTTACCCGTCTCTTGGTTGTTGTGGGGATCGCTCCAAACGTGGTCATCACTTCTTGCAGCTTCGAGTCGGCTGCTGCTCCACCGTCTGCAGGGTCTGCCCCACCGGCAGCGATCTCCCCCGTTTGTACAACAGCCCCGTCCAAGTCAACTTCGAGCAACTCGTACTCCTTCAGCTTGTTCCTCTGTATCAGCGCAGCTCCATGGTAAGCGAACGGGTTATGTGATGCTGTCTGTCTGGTAGACATTACAAACTTTACCTCTACTTCCAAGGCAGCTTCTAGCTGGGTGATGCATGTCGTCGACGTCGTTTCTAACCTCGCGAATTCCTCCTTGTGGGCCTCAACCTGTAGACGAGTGAGTTAGGTCTAACGCACCGACTTGGACAAAGCAACCATTCAGGCTCTTACCTTCTGAGTGAGCATGTCGAGTTCCAGCTTCGCATTTCGAGCGCTCGTGGCCTTCTCCTCCAGCGTCAGCTTGAGTTGGCTTATCTACAGTTAACAAACAAACGTCCTAAGCGCTAGGACAAACGCATCGAAAGCGAAGCATCCAACGTGGTTTACCTCGAAATGCCTCATCTTAAGCTCGTTGCGCGCAGTAGCAAGGGCTGTTGTATGTGCACTCTCCATCCTAGTCGATTCGAGGACCTGACCACCGCACGATAGTGAAGTTAGCACTAACTTACCAAACAGTTCTAAGATGCCTAAAACGCACTTACCTTATCGTCAAGCGCAGACTGAACGCTGTCCAGTCTTGCTTGTAGCACTTCCACGTGTTTCAGGGCATCGTCACGCGCTTCTTTCAGCAAACGATTCTCTCGCTCATACACGACTTGCCCGTCGTTGCGGATCCGCTCGATCTCGCGCATGGACAGCTCCATGAACTTTGTCATTTCGTCGTCGAGCTTCTTCTCGAAGTGCAGTCGCGTCTCGTTCTGTAGCTGCACATTCTGGCTGAGGTTGCCGTCGTGCTTTACCTGCAGCGAGCTCAATTTTGCCTGCATCTCGTGTTGTGACGTCTGGAACTTTGCGACTTGCTCCTCGAGCTGCGTCTTGGCATTCTGTAGAAACGCCTTGTCCGCTGTCAGCAGTCCAATCTTCTGATGAAGATCACTGCTGCTGGCCGAGATCTCTTCAAACCGGGACTTGAGGTCGTCGCGTTCGCGTTGCAGAACCTGCAAGTCTCGCTTTAGTCGCTCCGATTCCCTCTGCAACCCTCGTTGGTCACTGAAAATTTCCTCATTGCGTCGCTGCTCCTCCTTCATCGCATCAACTTGGCTGACAAGAGTCTTGATTTGGTTCTCGAGCTCCTGTCGGGTTGCTTCGGATAGTTCGAGCTCGTGCTGTAGTCGTCTCTCTTTAGCCTCGGCGATCCGCTGCACCTGCGCGACTTCGTTCGCTGCACCGGCGGCTGCAGCTTTGTCCGCGCTGCTGCTTCTTCGCAGGTTTTCCATCTCCTGTCGATACTGCTCCAGTTCGGTCTCCAGCCTTCGCACTTTCGAGTGGATGGACAACTGGAGATACTCGCGAATGGACAGATCTTCCTCATTTTGTCGAGATAGCTATTAGTACACCATACACAGCAGTTAGCTCGAGGACAGCGACACTAGCCACGAAACGTGATGCTGGCAAACCTGCTCCGCCAAGGCGTCGGATATCTGGAGCGTGGCAAAGTGTGTTTTCTCCATCTTAAGCCGCGCTTGTGCGTCCTGCAAATCTGCTCGAACTTGCGCGAGCTCCTTGTCAAACCGACTCCGCTCATCAGCAAGTTTGTTCTACACCATTCATGATCAATTTCTCTCTCGCTCACACCAGTGTGCCAAAAGTCTCGAGCTGTCACCGTGAAGCAATGATCTGAGCTAGCTCTTAAGCCTACCTGCAATTCAGCAGTCTTCTCCTGCCAGCTCGTGCGTTCCTCTTGCAGCGTCTTCTCCAACTCCCTTTGCGCCTGCACACTCAATGCCAGCTGCGCTCGAATCTTGCCGACCTGAATCTCGTAGAACTTCTTCATCACCGCCTCGCTGCCATCAGATGTGGACGACGCAGTGCTCGTCCCCCTGGCAGACGTTCCCTGTGGCATTTGATGCAACCTGTTCGCCCTCCCTGTCGGCAATCGGCCTGGCGACATCCTAGTCAAGTGATCGTCGAATTGCGAGATGCTCTGCCCCGTCGGGATCTGGTCATAGTGGCCGAACGAGTGAGGTAGCGACAGGTCGCTGGACAAACCCTCGCTGGCTGAATCCGACGGTAGCGTGAGGGAGAGCTCTCCTGCATCCTCTTCTTCATCCTCCTCCTCTTCTTCGTTTTCTTCACCATCGTGCGACCTCTGTAGCTCGATCTCCTCTTGCACCTGGTGCTCGTCGTCTGCAGCCTCATGTTGCGCTGGCGGTTGACGCTCTGGGGTCGGCCCGCCGCCGTTATTGTTGACACCAGCACCCTCTGCTGCATCTTCAGTCCCCAACACGTGCCTCGAGACGCCCAACTGAGCCGCGAGGCGTCGGAATCGCCGGTCTTCGTCAGCAGCTGAAGCTGCTCGACGTGCCATGCTGGACTATTGCATTGCGTCCCTTCAAGATCGGGTTATGCTGGATGATGGGTTTCTGGTGGACGGCACGCCAAATATGACGAGATGTCTAGATGGAAATAGATGCGACGAAAGGACGTGATGGACTTGTGTCAATGCACTTGCCCTATTGTGGCGAGTGTATTTCCGACTCAAATCAACCGACAGCGCAGAGCGCACGCAGCTTCATCCACCCCAGCGAAAGCCAAGTGCTCCCTCCACCCTCCAGCTCGCCAGGATGAACCGCTACAACACGCCGCGGGTACGCTGCTGTCCTCGATCCATCCTAGCAATAGCCTTGTCTGACTAGTTTTCGTGTTCAGGCAGCTGGAACGGAGCCGGAGCCCCAGCGAGACACGACGGCGCACTGCCTGACGTTCCAGCAGCGCCCAGGCACACCCGAGGAGGTTCGGCGCTTCCGCAAGTCGTACTTCTCCGAGCCAGGCTCCCGCATCGCGCACCCGGGACTGATCAATGACCTCAAGAAGATTGACCCCATGACCAAGTACGGCGTGGTCACCACTGGCAGCGAGCACGTGCCGGAGATGCTCGTGAGTGGTCCTACGACAGAGTACCAGCGGATCAACCTCGCCAAGCTGGAGGCCAACTACGCCAGTCACAAGCGAGAGCCTCTGGGTAAAACTTTCTCGCGAGGCCACAAACTCCCGGCACACATGCAGAGACCCGAGTTCGCGTTCGGCATGAGCGGGACCTTTTGCGAGTCGGCCAAGGAGCTGCTGTATCCGTCGACGTCAGCTCGTCTGCTAAACAGTCGGGAGGACGAAGCGCTCTACAGGCGATCGCACGGATCTGTCGCCCCCGGAGAGCAAAAGAACCGCAACTATCGGTGGGAATCAGCAAACATCAACCCGGCGAAGCATCGATTTGGCGTGAAACCTGCTGGAAGTACCGGTCGTGAAGGAGGCGAGGTGGCTGTCATCTTAAACCCGGAGATGAACGAGAGCGTCATCCCACCTGCCGTCGCACCTCAGCACCTTGAAGATCGGAGAACGCTCTACGATCACCTCGGCAAGCCTCGACACTTAGGTGCAGCCGATACTGACAACGTGCCCAGCAATCACGTCTTCGGTATTACGACGCAGGATAGCGACTCCGCTTGGCAGTGCATCCAAGGCGAGTACTCGCCTGAAGAGCAGCAACCTGATCCGGACCTTGGCCGTGCAGTAAATCACGGGTGGCGGAACGCTACTGCAGACGCTCGACTGTTTGGCGTGCCGACCATCCGCAGCGATATTCCAGCACCAGCACGAAGGTCGATCGCAGACGGACAGAACTATGGAGACGATGTCAACGCGCAGGCACTGCTGTATCCGGAGGAGTTTGCTTCAAGTGGAGTAACAAACGCCGAGTTCGCAGAGCCCAGAGACCAAAAGTACCTGAAGGGGTTGTTCCAGCAGATCGGCCACGGCGTGTCCGACGAAGACTTCGAGCTGATCTGGAAGCAGGCAACGCAGAGCGTGAGGTACACACCAGTAGGACAAGCTAGTATCGCCGACTACCGCGACGCACTCAACGACTTCCTTGGAGCTCAGGAAAGAGGTCCTGCAGCGCTGCAGCAGTGGCAGAGTCGCGTACAGGCCCTGTAGAGGAGAGCACACCCGTAGTCCCGATCCTATCAAAAAATACTCGCATCCATTATTCGTTTCAACTTCACCACCAGCCTTTGGCTCCCCTTTATTAACTTGTTCGCAAGTCCATCGGGGGTGGCGCCGCGGCAGGGCCGAGGTCTCCGCAGATAGTATTCACACAGGCCCAGTTGCCTTCAAAGTCGCTCTTCCACATGCGCACTGTACCATCGTCACCCGAGGACGCCAGCATCGTGCCAGTGACGTTCCACTCGACGCGCCAGACCTCCGAGTCGTGGTGGTGCTTGCGCGCCACCTCCTCCACATCAGCCTGCAAGTGATCGTCTTCCTGGATCGTGAGTCTCCAAATGCGCACCGTGCGGTCCTTACTCGCCGTGGCCAGCAGATGCGACGAGCGCCCCATGTTGGGCGCCCAACACACGTCGTGGATCGCGTCCGTGTGGCCCACGAGCTCCGCCACGACCTGCCACCGGCGGTACGAGTTGTTGTAGCCCCAGACCTTGGCCACGTCGCTGTTGCCGCCCACGACGATCATTGGCACGTCGAAGCGCGACTTGTTCCACGACACACACGTGGCGCCGTCCTTGTCGGCCAGGAACTCCTCCTGCAGCGGCCAGTGCGACAGGTTCATCACGTCGATGGCCTCGTACATGCGCACGAATCCGTCCTCCGACGCCGTGGCCTGGCAACATCAAGCATCGAAACACCCACAAGTCAGTCACTCTAGGCTCTGCTGACCCCCACAAATCAATGGCCCGGACGTACGAGACGCAGGCCCAAGTGTCTGGGGGCGAACTTGACGTCGTGCACCGAGTCGCGGGCGTCCACGAGCTGCGCCTGGTTGCGCCAGCCCTCTTTAGTGCCCGGCCCGGTGGCTGCTGCCGCCCCATTGGCCGCCGCGCTGCTGGCCGCGTCCGCGGAGGCGCTGCTGCTGCTGCTGCTGCCGTTGAGGTACATGCCCTGGTCCTCCCAGACGGAGACCGTGCGGTCGAAGGAGCACGAGGCCAGGATCTGGCCGAACTCCGGGTGCGCCCACTCGACCTTCCAGACGCTGGCCTGGTGCGCGTTCCACTCGTACTCGAGGCGCCACTCCTGGCCGTGCTCCTCCCAGATCTTGATCTTGCGGTCCGAGCTGCACGTGGCCAACCGCTTGCCGTAGAAGTCGAAGCTCATGTCGTGGATGAAGTCCGAGTGCTGCGACGGGAACCGCCGGAAGATTTTCTACCGGCGGCGGACGGCGGGAAAAATGAGCACAGACAGAGAGGAGCAATGAGTGGGCTGGCTGAGCATATAGCGAGAGGGGGCAGTGCTCACCATGGCGTTCATCGTGGCGGCGGAGCTGCTCGAAGTGATGTGATGTGTGCTCTGTGTGCACTTAAATTTTGGGTAGGACCAAAATTTGATCTCGGACTTCAGCTTTCGTCTCCGGGGGAAGTCAACCGCAACAAGTTCAAACTCAAAGCAAACTCGATCGCCCCAAAGGAAGCTGGAGTGGAAGAGAAGCAAGTCAAAGGCCATCAACAGGACTCGACACAGGTCGATGACGAAGGGGGTCGCTTCCCACTCTCGATGGCATTCGAGGACGCGATCCTATCGGTCCGTCTGGACATGCAGGTTTTGGCGGGAGCAATCTTGAGGTTATTAGCATCGATATACTTTTGTGTATTCGTTGGCCTCCTGTTAGCTGGTGGAACGCCAACTCACAAAATGTTCAACCAAGCAAATGCTGTGACGAAGCTTTGGCACCTGAGAAGGGAAGTTATGCCCAATGCGGAGCTAACATCCAGTTTCGGGATATCGGTACCGTTGACGATATCTACGCGTGGCTGACAGATACGCTGATTCCGACTGTATTCGTCACGACCGATCAGAGCGGAGGTCTTTTCCCGGAAGGTCAACGCGGTCGAATTGGCCTCTTCAACCAAGTGCTGGGCGGTGTGCTTCTCAAAATGAAACCCCGATCCTTTACCGATTGTCCCGAATCCAAGTCGTACGTGGATGTCTACCCGAATTGCACGGATTTTGACGGGGGTGCACAAGTTTCGAGCACTTACCTTCCCATTGGCTTGACTAGCTCGGAAGCCTCTGAAGTAATCCTAAGAATCGATCAGAGTGTCGCTGTCCGTCCGAGAGTAGATCACGCTTATTCGCTAAGTACGATTCCCACTAAGTTCGATTTGCAGCTCCCAGTGATGGCGCAAACAACCTGAGCGTACCATCTAGCGGGACCGCAGGGCCTGCCCAATACTATTAACTAATAACACTGCGAGTAGTTCAGCGAGCCGATGAGGCGAGCGGAACGGGGGCGATAAGATCACCCCCGTTCGGATCACCGCGTTAAACCATAGCGATAGGTAGCTGGGCCTGCCCTACTACTTAGTATAATGGTAAGGTAGCTAGGTTGGTTCATATAAACACATTGTAAGCCATAGCAGCGCATAGTTAGTTGTAGCAGCACGCAGTCAGCGGCATGCACGTATAGTTAGCCATAGCAGCACGTAGTCAGCGATAAGAGCGCATAGTTAAGCGCTAGCAGCACGTAGTGAGCGGCATGCACGTATAGTTAGCGATAGCAGCACGCAGAAAGTGATAGGAGCACGTAGTAAGTGATAGCAGCAACGTTGTAAGTGGTAGCAGTGCGAGTACATGTAGCGCAAGGTGAGCTGAAGGTGGTTGAGTATTAACAAGGAACCGAGCTTATTTCACTATAGTAAAACTACAGGGGCAAATTAATTACAACTACCGCGTACTTGGTTCTCAACGTGATAAACATCCTTCGAAGTATCTGCTATTGCTAAAAGGGGTTCATGTGTGTGTGAATAAGGTGTATTTAGGTTACTTACACTACGCTGGTATTTATTCTTCCTACCGCGCCATGCTGAACCTGAACTCCCTTCCGTTCTCTGTATAGCATTGGAGATCGGGATACAGGCTAAAGGCTAAAAGTGGTTCATGCATCGATAGCTTATGTTATGTGTTGGTATGTAGTATAATGAGATCTGAATAGTAGACGCTGACATTCAATGAGCTGGAGTTCTATGATAGATAACCTTGGACGCGCTCTACCTGTATGCTAAACGCTGGAAACGGAACTTGCATAGTGCAACGTGTACTTCATAGATACGAAATGCAAAGTTGTTACTTTCAATGTCTTAGCGGCTGTGGTGCAGGTGGTGCGCTAATGTGCTTATGTACTCCGCTTAGACTAATACTTAAATAAAAATAAGTTTTGATGATTTTGCACATTATCGCAGCCAGAAGTTGAATACATTTATGGATCATATAAATGCCGAAACGATCCCGATATGTATATGTACACGATGTTTTAATAAGAAAAGGAGAGGCATTGCGAAGCGTGAATTGTTATTTAGGCTTATAGCCTTGATACAGAATGTAAAGGCTATACTCTTGGACCAACTAACAGAAACCATGGCAGAGTGATACACTTGGTAAAAGAACACCTATACAGACTTATGAGAGCACACTAAACACGAGCTGTTCTAATGGAGATACTTTGTAGTTTGGGTTGAATACCTGCGACGATGTTGGACATGGTTTACAACACAGTACCGTGCGATAGAAAATATATTATCTTGCAAGTGCATCTACTTATAGTAACACTGACGTGATGAAGCTGATACCAGCCACTTTTAACCATACTAAGAGTACTCCCAACATACAAACACCTTCTTACGTGCATACAATCCAAATTGATGACATTTGACTGGAAAACAGCCCACCAGAGCGAAGTGGAGGTGGGCGGCCCTCACTACTACGACTAACCTAAACTTACCGCCGCGTAGCGGCGGCGCTCAGCTAGTTGCAGATCTCACGACAAGCGGCACCTGGGTGAATTTTGACACACTGCAGTTGGGGGTTAAAGTTGTCACCTATAACGCCGAGGGTGATACGGGAAGTGGTGGTTTCACTGTAACCAAACTCGACGTGAGCTTTGCGGAGTCAGGCCCCGAAGCCCTTGAGCTTAAGGCGTCTATTACTTCAGTCCCAGACTTTCGAGGTACCCGCCGATGGGTTTTGCTATGTACCATGGGAACACTCGGTCTGGTGTTTGTTAGGGCTTGTGGATATTGGAGAGAATAGTAGGAACGGCATCCCCTGCAGAGCACGGTGAGAGCTTTTGCGATTATTTTCTTGATAGCTTCCCGTTTATCATCAAGTTTGGGGCGATTCCTGGATTTATCATACCATGGGTAAAGGTTACGACCACAGATTTCAGCTCTACCGTCGAAGCACTGGCAGATAGTACGGTGCAAAGTATACAAGAACGCATCGATGCTCTCGAGGCTGCAATTGCGGAGTTTGATGCAAGCGCTCGTTGGATGGAGGCACTTAGCATTCTTGGCGCGCTTGCCGTTGGGCAACTCGGGTTATACGTGATCCGCCAGTTGCGCTTTCACCCTCAACTGAACGTGTTTGCTCGTACAATCGGTAGCGCTCTCCATCAATTCGTCAGCTTTTTCGTCGTCTTCATGATTATTTTCCTAACATTTTCGTTCGCGGGAAATGTTCTTTTCGACCATCGAGTGCGGCAGTTTTCCACTGGATTGTACGCAATGCAGACCTACATCAACATGCTCTTCGGCGAGTTTGATTACAGATGCATCAGTGATATCCGTGGCTCGGGCTTCTTTTATTGGGGGTACATGCTGGTTCTAACCATCGTTCTCCTTAACATGATGCTGGCGATCGTGACGAGTACATACGAGGCCATGAGTAACGACGGCGTTAAAGGAGAAATCAGCGTCCTACTCACAACTCGGATCTCATGGATACCTCGTAACATGGTAACACCTCTCGGTCCAAAGCACCCGTCTCTAACGAGGCCAAGTGAAGACGACAAAAAGGGTTGTGCCGATTTCGACAGATACGAAATCGACCTACGCAAGCTTGAACACAATGATGTTGTGCTATACGGGAAAATCCGTCCGTTGCTCCTTTCGAGGATCGTTCCAGATAAATGGAAGTTATTGTGCGAGACGGCAAAGACGAAAAGTGGGGATCCCTCAGCTGTGTGCACAGTTCCACTGACGCCGGCGATACTGAGAGAGATGCTTCCGGCGGCTGAGATCAGTGATGCGGAGATGCGAGCAACATTTAAATTTCTCCACGAAGGACTCATTCTTTACAAAGCAGTCACAAGGCGCCACATACCGAAGCGAAGTTTGCAAGCAGAGACTAGCAGTGGAGAACGTGTCGACCCTCCTGCTCAGCAAGATGCCCCAAGCTCCAAGCCAGAACCCAACGCTGTGCCTACTGTGGAGACGCGGCAGGGTGAAAAGGTTGATGCTTCTACTGAGGCGCAGCAGGCAAAGGCCTACTCGAATGAGATTGCAGATGCCCACGTTAACTCGTCCGCAATGTGCAAACTCCAAGAAGAAACCGCTGCGCTGAGATTTCAAGTGGCGGGGCTCGAGCATAAGCTCGACATGTTGCTGGAAGCAGTACTGTCCCAGACAGCGACTGGGTAGCATGCTAGCCCTCGATGACTCGTCTGCATACTTCATTAGCAATACCTTTTCTGCATCTAGCACTTCAGGGATACAAAACTCAATAGTACCCATACTTCTTACATTCAATTGGGTTACTATCCGAGCGCCAGCACACTTGATAAATATCCGTGCCGAAGTCGGTGTAGTATCGCCAACGACTTTCTGCTCGCCACTTCAGTGATTATGTTTTCTCTCCAGAACGCAAAGGTGGGGACGATAATTCAGCCTGCACATGACCCAATTGTATGAACCACGAAGTGGAGGCAAAGATGTAAAATTACGTGAGATCGATTTAAGTGACAAAGACACCCGCTATGTAGATAAACCAAGCCATTGTTTTATAGCAATGCTCAACGCTGCTATTTTTTTCACCGCCTCCTTGGACACAGAGGAACTACCGCTCAATATGATTTTTTGAAAGAGCTGCACGAACCGATGTGGCATGGGTGCTTGCGGAAGAAGCAACGGTAGCAAACAGTTTACACCGGAAGACGACTTATGTATCATCACCGAGGTAACTGGGCTTCGAGCTGCAGTCCGCAGTAACTGACATATCGTCAACTTGCTCGCTTATCGTATGCATGGCATATCGGATAATTCTTTTTATTAAAAAAAATCTGCTTCTAAACGTCCACTTACTGCTAGTTTTCCAACCTCATGCAAGATAGCGTCGTGGCCACAGGATTGTGTAGCAACTGACTCCAAGAAGATGCGAGACCCCAGTTACTTCGCTCTCAATCTTTTGTCAATGCACAATCCCAGTATGATGTTATTCGTGGCAATCGAATTGTTTAGTCGCCCATGCAGAGAACCGTGCATGGGACTGAGACCAGCTAGGAGAATTGACAGGTGCAGTCCCAGACAGGAGACAGCTATAGTTAGTTTACCACGGTCTCATGATAGCCATACAAAGATAAACGATGTCGTCCGTCCGTTTTGAAATGGAAATGCGATAGGGCACCGCTAGGTGAGAGATCGATGGGTCTGTGGACGGATGCAGATCATTTATCAACTTTAGTTGAAAGTGTTCAAGCGTCCTACAAGCAGTACAGCACCAACCGACCTCCTTCTTCTGGTAGTAAGCTCGACGGCGTACCGGTGATAATGGAGGAACCACCAGCCGCGGAAACATGCAGCGTGGTGATTGCAGACGACGCGAGTGACCAACAGACTGATATCAATACTACCAATACCAACGCTGCCACTGTCATTGTCGAGGCGGCCGTCGGCAATCTTAATGCAGAGCTGCAGAAGGCAACGAGACGCCGGCGTTGGCTTGCCATCATGGACCAAAAGCCCAAGCGTGACTCGAACGGCGCGGTGAGTCTGAAGGACAAACCCGTCGAAGCGGACGACAGCAAGCTGGAGATGCTCGTGGAAGACGCCATCGCTGCGCTCGAGTTCGACTACTACGTGCTCGGGGTTGCGCTCTTTCGGTTGTTCACCACCGTCGGCTTCTGCGTCATCTTCGCCGTGCTACTTAACTCGGGAACTCCCAACGAGAAGATGTATATTCAATCGATGACAGTGGCCACGACTCTAGCGCCCGACAGTAGCATCATCTCCATACATGATACGACGGTCCAGTTCAACGAGATCAACAGCGTCGACGACGTCTACAACTGGCTCAGCGATACCTTCATCCCCACGGTGTTCGTGACGACCGACCACACCGGGGACGGGCTACCAGACTTCCACCGTGGACACTTGGATTTAGCCAACCGCGTGCTTGGAGGCGTTATCCTGGATATGACGCCGAGGGAGTTCAAGTCTTGCGACTCGGAATTCGTTCTACTGCAGCTGTACCCGATGTGCACGTACGTCGACAACTCCGGGAAGACGTCGACGTTTCTGGAGATAAACCTGGACGAGGAGGAGGCGAGAGGTGTAATTGACGCTTTGAGGGAGAACGGCACGTGGGTGAACTACCATTCCGAGCAACTTGCTATCACTGTTGTTACGTACAGCGGTGTTCACCGTCACGCGACTGAAGATAAATTTCCTCCGGACAGGACTCATCACTGTCGAGTCAAGTACAAGCGCCATACCCGACTACCGAGGTCGTACCTGGACAACGATTATCCCCGTAGTGATCGCCTACATTTTTTTTCGGGGCAGTTCTACGGTATTTGGAGAGCGCAAGACCTCCTCTGATTGCCGATTCCTCTAATGATGCTGAGACGGAGCAGGTCACACCCGATGATAGCGAGATGTCAAGCCGACGTATGAAGATGAACAAGACCCGCCAGGTTTTACGCCTTATCGGTGAATTCGTCCTCAAGTTTGGGGCGCTTCCTGCCTTTGCCACTCTCTGGACGGTGACGATTTCGTTGGATTTCGACAAAAAGCTGCTGAGACTTCCGGAGGTCTACGGCAAAACGCTCGACCAAAAGGAGAGCGACACGATCGCAGTCATCCAAGCCCTGGATCAGGTAGAAGCCTGGACGAACGCACTCAGCATCGTCGGAGCTATCGCAGTGCTGCAACTCGGACTCTACACCATCCGCCAGCTGAGTTTCCACCCGCAGCTCAACGTGTTCGCTCGCACGGTTGGCAATTCGCTGCGTCAATTCCGCGACTTCTTTCTCGTCTTCATCATCATCTTCATCACCTTCTCCTTCATGGGGAACCTCCTGTTCGGCGACCGCGTTAGCGAGTTCTCCACCGCCGCATTGTCGCGCGAGTCCTGCATGAACATGATCTTCGGGACATTCGAGTTCAGCACCATTTACAACATCCGCGGCTCCGGGTGGTTCTACTGGGGCTACATGATCATCGTGAGCCTTATTCTCCTCAACATGATGCTGGCCATAGTGATGGGGACCTACAAGGGCATGAGCAAGGACGGCTACCAGGGAGAGATCAACGTGATGCTCGCGTCCAGAATCTCCAAAATTCACCATTATCTGATTCAGTTTGTGCTGAAAAGGAAGAGGTTACCCCTCAAACACCCAGCTCGAACCAGACCGAGTGAAGACAACAAGCAGGCTGTGGACGACTTCGACGCGATGAAGATGGATATCTACAAACTCGAGCACAACGACGTGATCGCGTACGGCAAGTTCCGACCGCCACTGTTGCTGACCGTGCTCCAGACAAAGGTCCAGCAGAACTCGTCACTCACGCGCACTACCAAGCTCACTCCAGCGGTTCTGCGCCAGCTCTTCCCGAATGCCGAGATCACAGCGGAGGAGATGATCGAGACGTTCAAGTTCCTCAAAGAGGGGTTCGAGCTCAACGAAGCCGTGACGAAGCAAGGCCAGAAGAAAAAGGTCCTGTCGAAAGCGTCGCGGCTTGCAGAGCTCCAACAGAACCTCCACAGGCTGATGGAAGAGATGAATGCGACGCACAAAGAGATCCGAGCGCTAACCGCAGATAAAGTCCCAACCTAACTAGTGGCTTTTGGGTACCCGCTCCGCAATATACCTCTACTTCCCTACAGAAATGCAACTCGATGCCCGATAGTTTTAGGGGGAGCTCTGCGCGTGCTTGATCTGTTTTCGTCTTTCGTGTAGACCATTCACGTATTAGTCGCGGTTGCCGAGGAGTTTGTCAAGTTTCTCCTCGAGTCGTGCCATTCGTGCAGCCAAAGCCACCGTGGCGTCCGTTTCCTCCTCCTCTGCAGTGAAGCCTGATTTCAACTTGTTTATGAGTTTGTTGCTGACCTCCTGGCGCTTCTTGACGAACAAGCTTTCACCAGTTGTGATTCACAACTGGTGAAAATTCACAACTTGTGAATTCAACGACAGTGTAAATCGCTAACGGATGCGGGCTGCAAAGTGTACATGTAACTTACTACAAGATTTACTTATCAACCTGTGCTTTGAGAACTGCTACTCCGGCACGCGTCGTGGTGACTTCACGCGTATTGTCGCACTGTACTGAAGCCCTGCATCCGTGCTTTTAGTGTCGAGGCTCTGGTTCCGGGTCGAAGCTTACCGATCGAAGCGCGTTGGCCAGGTGTTTGGCCGCAAAGACACAGCCGTTCCAGATGCCCTTCTCCGCGGCAGGACTCACCGCCGTCGGGAACATCACCGGGTCGTGCACCATGTTCTGCAGGACGTCAAACTCCATGTTCGTCGCACCTTCCGCTTCAGCCTTGGCCTTGAACCTCATGCCCTGCTCGTAGAACCGCTCTAGCTCTCCCCACTGCAGAAAGATTGGTGGCAGGCCTCGTAGATTCTGGTTAATAGCCGACGCCTGCCGACGCTTCTCCGGGTCCGAAACGCTACTCAGGTACGTCGCGATGCATCGGTCGGCGAAATTGGTCACGAGAATGCAGTACGGAGCCTTGTCGTCTCGCTGAAATCCACCATGGGCGAGTAGCACAGCGCGGCTGCCGGCTGGAGCTCCGGGTTCTCCTTGCGTAGTCGTATACAGTTCGTCATGCATATTTTGCCGCCTGCACTGTCACCGCTGAGCACGACGTGGCCCGGCGCGATGTTCTCGTGCTTCAAGACGTACTTGTACATGTCGAAGCAGTCGTTCAAAGCTGTTGGGTACAGGAACTCCGGCGCCTTCCGGTTGTTGGCGAGCAATACATCGACTGACACTTCAAGATTGTGCTGGTCCTTGAGGATCCGCTTCAACACCGAGTGGGTCTGGTTGGCAAGCTCGACATCTTGCAGCGGATCCGAGATGCAGTAGCCCCCGCCATGATAGTGAATGACAACGATGCGCTGATCCTTCGTCTCGGTGTCACGTAGCCACATATGCTCCATGCCGTTAGCGACCAGCTTCTCGGGAACCGTCTTGTGTTGGCGGTAGTTCGAGTGGAGGATCAACCGCCCGTGCATCGCGAATGGCTCACGCATCAAGTGTGTGTTGTCGTCCACAATGGTGTGACCGTACTCCTCAAACATGTACCGCATCATGAAAGTTGTGAGCTCGTAGGCGAGAGTCCACTCCGGGAAGGTGGGCTTGAATCCTCTGGAGGCGTAGGCAGCAAACAGCGACGCGAGCTTGAGCTGCAACCTGATGGCGATGAATGGGACCAGCACGAGCGACGTCGTATGCAGCCTCGCAGCGTAGCAAAACCCAGCGAACATGGCGACGGAGGCTGCAACGACTAACGCGGCTAGGACCGGGAGGCCGAACTGCAGCACATTGAAATATGCCAACAAGGCCCCCACGAAGACCGCGTGCAGACCGAGCTCCACCAACGCACCGCTCATACTTAGCAAATAAGGAAGTGAGTCCTGAGCCACCAAGTCACAACGCAACCGGGCAGTGGTCGGGTCAGGCGCCGCTGCCGCCACTCCTCTGCACGAGGTCTCAGTTGAACTCAACGTGAAGTCCGTTGCATTCCCAGTTGCAGCTTTGCCGCAGAATGGAGGATGGACCTGCCGGGCATGAACCACAAGGACTTCCGAGCAGTAACTTTCAATGTTGGTGGGTGGATCGACTACAGTGTAGCAGTGTTGAACGGACCTAGGGCTCCGACTCGGGGCCAGCATTTACAGCGTCAGCACGAACCACTCCACTGGTTCTTTCTCGTTGTCACTAGGCTTAACGCGGGCCGGGTGTCCTTCGCGCGCTTGGTTCCGGTAAATTCTAGGTACAGATTGATCCACAAGTGTTTAATCCTCTCGACGAGGAGTTTGCTGAGAAGCCCCTTCTCCCCCTCCTTGTTCATGGCTCCGTACGCGTCCATGACGACCGCCAGCATCATGTTATCCGATTCGTCCGTGCTCATACTCGGGTAAGGGGGCTCCAGTGTGGTCGGAGGTAGTGAAGACGGTAGGGATGAGAGTGTCGGTGAGCCAGCCAACGAGCAGGATCTGGTCGAACACGAGTCCAAAGAACACGTCACGGGCCGGCATTCGAAACTCATCTAGGGTCTGGCCTGGCCGAACAGCGTCGTCGCTCTTGGTCTCGTCGACAGCCTTTGTCTTGTCTTTTTGTACGTCGGACGCGGAACTCTGCTGTTGCGGCACCGTTGACCTCACCGACATCCTCGGTTCGATCAACCATGACTTCGCACGGAGGGACCTCAAGACTCGCGCCTTCTGAAGCATGGAGCACCTGCATTACGGGGTCGCACCAGCCTCTGCTTGCTTGCCACTTCTTCTCTACTTGAGAAATGAAGCCACGGTAGCAAGAGGTTGCACAGACCACTAAATGCAACACGGCAACACGGCACAGGTTTCGTGTTAAAAGAAACTGATGGGGCGTTAATTTACTCAACTATGAGTGTGACTTGACAGAAGAAACCTACAAACCAGGTACACTCGTGTAGTTTGCAAGATAGTGTTCGATTTTTAGAGACACAGGCAAGCCGGGCTGCCACTTCGTCGTGATGCTCTATCGCTGTTGCTATTCCGTTTGGCGTGGAGTTTGGTCGCTTCACTTGTATCGGTTGCTGAACTCTGCGCGAATTCAAGGAGGGGGCCCTCGTGGAGATACAGAATCGATGCCTGAAATATCCTCACGTGAGATTTCGGCATCTCGAAACAGATCGCATCACGCGGTTGGCGGAACGATCATCACCACCCTGGTCTTCTTGAGCACAGGCAGCATCAGTCGCGCGTAGACTTCCCCTTCCCAGATGGCGTTTCTTTGAGCGAGCTCTTGGGATGTCGTATTTGTGCTCCCTTCCGAGTCGGTGTTGCTGGGCTCTGGCCAAGCGAAGTGGCCACTCGTATGCCCCAGACGCTCCACGTTCCTCCTATGGTAGACCGCAAAGGATGTCAGCAGTTCCTTGATCAGATAGTCCTTCCGAATCGCTGCCTAAGTCGTAGCCCTCTTGAATTCATTTTCCTTCGCCCTCGGTACATATCTCTTTGACGGTAGTTCTCTATTAGAGAACTTTAGTTGTTGGAATATCTTCGCCCACCACTCGTAGCCAGTTCCTTGCAAATCTGTGAACCGATACAAGGAGTTCGGCTAGCGTCGCATATAAATCGCGTAATGACACGGATCTCCAAGGCGCATAGGAGCTGAATTCAATGGGCGAATCAGTTTATTTTTTCAGATGTTGCAGAGTACGTGATAGTCCGCCTGGTCTCGGTGAACCTGACGCATACGTTCAGACTAAAACACCAGACCTCAACAACGAAGCTTGAGCATTATTCTTTAGCCGGTCGAGTCGTTGAGTTTTACGTAAGTTTATCGTGTATTAGGTAGAACGTATGAGGCGACCGTTATAGTTTCATCTTGAGGTTACAAGTAGCTCAGAAAATTCATGCGCCATGTGTTTATATTTTGACACACCATCAAGTATCTTTTGACGCGAGCACTCCGTTGCGAAACTTGCCGTGGTCTGTGAAACCTCTTGCTGCTGTGGGTTTCATTTTTCAACAAGAAAGGCGACTGCAAAGACTGCTCGGTAACGGAGGTTCTCCCTGCTTCCGAGCAAGACGCGGAGATCGAGATCCGTTTGTGTGACGTCATGACTGCGGAGCTTGGTCCAGATCAGACACTATCTACCGGACAAGATGGAAGCTGCTGATGAGATTAAGGAGGGCAGCACCGCTACACTAGACAAGGACGCTGCGAGTACGAACGGTGAACCAGCGCTTTTTCGCTCCAAGACGCGTTTTCCGGCCTCTTCTTCGACCAGATCCTACTCCTGTGCGCTACATTCCGGTTGCTCCTGACTATTCACTTCTGCGCACGCTTATCGGCTCCGAAAAGCCGACATTGCAGATGTTCACCCAGTCAAATGCTTTGACGAATCTGTTGGCTCCTGCTCTGGGTACCCAGTTCAAACAAGACTCGACCGTCCAGTTCTACGAGATCCACAGTGTGGACGACGTGTACGACTGGCTCACGGACACGTTCATCCCCACCGTCTTCACCACCACCGACCACACTGGGGCCCTCTTACCAGAGTATGAGCACGGCCGAATCGGATACGCGAACCAAGTGCTGGGCGGCGCGATGCTGGAGATGACGCCAAAGACTCTCGAGCCTTGCGACTCCGCGGAGGCCTTCCGTTAGCAACAGTGAGTCGCCAAGTTGGTCCGAGTTCTTGGACATCAGTCTCAATGTTTCGGAGGCCACCGAAGTGATCATGACGCAGAAGGAGAGCGGGTCGTGGGTGAATTATCATAGCAAAGAGCTACGAGTCTCCGTGGCCACGTACAACGCCGAGGGCGACGCGTTTTCGGTCACGCGCCTCACTTCAAGCTTCCTCGACACCGGAGTCATGCAACTCAAGGCGTCCACAGACTCGATCCCGCGAGCAAGACGTGACGAAACTTTACGTGCTTGTCATCGTCTTCCTCGTCGGCGGGGTCTGCATGTTCTTCCTGGAGCGCCCAGAAAAGGAGTTAGCGCGGCAAGCCAACAAGCCAACGCCAAGCTTCGTACAACACGCTGTGTCTGCGGCATTTTCTCTAGTCATGTTTATCGTTGAATTCGGAGCCATCCCCGTGTTCTTCGCGCTCTTGATCCAAGCGCTGACCATGAATTTCGATACCGAGTTGTCGTGGATAGCAGATGCAGCCGACTCGCAAGATAAACTCCAGGCTCTTCAAGGAACTTCTTGAGTCCATTGACCGCGCAGTCGTCGAACTAAATGCGTTGGCGTTCGCTGGAGCCGTCACCATTATCCAGCTGGGCTTCTTCGTGCTGCGGCAGATGCGCTTCCACCGTCAGCTCAATATCTTCGCGAGCACCGTGGAGACGTCTCTCCGGCGGTTCTTCGGCTCCTTCTTCGTCTTCATGATCATCTTCCTGGCCTTTTCCTTCATGGTCCACAGTCTCTTCGACAAGCGCGTGCTCCAGTTCTCCACTCCCGCGAAATCCATGGAGTCGTGCGTCAACATGCTCTTCGGCGAGTTCGACTTCGACAGTATTCGCGAGATCTCAGCCTCGAGCCTCTTCTACTGGGTCTACATGCTGGTGGTGAGTCTCGAGCTGCTCAGCATGATGCTGGCGATCGTCATGGCCGCGTACGAAGCCATGAACAAAGAGGCGCACGAAGACGCTCTCACAATGTTCCTCTCGTGGAGGAGCAAGAAACTGTGGACCAATCTTCTCTTACTGTTCATGGGGAGGAAGAACGGCATTGCCGTGGCGCTGCTTTAAGGCCATCCAGCTCTCATCAAGCCAGGTGAGGCCGAGAAAGAGCAATTGGAGATCTTCAAGCTGCTCAGGTTCGACAACCGCGGGTTGACGCGCGAAGATTTGATCTGGGAGGGAAGAGTGCACCCGTTCTTCCTGCTGGAGATGCTCGTAGCGATGAGGAAGCTCGATGTAGAGCGCACTGGAGACGATTCCTCGTTCCTGAAGAAGAAGTTCACGTTCGAGAGTCTTCGCAACATGTTCCCAGCTTGTGAGATCAAGCGACCAGGAAGTGATCGATACGTATCGGTTCTGCAATGAAGGCTACATGCTCTACGAGTTCCTCCGCAAGCTCGAGGGGGCCCGCCACGAGTTTATGGCGAAGATGAGGGCCCTCTTTACTCCAAGCAACTCACAAGAAGAGCCAGAGGAACAGGAGAATGAAGATTCTGGCATGTCGACGGGCTTGGAGAAAATCACAGCGTTGACGGAACAAGTGGCGGGACTCGAAGAGAAGCTCGACAGGCTGCTGGAAGCGGTTCTCGTCAAACGCACCTTGCAAAGTTATACAAGTCTTTTACCCGCTAGAACAAGCACTCACAGTGTTTCGTCGGAGTTGCCTATAGCTCATTTGCTCCATTCTAATAGCTCATTCATTCTATTCTTCACACTACACAGTCTTTCGGCTCGAAAATACCCCTGAACTCGCTCTCGTCTGACCCCGGGCAAGTATTTTCGTCTGCTATACGTTCAGCCGCTTGATGGTGTGGCATGGTGCCATGTTGTCGGCGAAGTGGATGCATACGCGACTGTGGAGTGGCCGGCTCCCAAGCTTCCACCTCGTCACTCAGGAAGAAGCGGCACTAGAGGTTTGTTCAAAGCCCTCCTTCCAGAACTAGGGAGATGCAGAAGCGTCCTATCTAACAATTTTCGGTCGCTCCCAGAAACAAATCAGCGAGCTTTACTTCGACTCATGCAGATTCGCTGACCTGCGGATGCAGGTGAGGAGAGAGAGAGAGAATCATTCGAGTGACAACAGTAAGTTAACTTGTTCTTGGCGGATGCACGCAGATCCGCCTCAGGCTGAAGGAATTTCCCATTGCCGCTCCGTCTCCGGGTGCGTTTTGGGACGTGCTCGAGCTCTTTGATGAATATTTGCCGCTCCTGCTATCAATTCGACGATATCAATCGGGAAGACAACCCGATGCCCCGACACTACAATTGCCGTACCTCCTCACCATTTTCCCACCTCTTTTCTACGGGTTTGGCGACTTGGATTTACTATCGGATAGACTTGTCGGGAAGCAGCAGTGTCTTGCGTTTTGCATTCCAGTCGAGCTGGTGCTCGTGCTGTGCTCAATGGGACAATTGCATGCATTACACGCCGAAAGTCAGGTCAGGCAAAAGGGAGAGGCCTTAACGATAGTTGCTTGGCCCAACCTGCAGCACGCGGAGATCTCCTGGCAGAGTGCCGAAAGCTTTTTCCGTTGGGCGGCATCCTATTCACAAGAGATGGTCACGAAAGAAATTGATCCGAATGACTCGTCGACGCGGCCAATTTGGAAGTTCTTTGACGCGATGGCGGTGAATACTGCTGCTCTTTCGCGCTTGTGCTCGACCCATCGACTATCGACCCATTTAACGGGTGTAAGTTGGTTCAGACCCCCTTGCTTCCACGAATTTTACACACTAACTCCAACAAACGGTGTTTCTCGTCAATGTTTGCTCAGTTGAGCCTTACAGAAATTAAAGTGGAGCGTTTATCACGAATCGGGTCCATATGCGCGAGGCGAGCGCTTACACTAATTCACGAGGCGAGTTCCTTGCTATCCAATTGCTCGCAAACCAGGTACTGCCTTCTCCATTCAACATCTTTATACTTGACGATTTACCCACTCTCATACTGGCAGGTTTTCGCAGCAACATGGATGGAATCTTGGTGCCTACGAGGCTCGTTGGACAGCCATCTACTACCAAAGTGAAATGAACATCTACAAGCTGGGTGCGAACCCTGGTAAGCAAGCTCTTTGTTCGTACTCTGTTCGTTGAAAATATGACTAAACCTACGACACGAATCGACCGATAGAAATCGCCATTTACTTTTGTGAAGCTTTGCTCCGACTTCGGACGCCGCCGTTGCCCTCAGGGTCCTCGCAGAGCCAGGATTCAAGCTTCTCCCAATGTGCTCACGAACTCCAGTTACTCCACCACGCGCATCTGACAGACGCAATCGACCAAAAGAAGGCCTTAATAGGGGCTTGTCGTGATCGATTCGGAACTACGTGGGTCTTCCAGGCACTCGACAAAAGCGTAGGCGTAGAACTCCTCACTATTCGAGATATGGGTCCAGTATTTCGTGGCGAGGAGCGCGCTGTTGACTCTGCAGTCGAAGAAGACGAAGCCGACTACGCGTCTCCATTCCTAGTAGAAATCATCGCTGCCAATGTAGAGGCGGCGCTGTCAAACTCGAAGCTGGACGACCCTGAGTCAAATAGAGCCACCGAAGAGAGTGAAATCGCCGTAACCAAGACTCCGCAACCGGGGACACGAAGCGCAACCTGCTCCAACAAGGGGCTCACCGAATGTCGTATAGTCACTTCGACACCAAACGCTGCCTCCCAGCCGAACCAACACGCAGCAAAGCTGAAAGCATTGAGCTCTGGTCAACTCATCAAACGCCCAGCCAGTGCGACGCAGCAAAGTTCTGGCTGGGTGACGATGAGCTACGGGGGCAAGTTGTTGCACTTCGAGAAGGCGATGGACCCTCCTCAGACTGCTTCAGTCCAAGACGGACAGTTAGCCCCTAGACAAGTAAAGCCTCGGCCGTCCTCGTCGCCTTGCTATCTGTCGTCAAAGAGGCCGTCGAATCCAGAACCGGTCAGAGCTAAACGACAGCTCGAGAATGGCAATATGTGGGCACCCACACGCGCGCCGTGTGCGTTATGCGAGCGCAGGTTCATGCGGTCCAGCCTGCCCGGAGTGGTGCTCATGAAGCGCATCTACGATCTCCGCCGCAAGTGGGGCGTCATCCAAGACTCCAAGAAGCACAACGCCGCATCAGCTCTATACGCGACAGCCAACGTGTGCGTATTTTGTCAGGAGATCTTGGCGTACGAGGAGAGCGGGCAGCCATCGGATGCTACGGACTCCAAAGGCTTAAGACAGCAACAACTCCATTATGGGCTAGATGAGGTAGAACCGTCGGCTTCGACTATCGTTGACCCCGACAAAGACGCCGAAGTTGCTCGCATGATCCACGATTCAATCCTCTGTCGATGGCATCAGCAGCTCTCGAGCCGTACGGAGGACAGCAACCTGCAGGATATCGCAGTCAAGAAGCGCGTCCGCCAGTCGTCCACTGTCTGCAGCATGAAGGCGCAGAACGCTTTGGACCCGGACACCAATCGATCCGCCCACACCAAGGAGGAGTTCCAGCCGTGGTGGGAGATCGACCTCGCCAACTACGTCGAGGTGCACTCGGTCAAAGTCTATCTGCGAGACGAAGTGAGCCACTTGTACGCGGCTGCAAGGGGGCTGGCAGCGAATCCTGGCAGACACACAACGGGCGTGTATCCGCTGCACATCAGCGTATCGATGAAGACTGGAGTGGGCCGTGACTGCGACGACATCATTGCGAGTTGTGTGAGCTCGCTGTGCGTCACGGACAAGATGGCGCCGCCGATCGACTGGGTGGCGCCGCAGAAGTCTCGAGGCCGATTCGTCCGCATCCAGTGCGAAGGTCGCGCCATTCTGCACATTGAGCGCGTGCACGTGTACGTGGCGAAGACACCCGTGAAAGTTGCAAATGATCCCTTAGTGATGCGGCAGCGCGTTCGCCAAGTGCTGCAGCGAACGGCCTTCCGTGCGTCGGTGATCGCCACAGCTGGGACCTCAGCGTCGTCCGGGTCGAACAAAGTGGCGGTGAGTGCGGAGCCGACTCCAAAGCGAAGAATGTCAACGCTGGCAACTCGCAGAGGTAGTCAGGTAGCTCTGAACAAGGATGACAGCGCGCCTCAGTCTGCGTCCGCGTTGTTTTTCGACCCCGAACGCGCCGAGAAGAGGCGCATCTCGAGGCTGTACGCGCGGTTCAAGAGCTTGCTGGACGCGCGCGCGAAGTATGCGGCGCCTGAAGAGGATGACGATGAAGATTAAAATGGAATTGGCGTGAACTAAACGCAGAGGATAAAATGGGTAGGTTGAATGGCATTCAATCGACCGGCAGGCGGACGGTCAGAGCGAACGCTGCAGCAGCAGATCAAGTTTGTGCTCGAGCGCAGCAAGTTGTGCAGCCATCCGTTGAATTTCAGTGCTCTCCGCAACGTTGGTGAAGTCTTGGTTCAGGGGTACAGCAGCATCGTCCGAGTTTGGTCCTGCTTGTGGTGTTGGGACTGGGTGAACTACAGCGGTACTGTCGTCATCATCACTCAGGACGTTGGCGTCAGTATCCGTTGCCACCGTTGAAAGCTTCTGCTGCACGACGTTCGGAGTGTCTCCTACGTCGCTCGAACTTGGAGAATCAAACCCATCGAGAATATGCTGCAGTGTAGCGCGAGCTTCATGCTCCTGCACGTTGGCTGAGGGGAACATTTCCATCAACATCCGAGGTGTGACCGTAGTTGGCTGAGCACTCGATGGCTTTGAGTCTGGACTAGTAGATGCGTCCGCTTGCTCCAGCATTGCACTCAGTCCGTGCTCGAGCAGATCCGGTCGAATTCGTCCGCGGAAAACAACATCGACTCGACCGAGCTCCGCGAACTCCACGTTAGCGCGCCTCGCTGCCGCCTGGTTGACACGCGGAGCAGTCTTTGCCGACACTTCTTTTTTGTTTCGACGGGTTCGGCACTTGATGACGTCGTGCAGCCAACACAGTAGGTCCCAGAGCATGTTATCCGCGATCCGATATAGCGACAAATTGTTGGACGCCTTGTAGCTCTCGCTGCTCACTTCCGCGTACGCGTCCAATACAATGGCGAGCATCATGTTCAGCAGCACGAGGCTCACGACGATCATGTAGCCCCAGTAGTAGAACATGCACACGGGCGGGTAGAGTCCCTGGATCGTTCCGTAGTCGAAGTTGCCGAAGAGCATGTTAATGCACGTCTCCATGGCGATCTGAATAGACGAAAACTCCTCCACGCGGTCCCCGAAGAGGATCGTGCCCGAGACGGCGAACGTCACGAAGATGACGATGAACACCACGAAGAAGGCGCCGAACTGGTGCAGCGCGTTCGCCACCGTGCGCGTCAAGATGCTCAGGCGCGGGTGGAAGCGGAACCGCTTCAGAATCCGCAGACTCAGCAGGAAAACCGCGAGCGTCGCGATCAAGCGCAGCGCGACGGTGAGTTGCGCCACTTGCTGGAGCATGGCGATCACAGCGTAGAGCCGCCCGCGCGCCTCAGTGTCGGACGCCCAGTTCTTCCCGCCCACCACTAGCTGCGCCAAGTTGTCCCGGAAGTTCTTCTGAAACATGAGGAGAACGATGGAGAACCACACGAAGTAGAACGCCACCACCACCAACGTGGACGCGTGCTCAATGACGGTCCAGACGTCTCCGCACAATACGTTGCGGATCCCCGTTCGACGGTAGCGGTAGATTTTACGTAGCTGAATCGCCACGGCCAGCAAGAAGAAGACCGAGACGACGATGTCCGCGGCCACGGAGATCGAGGCGCTATACGGATTGGACAGCGCCGGCGTGGTGGACGAGCTCGCCTCGACCAAGCCGCCCTCCGAGAAGGCGAGCTGCATCTCCGTGACTGCGTAGCCCTGCAACTCGCCATTGTACGTGACGATGGTGATCAGCAGCTCTTCCGTGGAGAAGTCGAGCCATTCTCCTTCCATTTTCAGAGCGGTGATCATACCCGCGGCCTCGGTCGCGTTCGTGTCGAAGCTGATGAGCTTCTGCACCGTCGTGGTGTTGGTGGCGTCGTAGCAGTACGGGTACAGGTTGGCCAGGAAGGGCTGCGTCACGCACGTGTGGGTCGCCTTGCGGGTCACCTGGAAGTTGACGGCGCCCAGCACCTTGTTAAACATGGCGACGCGCCCCCAGCGGTCCTTGGAGAGCGCTTTGCCGTTGTAGTCCTCCGTGATGAAGACGGCGGGCACGAAGGAGTCCGTGAGCCAGTCGAAGACGTCCGAGATGTCGCCGATGTTGTAGAACTTGATGCTCGAGTCGTCCGTCACCGCGTCGCTGCCCGACGTCGCAAGCGTGGACGACACGGCGTACCCTTGCTCGTACATGACGGTGGCCGGAATGTGCGCGAACAGCATCCCCACGAAGGCGCTGAAGTAGAGCACGGGCACGGGAATGCGCCACACGGAGGCGATGATCTTGCGGTCGTGGCACAGCGAGTCGTACGCGGCCTGGAGCGGCACTTCCAGTTGGCGAGGGGTACCGGCGTCCAGCTTGGCCTGCAGGCTGAACGGCGTCGGCGCACTCGGCGCCATGCCGCCCGGGATCAGCTTCTTCATGCTGCAGCGGAGGGGCTCAATGGCGGTTGTTGGGAAATAGTGCAGCAGGGGTTTCATGAAGGTGACAACTTGCCAAAGGAACGCATTGATATGGATAGGCAGATATACCTGCTCAAACCTGCTCAAACCTGCTCAAACCTCTGCTCTCTGTCCTCTCTCCTCCCCAACCTGCTTCACTGTCTCTTGCCACTATTGAGCTTCTCCTTCGGCTTGGTTTCACCCCTCTGCGTCATCCACTTGAGCGCGCCGACCAGCACGAACGCGATCGCCGAGAAGACGGCGACCCACTTGCTCCGCGTGAGCACGCTGACGACGCCCTCGAGCGTCTGCCAGCGCTCTGGAAACTGCCGCAGCAGCTGCAGGATCGAGACGTTCTCGGCCACGTCACAGAGCGCCGCGACCAGCGGCAGACTCCAGACCAAGTGGCGACGCGGCCAGAGCCGACGCAGCAGCCCCAGCAGCGCCGTCGAGTAGATGAGCGGGAAGAGCAGCAGGTCGAACACGTAGAAGTCCACGTAGAGCGCGCGGCCCGGGACCCCGAGGCACTCCAGGTGCGGGAAGACGGCGTCGGGCGCCAGCCACAGCACGCTGTCGAGCACGCCGCTGCACTGCGGAGGCAGCTCCCGGATCCACTGCTTCTCGAGCTGCTGCAGCAGCAGGAACGACGGCACGAGCGCGCCCAGCGCCGCCGCCAACAGGTGCGACTCCAGCGTCATGGCAGCGAGCGAGATACTTGAGTTGAGAGAACAAGGGACGTGGCGTGCAACGCGCGACAAGAACGGACAGAGACCTCCATCGGTGGTAGTAGAGCCCGTAGCACTGGCCCTCGCGCTGCAGCGGCACGTAGGCGCAGAGCGTTGATGGATGCTGCAGACCCGGAGACCACTCTTGAATGGGGAAGCCCATGCACGTCACCGCCCTTGCTACCGACGGTGAGACTCGAGTTGGCGTTGGTATCGGCCTCTGGCTGCATCTCCGGCTGCTGAGTCTGGTTGAAAGCCCCGGGCGACGCCGACGAGTCGAAGGCGTTGAAGCCCACGTGCATCTCAGTGCCGGCCGTCGGACACGTCTTCGAAGAAGGCAGACGCGAGCCCGGGCGTTGAGAGCTGGAGCATGGCCAGCGACACAGCGATAACTCACCTCCGATTCAGAAATGAGCGGTGGACGCCGAGCGCGTGGAACTGCCGGTAAGACACGCTGACAACCAGCGCGACGGCGATTGACATGCCGCGCCACTCAATCAAAGTGAGCCACGACATCAAACAACGGTACCAAACCACACCTTAGACTCTCCACTTGTGGTGAGAGTCTCAAGACAGGTCGCTGCCATAAAATCGAACATGCTTTAGGATCTAGCCGCTTGTGTACGATGCGGCGTACGTTGTGGTCGACGCATTGCTTGGCGTGGCTATCCTGTACGGTCGGATCGCAATGCTTTGGTCTAGCAGCATGTTGAAGTGCGAACACAACTCACGCCCAGACAGAAAGTACAGACCAACAAAAAACAGTCTCAACTGACACGCCCGACATAAAAGTTGGCTCGACGACGTAAAGGAGTCAGCATTCCACCTCCATCGTCCTGCGCCCGCGCCACTAGCTGGGGGGCGTGTGTCGGACCGCTGCCTGCGTGTGAGAGACTCGCCGGCCAGGCTGTCGACGTGGGTGACTCTGCTGCGCGCGGCTCTGCGGCGCTGCGTGATGGCGCCCGTGTCCCCGCCGCCGCCGGCGCCGACGCCGACGCGCAAGCGCCGGGAGGAGACCATCCAGCAGCACGCGGCGCCGTGTCTTGGTGTGGCGCCCGTCGTCAAGAAGCGGCGCGCCTCGGGCCCAACAGTTGAGGAGCAGGAGGAGCCCCCCACAGCTGGAGAGCAGGAGAAGCAGGAGCAGCAGGAGCAGCCGCTGGACGGCGCCCCCGAGGGCGAGTTGTTCCTCGTGGAGGTCAAGACGCGCGACGAGCTGCTCGAGAGCGCAGACGCCGCCGCTGAGGCCCAGAAGCTGCGCCAGCTGCTGCTGCAGCTCAAGAAGAGCCAGGAGCAGCAGCCGGCGCAGGCCGCGGAGGACGCGGACGTGGCCTGGGGCCACGAGTTCGAGGCGCTGGACTCGCTGCGCCGCTTCGCCCAGCACCACCAGGACCTGGCCCGGCAGCTGCTGTAAGCTGTGTGTGTCTGTGTGTACTGACGGGGCGAAGCCTGACTGATTTGTTGCTGCTGTTCTTGTTGTTGCCAGGGAGGAGGGCGTGCTGCTGACGCTGGTGCTGCCGGCGGCGTCGAGTCTGCGCTCGGCCATGGCCAGGAACGCGCTGCTGTGCGTGCAGGACCTGGTGTTCGGACTCAAGGAGGAGACGGCCGCGCACTTCGACGACGTCGTCCCCGTGCTGCTGAACCGCGCGTGCTCCGAGAAGCAGTTCCTGAAGGACCTGGCCAGGGACGTGCTGGACACGGCGCTCGCAGCGGGCGCGGACGAACTGATCCTGCGGCCGTTGCTGGCGACCAGTACGACGGAGAAGAACGCGCAGATTGTCAGCGTGGTACGTGGCGGTGTTCATTCGTTGGCGTTGCTGAGAGCTGGCTGTCTCTGACGCGTTGGTGGTGCTGACGTTCGCAGGCGGGCCTGTACGTGACCAAGTGCATCATTCGGATGGATCGCGAACACCTACGCACGTTCGTGCTGGAGACGCGCAGCTCGTTCTTCGAGGAAATGGTGGCCTTCCTTAATTGCAAAGTGGTGGAGTGCAAGGCAGCAACGCGTCGCAGTTGCCAGCACACACGTCGGGTCATCGGGGTAACGTAGCGCTTTGGCACTTGGTTGAAGTGTCCGTGTTAACTGATGATCGAAGTGTCCATGTTAACTGATGATCGGTGGTCGGCTTTTCTTGTGACAGAACGAGGAATTCGTCGCGCTGGTCAAGGAGAAGCTCAGCGGCACCGCGCAGCTGGATGTGCTCAAGGCCTCGGAGATCCGCAAGGCTCCCAAGCCCGGCCACGCCAAGTCGAGTATCCGCGAGCGCATGCTCCAGATGAAGAAGCAGCAGCAACAGCAGAAAAAGGTGCAGAGTGGGGGGAACGATATCTCGGTCGTCGTCGTTGCGCCTCCTCGGTCGAGATCAGCCTCCGCACAGCAGACGCCGTCGTTATGACCACAACACTGGGGTGGACTATTATGCAGAACCTTCCCGTTCCTGTAACTCGCTGTGTGTAGTGTCTCCGTCCGTGTGTTGATTGGTGTACTGCTGCAGGTATCAGCGAGAGGAATCTGGCGGTTTCCCTGTTCTCCGCATTGGGATCTGCCCGTTCATTCGGAGTAGACCCCTCGCTCCCCGGCAAGAGCAGCCAGCTCCGCACAATGGTGGCTAGGCGCATAAGCCGCCAACGCTCTCGCCGTGACTCGCTACAGCTACAACGCGAAGGGAGCGGTGGTGCCAGCTTCTACGGGTATATCGGCGAGCTACGCAACGCCTTCGACCCGCACTCCGCACTGCTCAAGAGCTGGCACCAGGTTCTGTTTGGCTGCCTGCTGTACGAGGGGTTTCTGCTGCCTTTCGCCTCGACGTTCGCTGTCAAGTTTGCTCTCCCCACGTCGACGACAGCCTTCAGGGCCTTCTACGTGGCGGAGGCGCTCTTCTTCGCAGACTTCTACGTCAAGCTGAACACGGGGTTTTACGAGGCCGGCAACATCCACCGCGACAAGCGCAAGGCGCGAGCCAAGTACCTTACGTCGTTCGGCTTCTTGCTCGACGTCATGGCCATTGTCCCGCTGTCGATCATCCTGCCTGCGCCTCTGGTTCCTGCTTCTGCGCAAGCAGCTTACTACTGGCCTGCATGGTACGAGTTCCACAAAGTTCTACGCGTCTGGCGCTTACCAGGCTACTTCTCCAACCTGGACGACGTGTACGCGAAATACTTCCGCACTCTCAAGCTGTTCAAAGTGCTGGTCGCCACGGCGTTCGTGACTCACTTCGTCGCGTGCTGTCGGTTCGCTTTCGGCTGGAAGAGCGGCGATGCTCGTGATTCAAACCCCTGGCTACCGCCAGCCGCGTTGGAAAGTGAGCCCTTGGCTACTCAGTACGCTGGGGCGTTGTTCTGGAGTGTGGGACTGCTCACGGGGTCCTTCGGGGGAGCTCTGCCACGCTGCAACACGGAGTTCGCGTTCACGCTGGCCGCGGTGTTGCTGGGGTTTGTGCTCTTCATCTACGCCAGCGCGACGCTGTTCATGCTATCGAAGTCGGAGAGCAACCAGACCGTGCTGGCCCAGGCGCGCATCAACCAACTACGCCACCTCCTCACGTTTCACCGCGTTCCAGAGTCACTGCAGGTGCAGGCGGTTGAGTATCTCAAGCGCCACTACACGGACGCCGAGTCCAACGACCGGGAGGTCGTCAAGCTGCTGTGCCCGTCCATCACAAAGGATATCCAGGTGGAGTTGCTCAAGGACATGGTGGGGCGAGTTCCGCTCTTCCGCGGCTGCAACCAGCAGTTCATCGTCGCGCTCACGAGTCTGTTGGAGATGACGAGCTTCCCAGCTCATGTTACACTGTTTGAAGCAGGTGACAAGGGAGATTACATGTACGTGGTCAACTCCGGGGTGCTGCATATTCTGGTCAACGGTGTGAAGGTGCGCGAGCTGCGCCAAGGGAGTTTCTTCGGCGAGGTCTCGGTCTTCTCCAAGCGACCGCGCTCCGCTGCAGTCGTGACGACGTCGTACTGCACGCTTTATCGTCTGTCACGCTTCCACACGGAGCGAGTGCTGGAAGGGTATCCTGACTATGCGGCTCAAATAGCGTCTGCCATCGACGACATGGTAAACGAAAGAGATGCCAGAGCTGCAAAAGGACAAGAGGCAGAAGAGTTCATGCTCACGACGCTGTATCAGCTATCGACTCAGTCACCCGTCAAGATACAGCGGCGATCATTACGAGACCGAGCTAAGCGGGCGACGATGGCTAGTCTGCGGCGAAGCAAGTCAACACGGGTGGTCTCAGCCTCACGACACGCCGAGTACGACGGAGGCAACATCTCCATGAGCGAGAAGCGAGCCATAAACTTCCAGCCCGCTCCAATTAAGCTGCCGCCCAAGGTTATCATCAAGAAGAGCCCGACCGGAAAATTGATACGCAGCCAGTCAGCTTACGCTCGTCGGATCTCGTCGGGGATCAACTGGTGGCCCCAGCGCGCTTCCAACGCGAAGTTGCCGAGTGGTGGGAACAATGGGGACAGCATGCAGGGGTTTTACGACAACCTGGCGCGGCGACGAGCATCGCAGTTCCAGGCTGCTGACGCGTTGTCGAAGATCCTGTCGCGTCTTCTCCTGCGCAGGGTGATTGACCACACCTCCGCGAGGCGGAAGTACTGGCTCATTGCGCTGCAGCTTCATTTGGCAGCCAACTGGTTCGTCGCACCGCTGTTGCTGGCGTTCCCCGTACTGGATCGTCCTAGTACCCAGGGCAGTGTAAGCGCAACGTTTGCCTTGCTGGACATCCTGCTGGTGGTCGACATGTACCTGAACTTCCACTTGACCTACACGGTGAATCGCAAGAAGGTCATGCTGACGTCGCTCACAGCGAAGCACTATTTGAGTGGTTCATTCATCCCTGACTTACTCTGCCTGCTACCGTACCGCCTACTGGTACCTCTTAGTGTGGCACCGATATTGGGGACTCACCCAGCGTTGCTACGACTTCCACGAATGCTTCGGGTCTGGCACATCAGAGGCCACTTGAGGGAATGGGAAAACTCCTTCCGCCTCAGCAACACGTGGTGGCTTGTGGTTGCAGGGGTCGCCTACATGCTGCTACTGCACATTGTGACGTGTTTGTACTTCAGCCTCACGTACGTTGAAGGATATGGCAGTAGCGGCGGATCTGAAATCCCGTGGCTGCCTTCAAGCGAGTTGGAGCTGCGTCGATACGTCGACCCCAATGGAGTGCCGTACTACGCAGGAGGTTCAGCCAACATGACGTTCACGGACGCCCATGTGCGAGATGTGGCGAGTATGCAGTACATGCGCTCGCTCTACTTCAGCGCCACGATGCTTACGACATTGGGCAAGACGGTCGAGCCTTCATCTGCGTTGCAGTACTCGGTCACGCTAGTCTTGATGTTATGTGGCTTTCTCTCGTTGGCGTTGATGATTGACAGCGTCCAGAAGCGAATCACCGCGTCGGCCTTTGAACAAAAGGAGTTCCTGGTGACGCGTACGCGGGTCCAGCAGTTTATCAACTCTCGAACCGCACCTGCTGCTGTCCACCAGCGAGCAAAGTCGTTTCTGGAGTTCTGGTGGTCCTGTCACCGCGGTGCCATTGCGAGCGAGCTGTTGAGCGAACTACCCGAAGCTATCAAACGTCCAGTAGTGCGTAGTATGTGCCAGCCAGCACTACGAACGCTGTCGTTGCTGGCAGACGTACGCCCTTGTTTGGATGCACTGGAGCAGGTGTTCATCGACAACATTCGCTTCATCCTCTACGGCCAAGGCGAGATCATCTATCGACAGGGGGACTACGCCAGTGGTCTCTTTTTCCTGCTCGAGGGCGAGCTCATCGTCATTGTCAATGGCGGCATGCCTCGAACGCTGGTGAAAGGAGGGTTTATTGGCACAGCCGCACTAAATCTCAGCGAGACGTCCGTGAGCTACGCTGAGCGCGTGACAGCGGCCAGTGGCTGCATCCTCATCTTCATCTCGAGGGAGAATTTGAATGGGATGCACAAAGTTTTCCCCACATTTTCAATGGCGCTTCGAGCTTTGGAGAAGCGTCTGGAAGGGGCCAAGTTGGCCCGTGCACAGCATGACTTCAACAGCACGCGGGAACGGTCTTGTAGCGGGGCCTTGCGCCCGATGCCGGCGCCTAAACCGCTGACATTCGAGATGAAAGTGTTACGGTACCTGGACCTGGACGATGTCATCTTCGATCCGGACGATAACATCACGGCAGTTTGGGAACTTTGGGTCTTCTCTCTGACAATCGCTTTGTATCTGAAGGTCCTCGGAGACATTACAGCGGGGGTCGAGGTTAGCGAAGTGATCAGCTCGGAGATCGTCGCGATGGTCTTCGAGGTTTTCTTCGCTCTCGACTTTTACTTCCACTCGCGACTGGGCTACTATGAGTACGGCAACAAAATCATGGACATCGTGGCGATACGAAAGCGTTTCTTCCGTTCGCACCACTGTTATTGCGCTGCTCTGGGGCTTTTCCCACTCTATATCGTGAATTGGATGCTAGGCTCGACGCATCGGTTTGAATTCTTGAGTGCCAACAAGTTGCTTCGTCTAATTCGTGCACCCGCCACATTTGCGAAACTAGAGAGCAAGCACCTCAACCGCACTGTACAGTTGCGGCTGCTGAAGCTGGTCATCGTTTCGCTCGTTCTGTCTCATTTGTTTGGCTGCATTTGGTTTAATTTCAAGGATCCGAGCTCACAGAATGCGTGGATGCCGTCGTCATCTCTTAAGTCAGCAGATCCAGGAAGACAGTACTCGGCGCTGCTGTTCTGGTCGTTCGGCATAATGTCGCACTCGAATTCTGGAGAACTGCCGACGTCAGTCGAGCAGTGCTTCTTCACTGTGGTAGTGCTGCTTGTCGGCGCCTTCCTGTTTGCGTTCGTAATTGGTAATATCTCGGATGTAGTCGAGCTCGTGGATGCTGACTCGCGCGAGTTCAACGCCAAGCTCAGCTCTCTGAGGCTCTTGCTCGGGCACTTTGACCTCCCACTCGCGATAGAAGAGCAGCTCAAGACATACTTCTTCTTCCAGCGATACCATACCATCACGCAGGAGTACCTCTTGGAGCGCTGTTTGCCACCGTCGCTTCTCACTGAAATCCGCCTAGTTCATCTCCAGCCTATGATCGTGAAAGTTGGTTTTCTTGCCGGTATGGAGGGATCTGTGACGCGGATGCTCGTCGCTCAGTTCGTTCAGGCTCTTACTGTGAAAGATCAATACGTCTTCCGGATGGGTGAAGAAGGGAGCGACATGTTTTTCGTGTTCACAGGGATCGTGGAGGTCTTGGTGCCGCTCGAAACACTACAGCGCCGCCAGTCGAACGATATAAAATTGTTTTCACTGGGTTCTCCATCTCGATCATCGTTTCGCACTGTCTTCCCCACCCTGGATCCGTCCAAGCTGCAGGCCAAAAGCCAGTTGAAAAAGGTAAACGAACTCACGTCTGGTAGTTACTTCGGCGAGGTTGCGCTCTTCACGAGTAAACCTCGCAGTGCCCACGCTCGGTCGAAGACTTCGTGTGTGCTGTATAAACTTTCGCGACGGTCGCTTGAGCTGGTATTTGAACGATACCCGGATTGGAAGCGCAGGGTACTCAAGATTGTCAACATCCAGCAAGAGCAGCAGCTTCTGAGAAACCTCTACATGGAGGAGCAGCTCGATATCGCGGCGAATACGACGAAAAACATGCCGAACCATGTAGACGTTCTTGGCGACACCGCAAACATGGGCCCAGCCAATAATGATCGCAACAGATCCATGAGGAGTTCCGTTGGTAGCTTCTCGGAGCGAACAACCTCCGGGCCGCTACGACCGCGTGGCGCGAGCACGAAAACAATTGGAATATCGGCAATGAAGCGCGCAGGCTCCTTCTTCTCGTCGTACAAGGCCCAGCACTCTGCATCAACCGACACGACAGTCTTGCAGATGGCTTCACGGAAGAAGTCGGTGCTATGGGTCGACATGCTGCTGCAGTGCACAGATGCCCAGAGCGCGTTCCACATCCAGTGGCTCAAGATTATCGCCGCCAGCACGATCTACATGGCGCTCATCGTTCCGTACCGCAACTCGTTTGATGCACTCGAGCGCCTGGGTCCGTTGCCAATCGCCGAACGAGTCATTGAGTTGACGTGCGAAGTTCTGTTTGGGTGGGATATCTGGGTGCACTGGAACCTCAAGGACGGCCTCGAGTCGATGGATCTGTACGAAAGCAAGCAGCGCGATGCGTACCATAAGGAGCGTCTGTGGATTGACGTTCTCGCAGCCATCCCGATCGACCACTTTTTGTCGGACTTTTATCAGTCGCCGCTGCTGTGCATGAACCGATGTCTGAAGCTGTTCAACTTCCCGCACTACATGAAAGAAATCAACCGGCGCAGTGTGGCGTACGAGAAGAACCGCTTCTGGACGCTCTGGGTCTTGTTCTTCGTGCTGATGCACTGGTGTGCGTGCGCCTACTTCTCTCTAGCATCAGTTACGTGCGACTCGGCTGAAAGTGAGACTGACTGGGACAACTGGGCTCCACCACGCAGCGCCATGAATATTTCCTGGACGGAGACGTCAATGGATTTGCTCATGCTTCGTTTCCTCCGCGGGTTGTTCTTCGCTTCCACCGCCTTCATCAAAAAAGGAAAAGTCTTCGAGCCTAGCGACCACGCTGACTACTTGTTCACCCTTTTCGTGGACTTTGTCGGGCTCGTGACGATGGCGTTCATGATCGGGGAGATGGCAAACCTCTACATCTCGTACATCAGCAACGAAGTGGAGTTCCGAAAGAACCACATCGCAGTGGAGCTGTACTTGGAGCGTTGGCACATTACAGGGAAGCTGCGTGCCCGTTGCCATGCGTTTTTGTCGTCGTTGTGGAGCTCGCACCGAGGAGTGAACTACCAGGCGATATTTGACGAGATCCCACAAGTAATTCGAACGGAGTCGATCCTGCACATCGCCAATTTGCCACTGCGTGCCTTTGTCAACAGCGTGTTCCGTCCGTTTGCCACTGCTCATCCACACGACCGCGACGTGGAAGCACTAACGCGTTCGATTGCCCAGCATCTCAAGTACGAGGGCTACCCTCGAGACGAGTGCGTGCTCGTGGAAGGGCGAGTCTCGAACGAAATGTACTTCGTCGTCAAAGGCCACTTGATCGCCACCAGCAGCGCAGACCGCCCGGAACTCGCCATTCGTTCCGATCAGAACCACTACAAGAAAGGTGACTTCTTCGGAGAGCACGGCCTGCTCGGGTATTCAGTCGGTGTGTGCACCGTCAAGACGGTGTGTGCGTGCGACTTGCTGTCGCTGAGCTCTGAGTCGCTTTTGAACGTGATTCTTTCGCGACCAATTTTTCAGACCGCGCTCAGCATCGCTGTTGAAGGCTACCGAGAGTTGTGCAAACGCACGCGGTCGATGCATGTAACATCAACCAAAGAGGACACAACTAGAGCCGAGAACGACTGGGGCGTGGAGCTGTTCCGGATCCTGGATGCACGACGAAAGCAGTGGCTCGATGAAGCGCTTGCGTTTAAAGCTGCAGATAGCGAGAGCGATGAGCCGGTTAACGAGCCGTGGACATTTTCCTGCTTCAAACCTGGACAGGAAGTTGGGTTGGTGACGATCTCGACGCCATCCTCGTGCGTGAAAGTGTTCGAGAAACTGATTCGTCTCATTGCCACTCGCGGGATGCTGGACACGAAAAATTTGCACACAGCGACGCAGTTCCAGGAGACGCTACCTGTCATGACTGCCGACCTCGCAACTATGACCACCACCTACCGCAGCAACTTGTCAATGACGGAGAAGTCAGATAGCAGCAGGCCAAGCAGCAACAAGATACCTTACCTCTAACCATACAAAGCAACGGCAGCATGCATATTGATGGAGAAAAACATACAATACAACCGTGCAACTTTCATCTTCCTACCAGCTTCTAATTGTCGTCAACGACACAACTGCGCAGCCCTGCCTCCAACTCGTTCTTACGCAAGTGGAGGCCGATGAATACCACCTGCGTGACGCGACCTTCCATGACACTAAGCTCGTCTTCCGTCCAGCGTTCTTCCGACGCATACACCTCAAACAGTTCGTGCACCGCCTGCAGGATGAACTTATTGGGTTCACCAGATACTGCCACGACGCCCTTCACGCGGAAGAGCTTCTGGTGCTTCGCTGCAGCATCCTTGATTTCATCATCTTCTTGCTCCCACAGGAGCTCTCCGAGCCACCTCTCGAGCTTGTCGTGGTCGAGCGGGCCGTCGCGAATCCTCACGCACGTCGTCTGCATGCCGCCGGTGTGCGTAGTATGGTCGTGGTGCTCGTCGTTGCACTTCTCGTGGTCGTGCTCCTCTCCAGCATAGAGCAGCGAGTGCAGCTCCTTCTCCACCTGCTCCGCCCTGCTTGTCGTGAAGCTCTTAATGTTCAGGATGTCGTCCAAGTCAACGCGCGAGCGCTCCGTCCAGTGCACGCTAGCCACGCCGTTGACCTGACTGACCCTCTGCTCGATCTCGCGCCTCCTGTCCTTGTCCTGCACCAGGTCGCCCTTGTTGAGCAGAATCCTGTCGGCGTAGGCCAGCTGGGCCGCCGCCTCGCGCTGCGTGTCCGGGTGGTCGAGGTGGAAGTCGAGCCGCGGCGCGTCCACGAGCGTGACGATGCCGTCCAGGAAGATGCGGCCCTCCAGCTCGTCGTCCACCCAGAAGATGCTGGCCACCTTGCCCGGGTCCGCCATGCCCGTGGTCTCCACGAGGATGTAGTCGAAGCGGTCGCGGCGCTCCAGCAGCTTCTCCAGCGTGTTCACCAGGTCGCTGCGCACGGAGCAGCACACGCAGCCGTTGCTCAGCTCGTAGAAGCCGTCCATGACCTGCGCGTCGTCGCCCGCGCCGTCCTTGGCCACGAGGCTCTCGACGCCGATCTCGTCGCCGAACTCGTTCTCGATCACGGCGATGCGCTTGCCGTGCTGCGCCTGCAGGATGAACTTGAGCAGCGTCGTCTTGCCCGCGCCCAGGAAGCCCGACAGGATCGTCACGGGGATCAGCGGCAGCGCAGGGGCGGCCTCTTCGAGCGTGGGCGGTGCGTCCTCCATCAAGATGATGCGCTTGCGTACTCGAGTGCGGAAATGCAGAGTGATGGACGATTCGTACTTAGCGTGGATATGGGCGCGTAAACCTGTGTGGCACACACCACGAAACGAAAATCCCGGCGAAAAGCTCCGCAAACGCCAAAGGGGAGAAGACCGCGGATATCGCGTTGACTGCGGTCCACAATGGTCAAGAAAGTCGGTACGTGGGCTGTCGCTGCTGCGTGAGGACGCATCTCTCTTATCTGTCCGCGTGGCTTGGGGTCTGATGCTTACTGCTGCTGCTGCTGCGGTCCCCAGGGAAGTACGAGATCGGCAAGACGCTGGGTGAAGGAACCTTCGGAAAGTGAGTCGAGACCCTCTGGAATTGAGTATCAATATATAGAGACCGTGGCGCTGACGAACCTGTTGCGGCGCGCAGAGTCAAGTATGCGGTGAACACGGAGACGGACGAGCGCGTGGCCATCAAGGTGCTGGACAAGGAGAAGATCCAGAAGCAGAACATGGGCGCCCAGATCAAGAAGGAGATCTCCATCATGAAGATGGTGCGCCACCGGCACGTGGTGGTGCTCAAGGAGGTGCTGGCGAGTCGCACCAAGATTTTCATCGTGCTGGAGCTCATCACGGGCGGCGAGCTGTTCGACAAGATCGTGAGCGAAGGAAGGCACGTGGTTCAAGCATGGGTTTTGGCGGTCGGTGCACGAGATGGTGCAGGATTCACTTGGCTGACTCATTTGGTGATCTTTTTGTTGTTGAAAACGAGCAGGTTCAGCGAGGATACGGCGCGCTTCTACTTCCGCCAGCTCGTGGACGGCGTGCAGTACTGCCACGAGAACGGCGTCTGCCATCGCGACCTGAAGCCGGGTGCGTATTGCAAGGCTTTGACTGTTCTGTGCGGGCTTACGGCTGATTATTCCGACGTTTGCACGACGCAGAGAACTTGCTGCTGGACGAGAATGGAGACCTGAAGATCTCAGACTTCGGTCTCTCGGCGCTGTACGAGGGCGGCGGCCCGGACGGCCCCGAGAGCTCTCGCGCTTCACTGCTGCACACGACGTGCGGCACGCCCAACTACGTGGCTCCTGAAGTCCTGGCCGACAAGGGCTACGACGGCCGCGCTGCTGATGTGTGGTCCATGGGCGTTATCCTGTATGTGCTGCTGGCTGGATTCCTGCCGTTCGATGAACCGACCATGTCGGCGCTGTTCCGCAAGATCCAGAAGGCCGAGTTCTCGTACCCAAGCTGGTTCACTCCGCGCGTTAAGGCGCTGCTGAACCGCATTCTGGTGCCTGATCCGGAGACGCGTATTACCATCAAGGAGATCCTGCGCGACGAGTGGTTTGTGAACGCTAACGGCTCGGACGAGCAGGTGGCCCCGGCCGCTGGACCGGGCACGATTAGCGCGGAGTTGGCGGCTGCTCCGGTTCCGAGCCCCGTTGACCACATGACTATTAAGCCGAGCCAGGCCGATCTGGACGCAGCTATCCTGGAGCACCAGGACGAGATTAACTCGGGCAAGAAGGAGAAGCCGGACGGCGGTCTGAAGGTGATGAACGCATTCGACCTCATCAACATGTGCGGCGGCATGGCTCTGAACCGCATGTTCCAGAGCAATGACGAGAAGCGAGTGAAACGGTCGACGCAGTTCACGTCAACCATCCCGGCGGCGAGCATCATGACTCGCCTGACGGGCCACTTGGAGAGTCTCCACTGCGAGATCAACGTGGAGAACTCGTCCAAGGTGAAGGCGGTGTTGCAGACACCCAAGGGCGCCGTCGGCGTTGTGATCCAGATCTTCATGCTCGCAGACAGCCTCCACTTGGTGGAGGTGCGTCGTGGCAAGGGTGATATCTTCGAGTACCACAAGTTCTACACGCAGTTGAACGAGCAGATGAAGGATCTGATTGCGGCTGGCAGCAGTTGAGGGCTGTTTGGCTTGAAACGGTAGCAAGTATGGTTCGTCCTGACGAGGAGAGCCCGCTGTTGGCCTCTCTAGGATTTCTCTTTTCATCTTTCGTGTTCCCGGGAGAATACACATACGAAACGCTATTGACTATTGCTCATTCCGCCATGTTGATGTTAGTGACGCAAAACATGGCGTCTCCCTTCTTCGCTGACATGGCAACAACACCAGTGGTACAATGCAATTTAGACGACAACTTCGGTTTTGGTGGGCTTCTGTGTCGCTCCACCACCAAGAGCGCCGCCGAGACCTCCACCAAGGGCCAAACCGCCAATCGTCGACATGATCGACGAGCCAGCTGACGAGCTGAAGGCGCCCAGGGCTCCCTGGGACATCAGCGACTGCATCTTTTGCTTGGCGTCCTTCTTGCACCTCGTGTAGCCGATGATGTTGGCGCCGCTCAGCGCCACCGCGACCACCACGATCAGCGCCCACTCGACGTTGAACTTGAGGACGGCGATGATAAGCAGCATGACCCAGACTGCCGGCGCGCCGTACAGCCCCGTCCAGAAGACGCGCGAGTCCAGCGGGTCGATCTCCGTCATGTCCTCGTGCGACTCGAAGACCCACTCGCTCGTTCCGTCCTCGTTGATCTTGTTCCACCAGCGCAGGCCCACGAGCAGTCGCCCCGTCACATTCTGCAGCGAAGCAACGGAAGCACAGCAGCAATAGAAGTCAGTCAACAGACGCACGGCGAACGATCCGTATCTAAAGTTGACAGGCATGCATGCACGAACCTTGACCGTCCAGAAGTCGAAGGCCAACAGGAGAATGCACACCACGAAGATGAACACAAAGTTGCTGATGAAGATGCTGCCGAACATATACAGGAGCAGCGCCAGACCCTACAACAGTAGCAACATAACATTAGTACAGGTGAACTAGCCAGTCGATAGGACTTCTCTCCTCTCCTCGCTTGAGGCGGCCTCGTACCTTGAAGAACAGGTGGAAGAATGCCGCCACCGGGTGCTTGGCGCCCGTCACCACCTTCCGCATGGACGTGAGGCTGCTCAGTGCACAGGAATCTAGTCAGAGACATCATCACAAAGGTCGAACCCTCTCTCCTGCTGCCACGTACAGAGCCTCTTTGTCGCTGGCTTTGGGGCTGGCAGCCGCCTTGGCGCTCGTGTCTTTCGCCGCTGGGGCGCTGGTCGGCCGCGCCTCTGGCTCGACGCTGATGAACTCCAGCTCTTCCTGCGGCTTCTTGTCCTCGGCCATCATGGCGCCAGCGGTGCAGTCGAGAGCTCTGCTTGGCTTTCAGTCGCGTGTTGCGAAATGGGATGTGTAAATGGGACACAAATCGAACTGTAATGGACGTTCATTGGAGAAAACTAGTTTTGACCAATAGAAGACTCTGATCAAAGTACTCTGTCCGGCTGCTACTGCGACTTGGTCTTGGACACCTGGATGATGGAGCTCTTCATGTGGATGCACGAAATGACCTCGGCGATGAACGGGGCCACCGACAGCGTCACGATCTTGGGCGAGACCTCGTCCGAGTTCATGTGCACGGGGATCGTGTTGGTGGTCACCAGCTTGTCCAGCTCCTTGCAGTTCTGCAGCGTTTGCATGGCCTGGAGGGGATTCGTAACACGTCAGTCGTCAACGCACCGAGATCGTAACACACCCAACAGTATTCCGACGTACGTGAGCAGAGTAGCGGGCGTGCACAGCAAAGGCAGACACGGTCTTGGCGCCGTTAGCCTTCAGCACCTTAGCGGTCTTGACCAGAGTGGAGCCAGTGTCCACCAAAGTATCCACGACGATGCAGTCCTTGCCCTTCACGTCGCCGACCAGCTCACCAGGCTGGTCTTCGTCAAGCTGGTGCTTGCGGATCACAAACGCCAGCGGAACGAACTCGTCAATCGTACGCGACAGCGTATCACGGAACATGGCGGCACGGTTCACAGCGGCCGAGTGTGGCGCCACAACAATCGGGTCATCGAGGCCCTGCTGCTCCGAGAAATACACAGCGCCGACAGGGAAGGCCTGGAGGTTGTCGACCTACTCAAGACGACAAAAAAATTGAGGTAAATATGCGGGCACAAAAACGTTCATAGTAAAACGAACGCCGCCGTACCGGGATCTGCGGCTTGAAGAAGCCTTCGATCTGCGCACTATGAAGGTCCACGGACACGACGTGGTCCACGCCCATCGTCTCCAGCATACGAGCAATGTCCTACAAAATTAGACATAGCAAATTCATCAGTACTCGACATTTCATGCATATCCGGGGCTGTGCGCCAATTCTGTTGTCGTACCGCGGCAGCAATCGGCTCGCGCCCCTTGTGCATCAGATCCATGCGTGCGTAGCCGTAGAACGGGATTACAGCCGTAATGCTCTTGGCCGAAGCACGGCGCATGGCCGAGATGGACAGCAGCAGCTCCATCAACCTGGCACAGTAGATAGAATAGCGTCAGCCTCCTCGCCCCCACGATCTTAGCTGTCAGCAGCTCGACCAACGACTCACCGGTCCACCGTGGTGGTGGAGCTCACGATGTAGACGCGCTTGCCGCGCACGTTCTCCTTGACGACGATGCTGGTCTCTCCGTCGTTGAAGTTCTTGACCTCCATGTTGTTGAGCTCGACGCCCAGGTAGTTGGCGATCTCGTCGGCGATGGGCGTGTCCGCGACCTTGAAGAGCTTCATGGACTTGGCGGCGCTGGGGTTCATCTTGCCCTTGTAGAAGTGCCAGTGCTTGGTGGTCGTGTTCGGGTACCACTCGCCCTTCTTGCCCTTGGACACCGCGGGGCCCGCGTCCGCCAGCGCCGACTGCGACGTCAGGCCGCCGCTCAGCACACCCAAGGCGCCCGCCGCGGCCAGCGCCAGCGGCGTGGAGCTGCGCAGCGATCGGAGACGGTTCTGCCGTCACAGAAGCATAACGTTAGCCAGCTACACCCTTAGGACCATACACAGATAGGCCGAGCGGCAGCAAAAGGCGGCGTCCCTCACCATTGCGAGCGTCGGCTGATAATCCGCAAGTGAATACTCGTCTCGGCCCGGCCAATTGTTGCGTGGTGTGCGAAACACGACGCCGAGTGTGTTCCGTGGTCACGCCTGTATTCGGCTATTCAGGACGTATGCAATTGAATAGTTACAACTAAACTGAAAGTTATTATTGATTCGTATTTGAGCATCTCAGCTATGCATGATAGTAGTCTACCGATATATGAAGGTTCTTAATGAATACAGTGTGGCAGCTACTTCGTGTGGGCCACCTGAAGATACTACTGCGACATGTGTCGACTTGCGGTTTGTATGTGGGGGATGGGGCCGGGCCCCTCGAACGGTTGGTGCGAACACGAAACGACCGCCTCAGTTCCCTCCGCAACCCTGCGCAGTCCCGCAGGCAGCAACAAGGCAACACCAAGTGGCGCTTAGAGCTCGAGACACCTAGACAGCCATGGGGGACAAGAAGTCGGACATGTACGACGTCAACTGGCAGAAGGTCTGGCCCGACCGCATGCCCGTGATCCTGCGCGACCTGGCGCCCACGAACCCCTTCAACCCGCGCAACCTGTGGCCGGAGGAGCAGGAGGAGGAGGCCGCCGCGGCGGCGCAGGCCCAGACTCAGACTCAGGCCCAGGCCCAGGCGGCCAAGGACAAGAAGGGCGCCAAGGAGGACAAGAAGGGCGGCGCCGGTGGCAGTGGCAAGCTCAAGAAGGCGGACCTGATCCGCATGCAGCTGGCCAAGGACAAGGCCCAGAAGCAGAGCAAGGTGGACGAGGAGAAGCTGGCCAACGTCAAGAAGTCCAAGAACCTGCTGGACATGAAGATGGTGACGCCCACGGGCCGCCTCAAGCAGCTGTACGAGATCCTGCGCGACTGCTGCAAGAAGAAGGAGTTCACGGACGCCGTGGACACGCTCTGGGAGATCCAGCGCACCAAGCTCATGCCCGAGCGCTCGGCACTGGGCCCCGACGGCCGCAAGAAGCACGAGAAGCAGCGCAAGATGGACGAGGAGGAGGACGCCAAGCTGCAGGCCGAGCTCAACGCCGTGCACAAGAAGTACCGCAAGTACGTCAAGACGGTCAACGATTACCTATCCGGCAAGGACCTGATCGAGTGGCAGCTCACGGAGATGTCGGACCGCCTGCCGCCGCTCAACATGCACCACATGAACAAGTTCATCCTCGACGACTGGCAGCGCACGGTGCTGGGCCACATCGACCAGAACCACTCGGTCATCGTGTGCGCGCCCACGAGTTCCGGCAAGACGGTGCTGTCCTCGTACGTGTCGGTCGTCGGTGGCAAGGTGCTGTTCATCGTCCCCACGGACCCGCTGGCGTGGCAGGTTGCCGCGCTCTTCCAGGCCATGGTCAAGGGATCCGTGGCGCTCATCACGGAAGGAACGGTCTTCCTGCCGCCTGGTTTCCGCATCGCTGTCGGTACGCCGCGCGCCGTTGAGTCGACGCTCGTTGAGATCGGCTACGACTTCCAGTACGCCGTGTACGACGAGGTCCACGACCTGAACGGACCCGAGGGCGACGCCCTGGAGCGCATCATCAAGGCTGTGACGTGCCCCTTCTTGGCTCTGTCCGCCACCATCGGCAACGCCCAGAAGCTCAAGAGCTGGTGGGAGTCGCACCTGGCGCGCGACGTGCATCTGCTGGAGTACAAGGGCCGTTTCATTAACCTGCAGCGTATCATTTGGTTCGAGGAGGAGGCCAAGGAGGAGAGCGCCAACAAGAAGGAGATGGTCTACCTGCACCCGTGTGCCGGTGTGACGCTGGACTACCTGACCACGATCGGTTTCGACGCAGGTGATCTGGCGTTCACCCCTCGTGATGCGTTCGCCTTGTGGCAGGCCATGGAGAAGTTCTACCCGAAGGAGCTGATTGAAGACGTGGACCCGCACAAGTTCTTCGAGCTGGAGGACGAGACCGAGGGCGACGCTGCAGCCCCCGCCGCTTCGAGCAAGAAGGACAAGAAGGGCAAGAAGGAGAAGAAGTCCAAGAAGGACAAAAAGTCCAAGAAGGACGATGACGACGATGAGGAGTTCGTCGTAGACCTGGGCAAGCGCACTCACCGTATCACGCTGATGGAGTCCAAGAAGTACGAGGACAAGATCAAGAAGCGCCTGGAAGAACTGGCGTCCAAGGAACCGAAGATCACCCAGACTCTGCTCGACTTCTTCGCGCCTCCGGCTAGTCTGCAGGACATCACGGTGGAGCTGCACGACCCGCGCGACATCAACCCCACCAGCTCGGTGGACGTGTATGCGCTCGTGAACCAGCTTTGCGCCAAGAACCTTGTTCCTGCCATTGCATTCCAGCTCGACTCCGTCCGGTGTCGCCAGCTCTTCAACCAGCTCCTTGCGTCCATTGAGGCCGCCGAGACGGCCAAGTACCCGAACTTCCGCGAGAAGGTGCAGCTTGAGTACGCCGAGTGGGAGAAAAACCAGGCGACCATGAAGAAGCGCGCGGACAAGGTGAAGGCCAAGGGCAAGGAGGAGGACGACCGCGAGGCCCAGGCATTCGAGGAGAAGCCGCCTCCGGACATTTACGCCCCGCACCCGGACTTCGTCCTCACCCCTGCTGGCTCGCGCCTCACTGCCACGGAGTTCAAGGAGATCAAGTGGCAGCTCCGTCGTGAGCTTTCAGAGGATTCGGATGACGGACACGCGCTGGTGCGCTCGCTTCGCCGCGGTATTGCTATCTACAACCAGAACCTGCCCGCGGCCTATCTGCGTATTGTGCAGGCCCTTGCCCAGGCTGGTCGTCTCGCGGTTGTCTTTTCGGACGACTCGCTGGCCTACGGTGTCAACATGCCGTTCCGCACGTGCTGCTTCTGCGAGGACACACCGAACGACGTCCTGACCTCGCTGATGGTGCAGCAGATGGCTGGTCGCGCCGGTCGTCGTGGTCTGGACAGGCAGGGTAACATCCTGTTCGCTGGCCTCTCGTGGTCGCGCATCCAGTTCTTGATGCGCGGTCTGCTGCCGGACGTCACGGGCCGCAAGTCGATGTACCCGACGATCGCCCTGCAAAAGCTGCTCTCGAACAACGTGACGGGCGACATCATGCAGCGCATTGTGGCGCACCCGCTGCACGACTACATGCTCCAGGAGGCCACGCCGTCGTCCCCGAAGAAGCAGGAATCGTACTTGACCAAGTCGGTCGAGTGGATGACGCACTTCGGCTTGACCAAGCCGGAGTACAGCCTCGCGGTGGACGTGTCGGTCGCCAAGCTCGTGTGGGAGTGCCGCGACGACCCGTCGGAGGCGCTGGGTATCTTCTGGATCCTGGAGGCGCTGCTGAAGGAGTTCCACCACAAGCCCGGTGACAACATCGCGCTGCAGCTTGCGCTGTTCAACATGCTGCTGCGCGTTGTTGGCCGCGAGAAGTTCCACCCGGAGTACGCGCACGGATCCGAGCTTGCCCCGCTCCCTGGCCAGGAGGAGGCTTGGGAGAAGATATCGGCCATGCTGCAGACGTACGAGGCCAAGCTGAACGAGCTGGGCGAGAACGCGCCGGAGGAGCTGCGCCTGCGGGTGGCCTTGACCGACCCGCTCGACGGCTACGTCTTCCGCACCGTCGTGGAGAACCTGATCCCTCAGGGCCTTGGCACGTCGCAGCTGAACCAGATCAAGAAGCGCCTGCGTCGCGTGGGTGACCGCCTCCGCCTGATGCACAACCTGCTCATGTACAGCGGACGCTACGGCGAGCTGGAGGAGATCGTGCGTAAGTGTTTCCGCCGTATCAAGTGGATCCTGATCGACTCGGAGGTGTAAGCGGCCGGGAGCGGGGCAGGAGAGTGACTGCCGGCCTTGACAGCAATCGTGCTGGGCTGCGTGAACAGCCAAACCAAGAAACGAAAAGGGCGATCGATGGAGCGTCGGTCGTCTCCAGCGTCGCACGGCGAGCTGGGCGGATGCGAATTCGTGCGCGTTGAGGCGAGCCGGCGCAGTCGAGCAGCTCCTAGAAATACACAAAAACAAAGGCGAAGTGTTTGCAAGCCGCGTCGTCACGAAAGCTGCCGTCGGTAGGTTCCAGGTACAGTAGCAGGGGGAGTAGACCCACCCGTGACGATAGCAGGCAGCAGCTTGGCCGCTAGATATTGGAAATACACAGACGCTGTTTTGACTAATCGGGGCGTCGACGGTTTTGCTCGTGGCTGTTCATGGCAGGCTTGTTGTTTCGAGCGCGGACGGAGTAACCTGGACGACACCTGCTGAGGAAATGGCATGGAGGACGCCCGAGGTACCAGGAGCGATGGACTCAAGCCGAGGAACAACGGAGACTCCGCAGGTCGTCCGTTCACGACCATGGGAGGTGCCCTGCTGCATCTAGACTCGACAACCCCTGCCACCCCCGAGTCGCCTCACCGTCGTCGAAGGCGCCAGTCCCCAGCGACTGCAGGTGCCGTGCTCAACCGCCAGTTCGAAGCGCCCGAAGCAGAGTTCGATGTGAAGAAGTTCCTGCTCAACCAGAAGGGAGCGCAGCCATTCCACAAGAGCTCGCTGTTCCGCGCGTCCAACTTCGCCAAGCAAGTGGCGTCCATGGAGCTGCCGGAAGTGGAGAGCTACGATAGGCATCCCAAGGTGAAGAAGGTGGGCATGCTCCCGCGGATGGAGCTGGGCGTGTCCAAGTCAACGGGCGTGTTACCTGGGAGCCTGAGCTCGCAGAAGTCGCGTCGAGTGTCCGCGAGCGGGGAACGTAACCAGCAGTCGGACGAGGAGGACAACGCCGCCATCTCGCACTTCTACTCCATCGAAAAGATGGCCGAGAGCTGCTTCCACGCCACGCAGAACAAGAACAAGACGTGGCTGTTCCTCCCGGGCTCCGACGAGCGCTCTAAGGGCAGTGACGGCTCCAGCTCCATTCGAGGCAACAGCATCACGGGCGTTGAGCGACCATCGCGTCGAGTGGACGTGCTCGACTTGGACCGGTGCTTCGACACGGCCATCCAGTTCGCCACCAAGAAGAAGCACCTGGACGTGGCCTGTGACGAGAAGCTGTCTATGATTGACCGAGACTTCATGGCCATTCATGCGCGGATCGCTCAGCGGTACAGCTCGGCTGCGACAGCGAGCGAGAGCTCCACGGAAGCTCATCAGATATTGACCAAGCTGCTCTTCGAGCAGAAATGGTCGGACGTCGTCATCGGAGAGCTCGAGTCCATGCTGACCGTGTCCTTCCTCGAGCAAGGCGTGATACTGCGCAAGACGCGGATCCTGTACGCCAAGGCGTTCTTCCAGTTGGAGCATCTCTACAGGAACCAGTGGCAGGAGCTCACGCGCGAAAAGGAGGACCTGGAGCAGCTCCGAGAAGAAGTCAGGCAGACGAACGAGCTGCACAGGCAAGACGCGCAGGGGATGAAGGAGCGCTACGAAGCCGAGATCCAGAAGCTGACGGCCAACTTTGAGAGCGTCAAGGGCGACATGGAGCGCCGCGTGACGGACTCGAAGGAGCAGATGACGAAAATGGGCGACACGATGAAGGCACTTAACGCCATCTTCCGGCAGATGCGCGAGGACACGGAGAAGGTGAAGGCGGTGGAGCTCCGGGAGAACTACATCAAGCTGGAGCAGAAGTTCGAGCAGTGTCGCGAAGAGTTGGAACAGCTACGCCCACTAGTTCACGAGAAGCAGCAGCTCCTGGACAAGATCGAGGAGCTCAACCGCGAGCGCGACGAGTGCAACGACCAGATCGCTAGTCTGAATAACCTCATAACAACCAAGGACAACATGATCGCGTCGTTGATGGAGCAGCAGAGCGATCTGATGGCAGAGCAAGAGCTGCGAGCGGCTCGAGACGAGGAGCTGCGCAGGCAGGCGGAGCAGGAGGAAGAGGACGAGCGAGAAGACCCCCCATACACGAAAGGTGACGGGCGTAGACGAACTTCGGTGTCCTCGACTGCTGTGTGTGTCCGCTGCAAGCAAGATCTGCGCGTGATGTCTGCGAATGGAGGCCTCACCGAAGGTGACAAAGGATCAGGTGGCGAGCGCAGCAACTCGATCATCGTGAGTGAGACGGAGGGGTTTAAGCTCCCAGTCAAGAAGAAGCGGATCCAGTGCCTCTACTTCCGCATCCTGCTGCCAAACCTTGGGGGGCGCCGACCTCAACGGGAAGTGGCGTGGACATTCAGCTGCATGCGGTCCATCATGTTCGCCAAGCAGATCGACGACTCCATGTGCAAGCGCACAGGTGGCGTCTTCCCTCTACGCATCCGCATGCCCGAGTACGTCTACGCGTGGTTCTCGCCGTGGCGCTCCATGAAGGAGGAGAAAGCAATAGCCGAGGAAGGAGAGATTGACGCGGGGCTTGACGCTGAAGCTGGTGCCGACCCCATTGACCCCCATGCCGTGACCTCCGCCGAGCACCACCAAATGCAAGCTGACGAGGATCGTTGGTGCTTGTACTACGGAGTGCGCTCCCTGGTCCAGCAAGGGTATTTGGAGGCCAAACTCTTCCTGTCCCTGTTAGACGAGAAGTTTGGAGAGGACGAGCAGGTTTTCATGCTCCATTGCTACCGTGTTCTGGACGTGCTGCTCGCTGGGAGGTTGAACTGGGGGCCACTACGCGAGAATGTATCGTACGAGATGTTCACCAAGGAGTACGACGCTCTTTTTGGACGAATTCCGACGAACCCTGACGGTGTATCACCCCCACCGGTCGAACACGTCGCCCCTCAGGTGCCAGCCCAACGAGTGCCGAAGACTATCTGGATATCCCCATACCACGCATCACTTGCCACCAGTGTGATCCTCTCCAAGGCCACCGAAGCAGAGCGGGCGGCGCTCGACAAGAAGATACTGGAGTACGTGGTCACGAATGTGCCGGAGGAGGAGCGGCCAGAGATCTACCTGGAGCCCAAGCTGTCCGACGAGCCTGAGGCAGTGCACAAGAAGAAGAGACCGAAGCTGGACCGGCGTAACAAGAGCAAAATGGGAGACGACATGGTCGCTGACGACGCGCCGCCTGCGCCTCAGTTCGTGGACGCGAACCTGTGGGTCGAACTCATGATGCTCGAGTACAAGGAGGAACAGGCCCATCGCCGCGCCGCCATCCGACTCATGTTCCAGACTGCTACGACATCAGCGGCAGCATCCGCCTCCGAGTCGGCAGCCAACATGTCGCTCTCAGCCATGCTGGGCATCAACTACACGTCGATGGACATGGAGCAGTTCCGCGTGATGCTGCGTACGCTGAACGACGAGATTCCTTCCTTCTGGGTGGCCACGCTCTTCCGGAATGCGTACATGCGTGGGAATGGCACAGTCAACTTCGATTCTTTCATGGACGCTGCCGAGACGTGGCAGTTTTTCTCGACGTGCATGCGTCTGGAGAGCCCCAGCTCCGTCATGGCAAGACTGCTAGCCAACCCGCTGTCACGGACGCCGGCCGTCCTATCGCCCAGCTCCCAAGCAGCTTTCGTGGTCGACAAACTCTTCACTTTCGTTGGGGACGAGCTCCGCATGACGATCGAGGCTCTGCCCATCTGGACGCGCAACATGACGGATTCGCTCGCGTACGACATTTCCTCGTCCATGCGGGAGGGGAGCTTCAGCGATGGAGTGCGAATGCTGACGTCCTTCCAGAGGCTCATCGACAGTCTGGGAGTAGCCAAGCTTGTGCGCCGCGAGACAACAGGAAGTCTACTGAGCTCCAAGGACCTGTTCAGCATCGAGAAGGCATTGGGAGGCCTGCTCGACTTCGCTCGGCATAGGGACAAGTCCACGTACGTGTTGCTCGTTATGTCCTAGTTGCTGTGTATTGTCCTAACCTCGACGTGTTTCTAGGGTGGAGCTCTTGATCGACGCGGTGAGGCAGAAGCTGTGTGTCCGGCGTGTCCAGATGACGTTTAGAAAGCGCCTGGAGCAAGACAACGGAGCGCCTTTGGTGCTGCGATCTCTGATGCATCGGCGGTACGGCAGCGATCACCTGGACTACCGTCGACGACGAGCAGAGCGGCCTGTTATCTGGCTGCGACTCATAATCTCCTCGATCCTGCGGCAGTCGATGCAGTCGATGCGGATGGCGTATCTCCTCGTGGAGCTCAGCAGTGTGAGCAGCGCCTTCCACGCCGGGCGGTCGTCGCCGCTGCAGTTGTCCGTGTCCAGCTCGCTCAACGGCGGCATCGGGCCAACCCCCAAACCGATCTTCGTGGAGCTCATCTACGACTACTTCCTCGGGAAATTCGGCACGCGCTGCGAGGCCGAGCGCGTGATCCACGACGTCTTCTCCACCTGCCGGTCGCTTGTACGCACGGACCCGTTAGCGCAGTTGTTCAGCTATCTCTGCTGCATGAGCAACTCGTGCCCGGAGGATCGGCTTCTGGGCCAAAATGAGGCGCTGGCCTTCCTTCACGCAGTCTTCCGGTGCGGACTGCACAACTTCCGCCTCATCAATCCTGTGCCACCCTCAGATAGCGCTGTTCCAGACCCTCCTCACGATGGTGCAGATACTGCATCGCAGGTCGCATCTTCGATCGCTGGCCAGACGGACTTCGTGCCGATCGATGTGGCTGAGACCATCTTACAGACCGCGTTTGCCAAGCTGAGCGCCGACCAGAAGATACGCCTGAGGTTGCGTGCCATCGAGGCAGCAAGTGACGGCAAGAGCGCCGCGTCCCCGTCGGAGATTGAGGCCAATGCGTTCCTTGTGTTCGCACTTCACGAGTGGCGGCGCTACATTCTTCACCGACTCAACGAGATCCGCGTGACCTGCTGTACAGTGGAGGAGGAACTGGCCCAGTTCGAGGAGCTGCTCCCGCTGGAAACGCTCGCGGGCATCTTGCAGAAGACGGGGATCGCCTACACCTCCGAGGACTTGTGCATTATCTTCCGACGGCTGTACATCACTGAGAAGGCACCAGCAAAATGCAACGATGGAGGTGGTGATGCACCTAACGCTGCCCCAACGACGGACCCTATGAGCGACCGAATCGCTGCCGCCTGCTTCCCGCTGGTTGCGAAGGAGGCTCTGAATGAGCTGCAGGTGCTGGAACACGCGTCCGCGAAGCCCTTTGAGATCAGGCCGAGCCCGTTGCAGAGCTACGAGCTGCTGGTGAGCACCTGGGACGACTACCAGGAGCCATGTCGCGACTTGCTGGAGGAGCTTCGGCAGATCGGCAAGAACAACGACATCCAGGCCAAGGCGCTGTCTCGGTGGCCGGCGACGCACAGCGCGGGTAAGAACAGCGGCGGCGACGTCCTGTACTTGAGCTCGTCGTCGGCAGCGAACACCGTGTCGAGCCAAGACGTGGCGCAGCTGGAGGCGGTGCAGGCGCTGTTCCTGGACAAACTCCAGCGACTTACCGAGGTATTCGACAGCAGCAGCCAGGAGAGACAACGCAGTTCTGCTGGGGGTGCGTCCACCGGCAGACGACGAAGCAGCATCAACATCAAGCACGACGGATCTCTGCAGCTGGTAGATGAGGTGATCGCCCAGGACATGATGGTGCACGAGACCTGGAAGGTCTTCCGCCAAATGTTCGTCGGCTTCGTCAAGCTGCGCGCGATCGCACGGATCGGCAAAGGAGCTCTACCCGATCAGTGGGAAGTCTCGGGAGATTATTAGCAGCGATGCAATACTGCATCTGAGCAGCAGGGTTAAGCTTAACCCTCCCCAACGCCGTACTAGGGCTTCGCGGGGGCTGAGATAGCGAAAATAAAACAGAACAGATATACGTACAGCGCACACGACTTAGGCGCGCCGCACTTGCGGCGCACCAGTCGTCCGCGCTGTGCGTATTATATTATGAACATCCACAACTACCAGATAAGCAGCTTCTTAGTGCAATAACCCACTTGCGATAATATCATGTTACTTTCTTACCTCCGCGCTGTTAATAATCAAATACAAGCAAGCTATTAGCTGCAACAGCGCCCTGCCAAGCACTTACCTTCGTGCTGTAACTTCGTCCTGGTGTTGCGTCTTCGGGTCGGGCGTGAGAATGGGAAATGGTTCGAATGAAACTTGATGATGCGATTGATGCTTCCTCACCGATAGAGACCGACTAGATAATTATTTAGATGACCTATTAAGTTTACTTTCATAAAATTTCAATATATGATGGATACTTAAACAGGTGCGATACACGCACGGCTTCATGCGACACCGATTTAATCCTGTGCCGGCTGCGTAGCAGCATACCTCACGGTACACATGCTATCTCAGTATAACCTTAGTTATGAGCTACACCTGATCTGCAGCGGAGAGATGCTGCGAAAAAGTGCATAAATTGCTGATACATACAACAATCAAATATAACACCGGGAAGAGCTGTAAAAAGTCGCCTAGTTTTGCGAGTTCTGATTGGCCAGATTGTCCTGTATCCCCTAACTATTAGTTAATAACTAGTTGTATCCCATAACTAAGGTTATTCGGTACTGGGACGCAGTGCTGCCGATCGTCATGGACATCTTGTGCTCGTCCTAGGGGCTGCTGTTCCTGTAACGGAAAAGGACGAGTATGAAGTCAGATACTATTTCATGGAAAAGGGCAAATTATGTGGCGAGTATGTGTCTAGGATATCGTACTTAGAGGAATGCAAGATTTGCAATTTATCGTACTTAGACGAGTGTGAGATTTGCGTGGCCCGCATTACAAGCGACCAAAAATGAATGACAAGTCGAAAATGGAAATGACGAAGTTGTGCGTTCATTATTCATCACTAATACTAACGAGTTCTGAAGCCATGAAGAACTACATATCCCTCATCTGTTCACGTATGCAACTCACGCAAAAGACTTTTTGTGCTTCAAAAATCAACCTCAACCGCGTACATTTTGTGAAAAAATAACATCCTGCGTGCAGCGTTTTAAGCGCCGCCCTGAGGACGATACAGAGGCGGCAACGTAACGAGTGCACTCCCAAAGCATCATACAAGAAGTATCGAGGAAGGATATCTCTTAGCACATCATTGCGTGTGGCTATTCAACACAAAAACGCAATCCATGCGCAAGTGGGCGTTCAAATGTTTTTTTTAGCGATAAAGCTTCTCCAACCTATATTCACGAGCCTGCATGAGCTCCTACTAGCCGCAGAAGTGCGCAACCGCACCTTCCCACTAGGCGGCATGTTCATACGCACGTACGTTTCTGGGTCATCGTTCACGCGCCGCCGCCGCGCGCCTCGCATCACGTTGCTTACCTTGAAGCCTGCAAATTCCAAAATGAAAAGAGTGGCTGGGAGCGATGCAGAATCAGATTTCTGGTCCGGCACATACTCGTCATATATTTCGTATTTTCTCGTGAAATCGTATGTGGCTATATTCACTCCGAACGGAAAACGCCGATTTGTACAGAAATCTGCCTCAATACCGAACGGGTATACAAAACATAACCTCATATAAATAATACTTCAAGGTCCAACAACAAGACGAACGGGAATGGGCAAAGGTACTGATGTAAAAATCCACGATACCTTTGTTTGGCTAAAAGTACCAAGCTGTGCAGTTTGAAAAGTCTGTGCGATCTTCTCTGTTTTTACGATTCCACTTTCACATTTGCGCACTACCCGCTAAGCCCTCTACGAGTAGTACAAAGTAGAGCTACTATCCGCACTGATGTGGTGGGAACACGCTTGGTCGAAGGTCAGCGCTGAAACAGCTCAGCACTGCTTTACTCGGGTTTGATTAACTAAGCAAGCGTCAAATCCCGGCTAAAATAAACTAATTCAGTACAGCCTTTTCTCTGGTAACGCTGAGATCACTTTATAGACCTGGCAGAGTTCTGTATACTGCATACTATTGAATTGAACACTTGTGAAAGATATACAAATTGGAGGGGGGTATACTATCAAAGTAGCTCCGACGATACAAGCCTGGATATTTTGTAGGGAGCTAGCTACGTTCTGCAAAGCCCCTCTGAGACGTCGTACATTGCATGTACCAGTCTTCAAACCGTGGATACACCCATAGGTTGCGCAGAGTTGGTTCACAACGCCTGTCATGCCGTTAGATGCAAGCAGAACTTAGATCACCCATTTTTTTCTTTGGGTACCTTACGGTAATTTTGCGTAAAGTTCCAAAAATGGCAAACCGTGCCAAAGACAAGTATCACTTTAAAGATAAAACAACCGGATCTTGCTTGCCGTATTTGACAAAGTAATCCATACATGTAAAATAAAATGTGATTTTCCATTTCAAGACATCCCTTAGCCAATCAGAAGATGTTAACATGCTAAACTTAACATAAAATTTGAAGTTCTAAGAAATTTTTATGTACCCAACGTTCAACTTGGTATTTAATTCGGGGAGGGTACGCAATTTGGCGCTATCCGTTACATGTACACGATAAAGAATGACAACAGTGAGTGTGAGAACATCCCGTTGTACTCGGCGTGATTAGGCTTCCGATGTACTCGGCGTGTCCACTTGCCTTGCTACGCTACGGATCGTACCTCGCCATTGGCCCAAAAACAAAATCGTACACTCCGCAGTCTTGGAGTGCGGTGGCTTCAAGAGCAAGTGCTTCAACTGTGACGAAGTGGGCCACATGAAGCGGGACTGCCTGGAAAAGGCAAATGGAGACACCGCCGAAGAATCGGTGTTTGCTGTGGCGGAGAATCCATCAGCGGGTTGGCTGATCGATAGTGGGGCGACGGCTCACATGACGTCTCACCGCGATGATTTGTTCGAGTACAACGAGTCGTCGGCGGACATGTATGTGACAATCGCGGACGGGAAGAAGATCCGCGTGGCTGGGAAAGGGTCGGTGCGCCTAACGGGCATCGACGGCAAGCGCATCAAGATGGTGGAGGTGCTCCACATCCCCGGACTCGACCGGCGACTACTCTCGGTTGGGAGGTTGGCTGAACACGGCATGAGTGTCGAGTTCCAGCGGAAGTCGTGCGTCATCTGGGACAAGACGAAGGCGATCGCTTCGGGGAAGAAGGTCGGCAAGGCGTACTTGCTGGACTGCCAGCAGGACATGGCGTACTACACCGAGTACTTGGGAGTCGACGGAAAGTGGGAGCTATGGCATGCTCGAATGGGACACTTGAACGGAGACGGGCTCCCGACGACTCAACAGCAGACGAAGACCCCTTGCGGCGGATTCATGAAGGGCAAGCAGACGGTCGCACATTTCCCGTCGCGGTCGACGTCAGCGACGACTCGACCGCTGGAACTGGTTCATACGGACGCGATGGGTCCTACGAAGACGAAGTCCAAGGGCGGAGCGAGGTATGTGCTCACCTTTGTCGACTACTACTCGCGACACGTCGTGGTGTACTTCCTGACCAAGAAGAGCGAGGTCGTGACCAAGTTCAAGTCGTTCATGAAGCTGTACGAGAACCAGTGGGGACAGCGCATTAAGTGCCTGCGCTCGGACAATGGCACTGAGTTCGTGAACATGCCGATGACTGAGATCTGCCGGGTGAACGGTATTATGCATCAGAAGACGGTCCCGTATAGCCCCCAGCAGGATGGCGTGGCGGAGCGGATGAACCGCACGATCATGGAGAAGGCTCGAAGCATGCTGCACTACTAGGGCGAGGCTTCGATATGGTGGTCAGAGGCTGTCAGCACTGCTGTCTATCTGATCAACCGGTCGACGAACAGCATACACCCGGCCAAGACTCCGTACGAGTTGACGTTCAAGTCGAAGCCTCGGCTGGATCATCTTCGAGTCTTCGGGTCTATGGGTTAGGCTCATGTCGACAAGTCGCGACGCACCAAGTTGGAGCCGAAAAGCTTCAAATGTATGTTTCTTGGGTACGCCGACGACTCAAAAGGCTACCGAGTGTACGACTTGGAGTCGAACAAGGTGAAGGTGTCCAGGTCGGTGAAGCTGGTGTGACGAAGCGCCCGTGCTTTTTGAAGGCTCAGGTAGCTAGACCGCTCGACCTTGGTCTTCGCTCAGCCCTTGCACCACTTGGCTCAGCCCTGCTTAGCGCTGCGAGAGTTCCGCTCAGCTCCTTCCGCTGAGCGAACACTCCCACTCCGCTTCGCTAGGCTTAGCTGCTTGAACGCTTGGCTCAGCTCCGACTCGGGCGGGCGAGGCGTGTGTTCCTCACTCTGCGATCCCCTTGGCGGTTCGTTCGATCACGGCTACGCTGTGGGCCCAGACTCGCGTCGGCCACACCAGCTGCTGTAGATGTTGAAGGTCTCCGGAGGTGTTCCCAGACGAAACTCGCTCCCCACTTGGCGAGTCCCAGTCCGCACGTGTCCACAGCCCGAAATGCCCCGGGTTTTCCTTAATGAACCCAACACCACACACAATAGCCTCCACTTCCTCTCTTTGGTTCCGGCTCAGAACCACAACACCCCTTCTTTCCCGGTCGGCCTGGGTCTGGGCCGAGTTCGCCTTTATTTCTCTGAGCCTGGGCGAGGATCGTACCGGCTTCTCCTTTCGTCTCTTCGAGTCAAGCAACGACCCGGTCTGGAGTTAGTGCTCGGTTTGAGCCTAGTCCCAATCCAAGACACTCACACACACCCTGGGACTACCCGCGCACCAGGTCCACAATGAACCGATACTAATAATCACACAATGCACCGGGGCACGCCAATGTCCCCAAGCACACAATACAATTACCCTGCCTAAACCTCAGAATGGATCACCTTCCACCCGAAAATATGAAATACACCCTAAGATGTAACAGTAATATGAAATAACCGTACTGCCGTCGCACCGAAGCACTCTGACAACGTTGATATGTTAGCTTGAATTTGTGTGGATGATCGCCAAGACACCTTCTGGCCAAAGACCTCCACCACTTGCGTCCTTCGGGGCAAAACGAACTCTGTTTAAATGTTTACACATGCACAAACTAGGCCTCACTAAGTGGGGGCGCAATATCCCCCTGGGTACACACTGACTGGCTGCGCGAAGAGCGTCGGCTGTATGCTTACCGGGCGCCTTTGAAGATCCGCCCGATATCCTTGGTCTTGGCCAATGCGGCGGCTCCACGTCGGCGGGCGTCGTCTTGGAGCCGCTGGAGGCCGTTGAGATCCGCTTGAAGTGTCCGCGATCTTGGGCGGTCGCACCCAATGTAGGCTGGCTCATGGCTGATTCACCGGATGAGTGTACTCGCCGGTGCCACCAACTTCGCCGTCAGTACCACTGTCTGGACTTAAGTCCAGCGACCCTTCACGCGGCACTTCAACTGGACTCCGACAACTCCGCTCAGACCCATGCCACGCCACTCAGGTCCACGACGCTCCGCTCAGCTTCTCGACTTGAGGGGAGACTCCGGTCATCACGTCGAGGCTGTGCTCAGACTCCACGTCGCTCCGTTCAGACCTTCGATCCTCGCCCAACTTGTCGACTTGGGTGAAGACTCCATGACCACAGGAGAAGCTAGACTCGGGCTCGGCACGACCCCGCTCGGGCGCCTGCTCCTCGACTCAGCTCGGCATCTTGGACAACCACTCCATAATCACTGGGGGAGGTTGAGCTCGAACTCCACCCGGCTCCGCTCAGACATCAGCGCCTCTGCTCAGCTCGACGATCTGGGCGAAGACGACATGGTCACAGTGGATGCCGAGCTCATGCTTGCGGCGGCTGCAGAAGCCATCGGTCAGACATCAGGGATGAGCTCAAACCGGAGACGCTTAGTGCCAAACATCCCAGACCCCAAACGCTTGACTACCCAGCACAGAGTCTGAGCGGAGACTGCATGACACCAACATCAGCTCAGGTCCATGTTCTCGGATGCTCAAAGGCTGTAAGCACCGATGCACCACCAAACTCCAACGATAATCCTGTTACCGTGCTTGGGCGAGATGAACTCAGGCAGACGACAGACGAGGTCGGGAGAAAAATGCTCTCGGGCCTCGTCACACTGGACGAGCGCGAGGTGAACGGCATCTACGGCATGGCGCCGATCGAGAACTCGCCGATCATTGAGTTGACGGAAGATGTCGAGGATTCGGCACTGCCCGAGGAGATACAACGACCTGCCGCCGACGAGCCGATGGAATCGGTGGAAGAGACCGTCGAGGACACGGAGACGCATGAGGTGGAGACGTCGGAGCGATCCATGCAGGAGCTGACAACGTACCGACGACTCGCGAGACCGGTATTGAATGATGACATGGTCTTCCACCCCGAGTCGGAATGGGTCCGCCGCGCCCGAGAACCGGTATTACTACTTGGAGATGGTTTAGCAGACGGCGAGGAGTCGAAAGAAGATGGTCCAGATGACTCGGAGGACGATGAGCACTTCTGGCCGCCGTCTCCGAAGCGACCAAGGGTGGACGAAGACAGCCTATTGGCTGAGGCCGTGTTGGCTTATGCCGCAGACGTCGGCGATGCCAACGACGCACCCATCACGTATCAGCAGGCCATGCAGAGCGACGAGTCGTGGGAGTGGGTGAAGGCAATGAATGCGGAGCTCAAGGCACACGCGGACAACGGGTCATGAACGCTGGTCCGTCGGACACCGAGTGCTCGACCGATCGGTTGTCGCTGGGTGTTCGCAAAGAAACGCGGCGAGCACGACCGAGTCATCAGGTATAACCCACCGGCGACCGCTCTTATCCCGATTTTGCACGGATAAGATTAATATAGAAATTTGTATACTGGTGGGATAGGGTAAGCGAGGTCCCCAGCGGCCTGCCCCGACTCTTCGGGTTCCACCGGCTGTCAATCTCATCGGTCAGAGTTATCCAATCAAAGCTTGGATACGGCCGTAATATTAAGCTCTGTCGAGATTTCGATTGAAAAAACCTTGGCGTAATTCGCAGGATAATGCGAACATTCGCTAAGTGAGTGAATTGTGAATATCGCGGTTGATGGACGTGCTCGGCAATCGCTGTGACACTATCCCAGGGCAAGCACGGCACGGCACATGATGGACGCCTTCTACTGCAACGACGAGACGTACGAGGCACAACCGAAAGCAGAACAACTCAATCTCGGTACGCTGCTCACTCTAGCCAACCTGTTGCCCCATTGCTGACGTGTTTCTCGACTGCAGGCGAGGCAAGCGCTGGCGGCACAAGCCCCCCCATTCCATCGGCAGTACACCCGCCTGACTTCCTCCTTCCTCTTCGCCATGCAGGGCTATGGCTACTCGCAGTACCAGGCGCACTCGCCGCACCACCAGCGCAGCGGCGAACTTCCCAAGCTCTACTACAAATCCCTGGACCACGGCACCAATAGCGGCGGCTTCAATGGCCCGGCGTACATGAACTCCAGCAGCACGTGAACCCGAACAGCATGCAGGCCCGGCACTAGGCCCGACGCCGCAGCAGGGGGCTTCGACTACGAGCCCATCAGCACCCAGGCAAATACTACGCGCTGTCGCCCAAGGCCTATCGATACAACTGGGGCGGCTCTCAGAGCCGCTCTGTTGGGCTGCGGTCATACGTCAGCCCACACGGACAAACGTTCGCGTGAGGCGCCCTAAATGAAGGAGAAGAAGCGCGTGTTCAAGCTAAACGATGGCATCAACCATCACAAGACGCTGCAGGACGAGGCCGGACGATCAAGCAGTCCATCGTGTGATCTCGAATCAGAGTGCGGAGCGCGCCTAAAAGCAGGCGGATCGCCGAGGACCAAAATGGTGGTGGCTAAGGCGGTGACGTCAGCGATGAGGGCTATAATACCCAATGGTGCTGCCAAAACAGGCTCTCACTGCAACAGCAGCCTTTGCAGGCGGATGCAGTGAGTATGTCTTTTAGTGTAAGGATCTAGTATAAAATAAAATAAAGGCATTCCATAGAATTGAGCGACAGTCAAAATGAACCTGTCAAAAGTCGCGGTCGCTCCTCAGTGGTACAGTACACATCGTGTGGGGGGAGATTTCTCCGAGAAGATCATGGCCGACGCAAGTATGTACACCGACGGCAGGGCGGCCGACAGCAGCAGCACTGTGGGTGGCAGCAGCAGCGATGACGAAGAACGCTCGAACCTACAGGAGCTCACAGCACGAGGGCGCTCCGAGAGCCAAGGGCAGCTCAGCGATCAAGATACCGACTTAGACCGCTCCTCCTACTTTGTTCTCTCGGGCCCTAACTACACCTACGAGGCTGTCCCGGTGCGCATGTATGTCCTACTTGTGGTGGCTATTTGATATCTAACCGTCCTGCTTGCATACAACAGGCTTTCACGCCGGATGTCAACCGAACAGCATCAAACAACAAGAAAATTTATGGCAAGCCGATGTCTGTAGGAGAGGTACGTGCACGTTTCTTTGGTGTTTCAGTGGGCGTCACGATGGCTCAATTCCGATGTGTGCCTAGACGTTGGAGAGATTTCAATGGCACCAGGGGTTCCTTGACTTTCACACCCTCCAGCCAGTACGCAAACCTTCACGCGACTGGGTGGGTATGCGAATTACTTGAGTTCTGTGGCGTAGTCTAACAAATGTTATTATGCAACAGGTTTACGAGCCTAGATTCAGGTCTACCAACCATGTAGACGCATTTCTAGCCGCCCTTCAGCTCTACGAGATGTATGCGCAGTTTCAGAATGACGAAGACTCGAGTCACATCTACGCGTGGTTGCAAGCGTCCCTGAAAGCCTCGAAGGTATTTCACGCGTTCTGTGGTGCCAGGTGTACTCCCAACGCTAACGTGCCATTGACCTCTGTGTAGTTAACGCTGACTATGATAAAGCGTCGACAGCGCCTGTGCGAGTGGGATATTGAACGCTTAGACGCTTTTCTCGATTCCCATGTTGAACACCATATCGCCATGGAGGCAGATGAATCGTACGACGAGAATGCTATCCGGGAGCATACCAAGGAGGGGTTTTTCAAAGAGCTCGAGTATAAAGCTCGAGTCCAAGAAGCCGCTGCGCTCGAGTGACTTGCTGTCTGGACGTATTAAACCGACGTGATGTTTCCTCGTCTTGGGGTATCGTTGAGACGCTAGTACGTCGGAAAGTGCTTAGCCCAGCTTCACAGAAGCATACATATTTTGTTAGCGATGCTGAGATGTAATGAAGAAGCCCATGCCTACATATATTCCGTCATCGCTCTCTTATTGTAGCATAGATCTCAACGTTGACAACCAGCTTGGCCGCTGTCGATGCCAAGGTCGGCTTCGCTCTCCCTCACAGGCGTATTTGTATTAAATTTTGTATGGCAGATGTCAAGATTGACTTCGCAGTGAAACATAGATCTCAACGTTGACAACCAGCTTGGGTCAAAGCTGGCTTCGCTCTCCCTCACAGGCGTATTTTGTCAAGATCGACTTCGCAGTGAAATATTGACTCCCACCTAATTATCCGACTCATTCTGCTGCTCGGCCCCGCTGAGCGTACATTCCACCGCGCCGAGCAGCTCCGCCAGCACTTCCGCCACGGCCTCCCGCTCGCTCTCATCCGGGGGCCTCTCAGTCGCAGTTACTCCTTTTTCATCCTGTCCTGCTGCATCTGCGCCTGGCCGCTCTGGCTGATGCACTTGTACCTCTACGTTTCGCGTGACACTTGGAAGCGGTAACTGCGAAGATGACACCGAAGCAGCCCCATCGACATTCTGAACATCGGTCTCGTATTGCCTTGGTAGTACAGCATCCGAGGAAGCTGTGGCCATCCTTTCCGCGCGTAACTCCTCCTTCGACCGACGCATTCGGATCCGTCCGACCTTTTCAGAGTGCGGAAGTTGATCTCCGTTCTTCCATTTCGAGTGCCAAATGTTAAAGCACGATACAGAATTACCATCGGATACGTTTCGCGCCTTGGAACACAAAAACAGTCTTCCTCGATCAGTGGAGCACTGCTTGCAGTAATGACGCGTTGTACCGGGAGGTCGATTCGATCCAGGGCTGCCAGCACCACGCAGTACCGAACAAACTTTGCACACGCGAAACTTGAACTGTCTTGTCCGTCGACACCATCAATTGATGCTTCGAGCTTGCTAGCGAGTACGCCGTCGAAACTGGTGTCTGGTTAGTTCTTGGCTCCACCTCGGTAACAGCGGCTTCGGCGACTGGCACCGTTTCCAGGAATTCATCATCTCCGAGAGCGAGTAGCTCCTCGTGTAGCTGAATGAGAAAATCCGCGTGTGAAAGAGGTTTTTCCCCCACCGACTTCGCGTACTCACGGTGGGTGATAAATGCGTTAATAACAGCTATGTCGAGAAGCCCGTAGAAAACATATTGTAGTATTTCTTCGGTCGCATGACTCTTTGAATGGAGTACCTAGTCCAAAGCATTTTCGGCGTAAGTGATGGGCGGCAGAACCGCAACAGAGCAACACGTACCTTTGCAGACGTAACTGGTCGTGACTGTCAACACCCCCCCATGTACTTGTTGTACAATACCACAAACTCCGGACACGGAATGTTGCCTGTGAGCCGTCCTTTTGCTTCCTCCGCACAATCGCACGTCTAGCGGAGGCCCCAGTCGCCACAAAGTAGCAAATTTTCGAGTCGACCCACCGCGTCGAGTACATTTGACGATTCATATTGTTCCGAGCAAGAATGTATGAGCCGCGCGGCATCCCTCTCGAAGCTGATTTTTTGTCGGTCGTCAAGTCTTCGGGGAAGCCAAGACGCGTCGTAGAAACCGTCCCGATATTGTAGTACCCCATGTCCATCAAACGAAACCCCAACGTCACCGAAGAATACTCGCGATCAGTGATGATGATCCGCTTCTTGGATCGATCCACCCGACGCTGTTCCCACAAGGCTTTAAGGTTTCGAACCATAACAGCTGGTCCACTTCTGGTGTCAACAAATTGACTGTTTTGTTTCTTACCGCAATAAACCTCGAACCTGAGCATGAATCCACAGCGTTCAGATACCGACTATATAAAATAGCGCAAATGAGCATACCTGGAGCAGTAGTGGGTTTTCCCGCAACAGCTTGGTGCCGTACTTGTGCGGCTTATTCTTCAGGAAAACTCGTATATTGTTCCGCGAACTTCTTGAAGGGATAACCATCTCGTCGAATGCAACCCAGCGCCCTAGTTCCATTCCACCCTTGAAAGTAGTCTGTAACTTGTTTATCACGTTGCGAATCTTCCATGCCCGGTCCGTCTTAGCCTGCGGAGCCTGGTTGTTCGTAAAGTGGAGAAATCTGGCGAAGGACGTGTTAGTGGGCCTTTTATTATATAACGTGGAAGTCACAGTACCTGTTAATCTCCTTGAAATGCTTGCGAACCATAAATGGCGACCAAGTTCCAGCTGGGATCGCTCCACGGGCTCGCGTCTTCCAATGATCTTCCAGTCGAGACGTTATCGGGCAAATAGCCCTGGATATTACTAGGACCAGAAAATGCATGATCTCCGCGGCAAGTACGTCTTTGAACGCGTCCAACGCCTTTTTCTTTGCTTGAAACATTTCCTTGCGTTTGTAGATGTCGTCCGTCTTCTTTTCAATGGACAACTTCGCCTGTCGAAGTCTTTCCGGTCGTGTCTGACGCTCGTAACGATTAGTTTCCTCGGCAATCTCCGTCCAGAGAGTCTTCGGCATGTAGTAAAAAAAAAGATCAGAAGGTTTCATCGTTTTCGCTGCCTCTATAGCCGAGGCAGTAAGTTGAGGAGGGTCCGTAAACACATCCGTAGCGCCGGACAGGTCCGAGTCATCCCGTTCGTCGGTTACCGGTAGCAACTCCCAACCATTGTCAGACATGCCTCGAAGCATTTCATCTGTTATGTAGTCCTGGGGGCCGGCAACCGCGCGAATTTCCTCTGCTGTTTCGACACTAAAACTTTCGTTTCCGGTATCACCCGCAATATAAAGCTCATCTGCAAACTCATCTTCAGAATCGTCGTCGGCACTCTCGCCAGAACAGCCATCCGATTCCAGCACCTCGTGATCGTCATCAATACCCACGTTCACTTCATCAGCAAGCATGTCCGCACGTCTTTTCGATTTCTTCCCAGATACTCGACTCCCGGGAGACGAAAGAGTACGTCGATTTTGCGAGGGTGTTGCGGTTATTTCTGCTGTCTGCCGGGGCGATTTTCTTTTTCTGGGAGCCTTGTCTGACCCTCTGGAATCTGCTCGCGGTACTGGCGTAGCGCCCGCATCCGCATTGTTTGAGATCCCGTCACCCCAAGGCTCAACACCACCACCTGCGTTTGAGATCGCCTCTTCCTCGGTAGTCTCGGGAAAGCAATCCGGGTAATCGTACTCGTAGTCATATTCGGTTCGATCATCGGTTTGCCGGCTCTCGGTAGCCACATTGTCAGCATCATTGGTTACGCCCACTCCATTATTTTCTGGAATCGATGCTCTGCTTGCTTGGTGAGCTGTAGATCCACCACTGGGTTTCTCGTTCTCATCGGTATCTTTCCGAGGGCTGTCATGTCCTACCGTCCCGGTAGCATCGGTGACTTCAGCTGGAGCTGGGTTTTCGAGCATAGCTTGACGTGCTGCTTTCTGGCGACGCCTAAACTTCTCCAATTTGTCAGGGCAGTTCAGATTGGAGGCAGGCTTCCAGCTCGTTTGGGAATATCCCTTCCATTTCACCTCAAAGTAAGACAAGCCAAAACGAAAAGTTTCACAAATAATTTTTTCCACTTCGTACACTTCCTCCGAACCTGGGCACCATTATTACAGTTAGTACATTTTCCCAAAACCAACATAAGAGCATGTGACAAACACGTGCTGCTTGTTACCTTCAGAACCCTCTTGGTGTTTTGCAGGGATTTTAGCTGTCACGTGGCTACCTCGGTCAGGCAAGTCCGCTTTTCGGGTTGCTTTTTTCTTCAACGCGCGTGCCTCTTGAAGTTGTGCTACCTTAAACTTGTTGAGGAGCTCAGGACAATGCAGATTCGATTCCGGCACCCACGACGTCTCGTCGTAACCCTTCCACTTCACATGGTACTTGGGCTCCACGCACGAACTTCATCTCGATGATCTTCTCGACTTCAAACTCGTCGTCTGCGGCATTATGAACGTCTACTATAATATCGCTACGACGCTTTGCTAGTGAAAGATACGTTTTGCTTACCAGATGCCTCGGAGTTCACTGTCCTCGCTGCTTTTCCTCGCGCCTTCCGGGGCGGCTGGGCGTCGCGCCCGCTGCCTACTCGGCGCTTCTGTGCCATCTCGACGAGTGACGGTGGAGGGGGGGGCAAAAGGCGCACTTCTTGCATCCGGATACGTGGGCATTGTTGACCTTGATCATACAACTATACTGATATTAAATTTCGAATCGAAACACATCCGGATACGAAGCACGACAGAGCAGATCGTATACTTGTAATATCTCGATATTGAGTTGCAAGTGCCAATGTTGACATCGCAGGTGAATTGCTTAGCAGATTCCTTTGGCAATAACAAATAGACTGGTACTGCTAGATGTCCTAAACTGCTTCTAGAGCTCCTCAACATTGTTTTCACAGTGATAAATACAGACTAGAGCGTGAGAACGAGACGGGTAACAACTAATACCCTTTTTTTCCGATGAGATCAGGTATTAGAGTCAATGTAAAATACATAAAGTAGTGTCTGCCACATATGATTCCCTTTTAAATCCGGATATATCAGGCGTATCGTTCTCACGCTCTAGTCTGTACACGCTCGGCGTCGCACTCACCGTGCACGTAACCCGCTACATGGCATCGGGCACCACGACCGAGCTCGCGAGAAGCGAAACGACGGGCATGACGGCCGCACACCCACCCACGTGCATGTAAAGAAGAGGGATTTAACGTTGGGCTGGGGAATGTCAACATTGACATCGTGAGGCGCTGGAACACCAGATCAGCGAGGCGTCGAAGCTCACCAGAAAACTTGACGGTAAGCATAGCGGCACCCGGAGCAGCGACTGCTGCACGGCGAGCATAGCTGCGGTAAGCATAGTGGCGGCGTAGGCGACAGATGAACAGCGAGCATGGCGGCGGCGGCGAGTGCGAACGTCGGGCAGCATTCCGATGAGCTCAGTCACAGCGTCACGGCGAGCGTAGCGGTAGCGGGGACAGCGAGAGCAGCATGACGAGCATTGCGGCGGCCGCCACAGCGAGAGCAGCACGACGAGCATGGCGGCGGCCGGCATGGGCGAGAGCAGCACGGCGAGCATAGCGGCGGCCAGAGTAAGGATCAGCAGCTTGGTGGCGGCCTTGGCGGCGACGGTCGATGCGAGCCAGGCGACGGCATAGTTGGAGAAGCGCGCTGGAGCAGTAGCTGGCGATTTCGGAAATAAGGTTTGGGATTGAGCGCGCGGAAACGATCTTCTGGCACGGATCGCAGCGCGAGCGTGATTGGCCGCGAAATGACTGGCCAATTACACGTCGCAAATTCAAACGATGGGGGCGCTGATTGGCGTAGATACCAGAGCGAACCCACGGGCGAAAATCTGCGTGTTGCGCGAACTCAAAGCGCAAGTTGGAAAAGCGCGCGAAAAGCTGTGTGTTGCGCGAAGCTTGATGGCTGTATCCAGGCTGATACCACTCCGTGTGACCTTTGGATTGAGCCAATGCTGATCGGCTTATTAGCTTAGGTTTCTAGGATCGATAAGCACTCCGAATTATAGTAGTTCTTGATTTAGTGACTACCTAGTACGAGGGCATTTCTTTTGCAGTTCTATAGTAACTTTCTTTTGCAAGTTCTTCTGCAACAGAAATGATGGCAAACGGTGCCTGAACGTCGCTCGCCTCGCTACCTAGGCCAGTGTGGTGTCCTCACAAAACGCGGTACCCGTAGATATGAAATTCCAACCAATGCGTGCACACGGTTTCTATAGGTGAGCGCTAGCACC